CATTTCCCACCAATGGTAAGTATTCTTTCACATTGTATATCTTGATGCCTTTACCATGACGTCCACTTTGTGTATCATACCACTGTCTTCCCATTGTTCATTGATTTGCTCGAGCGAGCCCAGTAACGTCTCTATTGTGAGACTTGTTGTTTCTGTGTTTGGCATATTGAATACGTCACAGGTAGCTTGCCAGCCTTTACCGTGTGGGCAAGATACTCTCGGTAGCTTGCCGGGCTCTCCAAGAGGGGCGGAGGAATAGAACCTGGCTCAGCCGGGCCGGCTGCACTCAAGGCAAACACCCTACCACTATGCTATCACTCCATGCCATATTTTTTTTCTAATGCAGGAGTACTGCTGTTTATTCAGCCATTGATTAAGCTGATTGAATTGGGTATCAACTGCACATTATTTTTTATTCAGAATGTTAATTTTATTTTATTGTTTATTATTATTATTTTTAATCACCGTGAGATACAGTTACAAAGCTTTTCTGTTCGAGTTTCAGTCACAATACAATCGATCACCCAACCTTCCACCAGTGCATATCTTCCACCACCAAGGTCCCCAGTATCCACCCCCATCCCAACACTTCCCCTGCCTCTATGGCTGACAGTCTCTCCCATATTCTCTTTTGTATTGCTTGTTATAAATAGCATAAGATGTCGCAGCCACACTCTCCTGCAATTCTAAAATTTTAGATAATTAGGGTTTGGAGAAATATGCAATAAGCTTCTTTTTTAAAAAATTTATTTATTGAATCACCGTGAGAACAGTTACAAAACTTTCAGGTTTAAGTCTTGGTCATACAATGATCAAACACCCATCCCTCCGCCAGTGCATATTTTCCACCACCAAGAAACCCAATATACCCCCATCCCACCTCTCCCCATGCCTGTGAGGCAGATGATTTCCACTTAACTCTCTATTTTGATTGCATTCATTATTTCGATGAAAATTTCACCATTATTTGGAATTTTCTTCCAACAATCAAATCTGCTGAAAAGGCATCATGAAATAATTTATTTTCTATTGCTGGTTATGAAGACCATAATGATGTCTGATATTTTGGATTTCTGATATTTTACTAATTAAGTCTGGAGGGATTTCTGCCCAAAGCTGCTTAGTTCCAAGATTTGATTTGTGTGCCTCTGGGGCCATGGCCCTGCCAGAGAGCTGCTCATGGGGGACAACTCGTGGTCTTGGCAGGGTGAGAAGGACATGACAGTTCCTCCTCCCCCCCCCCGCCCCATCCCACGAGGCCATTAGTTCCCCATCACCACTGGCTCATACCTAGTTGTCCAATAAGCTCTGAGGCAGTGGCCACCATGCTGTCAGGGGGTAAAAAGGATGAAGAGACAGAGGAAGAGGAAGAGGCAGGGCGGGGCACTGCACCATAGCTTAATCCATAGTCCATTCACATCTCTGCCAAAAGCTGCTGGGTTCCGAATTAGGTCCGTGTGCCTCTGGAGCCATGGCCACGCCAGAGAGCCACTCGTGGGGGGCAACTCGTGGTCTCAGCAGGGCAAGAAGCTCTGCAGTGAACTTGGTTCAGAGATTCTTTTTTGTGTCTCTGGGTCATAGCTGTTAAGGAGCTTAAGAAGCAGCTGTAGGCAGTTGTGGGCGTCACCTCCAGGCTCCCATGGGGACTGGCCCATCCCCTATCCCTTGAGACCTCGAGTTTGCCATCACTGAACCTGTGTACCTACACTTCTCATTGTGTTGTGGAACTTGGCGGCCATGAGGGTTTTTAGGAGGCAGGTGGAGGGATGATGACTGCCCCCATGTGAGGCACCCTGGTGAAGTTGGCCTGACTTAAAGTTCAAAGGCATCTCTGCAACGAGCTGCTCAGTTTGGAGATTCCTTTGTTTGTCTCTGATCATGGCACTTGTTTCCATCTTTTCCATAGAAATAAATTATTGGCATATGCCCTGCAGGGTTCACCCGCCTGCAATGTGCTGCCCTGCTGGCCCTAACTGTGGCTTTTGATCTCTTTTGAGATTTATGGGTCTCTTAAATAAGGCCAATAAATGAACTTGTATAGCCGGAGGTGGTTTGTAGGTGTGTCTCCCACATACCTAACTTTTGACTGTTTAATTTCTTGGTAAAAAGTTTGTTGGAGTCTGGCCAAAGGTACAGTGGCAATTTTGGGGTATGAGGAAGTTGAAGGCATCATCAGGCTGCTGATGCACTCGACTTGCAGGTACAGGTTGACCTGCTGACGGTACTATAGCCCCAGTATCATGCCATTTTGTCAGTAATTTTTCTCAATAAAGCCAAAGAAATGCAAACCATAAGATTCAATATTTAATGAATCCTTTTTATTAAGTTTTACTTAACTGACTTAAAGAAAACTAAGTTGTCCTTATTTAACATTTTTCTATTTGGGAGTTGGCTATATACATATGCATATGTACATATATTCATAAATATATTTTAATATTTGCCTTATCTCTAGTAGGTGCCCAATTTGTTTATTAATTTTAGAACAAATGAATGAGTATATAATACATAATATAATATGTAAATTTTGCCTTTTCTGTTCTTTATTTAAAAGCAATGTAGGGCCAGGGAGATAGGACAAGGGTTAACCTCAGTTTGTTCCTTTGCACCACATGGTCCCCTGAGCACCACTGGAAGCCAGCACTACCCCCTTCTCAGCAACACCAACTGTGACCCAAACCTACCCAAGAAATCCTAAATGAAGCAGTGTGACTCTAAGTAGAGAGTGACAACTCATTTAGTGGAAATAACTAGAAGGAAAAATAGATTTAAAACTCATACTTGCATTAGAGGAAGTATTTAAGTGAAAGATTCTGATATATGCTTTATCTTTATCATAGTGTCTTTTGAATAAAAATATGGAGGAAAACATGTAAGAGTCAATTGAGTTCAGATTAAAAGCCACATTCTTAATGGGGTCATCAGGAAGGAGGTGGCCCTAGACCTGTATTTTCTGATGATTAAGAATTCTGGTTATCACTGTGAAGTCAAGGTTCTTCAGGGTCCTACCCTATCTTTTCCCTTACTTGGTTGCATTGCTGACCATACTTTCTTGCCGTCTTATCTGCATCCCCAGTTCTGTGGGTCAGCCAAGAGCTGTCTATGGCTTGTGTCAATCAGCTATATCTGATTGACCTTCAGATATAGAGGGCTATGCTGAATTTGTTCTTCCATTCATAGCGCCTGGTTTGGACAAGACCCTACTCTTTCATTTATTTATTTAATTGCTTGTTTATTCCATTTTATGCCCTTAATTTACCTTTCATACTCTTTTCTGCTTAGGCCGGGTACCACTGTGATAACCTTAATGTATATCTTTGTGTTGTATATGCTCTTATAAAATGTGTGTGTCCATGTATATATAAGTATTAAAAACTGACATTGCATGTTGTTTTGTTTCTTATATTTATTTCTGGGCACATGCATTTTCCTCCAGGTTGCCATGTATATGCCTTTCATTTGTGTTCAACTGCTGCAATATTCTGTGGTATGTGATGTCACACATCACTTCCACTTCAGAAACCATCTGTATACTTATATATGACTTTTAGCACAAAAGATAACTCCTAAGTGTGTGATCAATAATACTCTGAACAAATTGTGATGACTTTAAAGGAAAAATGTAGTCAGAGGGAGAGAGAGAGAGAACAGAGACTGGATATCTAGTCAGTTTGGCTTGAGAAGTATGGTCATGCCCCAAGGATAGCATGTATGACAGTGATCCTTGTGTATAACTTAGTTAAATGGTAGCCTAGAAACCATGCAGGCTTATGTTAGACTGTTCTATACTATCATAATGATAGAGTTGTCTGACAGTGCATTTCTTTTTTTAAAAATTTTAATTATTATTTTAAAAAATTTTATATTTATAAAGTAGTTAACAATATTTGATTACATTTAATATTTGAACACCAATCCCACCACCATTACACCTTCCCACCATCATATTTTGGATGTTTCCATCCTGAACCTCAACTCCTTCCCCAAAGCAGAACCAAAATAATTTATTTTGTATTGTTTGTTATGAATAAACTGCTGAAAATTCCCCAAAATCCGTTTCTTACAGGAGAGTGTGTGAAGATTGTTGTCTTTCATCTAGGAGTCATTAAACCCTTTTATGAGAGATTACTAATATGTTATTAAGGGTTGAACCTTGTGTGCATATATATATGTAAAAATATATTTTCTTTTAAGATTGGTTGCCTTCTACTTTAAACCTCTCAAATGTGGTGCACTGTTCTTGGAGTTTGAGTGGTGTGAGGCATACGATGCATTCGCAGCCGTGTGATCCAGGAATAGGTTTACTTGTAGGTGAGGTTTGGCTTGAGTGTGTCTCCACATGAGCATGGCAGCGGTTGAGTTCTGGAGGTTTTTGGCTGCCAGGGCTTGGTCCCTTGGGGTGGGAAGAGGTCTCACCCATCCCTCTCCAGGTTGCCCCAAATAAAACAGTCCTTCGCGGGGTCCAGCGGCATGGCTATGGCATGGCACTGCATTTCTTGTAGAATATCGCTATTGTTAAGCAGCATGTGATTAATATGGGCATCTGTGTGATTTGTTTGCCTGTGGAAAATGGTGGAAAAAGTGAGGGATAGGAGGTTGCCTGGATTGTGGAGAACTTTTGATGAAGGGTAGCTATTTGGGAGTTATAGTTGTATGTGATCTATTAATTTGTGTCTGAGGTGTCAGTATTGCATTAAAGACCACAAACCAATGAACTTCAAACATTTGTTGTTCAATAAAGTAATCTGTCATACCTGTTGAGAGGGATGCTTCAGACATTTTTAATTTCCTTCTCCTATTTCTGGATTTATCAAAACCCTTGTATTTATCTGTATGCCCTATGTCCTGAAGCTACCTGATCAACTCATAGCCAATATTTACCCATTGATCAAGATTTCTTTGACTTACAGATCAAAGAAACTTTAACTATTAAATATACCTCATATGAAGAAGTAAACCAAAAGTGTGCTTACTGAAAAATATCTCTTTTACCTTTTCAGATTAATGTGTGGAAGACAGAGCTGAATTATGACTTGCCCTCACCCCTTTGCCAAATTGAAGCTTGGCTCCAGGAGGTCGAGAAGCTGATAGATGAAGATCTGTCAGATTCCCAGAACTACTCTGAAGCTATGACTCAGATACAAGAGAAAATGACTCTATTCAAGGTGCGACAGAGATAAAAGCAGCATGGAAAAGAATTTGTAGTTTACTAAAAACTACTCTTGAGGAAGACTTTATCCAAGGAAGACAGCAGAGCAGATATTTGAGGATAGTTTAGAATGATTTCTGAGGGATTGGGGGGACTTAGAAGATATCTCCATTCTTCATTAACATTTTTAGTTTGAGGTTGAAATAAGAATCTAGAATTCAAATTGGTTTTATAGCAATTGTAAAGTATGTCAAAACTAGTTTAACATGTTCAAAATTTGTTTCTTACCAAAATAGCAGGAAATAATTTGATATGTGAGATAAATCATTTAAGTGCACAAAGGAATAAAAATATATTAGAAAACAAAGATTTTATAATATTTTTACCAGAAAAAAAAAACCGTGTGGTCTGCCTCTCTGTAAAGTGTTTGAATTTGAAACACTTATGTTGAGGGCCAGAGAACTAATAAGTGGGTAAGCTGCTTGTCTTGCACAATGCCTATGTGAGTCTGATCCCTGTCACCCTCCATGATTCCCTGAGCACTGCCAGAATTATCCCTGGGCACCATTGAGTTTGGCCCCCAACCCCCTGCCCTCAAATTAAAACATTTATTTTTAAAATATTCATCGAATCTTACCTTTTAGAAAATAGGGTTTATGCAACAAAAAAATGCAGTGCATGCATAGAACAAACAAGATTAACAAATCTTTTTATTACAGTGGTATGCAATAAATATGGCTCATGTTAAATAAAAATCCAACTGAATTAATTTTAAAGATCTAGTTGGTTTTATTAAGTGATTCCTTAATTGGGCAGCATGCCCAATTTACAACATTTGTAAAAAAGTGCTCCAAAAAAAAAACCAGTACAAAGTGAAAGGTTTTTTTTAGGCAGAAAGAGACTACTGAGATAAGGGGAGAGGGAATTTCTTCAGTCATGAGGAATGGGAAAAGATTGTAGAAAAGATTATTTCATCTTCCTTTGAGGAATGGAAATTGTGCACCTTCATTGGTACTGACAAGAAAGTCCCATACTGACCAGCTAGGAATATACTGGTGGTGGAGGGGGCAAGGATTGTCTGGAATCTGAAATCACAGTAAGGTTAGGTATTAAGCTTTATTGAATTTAGTAAATATACCTCCATTTTGAGTCTGCCACTTTTTTTTTTTCTTTAAGAACGCCATGCTAATTTTGTTTTCATTTTTAGAATCTGATGGATAAATTTGACTATCATTTGAACACTCTCCGGGCCTTTGAAAATGAAAAGGAAAAACATCTGCCATTGGTACCACCCAGCAAGTTAAAGGAAATGGAAAGGCGGTTCGTAGCACTATTCTTTCACAGTTCCTGATCCATGAACCTCTAGCATTAACATGGTGCCTTTGGGACCATAATATGTAGATATTTAGATAATTTCCAAGAAGTAGGCTTGTGCTAATTTTATAGTGGTACCTTTATCTGTTATGTTTCAGTACTCTATATTTCTTTCCTTCCCTTGGATGGAAGTATATAGTAGGGCAAAATTTGGGATTAAGGATCAGAAACATCTGTATGTCCAGGTTTTGGCTTGTTACTGTGTTTCTGAAATCAGACAAGTTGGGTGGTTCAGGTAGAACCGGCCATAGACAACTTACTTCATTCTGAGTTTGTTTTCTTATTGGTATGTGTAGACTAGCACAGTGGGGCATTTCACTTGCACACAGCCAACATGGCCGACCCAAGTTCGATTCCTCTGCTCCTCTCTTAGAGCCCGGCAAGCTACCGAGAGTATCTCACCTGCACAGAAAAGTCTGGCAAGCTACCTGTGACATATTTGATATACCAAACACAGTAATAACAAAGTGTCACAATGGAGACATTGTGAACAATGGGACGACAGTGACAGTGATGTATAGACTATCTGTAATCATGTGAAAGGGGAGGACTATGAAAACTTCTTGAACTCTAAAATATTACAAATGTATACTATTTCATTGATCTTTATTTATATGCTACTTATTCTAATGGTAATAGGAGGGTGTTCATTCTAATAATAAAAGCGTTTGGGCCCATGAAATAATTTACTGGTTCCTTTTTGGTCTCACATGGTTCTAGAGACCCCCAAATCCTACTGGGCCAGGTCCCTACCATTGAACTCAATTAACTGAGTGTTGCTGGGAATGGCCCTGAACCCCTGAGCCCATCCCATGGTGGGGGGTGGGGGGAGTCCTCAACCCTCCCAAAGGAAATAAAAGCTTTTACTGTGTGAAATCTAATTTATAATTGTATAAAACTATATAGATGTTTTCAAATTTTATAAAATACTTTGGAGACATATTATTCAGGATTTTTCAGTCGGGGAATTCAGTTAGATGCTTTTCTTTGACATAGGTGTTTTGTACCTAATTCCCATGGTTTGTTTTCTTTTGTTAAATAAAATGCAAGATTTGAGAACTCTGTGATTTAAAAAAAGTTATAGCCCAATCAGTTTTTAATTGCCAGTTATCTCACATTGGGCCAATAATAAGAAGTTAATTTTTACAACTTCTACTGTTTTTCAGAATCTTCATCATTTCGGAGAAAAATTTTATTCCACTTCTAGAATTTCATTACTATAAGTACTTAGTTCTTGGTTTGTTAAATGAAGTGAAATCAAAATTGGATGTTTGGAGCATCAAATACGGGAACCAAGAGTCTGTAGAATCATTGCTGGAAGACTGGCATGTAAGCTGCTTTACTTTGTTCAAGGCAGTTTTACTCTCCCTGTCTAGGGGCTGGGCTTGCATATTTTTCTTGGAATAATTTCTCTTTACCTTTTCATGTTTTGATATGCATTTTCATTAGCTACAATATTTCCCAGGGGAGAAATTATAGGTAATCAATTAACAGACAAAAAAGAGACAGAAAAAGCCGCATTATTGACCACCCCAGGGAAGATTGGGATGTTACCAGACTTACAACATAATAGAGGGAGTTTTATTATAATTTATATTAAAAATTCCTACTTTCATTTTCTGAACACTTTAAATAGTTTTTTTCTACTTAGATTTATAGCTTTAATAAAAAAGTTTTTCCTTAAATTGTTAAATTTAACAATTGTTAAATTTGAACAGTTAAATTGTCATCCTCTTAAGTTTTTAGAGTGGAAGAAATATTTTACATGAAATGTATAGGATAAAGAAAAGAATATTGATCCTTTCTACTAATCAGTTAAGCCTGTTACCCTTCTTTCTGCTTGAAATGCAATGAAGTGCATAAAAAAATTCAGAGTTCTAATTTTAGTGTGAAAATGAAAAAAATAATGAGAAAATTGGTGTATAATTTGTGGCTTAATCACAGTACAGTCCCAAACTGGACATATCATTCCTTTTTTTTTTTTTTGCCGGGGGGGGAGGGGCACATCCAGTGATGCTCAGGGGTTACTTCTGGCTTAACACTCAGGAATCACTCCTAGTGGTACTTGAGAGACCCACTGTACTATCACTCTATCCCCAATGGACTCATCATTCTTAACAAGACTAGAATTTTTACTTTTGTTTTCTTTGACGTTTTACTTTTTTATTTAAAAGTATACTATTGGTTGTTGAAGAAATCATGTAGTAGTCAAGGGCACTGGTCTTGCAGATGGCCGACCTGGCTTGGATCCCCAGAACCCCAGATGTTCCCCCAAGCACCTCCACAAGTAGCCTAAAAACCAAAAATAAAAGTAGTTTATAGTATATAAGAGTTTTTAATTAGTTCAGTGCTTTTTTATGTAGAAGTCTGCTTGAATAGGACATAATGATATGAGTAGAGTTGAAATCAGTATAAATACTTAATCTGCCTTTTCCTATGAGAGGAAAACCATTATGGAGCCATCGCAACCATAAGATAGATGTGTGAGGTCTCATCTAACACCTATGTAGCATTCATATTCATGGATTTCTCCTAGACAGACCCTAACTGTCTTTCTTCATGTCAAGTGTTTCAGCAGTCTTTCTGTGTTTCTGTCTGCATTTTTTGACATATTTTTAAAAATTGAAAATGTGTTTTTTCCTTCCATCTACCAAGAAATTTATTGAAGAGAAAAGATTTCTAACTCAACTTGAAGCTTCTTTCCAAGAATGTAAAGAAAGTTGGGAGAATTTGATTAAAGGTATGTATTTACTAAATTATCATATTTTTTCAAGATATTTTTTATGAATAAAACTTGGTTAGAAAGATGTATGAGGAAAGAAAGAAGGGAAATGTGTTCAAGAGAGAACATAGGCTTCTCCAGGGTGAAAATAAGCAAGCAAAGAAACAGACAAGCAAGTGAGATTCATTTTTATGGGAGGACATGGGCTTGAAGAGTAAGCCTGTTTGCTAAATTATTTTTATTGAAATTGTTTAATTGACCATTATGAAAGACTATGTAAGCTTTAGGTTAGTTATTTTTAGATGGAATGACAAATACTTAAAAATTTTTTAATCTGTTCCTTTTTCTTTAGACATTAATGTTTGTATGTCTTTAATTTAGATGTTAGTTTAGTACTGTCAGTCTCTTGTTAGATAATTTAATATATATATTTTATTAATATGTGTATATTCCCTGATGGTATGATTTTGTTAATAGCACATTTTTCTGAGATTACTTTCTTGTTTGGTTAACCTTATAGCTGGAGAACATGAGACGATTAGAAAACAATATGAGATGATGGAATATAAGTTTTGTACATATAAAAAAAGTATATACAACGTCAAGTCAGCTCTACAGAAAGTTCTGGAGTGTTGGGCCACGTATGTGAAAAACCTTCGCTTTCTAAAGGCTTGTTTTGAAAACACAAAAAAGGAACAGATTAAAGAGGTATTTATTTTTTAATGATATCTGCTCAGTTGCTCTGTTCTCTGGTTGGGAGATTCTTATTTTCAACCCCAAAATGAAAGGCCAGAGAAGAGCAAGCAAGCTGCCGGAAATATTTTCTATGATCTTGGAAAGACTTTAGTCTTTTTCTAATACAACTTTCCCGAGCAGGTACCAGTAATGAGCAAATCGATGAACAATGGGAGGACAGTGCTACGGTGCTACAATTTTCCAGAGGAAGTTTTCTCCTTATATAGCACAGACTCTCCCTCCCCTCTCCCTCTCCGTCTTTCCCCCCTCTCTCCCTCCCTCTCTCTCTCTCTCTCTCTCTCTCTCCTCTCCTCCCTCTCCCTCTCTCTCTCCCTCTTTTACATACACGCGTACACAGTTTATGGCACAATTTCTCTGATTACAGCTTTTGTAAGGTATATTGCTAATTTTTTTGGAAAAGAAGAGACTTGAATATCTGGGTATCTGATAGACACACTAAAATACATTAATGTTAAAGAATGTCCTTTTCTTCCTATTTGTGTGAATACTGTTAAAATAGCCCTGAAACCTTCTTGAAAGAAGAATCTGTAATTACTTACATGTCAGTGAGGGTGGGAAATAAATGTATTTGTTACTTATGTAATGATCGGTATTATAATTCTTCTTTGAGGTAGTTTTTTTTACTCTCATTTTCCACCCTCTGTTGCAAATGGTAGTCTCTTGGATTAAAGAGTTTCAAAAAGAAACAAAGACTAATCAGCACAAATAGGCTGTTGTATGAAAGTAAAAATTGTGTGAGTTGTTTGAGTATAAAATAAGTATTTGAAGTGTTAGTGAGTCATTACTTCTCCTCTTCACTTATATCAATATAAGAAGTTAATTATCTTTTATTAATATATTCATAACTCTGAAAAATAGCACTCTGAGCTTGTCATTGCCAAACTCTGTGCTGTGGCACACTGGCTGCCCAGGAGAACTCTCAAGATAGTTTAAGTTGTGGAGTTCATAAGGTAAAGGTAAAGGTAAAGGTAAAGGCCCTCCCGTTGTTCATCAATTTGCTCGAGCGGGCCCAGTAACGTCTCCATCGTGAGACTTGTTGTTACTGTGTTTGGCATATCGAATACGTCATGGGGAGCTTGCCAGGCTCTGCTGTGCAGGCGAAATACTCTCGGTAGCTTGCTGGGCTCTCCGAGAGGGGCGGAGGAATCGAACTCGGGTCAGCCATGTTGGCTGCGTGCAAGGCAAACGCCCTACCGCTGTGCTATCGCTTCAGATATGTGGAGTTCATACCCAGTTCAATCAGCCTAATCAATGGCTGAATAAATAGCAATACTCCAACATTAAAATAAAAATATTAAATTGAAAGAGTATAAAAAAAGATAGTTTAAGTTTTGAGTGATAGACAGCAACATTTGTCTGACAGAGACCAAATAAATAATGGATTATCTGTTTCTAAGTTATTTGAACCTGATACTTAAAAATCAGTATTAGATACCGGCCTTGAAAATCTATGAAAATTAAGAAACATTTAGGGTGGCATGAATTGTAGGTTTGGAAACTACTACTACAAGCTCATTAGTCATCCAGAAAGTTGGAAGATCAAATGCTTCCCAGAAGTCCAGGACCAATAGTGACAACAAATTCTATCAATAGGGTTGGGGAAGAACAGTGAGCTCACAGGGCTGGCTATGAGAAAATCCATCAAGAGGGAAACCTCTCATTCATGTTTGCTTAGAACCAACTCGGTAAAGGTCTATCCTAGAGAGTAGAGGAATAAGTCTTATGTCATTAAAATATGACATTGATTATATGTCATGTAGGTTCCGTTTGAGACATTATGCCAGTGGAATCTTGACCATGCTCTTTTAAATGAAGTGGGAAATTTCTTAATTGACGTCAGCAATGATGAAGTTGGATTATCTATTACTAAGGAACTCAGAAGGCTGAATAAAAGATGGAGAAAGTTTATTACAAAAACTCAACTTGTAAGTTCTTTTATTGGTAACATCTTTATTGACACATGTTTATAATTTATATACCACATAATTGTTATATGACTCAGTTGTTTCTAATATGTTCAGAATAGTGCAACCATCATTGTAATCAATTTTGAAACATACTTACCGCATTAAAAACGATTGTATTTCGTAGTAATTATTTCTTATTTTCTCCCAATTTCTGTAAGCCTAGGCAACCACTGATCCATTATGTGTCTATAGATTTGCCAATTGAGGTTATTTTGCAAAAATGGGATCATATAATATGGGGCTTTTTATGCTGATTCTGTACTTAGCATATTTTTGTCTGTTTCTTTGGGGGGGCACATCTGGTGGTGTTCTCCTTGAGTTGGGGATCCCTTCCACATATAAAGCAGATGTGGCAGCACTTTGAGCTATCTCTCTGGCACCTGTTTTTATTGCTATTTTTCCTCCCAACCAGTGCTCATGGAGCTGGAAGCCATACCTAATTGCTCAGCCTAGCAATGAGAGGGGAGCAAGGGAAGATGACTGTGATACCAGGGATCTTGCACATGCTAGGCAATCCCTTTGAGCTAACTCCCCGGCCCCTGCATAATAAGTTTCAATAAAAACTACCTTGCTTCACTAAAAAACAAACAAAACAACCAAAAATAACCCCCATGAGAATGTTTACTTACTAGATTTAAAGATCTTTGAGAACAGTCTCATTTATATTTATTTAATATTTATTATGGTCCCCCAAAGAGCAAATTACCAATTAATTTTTAACTTAAATTAATTAATTATTTAGTATTAATTTGAGACTGGGTTTTTTTTTAAATCTTTGCAGTACTTTGATTTGTAATCCTATTAATGATGGTTTTCTACATACATCACTTCATCACCAGAGTGTCTGCCTCCCTCCACCAACCCTTGCAGCGTTTCCTGCCCTCACACACTCTCTTGTTCTGTTGTATGGATGTTTGTTGAAACCTTACTGTGTATCTTAAAATTGCACATATAAGAGAGATCATTCTGTGTCTTTTGTTTTTCTTTTAACTTCAGCATGATATTCTGTAGTCCATGTGCCATCGTATTGCATTTTTTTATTATTATTATTAGTGAAACACCATGAGATACAGTTGTAGACTTACAAACTTTCGTGCTTGGGTTTCAGTTATACAATGATCAAGTACCCATCCCTCCACCAGTGCCCATTCTGCACAACCAATGATCCCACCCCCCCACCCTGTCCCCTCCACCCCACCCCACCTCTGTGGCAGGGCATTCCCTTTTGCTCTCTCTTTCCTTTCGGGTGTTGTGGTTTGCAATAGAGGTATTGAGTGGCCATTATCTTTGGTCTATAGTCTACTTTCAGCACGCATCTCGTATCCTGAGTGAATCCTCCAAAATCCTTTAGTTAGTGTTCCCTTCTCTATCTGAGCTGCCTTTTCCCCCAGCATGTGCTGCTGGCTTCTAAGCCATTGATCATATTGCATGGTTTTATCCTTTCTTATAGGTGCCTAGTATTCTATTGTATACCATAATTTCTTGATTCATTCCTTTGTAAAATTTAGGAATTTGTGTTGTTTCTATATATTGGCCATTGTATTAAACACTGTCATGAGCATAGGTATACATACATCTTTTTGAGTTAATGGTTTTGTGACTTGGGGGTAGATGCCAAGAAGTGGTATCTATGGGTTATATGGGAGTTCTATTGCTAATTTTTTTTGAGATGTCTCTCCATATTGCTTTCCATAGAGGCTGAATCATGTCACAACCCTGCCAGCAGTGAGGACTCAACACAACCTTGCCAACACTAGCTGTTCCTAAAGTTTTGGTTTTTTTAAATGTAGGAGTACTGCAATTCATTCAGCCACTGATTAAGCTGACTGAAATAGGCATGAACTCCACATTACTTTTTTTTAAAGGCATTTATTTATTTATTTATTTGCTTTTTGGGTCACACCCAGCGAAGCACAGAGGTTACTCCTGTTGTGCTCTCAGGAATTACCCTTGGCAGTGCTCAGAGGACCATATGAGGTGCTGAGAATCGAACCCGGGTTGGCCGCATGCAAGGTGAACACCCTATCCACTGTGCTATTGCTCCAGCCCGCTTCCACATTTACTTTTTTTAAAAAAAATTATTAATTTTATTTTTATAAAGTTGTTCACAGTAATTGTTTACATTCAACATTTCAAAACCAATCCCACCACCATTACACCTTCCCACCAGCATTATTTTGAATTTTCCCACCACCACCCAAGTCTGCCCCATAGGCAGATGCTAAATAATTTACTTTATATTGCTTTTTATCAATAGTATGAGATGTTGTGTGTTATTCTAAACATTTTTAGATATTTGGGGTGGAGGCATCTCTGCAATATGTAACTCTTTTCTGAGATTTATTTGTGAGTCTCTAAATCATGGCCATTGATGTGCTTAAATGGTGCCCAGAGGCAGTTCTTAGGCATGACTGCCAGGAAACCGGAAGGGTGGGGAGATGGGGGAATGTCGCCCCATCTCTGTGAAGCCTGGAGTTTTCAGTTATTGGTCCCGCATACCTGGACTTTTCAGCAGGTTCATTCCTGTGCATGGGGAGCTTGGGATGATCCTGTGAAGGTTGGCTGTGAGCACGGCAGTGATTGGATTCTAGAGGTTTGCAGCTGCTGCGGTTCATTTGGGGCAGGTGTAGGAACATGCTTGCCCCCCTCCAAAGTGAAATCAGTTGGGAACATGGTAGGGAGACAGTGTGCTGCTCTCTTCAGAGATTCATTTGTGAGTCTCTGAATCATGGCAGTTAATGCAGTTGAATGGTCTGATTTTGATCTCTTTTGAGATTTATTTATGGATCTCTGAAGCAAGGCCAATAAATGAGCTTGTATAGTTGAGCTAGAAGTGGTTTGTGGGCGTGACTCCCCCATACCTAACTTTTGGGCCATTTAATTTCTCTGGAAAGTTGGTCCCAAGTGATTGGGGTCAGGCCAGAGGCACAGGGGCAGTTTTGGGATATCAGGAAGCTCAAAGGCACCCATCAGACTGCTGATGTGCTTGCCTTGCAGGTGACCTGCTGGGTGGCACTATATTCCCTGTTCCCAAAGTTTTTGATACATGACATTCTCACTGGTATGAGATGATATCTCAGTGTTGTTTTGATTTGCATTTCCCTAGTCACAAATGACAGTGAACATTTTTTCATATGACTCTTAATGATTTTTTAAAAAGTTTTTGGCCACACTCTGAAGTGCTCAGGGTTTATCCTGGCTCTGCACTCTGGGATCACTCCTGGCAGGGTCAGGGGACAATATGGGGTGCTAGGGATCAAACCTGGGTCAGCCACATGCAAGGCAAATGCTCTATTCACCGTACTGTTACTCCAGCCTTTATATGTCTTGTTGGGGGAAGTGTCCTCTCTCCCCATTTTCAGATGGAGTTGTTGGATTTTTGTTGTTGTTGAGCTTATGTGTATTTTATAGATCTTGGGTATTACTGCTTTATCTCATGTATTATGTTTAAATATTTTCTCCCATTCAGTTGGATGTCTTCTTATTTTAGTTTGAGGTTTTTGGGCTGTGAAGAAGTCTTTTAATTTGATATAGTGCCATTTAAAATTTTTTGTATTTGTTGTTTTATCCTGTGTGGCCAGCTCATTGAAGATACCTCTGAATCAATTCCCTGTCCATTCTTCCTATATTTTTTCTTCATTGTGTTTTGGAGATTGAGTTGTTTTATGGGAATTGCTCTTAACCATAAAATATATAGAATAAATCATATCAATTTATTGTTTATTATATATCATTGTTTATTATTTATTATCTTAGCATTAAAATCTGAGCATTTTATTTCATAAAATTAACTTTGTATAGGACATGAACCTGCCACAGGATCATTCCAAGTTTGACAGTTCTGGAAATAATGAACTATTTAATCAAGAGCAAGAAACTGCTGAGTTTTTCACAAATATACCAGGAGAATGTCCTGAAAATCATAGTCCCAATGTAAAGGTAAAATAGTTATGTTTAATGTATTTCATTTGAATGTGGAAATAAATTTAACTTGACTGTTTTTCTTTCTAAAATATGATTGTTTTCCTGGAAAATGCTTAGGAGATCCTCTTCATGAACTAGTCTTTGAAGTTAAAGTCCTGTGTTTCCTCTCACTCCCACACTCATGCCAGTGTTTTTATGACTTATGAATCGTGCAAATAGAGAACTTCAGGTTATTTTTGATTAGTTCTCAGAAATCATCTAGGCTAGCCCCTGCCTTGTCTTTAAAGTGGGAGAAAAAAATACAACTTTATTTCTTGCTAAATTGGATAATTTGGAAGATGATTTAGATTATAGATAAAAGTGTGGAAAAGGAATGAAAAAATGCACACGCAAGATATAATAGCTATGTTTGGTGATGTGCCTCCTTCAGAACAATGATTTACACAGTTTTACTTTGAAAAGTAATTTTTACCAGCCTTTGGCCAGTTGCCGTGAAGGAATGCCAGTGTTCACCGATCATAAACAGAAGTACTCAGAGAAAAATTCCTTTTAGAGTGAACTGTTCTTCCCATGCACTTAATATATAAACTGATTAAAACAAAACCTTTATAAGTGCATCTATCATAAAAAGATATAACATATAACCTTTATAATGAATGAATTTAAAAGGCCTAATTTTGTGAAAATTTCATTGACTCTCATTTTGAAGATATTTCACAGATACTATTGCTAATGGTTGTATTTAATTAAATGGCATGCTAGTCTTAGACATATGTTGACAGAATCAATACACCAATTTTCTAAACTTTCATTTTATAAATGTAAAATGGAGATGATAGTTTCTAATTGGTACAAATACTGTAATTGAAGAAATACATGCGAACACATCTTTAAGTTTTTAAAGTGATAGTGCTGTCTTGAGATATTTTTTGTTTGTTGGTTTTTGTTGTATCTTTTTGGGTCACATCCAGGATGCTCCTAGCTTTACATTCAGGAATTACTCCTCACACTGTTGTGGGGACCCTATGGGATGCCAGAGATCAAACCTAGGTCAGCTGAGTGCATGGCAAATGACCTATCCACTGGATTAGCACTTCAGCCCCTGTCTTTAGATATTTTTGTTCCAAAACTTGTTATTTTATCTTGAACTAGCACTCTTCAGGAGTAAATGTTGAAAATAAAAAATCATTTTAAAGCATAAGTGTTGCCATTTCCTTAGTGTTAATTTTATATGTTGTAGGCTGGTGAAAAGCCTGAAAAAGAAAATGAAGAATGCACAGGGAAACTAAAAATGACTGAAGAGGTGGAAAAACTAACAAAACAGGTAGAAATCTGGGAGGCAGAGACCAAATCTGTTTTGGATCTTCTGCTGTATGAAGATGAGGTGGATCCCTCAGTGGAAGAATCTTTGCAGGTATGAGTGCAAAAGTTTTAAAAGTAATCTTTCATGATTGTCAACTGTGAATGCAGGTGAAGGTTTTTATGGCCAGGTTAGCCCAGAGAGAGTACATCTGCTTTGCAGGACTGAGGCATGAGTTTATTTTTAGCACCACCCCTCAATCAGAGTATGATCCAAGTGATACTATCCTCCAGGATTCCTTGCACTGCAACACGGATGTATGATCTCCAACACACCTCAGTCAAATGAATCCAAGCGCTGCAGCTAAATTATGTCATCACCACAACCAGGTGTGCCTGAGTGTCGAGGAAATTCTTACCAAGAGCCAGAGGAAAAACCAAGTGGTACATTCTGAGAAGTGGAAAGACTTAGGTTTACTTCTGCTGGCAGACCCAGCAGAGATCATGCTCCAAAGTCTGAGCCCTAAACAAAGGCTGCGAGTTCTGCTTTATAGAATACCTGGTGGGGAATTGGGGCATTTGCAGATAGCTGGCAGAGGAACAGACAGAAAGCAGAAAATCCCAGGCTTGTTATTTTGCAACGCAAAGTCTGCACCACCTCAAGTATATTCCTAGCTCATTCTATGATCATGGAGCAAGGAGGTTTTCTCAAAGATGTCCTAGGCACGTCTTGTAGTTCAGGTACAACAGACTATCTTTGGCACCTCTTATGTCCCTGGCTACTTGGCTATTCATTATGGGAACAGGATCTTATTTCCCCCTATAATTAGGTGGAACAGGGGTTTATTTTCTTCATCATGAGAACCAGAACTCAAGTGTACATGGACTGTGATCAGTAGCATGACCTTCCGCCGCCGCCCCCCCTCCCCCCTCCCCGCCCCCGCCCCACTGGCACAACTACAACAAAAAAGGAAAGAGAAAGGGGAAAAAAAAAAGATAAAATATTTTCAAGTAAATATTATAAACCTACTGTTAAAGTTGAGTTTTGGTTGGGAGTTTAAAAAAATAACTTGGCTTCTCATTCCTGGTTATTTGCAGTTCAGCTCTTTGAGCCTCTCCCCAGACCTTGAAGAGATTGATTTTTATGTTGATCATGTAATCAGAATGTTAGTTATGATCTCACTTTAATTTGTTTTAATAGCACCTCATTGCCAAAGGCTCTATGTATGAAGAACTTGTATCTAGAACTGAAGATACTTTACAAATGGATATACAAAATGTTTCAAGCCAGGAATCCCTCCAACATATCCTCACAGTTGAACTTCAAGCAAAGATTCAGGAAGTTAAAGAGAAAGTCCAGGTCTTTCTTTAATATTTTCTATTTAGTGAATTTACTTTTAAACACTGTGAACAGAGGAAGATAAAGAAAAGGTGGTTATTTGGAAATGTTTCATGAAATAATACTTTGCCTTATATATTTTTGTCATTTAAAGCATACTGTAAAATAGTAATACATTGGATTTCTTGTATCTATGGAGAAAATATAAGTGGCTAGTGAAGTCATTGTTATGACTTTACTAAGAAGTTGAGGTAAGCATTGTTAGGAATTTACTGAGAAGTATGAAGTTGGGAATGTTCTATCTTTGCAGATCAATGTGGTAAAATTGCTCACTGTGCTGAAGAATTCAACTGAAGCCTCACCCAACCTGGATATCCGGGTGAAGGTGGAGGAATCACAGACAGAACTTGAATCATCCATGAATAGAGCTGAGCACTTATTGGAGCAAAGAGAATGCCAGAGTGATCTGATTTCAAAGTACAAGGTGGGATTCCTTCAACCATCTGATATAGAATATTTGTTATTAGCTGCCTATTGCTTTTGAAGGGCTGGAGCAATAGCACAGTGGGTAGGGCATTTGCCTTGCTTACGCCCAACCCGACTGACCCAGGTTCAGTTCCTCCGCCCCTCTCAGAGAGCCTGACAAGCTACCTAGAGTATCTCGCCCTCACGGCAGAGCCTGGCAAGCTACCCACGATGTATTCGATATGCCAAACACAGTAACAAGTGTCACATGGAGATGTTACTGGGCCCACTCGAGCAAATCGATAAATAACAGGAGGACAGTGACAGTGATAATGATTGCTTTTGAAATCAAGATATATTCATTATGGCAATTATATCCATAGTTACTATAATTTGAAAAAAATTCACAGTTTAATATATTTATCCTAATACTATTAAAAATAAACATTCAAGTGAAGGATTTTTAGAATTCAAATTTTATTGTTAGACTTCAGTGAGTTTACTGATATAGTGAAAAGGCCAGAGCTTACTCTATGATATTAAGAGCAAATTTAATTTCTCTGGATTTTTCTTTAGGGAGAGGCATTCCCAGCAGTGTTTTGTGGCCATGTGGTATCCAAGATCAAATCCAGGGCCTCACATATGCAGGGTATTTGCTATGTCTTTGGGCTGTCCCCTGGCCTTCCTTTCCCTTTTTAATTGGTAAAATAGGTATAATAATTCCAGCCTGATCAAAATACAAAATTTGTTGTGAGGGCTTTAATAAAAATACAGCATGTAAAAAATAGTTAAGTTTGAAGAGTTAAAAATTCAAATGTAAAATAATACTTTATTCATGAAATCCTTTGATACAAGTTACATATATAGGTTATTGATTAAATATCCAACACATACATTTTATGTAAAGAAATTACCAATTGATTTCTTTTTTTGATCGGCAGTTTAAGATATATTTAAGATTTATTGTTAATTAACACAGAGCAAAGTGCTGAGTGGGGGGTATGTAATGGCAAAGCAAGGTCTCAACCCTTGGACACATGGGAGAGGAAGAGTAATATGTTTATGATTATTACTTCTTATTATTACTTTTATTTATCATTTATTATTTATCATAGGTATATAGTGCCAGCAGTCAAATCCAAGGCCTCAGACTTGAAATACGCATGATCCTCCACTGAGCCATATTCCAAGCCCTTCATTTTTTCAGTATTTAGCAATACTTGACATTGATCTCAACCCTGTTTTGACCTAGTGTGTTGTTAGGCATAGTGAATCCTGTTATCAGGCATTTCAGTATTGCTTTTCCCACAGCCTCAAAGCCCTTGCTTGATCTTTGCTGTTGCTTGGCACAGTGCTAAGGTGCTAATCACCAACTTTGTGCAATACCCTTCTCCTGTCTCTGTCTCTGTCTGTCTGTCTGTCTGTCTCTCTTTCTCTCTCTCTCTCTCTCTCTCTCTCTCTCTCCCACCCCCCTGCTGTTTACGCCCAAGAGCAGAGAGCTGAGCTTCAGATTCATTGGCTGTTTTGAGGAATCACTAGGTTGGGTTTCTGAGGGGTGTATGGTCAGCTCAGGGAAGGAGGGGGAAGAGCAAAACAGGTCCTTCCTCTAGCCAGCAGAGCAGTTAGCGTGGCTGACTTGAGTACTGTTTTTTTTTTTTTTTTAATTTTTATTAGTGAGACATCATGAGGTACAGTTGTAGACTTACAAATTTTTGTGCTTCCCTAACGATCTTTGGGGAGAATGGACTCTCGCTAAAGAAAGCTTATGGAGGGGCTGTAGCGATAGTGCAGTGGTAGAGTGTTTGCCTTGCACTCAGCCAGCCCGGGTTCGATTCCCAGCAGCCCATATGGTCCCCTGAACACCACCAGGAGTAATTCCTGAGTGCAAAGCCAGGAGTAACCCCTGTGCACTACTGGGTGTGACACAAAAATCAAAAAAAATAAATACTACATATGGAGTGTAAGGCCACGGATGCCCCTTTGACTCTGGTCTTCATTGAGGCAGATGCATTTTCACAGAGGACATACCATCCCTTTCCCCCCAGGCTCTGCTTCTGGACTCCTGGGGTTCTAGAGCACATGGGTCCTAGAGGCACCCAGCCAGCATGTTGGGCAGACTGGCAGACCAGACTCCCCTGGTCACAGATCACAGAGGCCTCAGGGGAGACCTTGGGGCTCTCTGCATTGTACCTTTCTCCCAGGAGAACTGCGGCAAGTATGTAATGACTTGAAATAAAGAGGTTATAGGGTGAAATGAAGCTCCACTTCGCTCCATTGCCTTCTCCCCCAAAGTTACTGTCACAGTCTCCTTCCCTAGGGTTTTTCAGCTGCCTTTTTTTTTTTTTTTTTTTTTTGTTCTGCCCTTCTCTAGTTACCGAAGGCAGGTTTCTGCTCTTATAGGGTGTTGCCAGGTAATGGGCTCTCCTTGAACAGGTGAATGTGAGGTCAGGAGCAAGCGCACTCCTGGCTCAGTAGACTCTGCCCCCATTTCTGTCCCTATCTGCTGCTGCCGTGCCTTCCTTGTGGATTGTCTGAGGGGTTGACCCTGGACAAAAGTTCGAAGTTAGTAATAAAAAAGTTTTGCCCCCTGGAAGCCTGAGAAGGTTAGTGCACAACAGTAAATATTTTTCATGGTAGCATTGCTACAAGTTATGTCTTATGGGCACTGATTTTGCTGACCTATTTTTCATATTGTAATGCTTAAGAAGTGTGCTTGTCCAATATGGCCTGTAGCTCATTATGTTGCACAATAAGCTTTTCAGTGGTTTGTCAATGGGATAGCAAGAAATCCTTTTGGATATCATAAAGAAGCCTTTATTTGGGCTTCATCTGTATAACAACATTTGAATAATAAGAATTCCAAAGTTGAAGAAGGGATTTCAGTTTTAACTTATAAAGAGAAAGCTTCCCTAAATGAAGCTTCACATGGCTTCCAAGTTCCTTCCAACTCCAACCTGCTAAATACCAACCGGAAGTTAAGTTTGAGGATTTGGTGGTAGATTAAAGCTTTCACGCTCTTATTTGCATTTTACCCCCCTGTAGGAAGCAATAGCAATGTTAAACACTAAAAGTCTGATCAAGTATTTGAAAGCTGTTGAAGAGCTGAAAAATGATGTGACTGAAGAAGAGAAGAGGTCTTTGGAAGAGAAGAGTAGAGAACTATCCGCCAATTGGCAGGTAAGAACATACATCTGTATCTGGACCTGATGATGCTTATCGATTTTAATTTTGGGTCTATGTGTTTCAGCATCATCCCTGGCTGTCCCTATCTTCTCAGCATCACAGAGGAGCTGAGCCTTGGAGGTCATGGTGCCCAGGCCCAGAATCATCTTGTTTCGCTCTATGTTCATTCTGTGACCACACAGTTCAGACTTGAGGGGGTGAGGAAGGGGGAGGAAAGGGAGAGTTGACACATTTCATTTCCCTTCCTATCTTGATTAGTGCTTTCAGCACTGAATGCCACTGGCTGTGGTTCTGTGATTCCTGCTGCTGGTGGGACACCTCTTGTCTGGGCTCCTCAGAAGCTTCTTGTATCAGGCAGAGTGATCTGGATTTGCTTTATTGTCCCTTCTTGGGCTTCTTGCAATGACCAGGGGCTGCATTTATGGGTGTTCACAGGGTCCCAGGGATTGGGCCAGGATTGCTCTCAGTGCACATGTGCTGTGCTGGGATTGAACTTGATTGTTTGCTTTATTTTATTTTGGGGCAACAATCAGTGGTCCTCAGGGCTTATGACTGGCTCTGTGCTCAGGGATCATTCCTGCAGGGCTCAGGGGACCCTCTGGGGTGCTGGGGATTGAACCACCAGATTGACTCTATGCAAGGTAAGCGAACTACCCGCTTTATTATCTCCCCAGGCCCATTGGGATTGAGCTTTTGACCTCATACCTTACTGCTGAATTAGTCCTGTACCCTAAAAACTTAAAATTTGAGATTATTTTAGATTTATAGGATGAGCCCGGCAAGCTACCGAGAGTATCTCGCCTGCACGGCAAAGCCTGGCAAGCTACCCATGAGGTATTCGATATGCCAAACAAAGTCTCACAATGGAGACATTATTGGGCCCACTCAAGCAAATCGATAAACAATGGGAGGGCAGTGCTACAGTGCTATTTAAAAAAAAACACAACAGTACCTGGTGCCAGAGTGATAGTACAGCAGGCAAGGTGTTTGCCTTGTATGTGGACAACCTGGGTTCTACCCCTGGAGTACCATATGGTTCCCCAAGCACTCTCAATAGTAATTCCTGTGTACAGAGTCAGGAGTAACCCCTGAGCATCATCAGATATGTCCCCCAAACAAACAAAAAATAAAATAAAAAAATGTACAGAATTCTAGTACAGCCTGGCCTTAGTGGCTCTTATTATTAATAGTGCACCATTGTCATAATTAATAGTCTATTATCGTTAATAATGTACTATTCATAATAATAATATACAATAATAGAGTTTATACTTTAGATATAAAAAGTTTATGTTGTGTTTCCACAAAGTCCATTAGTTCTATTCCAGAATCCCATCCAATATACACATTACATTAAAATATTTTGTCTCCGTAGGCTCAGATATATGTTTTATATCTATGTCTCCCAGTTTGCACCTTGTCTTTTAATTTTCTTTAACAGTCTCTCACAGCAAAAGAACAAATTTATTGTTAGAAAGAAAAATTTAATGTGTCTGGTATATTTTAAAACATCCAAAGCCACAAGGATGAATTTCATTTAATTTCTATTTCTTTTTATTACTTATGGTTATTTTATTATGTTTGAATGAATACCTTTTTTAATATATTCTGTTCTCATAGTATGTGCCTTTGTTTTTCTCTGCAGTTTCTTAATCATGAAATGTCTCTGTATATTGAACAACTGAAAATAGACATTGAGAAAGGAAAAATTAATGACAGTATTTTAAAACTTGAGAAACAAATAAATAAAGAAAAGAAACTAATCCGCAGAGGAAGGACCAAGGGTCTCATCAAAGAACACGAGGTACTACTTAACTGTTGTCATTCGGGAAGTGTTATCCTAAACTGCTAATGTCTTTCCTTAGCCTGGAATGAAATTTGCTCTGACAATTACTGTAACCCTCAGATCCTCTAGAGATTAGCCGTGATGTGATTCAGTTCTAACTAGAGCTTGTGCTTTTTATATTATAGAAGTGAGAAAAATTCAGCATTTAAGTTAATAGCTTATGATTTGTCTTGCTATATCTCAGTGGCATCCGTCCTTGAGATGGTCACCATGACCCTGCTGTGAAGTTTCTACAACTGCTTTTGTGGGGACATTGTGTTCTCAAAGAAGCAGCTTTTGTAAAAGATCAGACTCAGAATCAAAATCCTCCAGGGCAAATCTCATGGTTATTTTTTGGTTTCCATTAAATTTGGGGGAGGGATGGGGTGGAGGAGGGCAGACCCATCAATGGTCAGGGGTTACTCCTGGCTCTGCACTCAAGAATTACTTCTGGCTGTGCTCAGAGTTCACACAGGATGCTGGAGATCAAATCTGGCTTGGCCACATGCAAGACAAGTGCCCTTCCCAGTGGCTTCCATCTTATCTAGTAGCTTCTGTGTGCTGGACAGGATTGGCCTCTCTTCATTTCTTTTAAACTCTCTGCTTCTCTCCAAATATCAGTCTCTCTTGCTTTCCCTTACTATCATTTTTATTAATTTTTTTTTGGAGGAGGGAAGCTTCTTTTTCGTGTCCATGAATTTTCCTTTTTCAATTGTGTTATCTTCATGTTTTCATTTGGGAGTCTTTATTCTTGATTGAGTTCCTGCTTCCTCTGGATGAATTTAGCTACCTGGGGCTTAACTTCTTTACTGATCTACACTTTCTTCTTTGTCTCCAACTGAGATACTGCTACCCCTTGCAAATGTCTTCTTTTCAGCTTAATTCAAGGATATCACCAGTGTGCTTCAGACCCCTCATCTTCAGTTTGCCCAAAACCAAACAGAGGTCTTTCAGAGTTTCTTTCCTCTTGTATATTCTGACCATAGAAGACATTGCTCTCCCCATAGAAGCTGCCTTTGCTTCCGGGCCCTTTCCTTCCCACCTGCCCTTACCGGAGTCAGATGCCTTTCTTATCTCTTACTCTCTAAACACATCTGCTGCTTTTCATTCCTTCCTAAGTTGTTCCACTTCCCTTGGCCTTGGATTTTTTTCCCAGTGTGAGGAAGGGGTCTGATCTTCCAGACCCCTTGTTAGACTGAACATTTTGAATTTTTCTCCTTTCTTAAAAAGCTACACAGGTCCATTAGAGTCTGACCCAGAATGTTCCAACAGTATCATTTCTCCTGTGTACGTTCATCCACACGAGATCATCTGTCCTTTCTGGTCATCTGGGGCATTGCCTGTTCTAGCTCTTTCTTTTCCTAAGAATGATCTTTTCTTGAAGAATTTGACCTCATTCTCACCACAGCTAGCTCAGATGGTCCCTTTCTTGAAGTAGGTTTTCGCTTACTCCTTAATTAAAGCACATAATTGCTCCATTATAACACATGTCACAGTACATGCTGATTATTATTTTCCAAATACAAGTAAATTATTGAACCAGGGAGATACTATAGAGTTTGTCAAGATATTTGTCTTACATGCGGCTGGCCCCTCTATGCATATGGTTCCCTGAGCTTTACCAGGAGTGATCCCTGAGCACAAAGGTAGAAGTAAGCCTTGAGCACTGTTGCATGTGACCCCCCCAAACCAAAACCCAAACAAGTTATTATTTTATTTGTTTATTTGGGGGCCACACCTGCCAATGCTCAGGGGTTACTCCTGGCTCTGCACTCAGAAATGCTTGGGGGACTAGCGGGGATGCTGGGAGTTGAACCCAGGTCAGACACAAACAAGGCAAATGCTCAACCTGCTGTACTATCTCTCTTACCCCTACCCCTATTATTTTATTTTTTAAATTAAAGTAATGGTTTACAAGTCAAGACAAAAGGCATATTTTGGGGGTGCAGTTTCATAACTCCTTCCAATATATGCCCCCCAGTCAGCCTTCTGACTATCCCCCTGTCAGCCCTCTCCTTCTGTTTTCTGCAGCCTTCGTTTTACGGTCAGACCGAGGGGTTTGTTTTCACTGGGCTTTGTGTATTTCCTTTCCGTGTTTCTTTATATGCCTCATATTGGTGAGTTTACTTCTGACTTATTCATTTAGCATGATTGTCTCTGCTTCCATATTGTCCCAAGTGGCAAGACTTTATTTTGTCTTATAATGGTATTCTGCCACATGTCTACCACATGTATAAGCCTCATTTACTTTGTCTTCAGTTGCGAGGCCCTTGGATAGTTTCTCTGCCTTTACAACTGTAAAGAGCACTGCAGTTTGGGCTCATTACTGTGTGACTGCTGGAGGGTTTCCCAGCACCCTCTCTGTCTCTGCATAGTCATTAGACAAAGACAGAATAACAGGAAAGAAGCCATGCAAATTTAATTCACACAAGAAAATTCTCTTGATCACTTGACTTCCCGTTAATCGTTGATTTGCTCGAGTGGGTGCCAGTAACGTCTCCATTTGTCCCTGTCGCGTGCTAGTGTAGCCCAATGGCGTGTGTTCGCTCTAGGAACATGAAGAGCCTCAAACCGATCGTTCATGATCTTGATGAAGAAGTCTGACCATCTGGTAGGTGGGCGGCCACGCGGTCTTTTGACATCCCGTGGAATCCAGTCGGTAACAGCTCTAGTCCAGTGGTCATATTTAAATCTCATTACGTGACCAGCCCATCTGATTTTTGACACCTTGGCAAACGATACAGCGTCCCTGTTCTTGATCATCGATGGAGGTCGGAACTCCAGATTCTTTCTCTCATTTGAGTGAAACATGATACTCCAAGCATAGCTCTTTCAGTTCCTCTTTGGGAGACCCGATTAGCATTCTCATCCTGTTTGAGTAGGGCTCAGGTCTCTGAGGTGTATGTTAATGCAGGTAGAACAGTGGAATCAAAGAGATGTGCCTGGAGCCCGAGGTTCTTCGTCCTCTTAGCTATTTCTTCGACGCTCTTGAAGGCGTTCCAAGCCGCTCTCTTCCTCCTGCGCAGCTTGGGTGCCAGGTCATTTGTCATGTTGACCTCTCGACCCAGGTACACATAGCTGTTGCATTCGGAGATGGTCGTTCCGTTGAAAGCGAATGGGGCATCAGGAACGAGACTGTTTCTCATAAACATTGTCTTCGTAAGATTCAGCTGGAGTCCTACCTTTCCACACTCACGGTCAAAGTCGGCCAGCATTTGTGCCGCTTGGCTGATGTTTGGTGTTATTAAAACAATGTCATCAGCAAAGCGGAGATGGTGTAGTTGCCAACCATCTATCTTCATTCCCATTCAAGAAAATTAAAAAAAAAAAAGGAACTAGAGGAGGAAACTGTGATACCTTTCGTATAACAAATTATAAATAAGAGCTAATAAATTTGTGAGGAACTAACAAGGTAAAAAGGTAAAAAGTAGCAAATGCAGAAGAAATGACTAGAGGGATAAAGTTAGTTTAGCCCAGTTTATCCGCAGTTTTTTTTTTCTTTGGCGCCCTCTCTGGGCCAACAATAGTTCATCTCTGACGAAAGGAGACTGTTTCCTTCCTGGAGGCAAAAAATGGAGGAACTTTCCCCCTACTTACTGCTACTTACTAAAAATTTATCTTTTGATGGAAGTAACACTAGTTTATCACGTAATGTAGATCACAGGCATGCAGCCCTTTAAATCCATGTCTGCCTATCTTAATTGCCTTCAGCTCAGAATAGCTTTGATGTCCAGTTTTGGGGTGGCAGTTTGCTTTCTTTTTTTACTAGCTTCCTCTAGGGCTCATTTCCTCATCTTTGTGCATCTGGGTGTGATGGCCATCTCCCTACCAGACACTCCTCAGAGTGCCTATAAAAAGCCTGTTTTGCCATAGCCTCACACGCCTACCTGTTCACTTCCAAATCCTCTGGGCTAACTGCTGACTCACTTAAAGCATGTTTCCTGCTCTGCTTCCTCACCTCAGGCCTGCTTCTCCCAGGAGGGCTCTCTGAACCAGCTTGAGCACCACATGGAAGTTCTGCGGGAGCTGTGTGATGAGCTGACTTCTCCCAAGAGCCAACAGGAAGTGAGGCGGGTGCTGAGAGACTTCGAGCAGAAGCTTGGAAGGCTCCGGAAGTGTGCTGCTGAGATCCAAGGGACGCTGCGACCCATACTGGGGGACACTTACAAAATCAAGTCAGTGTTTTGTATTCTGACCCTTCTAAATGTTAGGAGACAAACCCTATTGCAAAATCAAGTGTCATAGATCCAATTTCTTCTCTGTGGGGCTTCCTTTTTTTTTTCTTCATCTATTTTAATATGCAACTTTCATTTCTTCCTAGGGGGACCGCAGGCACATCTGAGAAAGAAGGAAAAAATGCCCACAGTGAGGTGCCAGCTGCAGAGTCAGATCCTCAGCCACAAACTGAAAAGGTGTTACATGCAGATAAGTTACATGAGCAGTGAACCCAAGGGAACAGGCCATGTGTGCACTAATCTACTTCTCATCCTTGGTTTTAATGATGTGATGGTATCAGCTGAAAATTTCTACTAAAATAATGCTTTTCCAAGAATTAGAATACAACCAACCAAAGCTACAGCAAATGTAGCTGCCACTTGCACTCAAGATGGAAATAATTCTTTGAAAAGGAGCTGTTTTTTGAACCAGTCTGAAAACAGTCTGGACACATTACAATAAAGGGCCCAGGAGATTGAGTCTCATCTGCATAGATGCCTCAGCTTCATTGAGAAGAGCGAGTTCATATATCATTTTCATTTGTGTTTTTCTTGTTTTAATATCTTTTACGTTCCTGAGAAATGGAATTTCTGGATACTTGTGTTATAGACAAGTGAGCACTAACTCGCTCTCAATGCCAGGATGGGCAGCCAGAGGTGTGGGGAAGAAGGCGGGTGGATTTATTTTCAGAGGTCTGCTTCCGTCCGCTTTTGACTGTAGATGCTTTGTAGTCCCAGACAGAACACTAGGGGCTTGGGATAGCTCCTTTACCACACGGACATTGCAAGAGGCGGGTGAGATTTAACCTAATAATCTCCTCTAAGGCCTTGGAAAGACATTTCTCTAAGTTGAAACTTCAAATGAATTGTATTATCTCTTGCTTTTAGGGTTTAGGAGTCAGGGTTATACTTTTATATAATAAAGTATTCATCTTTTCCAGATCATTAAGTATATTGAAGATAATTATATTTACTATTTTGCATTTTGGGTAGGCATTGGAATCTAATAAGGACTTTAGCCTGGAGTCAAACATTCCACAAGAAGAAGGCATTATGAAGGATGAAAAGGATCAAAATGCATTTATAAAGAGTTTACTAGAAAGGTAAACTTCTGTTTCTGTTTTTAGGCCACGTGCAATGGTGCTCCTGGCTTGCTCCTGGCTTGTCACTCAGAGATCATTCTGGGCAGGCTCTGGGGACCGTCTGGGGTGCTGGGGATTGAACCTGGTCCAACTGCCTGCCAAGCAGGCACCCTTCCCACTGTTCTGTCACTCCAACTCTAAAATACTGGTCTCTTTCTCTTTCCTTTTGGTTTTTAGAACAGATCTGACAGTGTTCAGGACTTACTCCTGGCTCTGCATTCTGGGATCACTCTTGTGGTGCTCTGGAAACCATATGTAGTGTTGGGGATCAAACCTGGGATAACCACATGCAAACACCCTGCCTGATGTACTGTTTCCAGCCTGTAGACAGGAAAACTTTTTTAAGCACTGGAAAAATATGATTTACGTATTTGAGCCAGTGAGGTAGTACAGGGTTAAGACTCTTATCTGCAAGTGGTTGACTCTGGTTTAATCCTTGATACCACATGTGGACCCCCAAGCACTTCTAGGAGTGAGTGACTTTGAAGCACAGAACCAGGAGCAGTCCCCTGAGTACTCCCAGGTATGATCCACCCTTCCTTCCTGCACTCCCACATAGAAAACAATCAGAAACTTGCACCAAAAGTCTTTTGTCAATGCGAACATGCTCTGTTTTTTGTTTTGTTGTTTGTTTTCCTTTTTGGCCATACTAGCAATTCTTAGGTCTTATTCTTGGTTCTGAGCTCAGGGTACACTCCTGATGGGGCTATATTTTCTTAGTATGTGGGTTGATCACTTTAACAGAAAAAAAATCCCTGGAATTCCCTTATGATATTAGAAATTAAATATAACATTTGGTCTTTCTTTAAAAATATTAGATAATATTGCATTAAATTTTACAGGTATGATATACACAGAGAAAGTCTCTCTCATCAACTTACAAGTAATGAATGCAGAGTTACTTCTGATTTCCTTTGTGGTAAGGAATGGAGTAGTAGTTTTCTCCAGGACAAACTCACTGACCTCCAGGTAATTTCTGAAAATAGTATTTTGATAGTTTCTTCTTTTGTTAGAAAATAAAAGGCATCATATTGGCTCACCATTTTTATTGACATGACACATACTAGGTATTTCCCCAAATTTTTTTTTGTTGAATTGCAATTTTAATGTCTCTTAATCCAAAACGTAAATTTGCCTTCAAGTTCCAAATGCAGGAGAGATTTCGATTCATGGTTCTCCTGTCACTTATGTTCTTCTTTGGTACTTTGAATCTTGTGGGCTTGAAGAGTTTTTGATTGCTTGGGATGGGGATGAAGGCTTCAGACAAGACGATGTGTTTATTATGTATCATGGGAAACTTTTTCTCAAAGTAGTTCTAATATTGTAAAGGTCTCTTTACCAGTTATTTCTGACACAAATGTTGTACACACTGTTAAGTCAATATTCATAATTATCCTCACCACTTTGGTCTTAAATGTTATAAAGTTAAAACCTAACAGCTGAGATTAAATTTAAACCCAATGCCAAAGTATCATGCAGACAGAAATGTCTAGAATTGACATACAAAGTGCATGTTATCTCCCTATTCATTGAATTATTCAGTGTTCAACCATAAGGGTCACCATCAAGACATTTGCCATTGATAAGGATACATAAGCAAACAATAATGCATTTTGGTTGTTTTGGTACATATATTCCTCACTCATTACTATCAGAAGGAATGTCTGTGATGGAGCACAGAATTGGTTTAAGAATTTTCATCAGTATCATGATTGCTACTGAGAACTATATTACACATGCCCTAAGTGTATACAACTCAGCGTGCAGTCACATTAGCTCCTTTATTATTATTATTATTATTTTTGCTTTATTTAAATACCATGACTTACAAAGTTGTTCAAAATACAATACAGTTGTTTCAGGTATTGAATATTCCAACCACGAATGTGCCCTTCCCTCTACCAATATCTCTAATTTCCCATCCACCCCAAGCCTACTCCCTTAGCAGGCACTAATTAATTTACTTTATATTGCTTATTGCAACATATATCTCATAACGGTACTGCAAAAGTCGTCGCCTAAGAATTTACTGAGCTGTTAGGTGTGAGTTGGAACCTTCTATGTTATTGTCTTTATCCATTGACCTTATTTGGATTCTACTTGATTTTTTTCGTGTAGTTTTCTTGTTTCTCCTGACCTCTCAGTTCTGTGAAGTTTGGACTCGTTGCCACATATGCAGCTGTATGCTTTGGGGGCTTTGGAGCTGGGACATCAGCTGCAGGTGTCTCTCTGACCTCTGAAGGTCCTGAAGCTGGGCCATCTCCCTGACAGGGGCAGGAGCTGGATGTGGATGAATGGACTGCTGGGTCTTTGGCAAGGCTGGAACTGTTTGCCCTGTTCCTGCCTAAGGTCCAGAGATTTTGGCCCAGTGGCGGAAGCGACCTGATCATTCTGGAATAACTCAGCTGCTGGTGTCTCTCTCATATCAACTGCTTTAAAAGAAGTTCTACCAATGTCCTAAAAACATTTCCTCACCCTCCCCCACTATTAAAAGTTGCACAAAGGTGTAAAGATATTACATACAGAAATCTTAGAAGATACCACAAGAAACAAAGCAAAAACCTTATTCTTGATAATAGAAAATATATTATTTGAGATCTCTCACTCCAGTTTTTTCTTATGTATTTCTTCACATTCTTGTCTCCACAATAAAATGCATTCTTTATTTTACTTCTTAAAATGTGGGCTGGAACAATAGCACAGCAGGTAGGGCGTTTGCCTTGCACACGACTGACCCGGGTTCGATTCCTCCATCCCTCTCAGAGAGCCCGGCAAGCTACCAAGAGCATCCTGGCCACACAGCAGGGCCTGGCAAGCTCCCCATGCTGTATTCAATATGCCAAAAACAGTAACAATAAGTCTCACAATGGAGACGTTACTGGTGCCTGCTCAAGCAAATCGATGAACAATGGAGGACAGTGAAACAGTGCTACTGATTAAAAAAAATAGGCCAATTATGTGTCTATTTGAAGGCCATTTAATCACTATTGTTTTCTTACTCTAACATTAACAATAAGCTATGCTCAGTATTCATTCCAGTCACTTATCATATTGAGCAAGTAGTTACATTATCTATCTGATATTGGGATTAAGGTCGGGGCAGGCAGTATAGGGTGTTTTCATGTCAAATGATGGATGATATTCTGCAGAGCCGTCTGTGGAAATTTTGCATTTTGCTCAGGAGCTACTGAAATAACCAGTCTTGTAGTGAGCTCTCTTGTAAACTCTACAGATTGTAAAGCTTACAATAAGTCTCACAATGGAGACGTTACTGGTGCATGCTCAAGCAAATCAATGAACAATAAAGGACAGTGAAACAGTGCTACTGATTAAAAAAATAGGCCAATTATGTGTCTATTTGAAGGCTATTTAATCACTATTGTTTTCTTACTCTAACATTAACAATAAGCTATGCTCAGTATTCATTCCAGTCACTTATCATATTGAGCTAGTAGTTACATTTGCCTTATTTTGAAGACAATCTTTGAATGATTTATGTAGGGTGACACTTTTACCTTATGCTTGGAAGTGAACCCCACACAAACCCACTGGGTGGAGAAAAGGGCTTTATCCTCCAATATTCTCCAATATTTCCCAGTTATCTTCTTTTACGATGTCAGTTCCTAAGTCATATTCTACCATCTGGCTCCTGTCTATTTCCCGTCTGAATAAGCAAAATTCCTTACATTAAAGGGTCTGTTGTTCAAATGATGGATTTAACATATTTTCATCACAATTAAGAAATTGTTTGAGACCATACTTCTGTGACTGAATAATGAGTTTGTTAGAAAAGCTACACTAATCCTCAGGGAAATGAGAGCAAATTAAACTGATGAGTACTCAGTAGGATTCTGTAGCAGTGCCTTTTTTTTTTTTTAAGTACCAGGATAAGAATCTGGAATAGTCTAGAATGTTAATGTTTAATTATGTCATAAATTAATTTCACATCTCATTTAGTAGAAGTGGTGCTGGTTCACCCCAGTTTTAGTTTATGAGAAACAATGATTTGTGATTTACAGGAAGGAGAATTATTTTTTTGACATCTCTTTCTGATTGTATTTTTTCTCTGCATCTAACTATGAAGAAGGAAGTCTGGATTCTTTCAAAGCCACAGTGTGGGTTCCCTTGTCTGCACTGAGTTATTATCATTGCCCCCTGAAAGATTATTTATAGATACTTGATCATATTTCTTAATGTATTTTCATGTGAAATTTTGTGTTCATGTCCCTAGTTGATCAGTGTCTGATTTTGATCGTGTTTATGCGTGTATGCATGCACACTCATTTTCTTTTTCCTTTTTCTTTTGTTTCCTTTTTGGTTTTTGAGCCATTCCTGGCTTTACTTAGGGCTTACACCTGATTCTGTGCTTAGGGATCACTCCTAGCATGGCTCAGGGATCTCTATATAGTACTGAGGATCGATCCTGGGTTGGCTGTGTGCAAGGCAAGCACCCTCTCTGCTGAAGTATCTTTCCAGCTTCGAGTGTCTCATGTTGAAAAAAACAGAATCATCACACCTATCAATCCATGAGCTGATCAATGAATTTTTGTGTTTAATTCAGATCTTAAAACATGAAACTGATGTTTGCTGGGAAGAGTTTGAAACCACTTCATTGAAGTTAGAAGAATTTGTGAGTGACGTAGACAAACAGTATTTCCTTAAAACAAGAGAAACATTAAAGGAAAAAGAAAATGAATTCCAGAATAATCTTATTTCCAGGTATAGTTCTGAAATTTATTCACCAATAACTTACTAATTTCTTAACTAGACTTGTACTGTGCTAAAATATATTATTGCATTTCATTGTTACAACCGTGAGACTAACTGCTGTTATGTTGACCTTTTACCTATGAGGAAACCAATAGTTGGGAAGGTTGTATTTTAAGCTGGACATACCTGTTGTCTGAGATTTTAGTGGGTCTTAAAGTCAGTGCTTTCCAAAGACTGCCACTTTCTTCCCATTTCTCCCCTTAGACATGAATTGGACCTTGTTGCATAATTTATCTAGACCTTGATCTCCTCATATCTAAATTGAGTGTGCTATTATGTGTCCGCACTGCATATTTCCATTTTATATAGGAGGAAACAGGGATCCCCAGTCTGTTATTTTAAGTATGTACGAGTCACACTTTTCAATTTATTATCTATCTTTGAACTCTTCTAATTTTGAACTCTAAATTTTATTGTAATTATACTAATAATTAATACGCTTCCTTTGTCATCAAAGCAAAGTTAAATTATGTTTAGTATTTTGTTCAGAAGATAAGTATGTTTTATAATAATTTTCCTTGAAGGGTGCTGCCTATTAAACTGTTAAGTGTACTTGGATACAGCCATGAATTCAATTTTTGACATTTTGGATTGCTGGGTTTGGATTTAAATGCAGTGATCGGTACACACCATAATATGCATTCTTTTGGGAGACCTCCCAACCAGTGCTCAGGAAGCTTGGGGGCCACTTGACCAACTGGGTCAGATACTTCTTGGTGCTGGAGGCCCAGGATGACACCTGATGAGGTATAATTAGTTATACCTGGTGGTGTTGGAGATCACCAGGGCTATACCTCGTGTTGTTTGGGGTACCAGGTCTTGGGGTCCTAATGCATACTAGACACGTGCCTTAGACCACTGAGCTATCCTCTCACCTAACTCCCTATGAATTCTTATTAGATGACCATTTTCTCTTCTAGAAAGCATCACGACATTAATATATTTTGTAGGCTGCCTTTCTGCTATGTGTTTCCCTTGTGTCTCATTATTTTTCACCCAGATTGGAGTCTTTGAAGACTGTGCAACATATTATATTACCTCTAGAGGAGGAATATTTCCTTATTTGTGACTCAGACCTGCTCCTCCAAGAAGTGGGCATTCAAGAATTCCAACTCACTAATGCTGATGGCCTTTATCAAAACCTGAGGGTAAATATAAGTTCCTGCATGTTATCTATAAAATAATTTTTCAGATATTTATGGATTTTACACCAATCATTTATATTTAAAACATAAGTGGTGATAGAAAAATCTTTAATAATGCAGACTTTTTTGTATCTCAACTCTTTAATTCTTTGCAAATTTAGAAGTAGGAATCTGGGTTAAAGAGCAAAGTATTTTCTTGATTGTAGGCTTGCTTTATGAATGGGTTCTGCAAAGCTGAAGACTTTATTTATTTATTTATTTTGGTTTTTGGGTCACACCCGACTATGCACAAGGGTTACTCCTGGCTTTGCACTCAGAAATTACCCTTGGCGGTGCTCTGGGGGAATGCTGGGAATCGAACCCGGGTCGGCCGTGTGCAAGGCAAATACCCTACCCGCTGTGCTATCACTTCAGCCCCAAAGCTGAAGACTTTAATACATACTAAATCCATATGCTCAAATAGCATTTCTTCAATTTACTTATTTGATATCTCATTTTAATAAAAGTATTGGTTTTAGTTTTTAGATTACAAAATTTCAGATGTCTTCGTGAGTCAGTCTCTATTTTCATTGAGTGGTAGATTTATAGGCTTGGTTTTGAAACATCAGGAGTATCAGATAATGAAACAGTTGGATTATCTGATTATTTGTAATTAAAATATTTCCTTCTGTTGAATCTGTCTGCCTTGGTTAAACTGAGAAGCAGTTTTTTAGATCAGATCTGATTATATAATTTGAGGCTAGTTTCTCATTCAGTTTGTCTTTTTCCAGCCTCAGTGTTTTTCAGCTTTTCCCCCCTTTATTTTAGTCTATCCAAGATTCCATAGCAAAACAGATGGAAATATGTAAGCATTTGCAACAGTCAGACAACTTGACATTAAAGAAATTACACCCACTAGATCTACAGGCAACACAGAATATTATAGAGAAACACAGAACCCAGCTTGAAGAATTGAACCTCAAAGTACAGATGAGTGAAGATGCCCTCAAAGCCCTTGAAGAACTTTTGGCTTCTTTGAGAACAGCGGAAAGCTCTGTTGAGCTTGGTGCAGTCTCAGTTAACCAAGAGGTACCAGAAAGTACTTTGCTAGTAGGAAATGAGAAAGGAAAAAATCATGAAAAAGACAAAGCCAAGAATTTGGACAAATGTCTAAATATGCTTGAGATCAACTTAAAAAATGTTGACTTGGATAAAAAAACCTCCTGTGAAGAACTTCTTGATCTTGTGTCCAGAAAGTTATCAAAGCCCTGTGACAATTGTACACCAAAGGAACTCAGTGATAAAGACAAATTACTAGAGACTTGTATTTTCACAAGCAATGAACTCCTGAAAAATATCCACGATGTGCACTCTCAGATCAGTAAAATTGGTCTAAAAGACCCTACTGTTCCTGCTGTGAAACAGAGGTAGGTCTCACTCTGGTTCCCATCAGTTTCCATGCCAGACGATGCTCTCCTGTACTTCCGAATAGCTATGAGATGAAGTAAATGCATCGTCTGTCTTTCCGCTTCTGTTTAATTCCCTGGTGTTTCATGTTCAGCATTCTTTTCTGTAGACTTCAAAGACGCTTCCTTTTTTCTGTCTGCCTTTATGCATTGTTGCATATTTCTTTGAACTTGTCATTGCCATAGAGAAAAGGAGTAATGAAATATGTAAAGTAGATGAACTGCTTCTAGTCCTTTTGCTGTAGTGTATTGATGATGATTTTTCTTAATGTGGGAAGACCTAGGAAATGCAGTTATAATGAAGCAATAGGTGTCAGGGGGGAAGGTACACATGGCCCATCTTGTCCCTGCTTCTTCCTTCATGAGTTGGTCTCTTCTCTCAGTGGGCTACAACAGCACTAAGAAGTCACGGGGCATGGGAGTGCATTGAAGAGGTAAGCTAAACTTAGCATTCCTATAGACTGAGTAGAATTGGGGTAAACTAAGGCAGCAGTCTTCTTCATGCATGCTGCTTTTCTATTTTTTCTTCATGATTTTTGGGGGCCACACTTCACTACTCTTGGACTTGTTCTCAGGAGTGTTAGGTCGGGAGTGGGGAAAACAATGCAGTGCCAGGGTTGAATGTGGACCTCCCCCAGGCAAAACATGTATTCCTTTGAGCCATCTCTCTGGCATGATATGACTAGTTTATTTTGGGATATTTGGTGGGGGGGGGGGGGGGGGCGGTTGAGAGGGTCATCCCTGGCTGTGCTGAAGGGACTATAAGCTATGCTGGAGATTAAACCAGAGTCTGCCTCATGCAAGGAAAGTGATCTAGCTCTTGTACTTTCTCTTGGACCCCCAAGAGCTGATATTTTAATGCTACCAATTAGTTTCCCAGGCCTGCAAATGCAAATGTCAGCCAGAGTCAGTACTGTTGAGCTTCCCCACTTCCTCCTGCTTTCTCTTTCCTCCTTTAGTTGCTCAGGTATAAGGTTCTTTCAAGGTTCTTTGCTGAGCAAGCTCTTTTCTCTGACATTTCCTTTCGCTCTCATCAATGGATGCTGATAAATACAGGGCCTAAGTTCTTAATGAGATGCTAAACTAATTACTAATTTATTACAAATTTTGGTGTTAATAGATTTTTACATGGGCTTATAAATAAGAAATACAAGGACTTTAAATAAAAGACTATTAAGAAATAATAAGTTGGTTTAATTTTTACTTTTATTATTAATACAACAAATAAGTATTAGATGCTAGGCACTGTTTTAGGTACTAGAAATATAGCAGTTAACAAAATGCTTAAATTCTTTTCCCCCTGCAGAACTGCCTTTCTAGAGCAGGATGGAAAACATTGGTCCATAGGCCTTAGAAGGCCTGAGAAACCAGGGTCCTGACCCAATCACGTGACAAGACAGACATGCATGCTTCTTGTCAGCTGCCTAAAGCCTGTCAGCCTGTGTTGTATGGACCACAAATGAAGTTATAAAAATAGGAGTAAAATACTCTACATGTTTGATGGTGTCAAACACTGAGAAAAATTAGGCAAGGAAAAGGGTGAGGGTTACAGATCAAATGAAGTTATCAGGACAGCTCTGCTGAGGAAGCAGCTTTGGGTAAAATGGGGAGACAGCTAGACAAATAACTCCCTAAAGGAAGGGCCTTCCAAGCTGAGGAAGCAGTTGGTACAAAGGCCTGGCGTGGGAGTGGGAGTGCTGTGTTTGGGGAGGGGCGGCGGCTGAGAATGTCAACATGAGGGGCAGAGTGTGAAAAGAAGTCTGAAGTCATGAGTATCATGGACTTAGCTTGTGGACCCTGTGACAGTTTTAAAGCTTTTCTGTGAGGGACTTGGAATGTCATCAGAGATCTCTGAGCAAAAGGAAATGATTTCGTTTCCATCATAACAGGTTCTCTATGATGTGTTGAAAATAAACTGTAAGAATCAAGGAAAGTCTGGGTAGCCCATTTTGACCTCATAACAGTCATGCAGGGAAGGCATAATGGTGCCATAGACTAGCGCTTAGGGGTAAAGGGTTAATGTTCTACATGTATTTTGAAGAGAGAGTCTCCCACAGTTGTTGACACATTAGTCACAGGGTGTAGAAGAAACACTGGCTTCAGGAATGATTCCAAGGTTTTCCTGAGTTACTAGAAGAATTCATTACCATAAACTGAAATGAGAGAGACTGAAATTTGTCAGGTGTGGAAGGAAAGGTCGGGTATGGTCTATTTAACTTTTTAATTTTGATTTTGGACTATACCTGGCAGTGCTTTCCTAACTCTGTGCTTAGGGATCACTCCTGGTAGTGCTTTGGGGGCCATATATGGTGCCAGGTGTGAACCTGGGTTGGCCTCAGCAAGGCAGTTGCTTTACTCATTGTACTATCTCTCCGTCCCCAGGTGTGGTCTGTTTTAGAAATAAATGACTTATTTGACAGGCTGGAGTGATAACACAGCGGTAGGGCGTTTGCCTTGCACGCAGCCAGCATGGCCGACCCGAGTTCGATTCCTCCACCCCTCTCGGAGAGCCCGGCAAGCTACCGAGAGTATCTCACCCGCATGGCAGAGCCTGGCAAGCTACCCGTGATGTATTCGATATGCCAAACACAGTGTCAATAAAGTCTCCAATGGAGACGTTACTGGGCCCGCTCGAGCAAAATGATGAACAACGGGAGGACAGTGACAGTGACATGCAAATAGGAATAAGATTTTTAAAAGCAGCCTCAGGTAACAGGATTAAAGTCAGGGTTACAAGTCTACTTTCCAGAGTCACTGACATTTCAGAATGGTACTTAAAGCCATAAGATGGATAGGATGGTCCAAAGTGTGCATTTGGGTAGGCAAGGGAAGAGGCCCATGTTGTATACTGCGGAAAAGTCTGAACAGCACAAGAGATGAAGAGGTACCAATCAAATATACTGAGAAGTGATGATTATAGTAGGAGGAAAATCAGGGAAGTCCAGGGGGTCAAGGGAAAAGATTCAGGTGAGAAGGAAGGCATCAGCTATGGCATGTGCTGCTGGCTACCGCATGAGAACAAGCACTGAGAATAGAATATTGGTTTAGCAACATGGAGGGTATAGAATTCTGATCACAGTTATAGAGGGCAGTTGGAAGTGAAAACATTATGGGAGTGGACTCCAGAGAGAACTAAATGGAAGATGAACAGATCTAGTCAGTATATGATAAAAAGCAATCTAGACCTCAATGAATGGGATCAATCCTGCTAGGATTAGAGTTAAAATCTTTATTTCATGTGACTTCTTTTTGAAATGAGAAAGCTAATAAACAGGGTAAAGTGAAGTTTTCCTTCCTCCTTGGCCCATTTCTATTCCCATATACACACTCTTCCTCTCTATTTTCTCTCATATGCATGGATATACACCCTTTACAAGTATGTCACTGCTTGTGGTACTGTATATTTTATTTTGAAAACTATATTAGGATTATGGCAATGCAAAGAATCTTCTGAGCTCTATGATAGAAATGTGTGTCTGTGGCATAAATCATGTGAGGACAAATTAAAATTAGTGCACTCCCTGAATTTTCCATATTTGTGTCAACTGAAATTGGCTATCAAACTTTTTTTCTTTCATAATAAAGGAAAAAAATATTAATGAGACTGGATAAGGATCTAGATGAATATGAAAATGAGAAGAAATACTTGGAAGAATTGGCAGATTCTCTTCTACAATTCAAAGGTGCCAAAGAACAAACTCTGAGCGAACAGTGCCGAAATACAGCCCTCTTGTGGGAGAATACAAAAGCTTCCATCACTGACTGGTAAGACAAAAGAATGTTTCCCAACGTGGAAAATCGTCCATAGCACCAAGGAGCTTTGTGAAATTTGTGAAACACATTCTCTAGGGTGGGGGAGAAGGGTGTGTGTGTGTGGGGGGGGGGGGAACAAATGAATTTCACACTGAAAGCTTACTGTCTGTGCAAGACCCAGTATCATAGACCACAGAGAGTAAAGTAAAGAAGTTATTTTGGAGAATAAACCAAATACAACAGGACATTAGTTATCATCAGTCAAATACAATAGAACATTATTATAGTAGCAGTAATAGAAAGCTAATACAGATTAGCTTTACTGTATTAGTACCGTATTACTGTATCAGTAATAAAAAGCTAATATAGATTAGCTTTCTATCACTGTACTAGCTTTCTGTTACTGCTACTGTAACAATACCAGAAATTCAATGGCTTAAAGACAACACAGGGACTGGAGCAATAGTACAGCAGGTAGAGTGTTTGCCTTGCACACGGTCGACCCAGGTTCAATTCCTAGCATCCCATATGGTCCCCTGAGCACTGCCAGGAGTAATTCCTGAGTGCGAAGTCAGGAGTAACCCTTGTGCGTCGCCAGGTGTGACCCCCCCCCCCAAAAAAAAAGACAACACAATTTATCTTACAGTCTGTAGGTGAAAAATTCTCACATCTCCTTTTCAGAGACCTCAGGAGAGATATTGTTTCCTTTCTCCCATTTTCGTTCCCTGGAGGAATCCTGCTACATACTTTGACTTGTATATCTTTTCATATTTAGAAAAATGTATATAGCTTAGGCAGCTTGGTTACAATATTATGAACATATTTAGTTATGATGTACAAAGTTACTGCCAAAGAGGATCACCACCACTGTGCCCATGATCCTCCTCATCTTTTAAAATATATAGACATTTTAAGCTACATATTAATGATGGTATTGACATTCATGGCTTTGGTGTATAGAGTTAACCTCACATTACCATCATTGAAGTGCCCATGGCTCTCCACCAATGCCTGGTGTTGCTTCCAGTCCTCCTCCTCATTACCCCACCTCCGCCCCCCACCCCCTTGCAACCTGTTGTTCTCAGTTCTGAAATTCAGTTCATAGCACTGTCCTCCCATTGTTTATCAATTTGCTTGAGTGGGCACCAGTAACATCTCCATTGTGAGACTTGTTACTGTTTTGGGCATATCAAATATTCCACGGGGAGCTTCCCAGGCTCTGCCATGTGGGCAGGATAGTCTCAGTAGCTTGCCGGGCTCTCCAAGAGGGACGGAGGAGTTGAACCTGGGTCGGCCGCATGCAAGGCAAACACCCTAACTGCTGTGTTATCGCTCCAGCCCTGAAATTCAGTGCCTGGGTTTATTATTCATTGATAATATCTATACCCTTGTTTTGTTTCTCTATATATCATAGATGAACGAAATCATCAGGAACTTTTCCTTCTTCATATGGCTTATTATTTTGCTTAGCATGATACGTCTTTGTATGGATGGATGAATGCATGCATGCATGCATTTATTCGTTCCTCTTCCTTTCCTTTTTATTGCAATAACCAGGGATTCTCATACACTTTGTCACAGTGCTCCCACACGTACTTATTAGGCGTCACGTACTTGGTTGCTGTACTCACAAACACTTGGTTGTGGTGCCCTGGAGATCTTGACCTGGTTATTTCAAAGAGCAGTGCTATTGGGATTGCACTATAGCCTGTGAGGCAGTGCCAGGGATCAAATTCATGTTCTTGTGTGGCCCCCAAATAAAACAAAGCAAACCAGATAGTGATTTTTGCTGAAGAGTCTCCAGGCCTGTCACCTTCCTTTCCTCTGCGAGCCACCCCTGCCGCCACCTCCCATCGTTCAAGCCACCGTTAAGCTACTGTAGCATCTTCAGAGCTCTGTGTCTCTCACCCCTACTTCTGTTGTCACATCTTCCAACTCTGACCCTTGAAATTAGATTGTGCCCACTTGGATAGTCTAGGACAACCTCCCCATCTTGAAACCTTTAACTTAATCATATCTGCAAAGTCCCATTTGCTTCGTGAGGTTACATATTCACGGATCTAGAGTTCCGGACATGGTGAAAGCACATGTCCTTTGAGTGTGCATTACGTTACCATAGCACCTTACTTAAAACTCACAGGTGTTGCCTGTGAGTTTCCTTCTTTTCTACAGAGACTTAGAAAGGCTCAAAAATTCAAAGCACATGGCTGCAGCCTTTTTCTTACCCGTTCCAAAGAGAGCAGATCTAAAGAGAGGGTCTAAAGAGAGCAGATCAGGCAATTGCCTTGCACTTGGCTGACCTGGGTTTAATCCCCAACACTTCATAGGAGCCCCCAAGCACTGCCAGGAGTGATCCCTGAGTCCAGAGCCAGGAGCCAGGATTAAGCCTTGAGCACAGCCAGGTGTGGCCCCCAAATAAAACGAAGCAAACCAGATAGTGATTTTGCTGAAGAGTCTCCAGGCCTGTCACCTTCCTGTCCTCCACCTAAGGAAATAGTTGAGAGGGCCAAGTTCCCAGATCGTACCAACCAGGCCAACGCTACAGCTGGATTATGATGGACGAGGCCTAGTAGATTAGATGCAAGACAAACGGGAGTGGGGCTGAAGCACAGTGGGTAGGGCGTTTGCCTTGCACATGGCTGACCCGGGTTCGATTCCCAGCATCCCATATGGTCCCCCAAGCACCGCCAGGAGTAATTCCTGAGTGCAGAGCCAGGAGTAACCCCTGAGCATTGCCGGATGTGGCCCAAAAAAACCAAACAACAACAAAGACAAACGGGAGCTTAAGGTGGGCATCACCACCCCTCCTCCCCTCCAGCCTGCCACTCCAGCAGTGCCTCCTTCTTGGCACAGGCCACTTTCCCCTTTTCCCTTCATTGTTGTTGCAGTTTGTTCCTGGGGTACCAGCTCTTTGGCAGTTTTCCTTGTTAGTGGTGGTGCAGTGCCAGAGGATCACAGCTGGCGTGATGCCAGGGGTCATGTCTGCCGGTGCTGGGGATCACCTTTTTTTGTTTTGCTTTTTGGGTCACACCTGGCAATGCACAGGGCTTACTCCTGGCTCTGCACTCAGGAGTTACTCCTGGCAGTGCTCAGGGGACCATATGGGATGCTGGGAATCGAACCCGGGTTGGCTGCGTGCAAGGCAAACGCCCTACCCACTGTGCTATCTCTCCAGCCTGCTGGGGATCACTCTTGGTGAGGTGCCCCAGAGTCTCACCCCTGGGAGCCCTTCTGCTGGGCACATCTCCCACCCTGATGTTTCCTTAGCTCTGATTCCTGCCACTGGTCCTTTCAGCACAGATTTCCGTGACTTCTGCTTCCTCCCTGACTCTGTGCCTGCAGATGTCATCTTTCCTTTAGATTCCTAGAGGAAAGAATCAAGGGCCCAAGAAGCAGTCAGTTATCTAGGGTGACAATGCTCATGCCTGGCCATTATGCGAACCCAAGTGTCCTAACTGCTTTACTTTTTCTAAAGGGCATAATCTAGAATGAGTTGAGTAGACACCCTCTATCCCTCCCCCCCACCCCCATAATAGCCTGTGACTTGTTCCATTAACATAAAAACCATCTCCAAGAATAATGCTTGGGTGGCTTTTGTGTCTAAGTTGTCTTTGGTGATGATGACAATGAGACACTGATTCTAAAAGGCTTGGAATCCTGCACTTCTTTCCACAGCTTATTCCATGCAGCTTCATACAGACCTGGTGAAAAATAGCAATCTGTGGTTATTTAGTCCATCTGTGTACCAGATAAAATTCTGGCTATTTTTCTTAGGATAAAATGGTAAAACTATGATGAAACCACGTCAAGGAAAATTTCTGCTATAACTTTTCATTCGTTATGGTAGAGACTCACAGAGAGAAAAAAATATCTTGCTATTTCCAGACATAAAGTGGCTATCCATATTTATGTATTATACATATGTATTTATGTATATTAAATATATACATATTTAACATAGCTACTTGTTTTTCTTTTCATAGCCTCGATCATTGTGAAAGTGTTTTGGAGCTATTAAGACAATACCACAACTACAAAAGTGTCTTGACATCTTTGATTCAAAGAGAAGAAAGTGTCATGTCCCTTCAGTCTTCTTACATGAGCAAGGAGAACCTGAGGAAAAGGATAGCAGAGGTGAGTCTGAGTGGGTTTTGAAGGTGATTGTTGGGGCCCAGGCCCTGCTCCCTGGGTCAGGCTGTAGCGGTATTGCACTGACCTGGCCCCTCACTTGAAAGGAACCTCGGGATTCATTACAGATTGAAGAGCATGAAAAGAGCAGGAAAACCCTCCTCTGTTGGGAGTGGACTGAGGGGATACACAAGCTTTCATTCAGGAAAGTGCTTGTCTGTGTTCAGTCCCATGAATCTCTTCATCATCTAAGAAGCAAAATAATTTTGAACACTAGATGTCATTATTCTCTAAAATTTTATGTGGTTCTCAATGAGAGTGGCAAAGGAGTGCAGTAATCAGGGGTCACTCCTGGTAGTGCTCAGGGGTCCATATGCAGGATTGAATCGGGGTTGGCCATGTACAAAGCAGTGCCTTACTCCTGTATCTCTCTCTTTCTCTCTCTCTCTGTCTCTCTGTCTCTCTCTGTCTCTGTCTCTCTCTGTCTCTCTGTCTCTGTCTCTGTCTCTGTCTCTCTCTCTCTCTCTCTCTCTCTCTCTCAATACTGAAACTTTCAGTACAGTTCTGTTTTCCTTCTGATTTGTCATCAGAATTCGTTGGCAGTGCATTAATAATGATGATGGTAATGTAGGATTTTTCTAGTGCATGCTTCAAAACTTCCAGTTCTCTATCTATTATAACTTCCAAAGGCACTTCCACAATTTTTAGATGTTTGTTATAGCAGCACCCTACTTCTCGGTACCAATTTCTGTTAAGTCTGTTCAGCCTCCTGTTTAAAAAAAAAAAAAGGTCATAGGTTGGATAGTTTACCAGTAGCAGAAATTTGTTTCTCGTGTTTCTAGAAATTGGGAAAACAATATTCCTCTGCTTTCCCAACTGAGCTATCTAAGGGATGAAAGTGGGAGAGCTAAAATCAGGGTCCCCACAGTTTTGGTGTCCAGTAAGGACTCACTTCCTAGATCAGAGCTGATTGTCTTTTCTCTGTGTCTGTAGACACTGTAGCAGCCACAGCCACTCTCTGTGCTCTGTTGTAAGGGCATTAATTCTGATCATAACAGCTCAGCCCTCTGACCTCCAAAGACTTCCCCTCCCACTACCACCATATTAAGAATGAGGACAAGGCTTCTTGTAATTTCTTTTTGAATAGCATAAAAATAATGTTTCTTGCCACAATATACTTCAATTTTGGTTTTGGGTGTCACACCCAGTGGTACTCAGTGATTGCTGCTCTTGACTCAGTGCTCAGGTATTATTTCTAGAGGATATACTCAGGGGATAGACCTTGGTACTTTTCTAAACAAAGCCTGAGCTCAGCCCTTTGAGCTATACTCTAGCCCCACAGTGTCACCTTTGACTTTTAATAAATTATTTCTACATATAATACGATGTTATATATGAACATTTATTGGTAATGTAGTTCATTGAAACATGTCTCATAAATGGGAAGCTATAAGATTTCAATATTTAAAATAATGCCATAAAATATAGAAAACTTTTTATAAAGTTTTGTAATAATATGGAGAAAATGCATAGAAATTAGCAAGACAAATTAGTGACACAAATACTGAGATTCTAATGAATTTGTGAAAGGGTCCACACCCAACAATGCTCTGGCTCTGTGCTCAGAGGCCATGCGTCATGGTACTTGGAGGATTATTTGTGGTGTTGGGGTTGAATCAGGGTCACAGCAGGAGCCATGTACTAGGAAAGAGCCTTGACCTTCATAGTATCTCTCCCATCCTTTCAAGGGATATTTTGTACATAGACAATTGTTAAAAACATGACTGTCTATCATTAGTCTTGTAAGGATCAAAGAGAACTCAAACTATATATATGTATATGTGAATACATATGTGTGTATATATACATATATACTATGTGTGTATATATACATATATACATGTATATATTCTCATATGTATATATACAGTCACACATTTACTTTTTTTCTTTGGTTTGGGGCCACACCCAGCAATGCTAAGCTCACTCTATTGAGAATTCTGTATCTGAAAGGGTATCTAACACGTTTGCCAAAGGTTATTTTGTTTGGAAGAAGTAGATATTTTAGTACATTAGTAGTGTTTATCTTCTTAGATATTTTTAAAACTGAAGAAAGCAAATTCTAGTATTGCTTATTAACATTCAGTTGATTCTGTGATGACTTTGTCCTTTCTTTATAATCCATCCATTTTCTCCTTTTCCAGTTTTTGGGCTACACCCAGCAGTGCTCAGTGGTCACTCTCAGCTTTGCACTCAGGAATTATATGGGATACTGGGGACTCAAACACTAGTCAGTCTCTTGCAAGGCAAGCACCCTGCCTGCTGTAGTAACCCTCTGGCTCTAACCCATCCATTTCCACAACATCTATTGTCATGACACTATTCCAGTGGCTGAAAGAAGATCCCACTGAGAATTTTGAACCTTTCAACACTTCAAAATCTGTATGTTTATCTAGTGAATGGTGCCAAAACTCTACTCTCTTTAATGTAAGAGAGACATGTGAAAGTAAAACTAGACAACTAGACTGTCAAGGGACCATTAAGGCTTGGAAATGTCAGGGTGGACCCAAGTTCCTTTATTTTGCTACTTTCACTCATAAAACCAAACTCACAGTTCTTGTAAATGTGCTATCTTCTCTTCTGCTCTTTCTTTTTTATTCACCCATAGTAACTTGTGTCAGTGGAGCAACAAAGTTCTTTGCACTTAAAAAAGAAAATAGGACATACATGACATGCTTAGTGACATTTTTTTCTATGAGTTAAAGAAAAGTTTAGTATACTCTCATGCAGAGTCCTGAAATCTGAGGAAAAACACTTGTTTTTTTTTGTTTTTTTTTGTTTTTATCTTAGCTCTGTTAGTGTATCCATCAGCATCCATTCAGGAAACAGAACAGTTTCCCTCCCCACAAAAAAAAAATAGCTTTTTAATTCAAATTTTACTTTCTGTTTTTTAATTAAATCTTTTAGTTTTACATAATTTATAAATTAACATGCATGCACTTTTAAGAAATAATACAGAAAACTCTGTATACATTTTATTAAATTTTCCCATTGGTAAAATCACGTAAAATTATAGAACAATATTATAGTTAAGATACTGATATCAATACAGCCGAGATGAAAAAAAGCATTTCATTCACTACATGGACCCCTCTGTTTTTGTTGTTGCTTTTTGATTTTTTGTTTTGGGGTCACCCCCAGCAGTGCTCAGGGCTTATTCCTGGCTTTGTACTCAGGAATCACTTCTGGTGGGCTCGGGGACCACATGTGTGAGTTTCAAAGGAAGCGTGTGGGTACACGTGGGACTCGAGTGTTCAGTGACTGAGAGCTATCTCCCCAGTCCAGACTATGGTGATGGACGGTCGAAGGTCCGGGGCTGGCCGGTTGTCAATTTATTCCTTCCCAGCATAGTCTAATCTCTCCCCTTACAGCACAATCATAGTCATAGTTTTGGTCATAGTCCCAGTCATCATAGTTCCATCATCCTAGTCTCCTAGTAGACCTCAAAGTCCTCTCAGAGTCTTACTCTTCTAGTCATTGTCTAGACCTTTCTCTTCCCCTCTTTCCCCATATAGCATAGTTATATAGAAACCATGAAGGGTAGGGGTACACATAGGTGGGGTTGAACATTATGATAACAAACAGATGTAAAGCCACTCCTTCAGGGGAAGTTCTAGGAGATTAACTCAAGGACAAAATTTTATCTGAGGGTTCAGCACTCCAGATTACTAGAAGATCTGCTCAAGGGCAGGATTCCATCTAAGGTGTATTGCTTTATCCTTTCCTCAGCTAGTAATCCATTTAAATAATCATAGTAAATTTACTTCTTATAATATTTCTAGTCATTTTATATGAACACAGTAAGAGATATATTAAGCTTAAAGGTTGACTCTTCCTGGGGACTCCTAGCTACATATTCTAGATCACAGTCCTCAGTCCAGGTTAGTCTTTTATAACCCCAGCAGGGTCCTTATTCAGTTACTTCTTTTTAGGTCATGACATAGTTTTTCCCGTGACCATGCTCTTAACTTATACTTACGGCGATTAGCTTGTCCCCTTTCAATGCCAGGGTAGTTTACAGCTTTCCTTGGGTCCATCTAGTCCCTTCATTGGGACCCTCCTTTTGGGGGTGTTAGGAAGTAAAGGTAACTGAGGCTTCAGTCAAGTAAATATGATGGATTCCCAGGAATAACTGTCATTTCTAGTCAATTAACTCCCATGTTACAAAGCATAGCATCAATTCTCTCCCTGTGACTATACAAAGAGGACATTGCTAAACCATGCAGGTGACATAAAGGAAAGAGAAAAGCAATATAGGATTATCAGTTCCTGATGGAATTAGGTGTACCTCAAGGGCACTGTTGTGGGAGTAGCTCAGAAACCTAAGCTCCCTATGGGAAGAGCAAGGACAACCCAGTGTTATCCAACACACATGGGTGCCAATGATTAAACCAGGATTAGCTGCGGTCAAGGCAAGCGCCTTACCCACTGTACTATCATTCTGATCCCCAAGGATCCGCCTTTTGTAACATTTTATAGTCCTACCCTCTTCTGTCACTCTTCCCTTATAATCACAAATCTATTTTCCTTTCTATAATTTTGTCATTTTGGAAATATTATAGAAGTTAGTGCTGGAACAATAGTTTTGTGCTTGCCTTTCACATAGCCAACGCGGGTTTGATCCTTGGTACCCCACGTGTTCCTTTGGCCCTGCCAGGAGTGATCCCTAAGCACAGAACCAGGAGTAAAACCTGGTTTACACACAGGGTACAAATGCAGCTGCCACATACCTCCCCCCAAATAAGAGAAAGAAATCATTCAGATTCTTGCTTTTAAGTGATACCCTTTTTTGCTCAGTTGTATCCCATGAAGTGGAAGTACTGTAGTTTGTTTAAAGATCCGCCCACAGTTTTGTTGTTTGGATGGGGCAATTTTGAATAATAAGCTGCTTTAGACATTCACATATTAAGGGGAGGGTTTGGTGTGATCATGTTTTCATTTCTTAGAGTTAAATGCTCAAGACGGCCAAATTGCTTTCCAGAGTGACTACATTTTCACATTACCACCAGCAGTGTATGAAGATGCTGTGTTTCTACAGTCTTGTCAGCATTAAATGTTGTCACTATGTTTTATTTTAGTTATTATAAGTGCATAGTAATACCACACTATGATTTTAATTTTATTTCCATAATTGCTAATGATGCTGATCATTTACTCTTATGTTTTTTTGATATCGCTATGTCATCTTTGGTGATGTATCTCTTTGTATTTTTTTTTCTTTTTGGGTCACACCCGGCAATGCACAGGGGTTACTCCTGGCTTTGCACTCAGGAGTTACTCCTGGCGGTGCTCGGGGGACCATATGGGATGCTGGGAATCAAACCCGGGTCAGCCGCATGCAAGGCTAATGCCCTACCTGCTGTACTATCTCTCCAGCCCTGTATTGTTTTTCTACTTAGATTGTTTGATTTTTTTTCCTCTTCTACCATTGGGTTTTAGGAATTCTTTATATATTATAGATACTAGTCATTCATGAAATATGTCATGAGCAAATATTCTTTATCAAAGTATAACTTATCTTTTCATATCCTTACCAGTATCTTGGAGAGAAAATATTTTGAATTTTAAAGATTGTTTTTTTCTTTGGGGGGATGGGGGGATGGTACACCAGCAGTATTTGGGAAACCATGTGGTTCTGCAAATTAAACTGGAATCAGGTGCATGGAAAGCAAATGCTTTAACCATTTCACTATCTTTGGAGCTTTACCAATGTTTTCTTTTCATAGATTGTGCTTTAGATGTCAAAATATAAGAAATATGCCTAGTACAAGCTGAAGATTTTTTCCTGTTTTTATGATTTGTTGTGGTCAATATTTTTAAGTTTGTCATCCACTTGGAGTTAATTTTTTTGTTTGTTTGTTTTTTGCTTTTTGGGTCACACCCAGCAATGCACAGGGGTTACTCTTGGCTCTGCGCTCAGGAATTACCCCTGGCGGTGCTCAGGGGACCATATGGGATTCTGGGAATTGAACCCGGGTTGGCCGCATGCAAGGCAAATGCCCTACCCGCTGTGCTATTGCTCCAGCCCCTGGAATTAATTTTTGAATAAGATGTTGACTTGGGCTTGTGTTTTTGTCTGTCCAGGGACTCCAGCATTTCTCTTTTCTACCTACATGCTTTTGTATCTTTAACCAAAATCAGTTGGACATATATGACGCTATTTCTGGACTCATTAATTTTTCCTGTTGGCCTTTGTGTCTGTTCCCCTGCCAATTTCCCCATAATCTTTATTACTTGTCCCTAAGTGATAGTTTTGTTTGGTTTTATTCTTTATGACAAATCACTGTTTCATATTTTGTATAATCATCTGAAGTGCCCATGTAAAATTACCAATTGAATGAAATATTATGATTTTTATTATTCACTGCTCAAATTTTACTTCAGAGTTTAATTCATTGACCTTCTGATGAAATAGTGTTTCACTTTCCCTGTTAGCAATGATGTTGGAGTTAGAGCCAGGAAAGACTAAACTGGAAGTCATAATAAAGATTTTTAAAAATTTTGTTTTGTTCAGATGAGCATTGAAGTTCTAGGAACATGACAAAAATGTTCCTAGAAGATCTGGGCACTTGTTTTTAAAAATCTCATTGGGTGTAAGCTATTTTTATTGGTAAAATATTATTCCAGGAGCCAGAAAGATAGCTCCATAGCCTGAAGTACATATGTGACAGACGTGGAACCTGGCCATGCCATCACATGGACCTCTGAGCTCCTTCATGCTGCTGGGTGTGGGTGGCCCCCAAATCAAAATAAAACAGAATTATTATTTAATATGAACAAGAACTATCATTTTAGATCATAATTCATCTAAGGAGTGGGGAGAAAATTGGACATAGGACTACTGTTAAATCTCCTGGTATGGATTCTGAATACTTTCCACAGAATACAATGGAACTGTAAGGGTCAATGATAAAATTGCAGTTCTTACAAAACTTGGACATGTGACATGGGCAAATATAGGAATCCTATGTTTTATATATATTTTTTGCAGATTGAAATTGTCAAAGAAGAATTTAATGAACATGTAGACATTGTAGATAAGATTAACCAGATCTGCAAAAATCTTCAGTTTCATCTAAATAAAATGAGAACATTTGAAGACCCTCCTTTTGAGAAAGAAGCTAATGTTATTGTAGATAGATGGCTTGATGTAAGTGATAATTGACTATAAATTTTATTTTATAATAAAGTTGATTTTATTGTATATTTTCTGCTAGCATTTTAATCTAACTACAAAATTCAAAAGTGTTGGTTGTAAAATTGTTCAAATAATATAAATTTTGTGACTTAGGAATTACCTTCACTCCCATAGTTAGCACTAGTAGCAGGTTAAATACCTCAACTGTGCATTTAAAAATAAGTTTTTTATTTAATAGCAATATTTTTATGAAGTACTTATTTAAATTTGTTGATAATTTATTCAGTTGTTTTTAAAAACAATTTTAAAGATTATATGTGACAGAAAAATCACAAGCTTGGCAGCAAAAATGAAAAAACAATAGTTGAGTTATACATCTAATTATGGGGTTTTGAAAGAACCTACATTTGTTGTGATTTAGAAATCAGGAAGACAGTTGCTTTCAATTGCATATAAGCTGCAGTAAATCTAAATTTTTTTATGGTAGAAGAAAAAAATTGCACTATGTAACATTTTTATTGCTGAATAAAGTAAAACATCAAGCAAGTAAAGGTAAACTAACATTTTGTAAACCATGTATGGTGCCTGCAGATGGCCTGGATGCCCCTCCTGGCAGGCAGTTCTCAGCAACCAGTTCAATGCCCTGGCCAGGCGATGCCATGATGCCCCAGCACAGCTGTGCTCAGGGGACCTCTCCAGTTCCTGTATTATCTTCATCCTGTCAGCTAACGTTTTATCTCAAAACAGTGTTTAACTGAGCGAGGATTTTTTTCTCTAATCAATACTATTCTTTATCTGAACGAAATTAAAATCTTTTTCTTTCTTTCCTTTTTTAAAAAGCAAGACAGTTTTTATTGAGTAAAATGAAACTGATTTCGAAAGATAAAAGGGAAAAGAAAGAGAGGCATCAATTTCTCCAGGGTGAAAAAAACTAATAGAACCATAGTTCTAAACCACGTTGAATTTTACGTATTTTTCATAATAAGTATTAACCAAACTGTTTTCTTCAGATCTTGTGTACATATACATTTTAGTTATTCAATATTTATTTGAACAACTATATTCGAATATTATATTTGAATTTAAACATTTTAGAAATTTAATAATTGAATCAAAGAAAATAATTGAATCAATAAGTTTTTTATTTAATAGCAATATTTTTATGAAGTACTCATTAAAATTCAATTATTTTCATTATAGTGTTCTAGAAAATGTTAGCAGATATTACTTACCTGCAGTTAACATACATACAAAGGGTTTGTGAATAAAATTCCATTACATGGGAAAAATTGTTTTGATAAATGTCTAAAATATATTATTTCAATAAGAATTTAGTCAACAAAGGAGGTGAGCATTATATGTGACTCTGTTATTAAGAAAATCAGTGTTAAATCAAATGTTAAGATTAACATTTGTTGTTTTCTTTTTACCCTTTATTGATTAATCATTAATTGAAATATTATAAAATTTCACAGATACCTTTCTTTTTCTTAATTATGATAGGTAAATGAGAAGATTGAAAACTACTGTGAAAATCTTAGTCAAGCTCTAGGCTTATGGGAAAAAGTTTTTAACTTAAAAAGTCTCATCGATGAGTGGACTGACAGTGCCTTCCAAAAGTTAAGTCCTTCAGAATTACCTCAACTAACTGAAGAGGAAAAAGAAAAACTGATGGTAATTTAGCAGAGATAAATATGCTCTCTTTTTGGGACTGGAGTGATCACACAGCGGGTAGGGCGTTTTCCTTGCACACGGCCGATCGGGGTTCGATTCCCAGCATCGCATATGGTCTCCCAAGCACCTCCAGGACTAATTTCTGAGTGAAGAGTCAGGAGTAACCCCTGTACATCACCGGGTGTGACCCCCCCAAAAAATACGCCCTCTTTTTATATTCAGTTGTCATTTTAACAATGAGTTTGCTTTTATGAAATGGTAGAGATAAAATAAAGAAATCTCTTATTTATTTCATTATCTCCTGAGAGAGACTTAAATTCTGTTTTTTCTTTATAGTGTTATAGAAAATGTTAGCAGATATTACTTACCTGCAGTTAACATACATACAAAGGGTTTGCGAATAAAATTTCATTACATGGAAAAATTGCTTTGATAAATGTCTAAAATATAATATTTCAATAAGAATTTAGTCAACAAAGTAGGTGAGCATTATATGTGACTCTGTTATTAAGAAAATCAAATATTGGGCTGGAGCAACAGCACAGCAGGTCGAGCGTTTGCCTTGCATGTGGCTGACCCGGGTTTAATTCCCAGCATCCCATATAGTCCCCTGAGCACCGCTAGGAGTAATTCCTGAGTGCAGAGCCAGGAGTAACCCCTGTGCATTGCTGGGCGTGACCCAAAAAGCAAAAAGGAAGAAAAAAGAAAATCAAATATTATGACTGGATACTACAGCGGATGCTACAGTATAGTGAGTAATATAGTGAATACTACAATGGATGCCACAGTACAGCGATAAATGTAGTGGATACTACATGGATGCTACCGTACAGTGGGTAATATAGTGGATACTACAGTGGGTACTACAGTACAGTAATATAGTGGATACTACAGTGGGTGCTATGGTACAGTGGGTATTGCAGTGAGTAGCACTCACCTTTCATTCAGCCAACCCTGGGTTCAGTCCACAGCACCCTATATGGCCCCCTGACCCCCAGGAGTGATCCCTGAGCATAGAACCAGAATAATCCCTGAACACAGCTGTGAGTGGTCCAGACTTCCCCACCACCAATTATTTTTTTAGTGAAGCAAGATAGGTTGGTTTGTTGTTGTTGTTGTTGTTGTTGTTGTTGTTGTTGTGTGTGTCTGTGTGTGTGTCTGTGTGTGTGTGTGGGCAGGTCACATCCAGTGATGCTCAGGGGTTACTCCTGGCTCTGCACTCAGGAATTACTCCTGGCAGTACTTGGGGGACGATATGGGATGCCTGGTGATAGAATTCAGGTTGTCTGCACGCAAGGCAAACACCCTACCTGCCAGCCTGTGGGCCAGATGCTGCTTATAGAGAGTCTGGCTTCTGCTGAGTGTATGTTTGAGGTGGGGTTTGGCACAGTGTCTGTGGACATACATATGTCTCTATGTAGCCCCCTCATCTCCTTGTGCCACAAGCCTGGACTTCTCTGCTGTGGTCTAGCTAGGAATGCTTCATTTTGTTGTAATGTATCTCTGACCCCAGGAGGCACTTAAGTGTGTAAGTCCCAAGATTCTGCCCCCAAAAAAGCAAGCCATTAGGGGGAAGCAATCTCTCAGTTTTTGTACAATAGCAATAGTGACCATGGGTACGAGGAAATACTGTAAAGCTTAATAGGATGTTTCCCATTAAAATTATGTGTTTTAGGAAGAATTAAAGGTCTATGAACAAAAGTCTTCTGAAGTTTCTAAAAGAGTGTCCAAAATACAGTGTCTGCTTCAAAGCAACGAAATACCTCTGGAATTACAGGTAAGAGAATTTTTGTTGAAAAGTCATAAAGATTCTCCACATCTTCTCTTAAGTGATACTCATAATCAGAACTCTACCTGCTAATTGGAAATAAAGTAAGGAGTATTATTCAATTCACCTTTTCCTGATTTCTATTTAAAGTTCTACAAAGAATTTTAGTACTTGGTGTGGTTTGTTCTGTTTGTCCAACTTTTAGAATGAATCCTATTGGTTGCATTCTTTTATTCTCCTTTCACTTATTTAATAAGTATCTTATGATTTAAATCATTCTAAGTTGTCAGGTGGGAAAATAAGAATTATTACCCCCAAATGTGGTTTTGTGTGTGGAGAGATTTATTGCAGTCTTATTGGGTGAAAGTTCCTGGTGGCTCTGATAGGAGCTAGAAGTGAAATAACTGGTCCTGCCACCTCTGTGATGTTAATATTCCTGAGCCTCTGTTTTGTACATAAATATTTATCATAGTGCTGTGTAGATCCTAAACACTCCAGTGCTGAATATTTAACTTTTCGGGATTGCTTACACATTGTTCAAATGGTGCTATTAAATCACCTTATTTGATAGACTAGGCATAATTTGTTGTAGTGGAAAGAATTCAGATTAGTGTTTTAGAAAGAAATCAGAATTGCAAGTTCAGTTTTTCACGTTCTCTTTTTCTTTCAAGACATTATTCTAGTTGTTGTATCAGTGATAAAGAACAGTGAAGAAGTGGGAATCAGAAGATTTCATTTCCGTCTTTCTTTTTTCCTTCTTCCCTTCCTCCCCTCTTTCTTTCTTTCTTTCTTTCTTTCTTCCTTTCTTTCTTTCTTTCTTTCTTTCTTTCTTTTCTTTCCTTTTGCTATCTCTCCCTTTCTTTCTCTATCTCTCCCCTCCCTCCCTCCCTCCCTCCCTCCCTCCCTCTCTCTCTCTCCCTTCCTTCCTTTCTTTCTTTCTTTCTTTCTTTCTTTCTTTCTTTCTTTCTTTCTTCCAATGAACTTTATTTACCTTGTTCACAATACCTAAAAAAAAAGCCTCTTTATTTTATTCACTCTTCAGTGGTCCAGAAAAAGCATTCTAGGAAAAAGACTGTGCTGTCTTCAGAGAACTGGAGCAGAAGGGAACCTGATGACACTTTTAAAGAATGTATTTCTTATTGTAATGACACAGAGTCAACATTTTTTTTTTTTAGCAATGCACTTATCCTAAAAGTCTAGTAAAATAAAGTCAATAACAATCCCTCATATTTTCCATGGTTTCAGGTCATGCAGTCTTCAATTTTGAAGAACTTAGGTTGTGTGAAAATGAGTTTGACAGGAGACAACTACGATGCCCTCAGTGGCAGCACGACTGAGCTCCAGGAGGATCTTGACCAAGCCAAGACCCAGATGGGAATGACGGAGTCTCTCCTGAAAGCCCTGTCTCCTTCCGACAGCTTGGAGATCTTTACTAAACTAGAGGTACCTCTCAGCAGCTTCTCTTCTCAACTTCAGATTTATTTTCACACTCATTTTTATGACCTTGGCCTCTTGAAGTTAATAAATAATCATTATATCCTTTAAAAAAACTAGGCTGAAAATTCAAAAAAACAGATTTAGATTTAGCAGTTTTACCTTTATTGGCTTTGTAGCTCACAGCTTTGTGGGCTGTGGTATTTGGCATTTGGCATTCTTTTGCATTGCATCATAAATTTGCTGGCTCAGAGAAAATGAATTCTGTGAGCAGAAAATTCTCTGGATAGTTATGGAAACAATTGAGAGTTGATATATGTTATGTTACTTGTTAATCTGTTTAGGAAATACAGCAGCAAATTCTACAGCAAAAGCACAGTATGATATTACTTGAGAATCAAATCGGTTGTCTGACTCCTGAACTTTCCGAGTTGAAAAAGCAATACGAAAGTGTCAGTGATTTATTTAATACCAAAAAAAGTGTTTTGCAAGATCACTTTTCTAAGTTACTGAATGGTGAGTATCGTGTTCATCTTCCTGTTTCTGGAATATTGGAAAACATGAATAAGTACAGTGAACATAAAGGCTAATTCAGGGGCCGGGATGATAGCTCAGAGGACTGGAGCACATGCTTTGCATGCAACAGCCTTCAGTTCAGTCCCTGGGACTTCATCCCAGTCTCCCCAGCAGCACTAGGAGTGAGTCTCAAGACTGAGCTGGGAGTGGCCCCCAAGTACTGCTAGTGAGCCAAACCCACGAAAGACTAATTCATCTAAATTTCACTTAGAAATGGTTGCACTAATTTGATTTAAGACAATAATATTCAGGTAAACCGTTGGGGGGAGGGGGGTGGTTGGGAGCATGCACTGGTCTATGCCTGACATAAATAGCATTGATGTTTTGCAATCCCAGTTGTTTTTGTGAAGGACGGTTACTCGGGTTCTTGTGTTTGATCTAGGATCTGTGTGCCTGGAACAGTCTGCCCTACAAGGTTTTGTGGGTGCTGGGTACTTGGAAAGGAGGTTTACATCTTAACCACTTTACATATGCTATGCTGATGCCTTAGGAAATAAGTTTCAAAATCTCTCACTTTAGCAGGGTGTACCAAGTCTTCCTTGAATGAGCATGGCTATTTGTTGTTGTTATTCCCTATAGATCAGTGCAAAAACTTTAATGACTGGTTCAGCAACATTAAAATGAGCCTTGAGGAGTGTTTTGAGTCATCAGAAACAAAAAAGTCTCTGGAACAAAAGCGACAGAAACTTTCCGTAAGAAATAAATTTATTTTGAAAATTATCAAAACTAAAATACTTGAGGTACAGATTTGTATTTAAGTAGATAGACTTTGGCTTACTAATTTCCCTACACAAACATAATATCTCAGGGGTTGGAGCAATAGTACAGTGGGTAGGGCAGTTGCCTTGCATGCAGCTGATTTGGGTTTGATCCCCAGCATCCCGTATGGTCCCCCAAACCCCACCAGGAATGATCCCTGAGTGAAGAGCCAGGAAAAGTCCTGAGCACCATTGAGTGTGATCCGACCCTCATCCTCCAAATAATAATATTCCAGATAACCTGCTTTCCCCACAAATACTTTAAAACTCTTTCTATAGTAGGTAAGGGTGCAAGTGACTTAAGTGGTTTTTGCATCTGTTCTAAGATGCTTTATAACTCAGTGTCTGCTGGAGACTATAATTTTGTTAAAACAATATTTTAATTTTTAAAATTACATACTTTTAAAGTATGTACTTATCTTGATTTTTTTGAAATAGTCCTCTTGCCTTTCAAGTCTTTTCTTCACATATTTATTTTAAAAAATTGGTTTTGTGGGGGCCTGGGATATAGCTCAGCAGTAGAGTATCTACTTTGCATGTATGAAATACTGGGTTTGATTCTAGCTATACCCTCTCTTCCATTCCCACAAATTGCTTTTTAAATTGGATATATCACTGGTTAGAGTCTTGTGGAGGGTAAGTTGGAATAAAAGGCAAAGTGCCAAGAAGAAATTTGAAATGTATGCCTTACCTTTTTTTTAAATCTTGATCACTTTAGAGTTGATTGTCTAGCATTTTAGTTTTGATGATAAGCTATACTCTCAAGTTTATAGATGGTAAGAAATCAAATTAAATAAATGCATAAATAAATTGTTTAACACATTGCTTTGATGCCATTCTTTATTGATAAATTCACCTTTTTTTTTTTTTAGTTTTAAGTCCTAACCTTTTTTCCCTTTAACTTTGCCCATTGCATGGGCCCCAGTAATTGATGCTCAAACTTGAAACATAAACATTAAGATAAAATTCTGATTTGGGGCCTGCAGAGCTAGTACAGGAGATAAGGCACTTGCCTTGCATGCAGCTGACCCCAGTTCAATCCCTGGCACTATATATGGTTCCCTGAGTACTTCTAAGAGTTATTGTGAAGTGCAGAGCCAGGAATAGTCCCTGGGCAACACTGGGTATGGCTCAATACCTAGTCCTCACCTCAATAACATAAAACAATAAAATTCTAATTTGGTCTAAGTTAGGAAATAGTCAGCTTCTACTTATGCATTGATTACTAGAAAGGAATAAGTAACTAGAAGTTGATAAGATCTAGGCTGGGAATATATAATATTCCTGGTCTAACTCCCACTGACTCTCCTGCTGGTAATACATTATTTTGCTTCCTGCAGTCCCTAGAAAGGCAGGTTCAAATGCAAATACACACTATAGAGCTACTATAAATCATCTTTTGACCCCTTTATCTTTGGAGTTAGCCATATCTCCAAACCCTTTCTTTGGTGTAGGATGTTCAGAAGGTGGCATGTCTTTCTACTGTCTTGGGAAAGTGTTGTGTGGGTGGCAGAGACCACATTTAAATTTGTCAAGAGGATATATTTGATATACTTTTGTCTTTCTTAAGGATTTCTTGACTCTTGAAGGAAAAGACAGTAAAATACAACAGGTTGCAACTGTACTGAATCATGTGAAGAAGCTTTTGCCCAAAGCTCATGTTAAAGAACTAAACAGTTGGATTGTAAACCAAGAAATTGAATTAGGAAAAATGGATTCTGTTTGCCAGGTGCGAGCAAAGGAACTTGATGACTGCTTGCAACAGTTACTGAGGTAGGAAATAAAGGTGGCTAACTAATGTGTTTTCAGACAGTGTCTTTATATGGACTCTATATTAAGATAGCGAGCACGAACAGATTTCACAAATGAAATAGGTACTTTCAAATCCACTCCTGGCTTTGACTGTTGGAAGGTTCAGGGCATAAGTTAAATGTTTAGTGCTTATTTCCCTTTATTATATATAGTGTTAAATATATATGTATATTTCATTACTGGATTTCTGGATAATACCAGGTAATAATATCCACTCCTGGTTTTGACTGTTGGAAGGTTCAAGGCAGAAGTTAAATGTTTAGTGCTTGTTTCCCTTTCTTTATTATATAAATAGTGTGAAATATATATATTTCATTGCTGGATTTCTGGATTATACCAGGTAACTTTATTCAGATTCTACTGTTACTAATTAAATTTTCTCTAAAGAATACCAAAAATATCTAGTAAATATTTGGTTTCCTTGCAGATTCATTCTAACCATCTCTTTAGAGAGAAGTTCCTTTGCTCATTTTATATTCTTAGATGTGTAATATTCTTTCAGACTCCAGGATGATCACAGAGATATGAGTCAGTGGTTAACAAATCAAGAAGAGAAATGGAAAGAAATGCAAGAATCTGGAATGAAAACTGACCTCTTTTACCAAGCAATAGCTAGAAAGAGGTATAGCTCGTCTTATATAAAATGTATTGAGTGGGATATGGCTTTTTCATCGTGTCATGGCCTCTTATAAACTTTCAATGATTCTTGACATTTACAGAGAACTATTTGAATCTATGGCCCAACTGAACAACTCTTTGAGGGAATGTGGACTTACTGAAGAAGAAGAATTACTAATGGAATCAACACAGTTGATTGATAGGTACCAGGCATTACTGACACAATTTTGTGAATCCGAGGAAGAGGTTAAGTTGCCTTCTGCTCACGATCAGAACTTGAGTGATCTTGCACATGATGTAATTCAGTGGATAACAGAGATTAAAGAGGCGCTGATGGTCTTGAATTCATCTGAAGGCAAAATGCCACTTGAGGAAAGAATCCAAAAGATAAAGGTATTACTATAGAAAATAAATTTTAGAGGTTAGAGTGAACTCTGATTTTGAAAAGATTTAGAGGATAAAGCACACAGATGTGCTTCTTAATGGAAACACTTAACATTGAAAAAATTCAGATGTCTGAGTTTACAAGGACAGTGATGGATCTAAAAAAAATTTAATGCATATGGAAAAGAGAAAATACTTCCAGTAGGGCAGTGCCCCATTATTGTCTATCTTCACTAAGTAAAGAATTGAAATAAAATAAATCTGAACTGAGACTAGTGGAATTTTTTTTAGGGTATAAAAAAATGTAGGGCCCATGAGATAGTACAGTGGGTAAGGCACCTGCCTTGCACACAGCTGCATCAGATTTAGTCACTGACACCACATATAGTCCCCCCAAGACCTGCCAGGAATATCCCTGAGCACTACCATGTGTGACCCCAAAACAAAACCAAAATTAAACAAATGTCAGTAACGTAGAGACTTTAGCAATGTCCAGGGTAAGACAGAAGAGAAATTCTGCTTCAGAGTATATAGTTCATAGAGGTTATTGGATGTTGGGTAGTTTATGTGACTTTTAAGTTATTAGATAAATAAATGAATTGTCTAGTGCATAAAAATTATTAGATAGTGGAATATGGAGGACAAGGAGGCCTCAAGTTTCCTTGATTTCTAAAAGAGCTAAGGGGAGAGTCACTAAATATTGCAGGTTGAAAAAACAGGGAGCTTAAGAACAAGGCAAAAACAGGGAACTTATGTATACTTAAGAAGAACTTTGGCAAATTGAAATCTTAAGAATTGGAACATTGTTAGAGAAATAAATGGTCAACCTGAAGGGTTTGGGATTGAAGCCAAAGGTTTTCCAAAGAGGGTGACTCTGGAATGTTTTCCAGAAGGGATGAGCTTGATTCTTGGGAGCATGAGAAGGAAAGCAATTAACTATATTGTATTGCCGAAGATATTGCCATCCATAGGATGTTGGCGGAGTTAAAACCGACTATTTTAGTATATTACCTATATAACTCTACATAATGGAGGGGATAGGAAATAGGAATTTCCAGCCCTTTGGAGGCATATAATTTGTTTGAAGGTAGTTGAAAATCAAGAAGGGAACAGAAATGCAATCAGATAAACCTGACAGATATTTGTTGAGATAATGTCTAGTATAATGTGAGGGAGTTAACATTGTCTTTAGGGCATAGATTTGATTACAGGGTAATTTGGAAATATCCTCTGTGTTCCCAGTGTCATACTTATAAGTAAGATAATATGCCCTATGGAATATTCTGAAGTACTGTGAATAAGATAGAACATCCTTTCCATCGAATTTAGGAAATCATCTTACTGAAACCTGAAGGGGATGCGAAGATCCAGGCCATCATGAGTCAGGCTGAGGAGAGCACGGTTCCCTCAGTTCCTAAGGCCCTCGCTGAGATCCAGGACCAGTGGGACAGCACTGTCCATTTAGCCAACACATATCTGAGGTAAAGGCCTTCCTTCCCCATATTCATGGAAGGAATGTAGAAAGGAAGGATAGGAAGGAAGGATGTAGAAAGTATGTTTTTTGTTAACTCTCTTGATTTGGGGAAAATGTCTGTTGGAACAGAAGTCAGTAATGTCAGGGACATCCATACTGTCAGAGACAAAACTGAAGAAGAATAGTTCTTTGGCTCTGATGTGAAGTATTTAGTTCTAATTCTGGATTCTGGGGCTGTGTTCACTTTGGTTGGTACATCAACCTAGGGTTCTTGGTGACAACATTGCCTCTCATGTTGTGTTCAGTACCCCCATTTCCCACCAAAACCCCTTCCCCCAGACTATCTCATCATCTAAATAGTGTGACTTTAGATAATTCCTACTTTTAAATGTCTGAATACAATGGACATGATACTGGTGAAAATTCTTAATTCATATCACAGCTTAAATGATGTTGTTTGGAGAAAATGTGCAAGTTTCATTTTTTCTAAAATCAGTCAGAACTAAATTTAAGCTACAGATCGACTAGTTATATGACCATATACTGAGTATCTATTTTATATAAAAAAGAAAAACATAAGATAATGTAATTACATTACATTTTATATCATATATGTATTATATTACATAATAAAAGCTGCTTAGAGTGGTTTGAAATCTAAATTATTAAGTAGTCGCAGGTCAGATGATGTTACAGCAATAATTTTAGTAATACTAATTTCTCTTGATTTCTGAGTTAACACTAGTGCTAAAAATGTTAGAAATAAAGTATATTTGTATTATTTCAATGCTTTTCATTGTAATATACATTGCATTATAATATATGAAAGACCATTCCATTTTGCAAGTGTCATTTTATTTGTAAATTATTTGATGTTAAATTTAGCCATCAAGAAAAACTTCTGTTAGAAGGTGAAAAGTATTTGCAAAGTAAGGAGGATCTGAGATTAATGCTCACTGAACTGAAAAAGAAGCAGGAAGCAGGGTTTGCTCTGCAGCATGGTCTGCCGGAGAAGAAAGCTCAACTCAAAATCTATAAGAAATTCCTCAAGAAAGCCCAAGATTTGACATCCTTGCTAAAGGAATTAAAATCTCAAGGAAATTACCTCTTAGAGTGCACAAAAAATCCCAACTTCAGTGAGGAGCCTTGGTTGGAAATCAAACACCTACATGAAAGTCTTCTTCAACAACTGCAGGTAAAATCATCAAAACAAATTTTTATGTTACTGTTATAGTCATAATTATGGAAGATTTGTGTACAGAAAATTTTTATGTCATTTTAGTAATCCAAACCTTTATAAATATTCTTAGTTTTTGGCTTTTGGGTAATGCCCTATGGTACTTAGGGTATTCCTGAGTTGGTACTTGAGGGTCAGTCCTGGTGGTGCCAGTATTGAACCCTGACCTCTGGCTTGCAAAGCATACATTCAGCCGACCCTCTATATACATTCGCTGACCCTCTATTATTCTTAGATAAAAATTCTTACTCTTCTTCTTTGGACCATAGCTGTAGTTTAGTAGAGCACTTGCCTTGCACGTGCTGACCTGGGTTTGATCTCTGACACCCCATGTGGTTCCCAGAGACCTGTCAGGAGTGATCCCTCAGAACCCCGTCAGGAGTAAGCCCTGAGCACCACTGGGTGTGTCTCCCCCAAAATGAGAAAAACCAACTGTTCTGGGGATGATAGAGGTATAGAGGCTAAGGCACTTTTCTTTGCACATGGTGGATCCCATTTTAATCTTCAGCACCACAAATGTTTACCAGGTGTGACCCTGAGTAAAGAATCAGAGTAAGCCCTGGGCAATGCAGGGTGTGGTTCATCTTCTCCCCTTACCCCCCCTCCCCCAAATAAATAAATAAATAAATAAATAAAGTACTAACTCTTCAGACTGGAATCAATCCAATCTGTTGGTTTTTTTGAGTCGATGTTTTCTAAGAGTTACCAATTGGATAGCACTGCACTGTACCACTGTCCTCCCGTTGTTCATCGATTTTGCTCGTGTGGGCCCAGTAACATTGTGAGGCTTGTTACTGTGTTTGGCATATCAAATACGTCACGGGTAGCTTGCCAGGCTTTGCCGTGCGGGTGAGATAATCTCAGTAGCTTGCCGGGCTCTCCAAGAGGGGCAGAGGAATCGAACTCCGGTTGGCCATGTTGGCTGTGTGCAAGGCCTTGCCCGCTGTGCTATCACTCTAGCCCCACCAGTTGGATATTACTTGATAATGATGTTATTCTGTTATTCCTCTTGTTGAAGTTTCTATCTTCAGGAGTATGGGGGGTTAAGATTTTGTGGGCATTTCTATACAGGCTCACCTTATAGCCATCTACATATCCCTTTATCCCTCAGTTAGTTATCCATCCATAATCTATGTATTATAAGAGTTTAGAAATTCTATTCCATTAAAACTTCTATCACTGGCACTCTTTTGAGTCTTCCCACATGATCTACGGTTAAAGAGATGAGACCTAATGTCATTAAAGAGTACATTTTCTTAGGAGAAGTGTTTGTAGTTCTTCATTCACTGATGTGTTTATAATTCATTGCTCAATTCAGCGTAAGGATTGCCTGGTTAAGAAGTCCTGCTTAGAGATGAGTGATAGTACAGTGGGTAGGGCACTTGCTTAGCATTCAACTGACTCAGGTTTCATCCCTGGCATCACAGATGATCTCTTGAGTACTGCCAAGGGTATATTCCTGAGTGCAAAGCCAGAAGCAACCCGAGTACAACTAGATGTGGCCCCAAAACTAAAACAAAACCCAAACCCCAAAACCAAGAAATCCTGCTTATTTAGATCTCAGGAGTTGTGTAGGGGTGAAATACAGCTAAGGACTTTTAGTTGTTCACTTTAATAACTGCAATTTGAGGGGATGGAGAAATAGTACTGCACATAAGTTTCTTGTCTTGCATGTGGCTGACTTAGGTTCAATCCCTGATCCCATAAATATGGTTCTTCAAACCCTGCCAGGAGTGATCCCTATGTCTCAGAACCAACAGTAAGACCTGGGTGCTGCAGGGGTGGTCCACCCTGACCTTTCCCACTCATACACAAGCACACACATCAAAAATAGATAGTTGCCCCAAAAGGAGAGAGAGAACAAAAGGGAATGACCTGCCACAGAGGCAGGGTGGGATGGGGGGGATGGGTGTGGGAGGGGTACTTGGATCCATGGTGGTTGAAAATGGGCACTGGTGGAGGGATGGATATTTGATCATTGTATAATCGAAACCCAAGCACAAAAATTTGTAAATCTACAACTGTACCTCATGGGGTTTCACTAATAAAAATTAATTAAAAAAATAGTTGCAACTTTTCTGACCAGATGTTGTCACCTTATTTTCCTACTGAAGGATGAGAAGCTTACAATAGTTTTTTTGCTCAGGAATTAGAATTACTTTTTATCCAGTTACAGTTTTGAAGGGCTGGAGCGATAGCATAGGGAGTAGGGCATTTGCCTTGCATGCAGCCGACCTGGGTTTGATTCCTCCACCCCTCTTGGAGAGCCCGGCAAGCTACTGAGAATATCTTGCCCACACAGCAAAGCCTGGCAAGCTACCCGTGGCGTATTTGGTATGCCAAAAACAGTAACAAGAAGTCTCACAGTTTGTTTGCCCGCTTGAGCAAATTGATGAACAATGGGAGGACAGTGCAGGACAGTGCAGGGGGGAGAATGGAATTTTTCAGAGAGCTATCTCCAATACTAAAATCTTTAAGAACTCTGGATAAATTTTTGATTATATAAACATATGTATATCTGTTTTAAGATTAAATATCCTCAAACAAGACCTTATAAGCAATTCAAGTATTTTAAAAGGTAAAAAGTATTTTTACTTAATTTTATTTTGTTTTATTTGGGGGTCACATTCCAAAACAAGCTGTTGGGATCGTTCAGAGGACCATTCTGCTCAAGGGACTGTACAGTGATGAGAATTGAACTCGGGGCTGGAACTCCAGGCAAAGCACAGACTCCAGTCCTTTGAGATATCTCTCCAGCCCTGAATTTAATTATTTCCTAAGTGAGAAAATTTGGAAATAAAGAATTTACAAATTATCAATGGTTTTATTTTTAGGATTCTGTGCAAAAATTGGAAGGTCATGTTGAAGAACACAGCTCATACCAGCTCTGTGTCACAGAACTGGATACTTCCCTGGATGATTTCACGAAGGAGCTTCTCAGTTTGTCTGACAAATCTCTAGATCAACTGGCAGTTGAAGAAAAGCTGCAGAAACTGCAGGTATTGAACAATAATATGACCAATATTTTTTATTTTTAAAATCACTATTCACTGCATCTTGGTTTAGTAATGTCTTCTGCCAGAAATTTAAGTACTAGTCAGATGATTATTCTATAAAGTTGGACCAGGAAAACAATGTAATGTTCGTTAGTCGTTGGGTCACCTAGCCACATTCAGTGACGATTGATTGCAGCCCTTTCTCCACCTCCTCAAAGCATCCTTCCCTGTCTTCTCACTGTTTATACACAGTACAAACAGTCCTGCGTGGTGTCTTCTCAAAGAAAACAAAGTAGAACATTTTTCTCAACTACTTCTTGCACAATTATTTAACTCAAGATCTCCTGGGATGCAGCCCATGACAGCAGTGCTGTGTAAGCTAAGAAGAGAATCTCTTCCTTTTAGGGACATGGGAATCGAGTCAGAACTTCCAGAAAGCCCAGAAATTAAGACAGGGCAGCCTCTCCTCTTGGTAGTGATTATTTCATAATTCCGAGGCTTGTCATGTTCAAGGCACTGTTTGGTTGCCACAGATACCAAGAGAGTAGAAGACAGAAGCCTCACAGAGCAGGGACTACAACTTAGGCCTTCCGACCCCAGTCTGCTGAGTGGTTTTTCTGATACTCCAGAGCAGTTTGGGGATGCTATTATATATAGTTGGGCAGGTTCAATATATGACTCCTCGTCTCCTTCCCTTTCTCCATTTCCAAACTTCTTACTGAGGAATCTGCTTTTCCTCTGAAACATCCTCTCTATCTCTGCAGGCTTTGACATAGAAACCTGGAAATATTTTTCTGTAGTTAATCTCGTCAGACCCAAATACCATTTCTTTCACCACTGGAATATCTCTACAATTTGTCCCTTCCTTGTCTCTCCATCATTGCCGCTTGCACTGGAACGTCATTTCATGGGTCCCTGCACTAGGCTTCCAGCTGGGCTCCCTGCCTGCCATGTTACCCTCTTATGTGTCTTCTCCATGACTGCCCTGGACCTTTCTAAAATAAAACTATGGAACTTCCTTCCTCCAGCTTGAAATGTGTCCATGATCTCTACATAGTTGTTAGCATGGAAATTTCCACGTTCTTTTGCAATTGTTTGTTTAATTTATTTCTGACTCTCTCACTAGACAGTAGCCCTTGAAGGGTCTATGTTTTTCTTATATTACATCAAAGTCTATCACAATATTTGCTATTAGTCGAATGAATGAATGAATGAATGTGTGACTTTATTTTGTGGCCCATTTGGGAGAGTGACTTAGAAGTGACACGGGTTACATGCTTACTTTAAGACATTTTTCTATTTCAATGTTAACATCACTAATTTTTCTAGTACCTCAAACTGAGTTCTCAAGATTGCCTCATTCATTTATGCATTTAGGAAATAATGATTGAATTGCTCCTATAGTTAAAATAATATACTAAATAAATTTAAGACTTGCTCTGAGTTTTAAGTAGTAACACTAGATCAATGTGGACATGTTATAAATGATTTCTTTATTTTTTTTTTGATGTTTTCAGGTAGGAGGCACTTTTTCTGAGGGTGGGGAGTGACTCAGACCATATCCAGCATGTTCAGGAGCTATTCCTGGCTCTGTGCTTGGGAGTCACTCCTGGCAGTGCTCAAGAACCCTATGCACTCTTCAGGATTTCCAGGGTTGGCCAACCCCGGCATAATCTCTCCAGGCACTTAATTGCTTTGAGTATTATATCACAGGAACTGTTGAGAAGATTGTCTTTTTACTACCTTTCATAAACTTTTAAATTTTTATAGACTTTTAGAATTTGGTCTGGGATGCTGGATTGGTTTAAATATTGCCCAAAGTTTCTTCTTCGTGATAACAGTTAATGTGGTTTTATATTTTCCACTCATGAAAGGAAAATGGGCTGTGATTTACAAAAGGCAATTAATCTCTTGTTGCAGTTGACTAGAGTGACTTTTTTTCCCCCAAAAGTTAGTGGTTGTTTTAATTTGTAAAATCTAGAAGCAGTAAATGTTACTAAAATGGAGCGACTATTTTGATGACTTTTCTTTCTCTGCTCATAGGAACTAGAGAACAGACTCAGCTTACAAGATGGTACATTAAAGAAGGTTTTAGCCTTCGCAAAATCCATTGCACCCAATACGTCTTCAGCAGGACAGAAGATTATTAAAGACAATATACAGTCACTTGAGGATAAACAAAAAGATTTGGAAAATAGACTTCAGACTGCTAAGCAGGAGGCAGAAAATTGTCTCAACAGCATCCTCAAATCAAAATGCTTAACAGAAAAGAAAGAAAAGTTTGATGTGACAAGCGAAGCAAAGCAGGTCACTTTAGACGTGCAAGTGTCCTCCGGGGACTCAGCTGGGCTGGGGGAGGTGGAAGAAGGCCAGGAAATCAACACGGTGAGTGTCTGTGATTGCGTCTCTAAGATGATAGCACATCTGAGGGCAAAGAGATGTGGGGGTTTTAAAAGAAGACTAAGAATCAAGCCTCCTGAGTTCATAATTAAACCATCAGTGTACAGACTCTTGAGGATGCCCACTTGTGAAAAGAGCTCTCAGACAACCACCCAGGATTTTAGTCATGAAGTATTACTGTACAGTTAAAATGTCAGTCATCAGTGATGGGATGGGTGTCGGAACAGGATGACTGAAACCCAATCATGAGCAGCTTTGTAACTGTGTATCTCACGGTGATTCAATTTTTAAAAAAAAGAAGTCAGTCATCAATTTAGGTTTGTTATTTTCTCTGATATGTAATCAGATACAGCTTCTTGGGTCAAGAGCACAAAGGCAAAGTAGAAAAGGCACAAGGAAAGAAAATGTTCTTCTACTTGTTTTCTCAGAAAAATATCCAAGAGCTTCTATTGCTCTCTCTATTTTACAATGAAATTGGAGACTGAATAGATAGGTTTCTTTCTTGTTCTTATGTTAATCCTATACTGTAAGTGTATCTTTAAATATTGTCAGGTCATTTGGTGTGAGACTATCAATGGCCTTCAGGCTCCGAAGTTCCCCTGGGGAGAAGAAAGATAACCATTTTTTGTTTTTATTCTAAAAAAACAAAATGTGTGTACTTTTCTTTGCTTTTTCATGAGTTAGAGATTGAAATGGAAAAGGCACAGAGTAATATCCAGTAAATTGTATTTGTGAGGGCCCGCTGTTAACTCAGCCTCTCTTCCCTAATGGGACATAGTGAAGGTTAGACTGTTGAAGTGTGAATTCTCTTCAGATTTTTATGGATTCATTGCCAACTGGAGTTAAGAGAACACCAACTTCTGTTGTTTTCCAGGAACAGAAATGCTTAGAGTGTTAAGTAATCACATAGGATTTTCTACATGTAAAACAAGGTTAAATGCCAATGGAACAGCCTTTGGCATTAAGACATTTTTTTTTTAAATAAAATCTCACCCTGTGAGATATTGCTGAGGACACAGTGTGGAGCATTGCTAAGGAAATTTGTCTTAAATAATTAAGGGCTCTGAGGTGAGACTTGAGTTTACACATATGAAAGAAACTTTATATATTAAGGAGATAGTAGCACTGTAGCACTGTCCTCCCATTGTTCATCAATTTGCTCTAGCAGGCACCATTAAAGTCTCCATTGTGAGACTTGTTACTGTTTTGGGCATATTAAATACACCACGGGGAGCTTGCCAGGCCCTGCCATGGGGGCAGGATACTCTTGGTAGCTTGCCAGGCTCTCCGAGAGGATGGACAAATCAAACCCAGGTCGGTAAACAGCTTGTGCTATTTCTCAAGTTCTAAGGAGATAGTAGAGTGGATAAAGTGTTTGCCTTGCATGTGGCTGACCCTAATTCAATCCCCAGTGCCCCATTTAGTCCCTTGAGCCTCACCAGGAGTGATCCCTCACCAAGAGTGAAAAAAAAATTACAGAATGTAGCCTGAAATGTTATAGGGCTTATGGTCCAACTTCATACTGGATTTTTGCTTGTTTGTTTTTTGGGCCATTCCCAGAGGTGCTAAGGGATTATTCCTGGCTCTGCACTCAGGAATTACTCCTGATGGTGCTTGGGGGACCACATGGGATGGCTGGAATAGAACCCAGGTTGGCTGTATGTGAGGCAAGCACTCTACCCTCTGTACTATGTCTCCAGCCCCATACTGGATTTTTCTATAGAGGTGAATTTCTGAGAGTGTTAAACATGGGAAGGTAGAATTGCCTTTCCTCTTCTCACATTTTCTGTAAGTTAAGTAATGAATTAGGATATGAGCAGAAGTAAGGGCTACTGGGACACAAGTGAAATCCTGTGTCATTCTGAATTCTCCAGAGGCTGATAAATAAACAGTATCACACAGAGGGCTAAGGGAAGAAGTAAATATTGTTGTCTGACATCATGAGGTCTCATGTACACAGGGAAGAGATCCGCAGACTGAACAACTCAACCATGGAGTCCCAAGTTGCTCAGTGGGAGAAGAAAAGGAAGATCAGTTGAGCTAAGAAGGCACAAAGATTTAACGTCTGTCTTCTCCTTTGATAGGATCTTTTCCAGAGAAGGCTTAAGGGAGATGCTTGCTTATAAATATCTCTTTGATACAGGTCTTTGTCCTGTCTTCAGGGACCCACCCAAGAAATTAACCTTTTGCCAAAGAGGTATTAGAGGTATTTTGAAGGCGGCAAATTTTTGCTTCCCCCACAATTATTCAGACAGAACTGATTAATCTTTTAACTTTATGTGTCCATAAAGGGAGATGATAAAAAGGGAACAGGGAAATGAATCCATTTTAAATGTATAATTTTTCTCAAAGATCACAAAGCAAATTACAGCTTCACTGGTTTCAAATGATCTTTTCTTTTTTCCATTTTTTCCCACATGTCAACCTTTATGACATGATTGCTTTTGAAAACTATTTGTCTATAATTACTTCTTTAATTTCCTTGTCATTGGGTAAAAATTGTTAGTCAGTATGCCTGCATATTTTTCAGTTTAAGTATTTCCAAAGTCTGTGTTTAAAAGGATATCCATAGACAAGTCCCTGAAGGTAGATCAGATACGGCATGTGCTGTGTCCAGCTTTGGGAATGCCGCTGGGGCAAGTTCAGTTAGTACTAGGGAAGGTGGAAAAATTACTTCCTGGACAAAGATGAGTGAATGATGTCTCTGGTATTGTTTTCTGGTAATATTAAGGGGGGAAAATACTTGTAGTATAACATAGAGCTGAATCATGTGTCAACACTCTGTCTTTGAAGTATACTGATTTTGCTTTTTTGTGGTTAGCATGAGAACATTGCTTCTTACTCTCTAACTTTTTCAGTCTAAGATTTTTGCATTACAGGACAAGTGTTTTACCCAGTGTCTATAACTTTAACATCTGTCAATAGCATGCCTTTGAGAATATTCACCAAAATCTAGACTCTTGGGCTGAAAGAGAAACCTTGTATAATTTCTGGCCCATTTCTTGTGTTTTAGGGGAAGGGACTTAAGTTCCTTCATGGAAACAGAGCTAAAGCTAGAACCTGAGCATCCTCTACCTACTCTGATGCCTGTAGTTTTCTTCATCATTTACTCAAACTGAGCACGTTAGGAGATAGAATGGTGATTTTCTACTTTAAATTTATAATTTAAAATTTTTAAGTTTTGGCCGCAAGATTTTTTTTTTTGGTTTTTTTTGTGGGGGGCTTTTTTGGGGTCACACCCAGTGATGCACAAGTATTACTCCTGGCAATGCATGGGGGCCATATGGGATGCTGGAAATCGAACCTGGGTTGGCCCCGTGCAAGACAAACACCCTACCCACTGTGCTATTGCTCCAGACCTTGGCCACAAGTTTTATATGTATTCTTACTACATGGTTTAAAAATTGTACATTGGGGAGCTGGAGTTATACAGCAAGTAGGACACTTGCCTTAACACACAGCCAATCAGGGTTCGATCCCTGGCATCCCATATTGTCCCTGTGCACTGCTAGGAATAATTCCTGAGGGCAGAGCCAGGAGTAACCTCTGTGCCCTCTGAGCATTGCTGGGTTTGGCCTCAAAACAAACAAGTAAAAATACTAAAAATAAAAAAACAAAAAATGCATTTAAAAAAGTTATACTTTGTCCTAAGTTTATGCTCAATCATGATTTTTTTTTAAAAAATTTTTTAAGCAAAGACATTTCAGGAGCAGTAGGTAGAGGGTAGAAGCAGGTATCTGAGAACAGAGAGTCAGTGAGGGCTCTGAAGAGGCTATGAATTCACTGGACAGAGTTTCTATCACAGGGCCTTGGAAAGTTTATGCCCTAGAAAGATAGACCAGAAACTGTAACACAGAGGAAGGCCTGGGGCAAACTTGGAACTACAGGTATGAAGAAAAGTCTTCCTTGAGAAATCCAAAGCAAACCTAGAATCCATATCTAAGTCTTCCTTGAGAAATCCAAAGCAAACCTAGAATCCATATCTATACTGCTTGACTTAAGGAGTCGTTCAAGTTGAAATTAACATCTCTCTCTCTATTTCTTTTTCTCTCTCTCCAAACACACACACACACACACACACACACACACACACACACTCACACACACACACACACTTATACTCTTTCTCTCTCTACTCCCTCTCCCCATTTCTTTTTCCATGTGCTTGGGGTACCTAGAAGAATCAAGCACAAATTCACATAAAGGGGTCACTTCTATAAAGAACTGAGAGCAAAGTCAGAGCAATAGGATCAAAAGTATGATAAGGAATAAGGGTTTATTTGTAATCACTCAATCATTCATTAAAGGAAAATTCTACTATAAGAAATAGTCCTCATTTCTGCAAAGAGAAAGTGAGATATGCAATAGTCTGAAAAATATTATGCAATAACATGTTAGCTAGTGATCTAAAAAGACTTGAAGTCACAAGGAAAGAATAAAATACAGAGTAAAAGGGAACATTTTTATTAAAAAAAATTATGTGGAACATCAACAAATTTTAGAAATAGACCTTAAAATTAGGATTACCCTTGCAAGGAGATGCTTCAGACTTTAGACAGCTTGTAAAGTTAGTTGGTTAGAAAAAAAAATATGTAACTGTGAAAATGATCTTTAACCCAACTCAGATATAAAGAGGTAGAAAATTAGAAAGATTTTTAAGAGATCAGTCTATTGTGATGGTCTGTACAATTATAAACATCTAACATCACAGCACTGATCACACACTGGGTGTGACCCAACTCACTCCACTGCCACCCACCCAAACAAATTAGCAGTTAGAGCCACTGTGATAATTGTATAACTGCTGGAGGATTCATATTGAGAAATAAATAGAATACCAAAAATCACATACAACCCAGGAAAAAATAGACAGTGGATATGCAAAAGTAATTTGTAGTAGGGAAGGATTCATAAGGTCAAAGATTGTATGGAGTAGCTTAGGTTTTTTTGGTGGGGGAGTTGTTTGTTTGTTTGTTTGTTTGTTTGTTTTGAGGGGGGAGGTTGGGCTTACCAGTTTGTGCTCAGGGCTTACTCCTTGCTCTGGACTTAGGGATCACTCCTGATGGTGCTTGGGGGACCATATATGATGCCAGGAGCCATAGGACAGGACAGCAGATAACCTGGGTTCGGGTTCCAGCATACCATAGGTCCCTTCAAACCTGCTAGAAGTGATCCCTGAATGCAGAACCAGGACTAAATCCTGAGTACTGCCGGGTGTGACCGAACAGCTCCCCCCCCCCCAACAACAAAAAAAAAGAAATCAAAATACTGCTGAGTAACTCTTTACAATAGCCAGAATCTGGAAAAAACCTGAGTGCCCGAGAACAGATGACTGGTTAAAAAAACTTTGGTACATTTACACAATGGAGTACTATGTAGCTGTTAGAAAAGATGAAGTCATGAAATTTTCATACAAGTGGTACTACATGGAAAGTATGTTAAGTGAAATGACTCAGAAAGAAAGGGATATACATAGAAAGATTGCATTCATCTGGGGAACATAAAGTAACAAAATAGGAGACTAACACCCAAGAATGGCCGAGATTAGTACTAGGAATTTTACTCCATGGTTTGGAGGCCAGCCATATATGCTAGGGGAAAAGGGAGCTCAGATAGAGAAGGGAGCACCAATTAAAGCGTGTTGGGAGGATCCTCCCAGGATGGGAGAAGCATGCTGAAAGTAAACTATAGACCAAACATGATTGCTACTCAATGCCTCTTTTGCAAACCAAAACACCCAAAAGGAGAGAGAGAGAACAGAGGGGAATGCCCTGCCACAGAGGCAGGGTGGGATCGGGGGATGGGGGGTGGGAGAGATACTGGGATCCGTGATGGTGGGAAATGGGCACTGGTGGAGGGATGGGTATTTTATCATTGTATAATTGAAACCCAAGCACAAAAATTTGTAAGTCTACAACTATACCTCATGGCATCTCACTAATAAAAATTTTTAAAAAAATGATGAAGTGTTCAAAACATTCTAGCACAAGCTCTGAATAAATGAAAAGAGAATTTAAAAAATATACTGCTGAGTAGAAAAAGGACATTTAAAAATTAGATTATTTTATTTTATAAGAATAAAGATACAAAAAAGAAATCAATTCTACATAAGTAATAATATATGTAGAAGTGTATAAAATCTGTTTATAGGGCTGTGGGTTGGCTTTAAATTCTATTTTCATTGTGGAAAATCCTATGTGTTGTAGGGAGGGAGCATTTGTTTTAGTTTGTTCTTTTAAGTATATTTCAAATACATTTTTTTAAATTTAAATGAAATATTTCAGATGAGCAGGTAAAGTCAACATAAAATGCAGGCAGGTGAAGATGAGAGAATGATAGGTTACAAAAGAATCTTCCCAGGAGCCAATCAGGACCTGCGCCCTGTGGCTCACCAGACTGGCATGAGGAAAGGAATGTTATCATTTGAATTTGAAATGTCAGTTTGAGAGACCTGTTGGATTTTCTACCCAAGCAGAAACATGGTTTTGGAGGGTGGTAAACAATGTGTGCTTTCTGAGAGCAGGTTTCTCAGAAAGCTCTCTCTGACCGCTAAAGGCAGATTGCAAATGGCATGTCACAAATTCCATTAGTCCTCAGATTTTTCAGGTAAGAGCTTGAGGACTCTGCTTAGTAGATTAATAATAAATACCACTTCCCAGGGGCTCACATCTCGCGAGACCTTTAAACTCAGGCAATTTGTTCTCCCGAAGATTGGTGGGGGGGGGGGGTGCAGGAGGGGGTACAGTAAACACTAAGTGATGAGGTGATTATAATTATCAAATGGGGAGGAGACAGGTGATTTCCTCATGTACCTTTGCCTTTTAGCAACTGTGAGAGCTGAGCACCCATGGGTGATAAATCGATGGTGTGGTAACCCTCTTTTCCCTTTTTGTTGATATGCTTGGTCTTTCCCTCTAAGATTCTTCCTTCCATGTAGATTTTAATTATAGCTGACATGATTAAATTGTTGGAACTGGAAGAAATTATGCAAATTCATTGTAGTCATTTGCAGTATTTTTTTTTAAAGAAGTGACTTGTGTTAGGTGCCAGTTAGGTGCCAGTTAAGTACACCAAAACTAGTAACACTGAACAGAATTTTCTTACCAATTAGTAGTATTGATAAAATCTGGGGAGTATCTTTTTTATTGAAATGAACTTCTCATTTTAGAATAGTTTCATATTGACAAGAGTACTTGCGAAGATAGTACAGAGAGTTTAAGTATGATCCTTGCCCACTTTCCTCTATTGTTAGCACTTCATATTACTGTCTAGGTAATGTTTGATGGTAGGGGTGGGTGGAAGGAGGTTTAACTGATAGCAGGGCTCAGGGGACCATACAGAGTGCCAGGGATTGAACCCAAGTAGGCTGACTACAAGAAAAGTGGTCCATCTCAGCAATACTTTACTATTGTTATTTTGCTTGGGGCTCATATCCATCAATGCTCAAGATTTGCTCATGGCTCTGAGCCCAGGGATCACTCCTGGCAGGACTCAGGGGACAATATGAGATGCTTAGAAGAATAGAACCCAGATGAGCCATGCACCAAAGAAAATAGTGCCCTACCCTCTATACTATCACTCTCACACATCTGGGTAGTTAAATTTTTTTTCAATCTAAAATTAAATTTTTTAAGTAAAATTTTTAAAAATTTTTATTTTTTTACAGATTCACAGGGATACACAGTTACAAAGTTATTTACGATTGGGTTTCAGTCATATAGAGTTCAAACACCCGTCCCTTCACCAGTGTACATTCCCCACCCAGTTTCCCTCCATTCCACCTTCCCTGCCTACCTCCTTGGCAGGCACTTTAATTCTCTCTCTCTCTCTCTCTCTCTCTCTCTCTCTCTCTCTCTCTCTCTCTCTCTCTCTCTCTCCCTCTCCCTCTCCCTCTCCCTCTCCCTCTCCCTCTCTCTCTCTCTCTCTCTCTCTCTCTCTCTCTCTATTGCAATATACAGATAATGAAAGGTTATCAGGTATATCCCTTTCAACACTCAGTTTCTGTCCAATATGATCATTTCCATATATTATTGTCAGGTTGGTTCCTTCTCTATCCTAACTGCCCTTTGCCCCCTCCACACACTGTGGCAAGCTTCTAACCAGTGACCAGTCCTCCTGGACCATCTAGGCAATATTTTTATTTATTTTTATTTATTTATTTGCTTTTTGGGTCACACCCAGCGATGCACAGGGGCTTCTCCTGGCTCATGCACTCAGGAATTACCCCTGGCGGCACTCAGGGGACCATATGGGATGCTGGAAATTGAACCCCTAAAATTACTTCTGATAAAACCTGTTTTGCCTAATGTAGTTTGAAATTCATATTATCAATTGGTAAGCCTTAATTAATTCTTAGTATCAGGAAAATTCGTGGCTTCCTCAGTCTACCTATTTTTTAAATGTGATTGTGACCAAACCTGTGTGCTTAGGGGCTACTTTCAACTTGGTACTCAGGGGACCATGTAGTCCAGGGAGCAAATTCAGACCTCCTGCATGAAAAACGTGCACAGCCTGTTGAGTTATCTTCTGACCCTATCCACATTTTTATTTGGGGGAACATACGCAAGTGTCCTCAAAGGCTGCTTCTGGTTCTATGCTCAGGGGGAATTCTTAACAATAGCAGGGAACCATTGGCAGTGCTGGGAACTGAACTGGGATTGGCTGCATGCAAGCCACATGCCTAAGCTCTTACATGTTCTATCCACTTATTTTGAACTACCCTTAGGTAAACATTGAGTGTCTGTTATTTATTCTGGCCTCAGAATTTTCCACCTCTATTGTTTTTTATGAATATATATTATGCCTCAGTATATAACTGAGCAGTGCTAGATCTTATACTACCTTGTGAAAAAGTTTAAGTAGCTATGGAGGCATTACATATCATCTGGAAATATCATCTTAAGTAATGTCCAAATGTACTTTGTAAAAGTCTTTGATCTGAATAAACAAAAAAAACCTGGAATGTTTTTATCAAGTAAAAGAAAAAGCATTTATTTGAAAGGCAGACTATTCAGCAATTAATCTTTTTATGTTCCAGAATTCAGCTGTGGAAATGATTTTGTCAAAACAACTTTCTCTTGACGTTCAAGAAAGCCTGAAAAACATTGAAGATGAGCAGAAAGTCAATGAGGTGCAAAATCAACCTTTAGAATTAGATGTTATGCTAAGAAATGAACAATTAAAAGAGATAGAGGTAAGGAAATAAGAAAAACACTGACAACATGATTGCATCACTTATCTAGTGCAATACAATATATTTTAATTACCAAAAACTTGCTTGCTCGGAGTGAAAAAGTCTTATTTAACCTTTGCCTGATGATCAGTTTGGTAACTATATAATTATGTACTAATCAGCAAATTGTATAAATCTTTCCATTTAAAATGTTGAAGAGTTTAATGAACATTAGTCTTCTTTCTCTTTCACCAAGTTCTTAAAACCCAGCAGCAAAATTTGGAAATTTTGCTTATCATCCTGACTTATCGTTCTCTTAGTCATATATCTTTTGGTTTTTTGGATTTTTTCTTTCGTTTTCCCCAATACCTAACATTATAGAATACTCAGTTGTTTTCACAGCTCTGTACATATAATTATGTTTTGTATTTATATGCATACAGCTATGTACTGGTAATCCAAAAGTTCAACGCATGCCCATATTAAAAACTTAAAAGACCCCTGTAATTTTAGCTAAGTTTACCTCAGAGTACAGATGTATATATAACGTAAGATTGATGGACTGGAGCACAGTGGGCCAGGTGTTGGCTTGCATGGGACTGACCAGAGTTCGATTCCTGGCATCCCATATGATCTCCCCCCCCCCCCGCCAAGCCACACCAGGAGTGACCCCTGAGTGCAGAGCCAGGATTAAGCACTGCCAGTCTTTGTGGCCCAAAAGCCAAAAATAAGGTAGGAATAAGCTATGATAAATTATGATAAATGTAAATAAAACAAATCTTCTTTTAGATATTGCAAAAATTTTTTGACACAGTAGGATGATCTAACTCCTTTTAAATGCTACACTAAAAATCTAGAATTGTCTAGCATTTAAAAGGAGTTAGAATTGTCTAGATTTTTGGTGTTTTGTTGTAGTTTGCTTGCTTGATTTTGAGATGCATTAATTGATGCTCAGCTGCTACTACTGACTCTGCACTCAGAAATAACTGTTAGCAGTGCTCTGAGGACCATATGGGATGCCAGGGATCAAGGCCAGGTCTGCCTCATGCAAGATAAGTGCCCTACCTGCTGTATTATCGCTCCGGTCCAGATTTTAGCATGATTCTAATGAAAATAAAAATTTTAATGTCAGAACTTTATTGTCTTTCCTGTGTGCAAATGAAATATTTAAAGCATCTCCTTGAGATAAAATATGCTAGCAGGAAAGAAATAAAGGGAAAAGAATGAATGAGTGAATGAATAAATGAGGGAATATTTATATATTCTGATTTCTTTCCTTGCTTTCAGAAATTATATATGCAGCTGGAAGCCAAGAAAGCTGCTATTGAAACACAGGAACAAGTGGACCATCTCAGTGAAACAGAAACAAGTGCCTCAGTTCTCCACAATGCTAGAGATTCGGTGCAACACCTGGACAATCTGCTTCAGGCACTGATGACTTTGAAGAATAACAGGGAAAGCCAATATTGTCTCCTTAAAGATTTTGAGGAGCACCTCTCTGAAAATGAATCCTCAATGAAAGCTTTGTTGGTAGAAAAGGAAGGTCTAAAAGTGTAAGTGTAAGAATATAAAACTTGTATTCATTTTGGACAAGCATAAACTCCACATCTTGGACAGGCCAAGGGTTTTATGGGTTTGCCTATGAGGCAGTATTCTTATTTTTATATTACAGAATGGGAACTACATCTAAATGGAAGCTATTTTTTAAAAAAAACTTTTGTTTTATTTGAAAACCATACTTAGCAATGCTCAGGGTTTACTCATGGCTCTGTGCTCAGGAGTCACTCCTGGTGAGGCTCAGTGAGACCATATGCAGCCAGGTGGAAGTGCGCATGGCAAGAACCCTACTCTACTGTACTGTATCTCTAGCCCAAGAAAGTGGATTTTTTGTTTGTTTGTTTGTTTGTTTTCACTTTTTGAGTCATACCCAGCGATGTAGAGGGGTTACTTCTGGCTCATGCACCTAGGAATTACTCTTGGCCATGCTTTGGGGACCATATGGGATGCTGGGAACCGAACCCGGGGCAGCCTTGTGCAAGGCAAACGCCGTACCTGCTGGGCTATCACTCCAGCCCTCAAGAAAGTGTTTTTTAAAGAAACTATTTAATGCCAAAATGTTTATATGAATTTTGTAATTAAATTGTATTAATTTTGTTAATTATCAAGCAATTCACAGTAAATATCTATAAGTTAGATTAAAATTCTTTGGGATTTGTATTCTTTTTGTTGATGATTGCAAACTGTGGTGGTTAAAAAAAAAAGCCGACGTGATGGTATAGCAGGTAGGGCATTTACATTGCACGCCACTGGCCCAGGTTCATCCCTGGCATCCCATATGGTCCCCTGAGCCATGCCAGCAGTAATTCCTGAGTGCAGAGCCAGGAGGAACCCCTGAGCATCGCTAGGTATGACCCAAAAAAACAAACAAAAAAACCCCAAAACATACAACTGTTAATTATTACCAGATTTTTTGACACTTTGAATATTAAATATGTATGTTTTAAAGGAAATTGCTAGTCTGAAAATGTTAGTAAATAGTTATACATTCATTATTTATGTGTGAATATTTTATCATTATTAAAAATATTTATTTTGGTCTGGAGACATAGTACAGCAAATAGAGTTCTTCCCTTACACACAGCCTACCTGTGTTCAATCTCCAGGATCCCATATGGTCCTCTGAGCCTTACCAGGAGTGATCCCTGAGCACAGAGCCAGGAGTAAGCTCTGAGCACCACTGGGCATAGCCCCAAAACAAAACAAACAAAATGTTTATTTTATGCATATAAAATAAATGGGGTTTACTTGTAATGATAAACATGGATCTACATACATATAGATCATGACTTCTACCACAGAGGTATATCCTGGCCCTTAGTCAGTTATATATTTTTTTTAATTTGGGAGAATCAGATAACAAAGGAGTTGGTGGTTGTGGTGTTTTTTTCTTAGAGGAACCTTTGTGCAAGTACTATTTTTTAGAGTATTTTTGCATCCATTTTGCCCTTCACTCCATTCCTTTGGTTCTGCATTTTTATAATACTCCTTTTAGCTTAAGTTTTATTTTGTTTTGTCTTTGGGTCGGTAGTGTTCCAGGGTTACTCCTGGCTCTGTGCTCAGGAACTTCTCCTGACAATGTTTGGGGGACCATATGCAGTGTCAGAAATTGAACTGGGGTCAGCAGCATGCAAGACAAAAACCTTACTCCTTGCACTATGCTAAGCCCTCTGAAATTAAAAACCACAGTGAATAAGATTCTGGATTTTATTTTAAGGACAGAATTCTCTTACAATCATCCTTCTCTTACATAAATTCAATGCATGGTTAATTTTTTTTCTTTTTGGGTCACATCCAGTGATGCACAGGGGTTACTCCTGGCTCACGCATTCAGACATTACTCTTGGAGGTGCTCAGGGGACCATATGGGATGCTGGGAATCGAACCTAGGTCGCTTGCTTGCAAGTCAAATGCCCTACCCGCTGTGCTATTGCTCCAGTCCCGCATGGTTAATTTTTAATGATGTCTAGCTATTGAGACATAGCAAATGTTAACAAGCTTCATTTGACTTCTTTTTTTCTAGAGGACCACTGGACAGTGCAGCCTATTTGGATAAAATTAAAAATCTATTGGCATCAATAGAAAAGGAGAAAGATTCTTTAAGAAAGATGCAAATTAAATGGGGAAATTTATCAGACTGTCTGAGTGACATGGATAAGAAGTTGCTGGAGAGTCAGATGAAGCAACTGGAACATGGCTGGGAACAGCTAGAAGAACTGGTAGAAAATAAGTTTTCTCAACAAGCATTGGAACATGATGAATTTGCATTTCTCATGAATAAGATCCAAGACCTTGCAATTTCTCTGCAACAGCAACAGCAGCATCTGCAGTTAAGGATGAACTTTCCAGGAGAACAGGAAGGGAACCGAGACATGGTTGCCTTGGCCACTGAACTACAAACTATCAATCATAGATTTTCAGGTTTAAAAGGGAAAGCTGAACTTCAAATGAAGAGGATTTGGGGAGAAAAAGAAAAGAAGATTTTGGAAGATGCTCTAAATAATTTGCAAAAGCAATTGGAAACATTGGGACCATTAAACATAGAAATGGGCAATCAGATCAAGGAGTGTGAAATCAGAAACAGGATAAAAGAGACTATTGTGTGGGTGGAGAAAGAACTGAGTGACCTCAATACGACCACTGCCCTTCTCCCAGATGACATTCTTTCACAGATCCAAAAGTGCAAGGTGGCGCATGACAGAGTTCTGGAAAAGCAGCAGGAGGTAGAGTCATTGGTTGAAGAGGTCAAAGATAATCTTTCTAACCTTACAGCACAAGAGAGTGATGATTTAAATAATCTCCTACAAGATTTACAAAATCAATACCAATTGCTTGTTTTAAAATCAACTCAGAGGTCACAGCAATTGGAATTTGAATTGGAAGAAAGAGGCAAATTGGTTGCAGTAATAGGGAAGGTTCATCATTCACTCCAAGGAAACGAAGCACTGGTAATTCCCAAAATGGAAGCCACCTCCACCGAGGCTGAACTTGAACACCAGTGTGTCACTTTGAGGACATCACAGAAGGAACTGCAAGAAATTGAGAATGTAATCTCAACACATCTCCAGGGACTTGCAAACATTTATAAAGATTTCAGTGTATTTGAAAAACTCTTTCTGAATGATCAGTTGAAAAATTTTAAGACAAGAGCCAACAGAACACAAAGATTTGTTCAGAATAAATGCAATGAAGTAGATTATAAAACCGATCTTTACAGAGAGTTCCATGAAAAAATCTCTGGGCTTCAGAGAGAAGTTGACAATATACAGCACAGTGAGCTGCTGCAAAAGCAAGAAATAAATTGTGATGCGAAAGATGAGCTTTACAGCCTTAGAGATCAACTCACAGGTATTCAAGCTAGTTTACTACAAGTGTTGAAGCTTAAAGAAGTGTTTGACTATTTAGGATTAAAATGGGAATGTCCCCAACTTGACCAGTTACAGTCCAAAGTATATGGGGGGAAAATGGAATTGGAAGAAAAAATTAAGCAGTTGGACACATTTGTGGCAGAACATGACAAATATCAAGGATCATTAAGGAAATTAAGAGCAATGGATTTACGAAATCGGGAAAGGGCTGAAGTGTTCCTAAAAACTCTCCAGAAAGTTCCTATGGACACTTCAACCAGAAATACTTCTCCTGAAAGCAGTCTCTCTGATGTTCAAATTTTGAATCAGAGACTTGAGAAAATCATGTGCTTGTATCAAAAAGTAATAAAGAAATTATGTGAAAATAAAGCCTTTGATGACTCACTCAAAGAGAAAGAAATGCTACAAATAAAACAGCATATAAAAGAAAATGAAGAGTTACACAGAGTTCTTCAAAATGTTATGCCAGAATGCCATCCAAAAGAAGTGGATAGAAAGAATTTTCAGGATAAATTAGAAAACTCCTTGCATGTCCTCAGTCAAATAAATTCTCAGTTACAGCAGCCTTTATTTATAAATTTGAAAATTGAGCATATTGAGAAAGAAATGGATAATTGTGAAGAATTTGAAGGAAAAGTTCAGGCAGAAATGTGTTGCATTAAAGCTATGACTGTTACTGAGAAGCAAAGTGAAGGAAATGCATCTGCAGCTAGTGATGTGGAGATAAAATTACATGACCTAGAAGATCTTCACATGCATCTTAATACCAGCCTCAGTTTGCGCAAAGTAAGTTCTTTTTTAATTAAGTGGTTGACACATCTTTGTATTTCATCTGATATTTTCTCTAGTTCATACATCTTAAGAAGTTATGGATTCTATATCAACCTGAGACAATTGTAGAGAGCAGTGGACACTCTGGTGGAGGGCATGGTGTTGGAATATTGTATACACAAAACCATGTCACTGACAGTATTGTAAACCATGGATCATGGAAGTAAAATTTAAACAAGTAAAAAAGTTATGGGTTATACAGGAAAATTCTCTGTAAGATAATAGCCATTTGAAAAATCACTGTGGACTAGTTTATAATCCCAACTCCACATCTTCATAGAGTGTTTGGAAAAAGAGAAATTTCAGACCCCAGAGATAGTACAGAGGGTAAGGCACTTACCTTGCGTGTCACTGCTTGGGCTGCAACTTTAGTTTAATCCCTGATGCTACATTTGGTCCACCAGGGGTCACTCTTGAACACAGAACCAGGAATTAGTATTATTCCCAACATCCACCCCCAACCCTTGCAGAAAAAAAGGACATTTTTTCCATCTTTATTTATATATCATTCATAGTCTCTGATCAGCTCACAATTTTTTTAGTTATTTAGAAGTAATAGGGAATGTTAAATGTGTTTGGTGTAGAGAAAAGCACTGAATAAAAACTAACATTTACTTAGGAATACATTGTCAAAAGCACCATGCTGAACTCTGCTATTAATCTGTGAGGTGAAGGCCATCATTTATTCCTCTTTACAATAAAAAAAGTTTAGATTTAGAAACATCAACGTACATCTAAGTCTTGCAGCAAAAACAGTGCCTGGACTCATATTGAGAACTGTCTAATTTGAGGGTAGGTTTAAGGACTATCAAATTAAGACCTGTGGATTTAATCTGATTTACAAGCCTGATTTGTAAATAACATTTTATTTGAACATGACATGCCTGATCCTTTATGGATTGTCTGTCTTCATGCTAGCACAGTATGGCTGAGTCGTTAGATTCCCTGAAAAGTTTCAAATTTTTAGTCTGATCCTTTAGAAGAAAAGTTTGTTGACTTCAGTGACAGAGAACTCTGACATATTATACCTGGGCTTCCTGGTAATAGAGTGATGTCAAATTTTTATATATATATTCCATTATTTTAGTTCATAATCTAATATAAAAGTTCCAAAGCAACAACAGGTATTATAAGACATGAGGGAGGGGATGTATATTTTTAATTCAGATTAGATTTTCTTAGAAAAACTTAAAGCAAATTTTCTTTATGCAAACAAAAAAATAAATTATTTTAAAATAGCAATGTAAGGGCTGGAGTGATAGCACAACGGGTAGGGCGTTTGCCTTGCACGCGGCCAACCTGGGTTTGATTCCCAGCATCCCATATGGTCCCCTGAGCACTGCCAGGAGTAACTCCTGAGTGCAGAGCCAGGAGTAACCCCTGAGCATTGCCGGGTGTGACCCAAAAAGCAAATAAATAAATAAAAAAAATAAAATACCAATGTAATATTAGCAGAGTGAAAGTGTGAGAGGGGTAACTCTCTATTTTTTTGGTCGGGGCACGGGTTGGGACCTAGCAGTGCTTGGGAAACTATGTGGTGCAGAGTTTTAATTAATTGAACTAGGGTGCCAGCAAGGGTGAATACATCTCTTCAGTCCTGAGATGGTGACTCTTATGAGTTACATATCATGAATGCACCACCAAAATTCAATATTTGACATAATCCTCCAAATTTGACCATTTTGCCACAGCATTTATTTTCCTGTTTTCCAGAATGTTTTGAATGATGCCTATGAAAATATGGCGCGCTATGATGAGGCAGTTACCAAGATGATGGAGATTATCAGTGCCCTCGAAACCACGCTTGCATCACATAGAGTTGACCCTGATCATCCAGAAGGTTCCCTGGAGAAGCCTTCCTGTCAACAGAGAGAATTGGAATCCACAATGGCAGACATCCAGGACCTCTCTGAGAAGTTGGGGGCTGTCTGCAGCCCTGAAGCTAAACTCCAACTTCAGCAAACTCTTCAAGAATTATCTTCTAAGAGCTCAGCCTTGAGAGAGGCAATCAAAGTTAAGGAAGCTGAGATAGAAAGGTATGTTCTTTCTAGAGCTAAGGTTTTACAAAAATATATAGATTTTTCTTTATTATAAACAAGACTTTTAGAAATAATTCAGAACACTGGAACATAAGGAAAAGTTTTTTAAAAATCTTAAAAGACATGTTCTTTATATTGATTTTACTTTAAGTATTGACAAATTAGAATATATATATACAAGTCTATGATATAAAGAATAATGATAAAACAAACTTTTGTAAAGACTCAAAGATAAACATTGTGACTTGAGTTTTTTTAATGAATTCTTTCAGAATACCATTACCTAATATTTTAACTTACTATGTCCTTGCCTTTCAAAATAGTTTTACTTATGTACTTATATCATGTTCTGTGACTTCAGTTTTGTCAAACTTATGAGCCTGAAGTTTATGAATGTTATTTCAATTAAATGCTAAAGCAGAGATTTTAAAACTTATTTGGCCTATTGCCCACTTTTCCAAGAGGAAAAAAAAATCCCTCAGAATTTCCTGGAAATCTACCTTTAAGTAAACCACCAGAAAGCAACCCTGCAGGTGAACTGATTACTGTTACTCCCATCTGCTCACACCTGCCACTGACCAAGATCCTCCAGGGGGCAGTATTGCCCACAAACACTGCTCTAATGAGGGTTTGTTTGTTTGTTTGTTTGTTTGTTTGTTTGTTTTTAAAAAAACCTTTGGAATAGCTTTCAGAATGACTATCCGACATCATTTTTTCAGGCAAAGCCTGACTAGCTACCCGTGAAGTATTCGATATGCCAAAAACAGTAACAATAAGTCTCACAATTTGTTGTGAGACGTTACTGGTGCCTGCTCAAGCAAATTGATGAACAATGGGAGGATGGTGTTACCTTGTGAAAAGTTTGATCACAAGTATAGGAGAAATTCTTTGTATTATATTTATATTGGAATTCTTTTAGAAAACTGCAAAAGTTGAATGAGAAAAGATAAGAACAAATTTAAGATTAGATGATTTTCTACAAGAATTGTATAAAGTTTCTTCAAGAATTTACACTTTATTAGCACTGTCGTGAATGCTTTGAAGAGTTTTATCTGCCTGTTAAAGTGCACTAAAAACTTTACACTGGGACAGAAAGTACAGTGTAAAGGAACTCTTGAATGTGGCTAACCCCCATTCAGTCCCTGAAACTGCATGTAGTCCCCTGAGAAACAAAATCGGGAGTCAGCCCTGAGCAATGCTTTGAAGTCCCAAGCCTAAATAAATAAATAAATAAATAAAAAGCTTTACCTTTACACTGATTTATGTGGGGGAGGAGGTGTCAATGAAATTTTGAAGTACATTAAAGAGCAAAAAGACAATTATATTTTTATCAAGTAGTCAGCAGTGTTCAGAATTTATTGCACTAAATAAAATTTGTCAACACAGTTTTTCTCCCCTGTTATCTCCTTAGGTGTCTACAGAATTGCAGACGTAACATAGATCTGAGAGAGAAAATGCATGCTAACCTCAGCAAAATGGAGACAGCTCTTGCGCAGTCCATGTCCCTGTTTCCAGGATCTTATAAAGAAGCATTAGAGCACTTGGAAGAGAGCAAGGTAAAAGATTTGCAGGTTTCCAGTTAGTTTACAAAAAAATTGGGGATATGAGCAAGTCGAGACAGCAGGTAATAAAATGTGGCTCTCTTAGGATCTATAGAAATCTTGAACCTGACTTGCATACACAAGAAAATGTCCCAAATCAAAAGCTAGAGAAGGGAGGAAATGAAGCAGTGGTTTGGAAGTGTTTTTAATCACTTGGGTTCGCTTAAATTCTCCCTGGAGTCTCCTGTTTCTATTGATCACTTTTTTTGTGAAGCTTTATTTTTTGTGCTAAATTGCTGGATATTGCTGGACAATATAACAGCCTTCCTGACCCCTGAAAACTGCATGACTGACTATGTTACATGCTGAGTTTTGGTTACTTTGTTCTCTGTTTACCATTTAATTCTAGTTTTTGTTTATCTTATCTGTTTTTAAACCCCTTTATACTATGTTATTAAGATTTGAATGAGAACATTCTAAATCACAGGTGATTAACATCCACCCCCTGAACAAACAAGCAGACCAAAAAAAAAAAATGGGTAAATATTGGCATGGAGATTGATATACTAAGTATTGTGCAAGTTCTTTACCTTTACTCATAGTAACATATGAGATGTATTAAAACAACAAAATTTCTCAGCACCTCCTATGATCCCCCAGGCCCTCACTGAGTGATCCCTGAGTAGCCAGGAGTAAGCCCTGGGCACAGCCAGGTGTGGCCCCAAAAAACAAAATAGTAAAATAATGTAATTAACTTTTCTTTATTACATTCTTACTGTAGAAAATTAATTTGAGGGCAATTATTTGTCTCTGAAGACCCAAATTAATATTTGGGTAATGTAGATTACTCTTATCTGACTCTCTTACACTGCCAAAAAACATAAAAAGTGGATCAAGTAATGTGTTTGGGAAAATGTAAAATTATTCCTTGTTGAAGTTTTAAACATTTTTCAGTTTTATGAAATGAAGAGACTTCATATTTTCTGTGGGTTTTTTTTTTTTTTTACTTTTTGGGTTACACCTGTCAATACAGAGGGGTTACTCTTGTACTCACGAATCACCCCTGGTGGTGCTCAGGGAACCATCTGGGATGCTGGGAATCAAACCTGGTTAGCCGTTGTGCAAGGCAAAACGCCCTACCTGCAGTGCTATTGCTCCAGTTACTTTTCTTTTTTAAGGCCCTGGTTTCCAACGTTTTGTCAACCAAGGAAGAGTTGATGAAACTCAGGCAGGTCCTCAGACCCTGGGGACCCGCGAGCACAGAGAATGATGATCCAAGTGTGCCAAGCGCAACCGAGGCGCTGTGGAAGAAATGGCTCCGCCTCCTGGAAGCAGCTCGGGAATGGGAGATGTGGTGTGAGGAACTGAAGCAGGAGTGGAAGTTTATCAACGAGGAAGTGAGTCCTTCACCTTTCACAGTCTACTTGTGTCTAAACAGATGACTTCATTACTTTTTGTTGTTGTTTTTGTTGTTGCTTTTTGGGGTCACACTCGGCGATGCACAGGGGTTACTCCTGACTCATGCACTCAGGAATTCCTCCTCACAGTGCTCCGGGGACCATATGGGATGCTGGGGATCAAACCCGGGTCTTCCGCTTGCAAGGCAAACTCCCTACCCGCTGTGCTATTGCTCCAGTCCCCATTACTTTCATTTTTTAAACATAAAAATGAGACGTTAGTCTGTGTCATTGGTATAGCTATATGCAACCTAGAATCATCTGAAGAGTTCAGGTAAAATATTCCCCAAGAAATTTTTCAGATCCTTTTTTATTCTTTGTGTGTGTTGCGGGGAGAGTATGGGAATGGGTTTGGGTTATGTCCTGACAGTGCTTAGAAGTTATTCCTGACTCTCTGTTCAGGGCACTATATGCAGTGCGAGGAATCAAACCAGGCTCAGCTGCAGGCCAGGCATGCTCCTTAAAGCCTGTAGTATCTCTCTGGCCCACTCCTTTCTATTTCATTATAGGAATGGTGCTTATGAGACTATATATTTGAAGGCATTTTCATAATAGTCTTTTCATTTTAGTGTCAAGTATGATTCTTTGTTTTTGGGCCACACCCCGATGGTGCTCAGGGCTAGTCCTGGCTCTGTGCTCAGCATTGACCTCTGGTAGTGTATAGGGGAACCAGTTGCCCCCTGGGGAGTCAGCTGGGTAGACCCCATGCAAAAGAAGTACTTTAACCCTGTACTGTTTCTCTGGCCCTCAGTTTTACTCTCACTTAAAAAAGTGACTACTTGTTCATTGAGTTTAGTGCTGGTAAGTTAAAACCCTTAAGAAACAACTCTCGCAGTGCCAGAGAGACAGCATAGGAGGTGAGTTACATGCCTTGCATGTAACTGTAGTGGCCCCAGACCTGTTTTGCATCCCTTGTACCACATATGGCCCACTGAGCATAGATGGGGGTTACTCTGGAACACAGAGCTACAAAGTAGCCCCTGAGGACTACTGTTTGGGACCCAAATTCAATATAAAACAAAAATAACTGTCTCATGTTATACTAAAACTTAAATGGTAATAAAGCATACTAAATCACTAATTTTGAAATCACTACAATTGCTAACTATAGAATTACTGAAATTGCTAAGTCTGGGCCTGAAAATATGATGTCTGATAGTCATTCTGAAAGCTATTCCAAAGGAGATTTGTAAAACTTAAATGGTAAAACTTAAATGGTAATAAAGCATACTAAATAATTTTGAAATCACTACAATTGCTAACTATAGAATTACTGAAATTGCTAAGTCTGGGCCTGAAAATATGATGTCTGATAGTCATTCTGAAAGCTATTCCAAAGGAGATTTGTATATTAATCATAGACATTAGCATAACTACATTTCAGGACTTATATATCATCTATTTGGGGAAAAGAACCTTTAATGATAAGAAATAGCCCTAGGATATTCCTTAATCTCTCTAAAGGACTGGGTATAAATGAAGTACAACTCAGAGCATTAAATGAAAGTCTTGGGCTGTAGTGATAGTTGAGTGGGTTGGGCGCTTTCCTTACACACTGTCCACCAGGGTCGATCCCCATAAATTCATTTGATCCCCTGAGCCCTACCAGAAGTGATTCCCAAGTACAGAGCCAGGAATAAACCCTGAATACAGCTACCTGTGGCCTGAAAACAAAAAAATGAAACAAGAAAAGGAAAGTCACGGCCATGCCCTTAGGCTTTGCTTGACTGGAGAGGGAGGTGGGGGAGTTGGAAGTGGGAGGGGGAAGAGGAGGGTCACAGTGTATGCAAAAGTCACCTGAGGATCTTGTGCACTCTAGCCAGCTTCATCAGTGACTGCATAAATTGTACCACTCCTACATCTTCCTGCTTCTCTCTCTTTGGAATTACTCATGCAGGAAAATGGGCCGCATCAAATCTTTTACTTTCCTCTTTAAAAATAAGTAAATGGACTGAAGAGTTAGTAACTGAGTAGGGAACTTGCCTTGCCTGAAGCCCATCCTAATTTGATCTCAGGAATCCCAAATAGTTCTCCAAGTCCTGCCAGGAGTGATTCCTGAGCACAGAGTCAGGAATAAGCTCTGAGCATTGCAGGGTTTGGCACCCCCTTACCCACAAATCCTAAAATAATAATATAAATAAATAATCTCTACTTAGTTCAAAATTCTTACTAAGGACGTTGTTTGGTGACGGGTCACATCCCTCACATCTGAGAGGTCTGTGTTCACTCCTTTTCACCAGAGAGAGAGGAAGTGAGGGAAGGGAGAGAGAGAGAGAGAGGGGGGGGGGGGGGGAGAGAGAGAGAGAGAATCAGAGGTAACATAAAGGTAGTGTTGGAGACAGGAAGCAGTAATATTATTGTAACTGTTTTAACCACATTATCTAAACTATAATAAAAAACTAATTAATTTAAAGAGTTCCAACCATTTAGGTCCTCAAGCATGGAACCTACCCCGAAGTATTGACTTATTCCACTTCTCTCTTAAGTAAATTCAGTGGAAATTTTGTTCCCTTTAAATGCACATTTGGGATAAGTGATGGGGGATTGATTAGTAAATGTCCTTTCAATGTTAAATGCTTAGGAGCTTTCTGAATCCACTTCTAGCATAGTTGCTAATGTCTAGTTCTTTCCCCTCTGTCATTGAATTCCTTTGGTTGAATTCTTCAGTGAACTCTTCACCCACAAAGCACCTGGATCCTCGCACATCCAGGAAAATCCCCCAGGCAGCACAGAGACTCTTCTAGAAGAGGGAATATGTGATCCTTGTGGCTGCTGTTTTACTGTCTTTGCCCTTTTGGGCATAAAGTTTGTTGGGTTTTAACAATTGCAATAGTATTTAGGTTTAAGAGGATAGAAAATACAGATTCCAAAACTGAATCGTACACAGAGACCAGTCTATACCTTGTAATCTAGTACTTGCTCACACAGCTGGATTCTAAGATCCAAACAGACATCTTTTTTTTTGTTTGTATTTTTTTGGAGCCACACCTGGCAATACCCAGGGGTTACTCCTGGCTTGACACTCAGAAATTACTCCTGGTGACGTTTAGGGAACTATATGGGATGCCAAGAATTGAACCCAGGTGGGCCACATGCAAGGCAAGCACCCTACCCACTATATGATCTCTCCAGCTTGAAATTAGATATTTTATTCCCTGATACAGAACTTCTAATTCTCCAGGTTTCCTCCATCATTGTCAGCATTCTGAAAAGGTTTTGTTTGTTTATTTTTTTGTCACACCTGGTAATGCTCAGGGGTTACTCCTGGCTCTGAACTCAGGAATTACTCCTGACAGTGCTCAGGGGAACCACATACAATGTCTGGCATAAAACCCCTGTTGGGTGTGTGCAAAGCAAAAGCCCTACCCGCTATACTATCGCTCCAACTCCCAATTATCAGCATTCTGATGAATGATTCTGAGCAGTATTCCCAGTGGAGTACACATTGGGATCAGTGGTTCTGAGCAGTTTTCCCAGTAGTCTACATTGTCTCCTAAATCCAGTACATCCATCCAGTACTTTTTCTTGACGATAGAAGCACAAGATGATCTTCATCTTAACTGGGTCCTAAAATACTAGTTGATACTGGCACATAGAAACTTTATTTCCTATACTCTTCCATGTCTTCCTGGGCACTCAGTGAACAGGTCCTTGTTCACTATTTCAGTTAGCATGATATCACAAGTATCGTTGGCTGGCATGCTGGTCGGAAAGATGCAAGATGCTTGACTTAGTTTGAATATAGAGCAGAAGATTTAACAAGACTCTAGCAGAGTGTGGTGGAAATATAGAAGGACAGCTGAGTGGGGAGACGAGATTAGAGTAGGGGCATGGGAGGATATTTTCCATATCTTTATTCTGAGTCCAGGATTAGTAGGATTCCAGTTTCCAGCTATGTGGTGTATTAAGTAATTTCCTGGGTTCTGGATAGAGCAGTGATTGACATAGATACATAGTTAGTTCAGTGACGGGGTGGTTTTCCTGTTGGCAGATATCAGGGTACTCAGAACTCACTGATCTTCCTTTTGGGGCATATTAGCATCAGAAGGGAAAGAAATGAAATTTGCAGGGGAAATGTTCATATCAAAGAGTTGCCCAAATTCTTGTAATTAATGGTGCTTCTCATTCACTGTTATATGTTTATCTAGAGAGAAATACTGTTTAATTCAGCTAACATCAGAAGGAGAAATACATTACGAAGATATTCCACAGCATGTTATGCCAAGATATTTCCTTCCACTCACAATGATAATTGTTCGCATCAGTCACTTACCACCATGATCAATAGCAGGGAACTATGGGAGTCAACTAGTAGAGGATATTCCCAACTTGAGAAATATCATATTTGCTTTGAACTAGGATATGGTATTAGAAACCCTTCGAAAGAGCCTCTATACATAAATGATGGCTGCAGAGTCTCTTTCTGATCCATGGACATTCAAGGGTACATTTTACTTATTATAATTTGTATGTGTGTGTTCTAGAGATCAAACCCAGGTCTCAGGCAGGCAAGGCATGTGCTTCACTTCTGAGCCACATCTCTGGAGCTCTCCCTTCTTTTTTTTTTTTTTTTACTGATCTTAGCTCTCTTTTTCAATTGAATTAGATCGAACGAGAAGCAATTATTTTAGATAATCTTCAAGAGGAGCTCCCTGAAATTTCCAAAACAAAAGAGATGGCTACCACCGAGGAACTCTCTGAGCTGCAAGACTGTTTATGTCAGTATGAAGAGAATGTAGAGACACAGCAGCTGTTACTGACACTACTTCTCCAGCGAATAAAGAGCATCCACAATACTCCTGAAAATTTAGGCACTCTGGAAACTGTCCCATCATTTAAAGAGATTGCATCTATGCAAGAACGAAGCCACAGGTAAGATATGTGAGAAACTCTTAAGGAAATGTGCTTGACAACTCAGTCTGAAAGTTTTCAATTTTTAGAATATAAAAATATTATAAATTAATGACAGATGATATTAAACAATTGAGTTGAGCCAGCACTGGTAGGTGTAAAAAGGGATTGGAAAGCTTAATGATGGTAATTATAATAAGTACTCATTTCTCAGCCTGTTTCACTAAGAGGACTATGATTTTGGGGGGGTTATTTTTTTAATTTAGTAATGTATTTTTATTATAGGAACTGTAGAGAACATGTAAACTTCTAAAGCTTAATATAAAACCCACTATTAATCTTACTGCCCAGCAGCAGTCACTTTTGGTTGTGATCATGATATTTAATGTTTTGTATGTGACCGAATCATTTCACCATACCATACCTTTTTCAATATTTTTTAAAAATATAGTTGTATAGAAGTTTATCATGTTCAAATTCCAGATTTTATTCACCAGGCACCTTAGATGGAACCTTTAAATTATCTGTACTTTTATACTTTTATATGAACACTTTAGTGAATTCTTTTTTAAAAGGAAGGAGTCTCTAAAGTGATATACAAGGGGCCCAGGGGCCCTCCTAGAGCTTCTCAGTCAGTCAGGGTAACAGCTCAACTCAAAGGCTGAGGATGCAGTGCTGCTCAGCCCTGAGGTGCTGGAGATTATCTAGGTCACCTCAGAGGTGCTGTCAGGCCTTCAGGGTTGTATTTGATGATGCTTGAGGCTCCATGCAGTGGCAGGGATCTAATTTGGGCAGCAGCATGCAAGGCATACACCTCAACTCCTATCTCTCTATCCCCATGTAGTGAATGTTTGTATGCAGAATTTCTATCTGTGTCGTGATTAATTCATTGAGAAACATGCCAAGAAATAGATTCCTTGAGCCCAAGTTTGCAATCAATTTATGACTAGAGAAGTGTATCAAATAGCTCTCAGAAATGCTTTTACCCACTTCAATTACTCTACTAATACGGTGGCTACATCTGCAGCAAATGGAGTCAACTGAGTATGTCAAGTCTAGTATGGCCATTTGTTCTCTGCAGCCCACCCATAACTCCATACATAGTGCTACATTATAATTGGTTGAATTCAAGCGTTATCTAAAATAAAAACAGAGGTAGAAATTAAAATGTAAGTGCGCAAAGAAAATATTTTAGGGTGGAAAGCATCTGAAGTGATATTTTGTGATCGAATCTGATATAGGTTTTGGAGCAATAGCACAGCAGGCAGGGTGTTTGCCTTGCACGCGGCCAACCTGGGTTCGATTCCTCCGTCCCTCTCGGAGCGTCTGGCAAGCTACTGAGAGTATCCCACCCGCATGGCAGGACCTGGCAAGCTCCCTGTGGCGTATTCGATATGCCAAAAACAGTAACAAGTCTCACAATGGAGATGTTACTGGATCCGGCTGGAGCAAATCCATGAACAACCGGAGGAGGACAGTGCTACAGTGATATAAATTATAAAAAGCAGATAGTTTTCTGGGAAAAAGGTCTTGTGAGCCATGTAGACATTAATTATTAGAATAAAACTATTTCACAGAACAGGGTAAATTTTTATTTTGTTGCTACATTTTAGACTTTTGCAGAAAGCTCAAAATAATAAGGAATTGATAGAGAATGAAGTGCAAGAAAGGCATTCCTTCACAAAAGGAATTATTACTTTGAAGAAGTTATTTCAACAGACTGCAACTTCGTTGCAAAACTTGCAGTTACAAGACCACCCAGAAAAGAAAGATCAGCTTGAGGTAAGTGAGGAATGAACCAGTGAAGGTGCTGCTATAGATTCACCATAATGAGACCAGAGTCCATAGATCAGAGGTAACTGGGTAAGTGGAGCAAGGGTGTAAGAGTATGGAAAGCACATGCAAAGGCCCTAAGGTACAAGAGGCACAGAGTCATAAGAGATCACGGGAGTGAGTTTGGAGAGCAGAGAGCAGAGTTGAGCTTAGGTCATGGGGTGGGCCACACTGGACTCCAGCAACCTGTTTCAAGTATGTTATTGATTAGGGACTTCAGCCAACTCTTTTTTTAATTGTTGCTGGATTTATTAAACTACATTGACTGTCAAATATATTAAATATATTACAGTCCTACATTGTGCATGACATAATCTGTCCTGGGAGTGAAGTCAGGGTGAGAAGGCAAAGCCTGTGGACTCTATAAGCAGGAGCAGGGTGTCTCATGCTTTGCACAAACACTGGTCATTGAGAGGAACAGGTCAGCCAGTTATCCAGGGACTCTGAGCATTTGAAGTTCATCGCCGCCCCTCCGTGAGTGGGACTGGAGTGGGACCAGGGCTGGGTGCTCAGGCAGATACAAGGGAAAGATGTCTTCTCCAATTCAGCCAGCTCTTGAGTAACATGTTCCACTACATGCTTTTTAGAAAGATACAATACATATAATGCCGGTTACTGTTTTTATGCATAATATTTCTGATATCAAATTGTACATGCGTGATTTTCCTTATACACCAACCTATCCTCCAACACTCTGGTATCCCATAATTTCATTTCATTCTGCCACTAACTCCCCAGACATAGCATGAACTCCACAGGTCAAGGACTAACCCCAACAAGGCCAACCTTACTTCCTGTCCCATCATTGGTCCAGATCTTCCCCTACTTAGGACTGCCAGGCTATAAATCTCCTTCCTTAGGTTCAGTAGTTTGCTGTATTGGCCACAGGACTCAGGTAAGTGCTTTACCAACCTTTGCTGATTTGTTGGAGGACATGCCTCAGAAACAGATGGGGATGGAACGCAGGCCTACGTGGCTTGTCTATCCTGCCACTCTCCCAAACCTCCCATGTCCGCCAGTTCAGAAACTTGCCAAATCATTACCGGAAGGTTTCTATGGGATGTTCCATTCTGTGACTATGATCGATGAAATCACTGACCATTTGCAAGTACCTCAAATCAGCTAAGTTCCTCTGGATCCAGTTCTTATTCTGAAATTACTAAAGATCCCCACCCCCCCCAACCAAGAGTTAGGTATGGCTTAAAAATCATGTTACTGAATATCAAAGATGCTTTTCTCACTCCTATCCCTCAGGAACTTCAAGGATTTTATTTCTGTGCCAGGAACTAGGGACAAAGCAAATAAATGCATTTATTCTGTCACAGGAGCTATGCCCATGTTAAGGGATATTTGCAAACTCATCTCTTCTCCCCCCACCCTTGAATTATTTTTTTTATCACAGGTAATGGGGGGAAATTGTATTTGATATCACTGTATCACTGTCATCCAATTGTTCATCGATTCACTTGAGCAGGAGCCAGTAACGTCTTCATTTGTCCCAGCCTTGAGATTTTAGAAGCCTCTCCTTACTCGTCTTTCCCGACACTGCCATATTGGAGGTTTTTTTCAGGGTCAGGGGAATGAGACCCATTATTGTTACTGTTTTTGTCATATCGAATATGCCACGGGTAGCTTGCCAGGCTCTGCCATGTGGGCAGGATACTCTTGGTAGCTTGCCGGGCTCTCCTAGAGGCACATATATATATATATATTTGATATATATTGTTATTTTTTTTAAGTTAAAATAGGATTTGTTTGGAAGATTTGAGGAGGGGAGAGAGGGAAAGAGAGTGAACAGGGGGGATGGAAGGGGAGAGAGGGAGAGAGAAAGAGAGAGAGAGAGAGAGAGAGAGAGAGAGAGAGAGAGAGAGAGAAGAGAGAGAGAGAACATGCTCAAGACATAAAGTGGACTTCTCCAGAGTGCTGAGCAAGCCCCAGTACACATCCGAGCATTAGGCATGAAGGTTTGAAAGCACACATCTCAAGAGGGGAGATGTGGGTAATTCATGTGCTCGAGCACCCTATGCACTTGGCAACAACACCTGGGCATAGACGTACATCTGCGTTATGCTTGTTAATTTAAAACTTGCTCTTCTTAATCAGACCTTTGCATTTTTAATGTTGAAAAACCAAAGTTACGAGGGAGTGGCTCAGGGAGATTTTTGAAAGCTTGCTCCCCAAATCTGTGCTCCCCCTATTCCCGGAACCATGTGACCTCCAAGCTGTGGCTTCTGGGGCCTGAGCAGCAATGTGTGGCAGCCCAGCACTGAACAGTCAGGTTGATTAAGTAAAACCCCCATGTGGGCCCAGGGCCCTCTGAGCATTGCTTGAGAGCCTTCCTCTCACCAAAAAAAGAAAAGAGAGAGAGAGAGAGAGAGAAGGGGGGGCAGAGGCAGAGAGGAAAGAGAAAGAAAGAAAGAAAGAAAGAAAGAAAGAAAGAAAGAAAGAAAGAAAGAAAGAGAGAAAAGGAGACAAAAGGAGACAGAGAGAAAGAAGAAAAGTGCCTGCCATAGAGGCAGACAGGGTGTGGGGGGACGGGGGGGGGGGGACAGGAGGTTGGAGGATGGTAGGAGGGAAATGGGGGAACACTGGTGGTGGGAAACATACACTGATAGAGGGATGGGTGTTGGGTAGAAAGAGAGAGAGAAAGAGAGAGGGGGAAGGGAGGGAGGGAGGAAAGAAGGAAGGAAGGAAGGAAGGAAGGAAGGAAGGAAGGAAGGAAGGAAGGAAGGAAGGAAGGAAGGAAAAAAAAGAAGGAAGGAAGAAGAAAGAAAGGAAGGAAGGAAGGAAGGAAGGAAGGAAGGAAGGAAGGAAGGAAGGAAGAAAAAGAAGGAAGGAAGAAGAAAGGAAGGAAGGAAGGAAGGAAGGAAGGAAGGAAGGAAGGAAGGAAGGAAGGAAGGGAGGGAGGGAAGAAAGGAGGGAAGAAAGAAAACAAGATTTTTTCTTCCACTGAAACAGTTCCTCATGGAAAACCTGAGTCTGGGACTCAGTCTAGATGAAACTCATGACATTTAACCTCAGACGCTGCCTGTGTCTCCATGGCATTGCTCTTTAACCTCCTCTCTCCACTGGGTCTCTGCTGAGAGTCAGGAAACCAGTGACAAGTCATGAAGCCATTCAAATTTCTGGTCATCCTATGGACTAGTAATTTGATCCATTAACACAAATAATGGTAATGAGTGGCGACTGTAAAAAACAAAACAAACCCAGCAAAGCCACGGTCAAGTCAAGAAGTATTTTTCCACTTGATCTTTGGGAAACTTTCCCAAACAAATGAGTTTCTCCTTTATAATTAGTGCAAGCGAGGTAGATCAGATTTTGTTTCTAGGCCACAACCAATAGGCTATTTGTTCAGGTTTCTTTTATCTCCTAAAACCCACATTCTTTGCATGGAACTGTAACCCTACTTTGTGAGAGAAGCTGAGCTCTACCCGGCTGTCTAATTACATGAAAGCAGACACTTGTGCCTCAAGCTTGGGGCTTTTAGTGACCTTGAATCATTGTGATGATGATGTAGAAAGAAGTAGAAATGGCAACAAGTTAATAACAAAAAGCAAAACTTCTTTGAAACTTTTTGCTACTTGCAGCTTTCTAGATAAAGACTGCCACCAAGATACAGTTAAGTGCTAGAGGTACTTTGAAAGCACATGTTGTAATGTTCTTTTTAGAACAATGGTTTGACACTGTGAAGAGATATCAAGTTTAATTCTTACAAATTAGAAAGCATCATCTGACCAACCAGAGTATCTTTCTGGTTTAATCTTCTTGTATCAATAGTGAGGTTTGTCATGCAAAGTAGGCTCATTTAAATCATAAGGATGGGCTGGAAAGCAGCATTCATTTTTTGAGTTAAATTTTTTCTCATCCTGTGAGTAATGAAACTCTCCTCATGCTTTTAGGAGCTTCAAAGTGTTTTCAAGAAAGGAAAACTGACTTTTGAGGATATTATGGAAAAACTGCGAATCAAGTATTCTGAAATGTACACCATAGTCCCTGCAGAGATCGAATCCCAGGTGGAAGAATGCAGAAAATCTTTAGAAGACCTAGACGAGAAGGTAATAATGCTTGTACTAGTGTTACTTTTTATGGAGTTGAATGACTTTAAAGAAGAAACTGTTTTATTGTTATGTTTTCATTTGCCCTGCTTTCAGCTCTGACTGTTTATGATGAAGTGATGGTTTTGAGTATTGAATAAGATGAAATTGTTGTAAAGAAATGACATATTAACAGAATTAGTCTATTTTTGGTGGTAAAGATACTTAATCTTTTTTTGCATTAGAGTAATGCATTTTATTTATTTTTCAGAATTTAGTCACTTTTAATATTTAAACATGAGTAATATTTTGCTTTAAAGTATATTCCTTGTAAACATTTTGAACTTGCAGCCCACAACAATCACAATAGAAATTTCACAACTCTCTAAGAATAATACCTACCACTCCGTGTCTTTCTAATGATAATAGTAATAGAATACTCACAGAGCATATGTAGGCAAAGATTTCTACCTGAATCTCCTGGTTGAAAAAGTGAGGTGTTTCATAGTATTATTGAAGACCTAGTAACTTGTAAGACAGTTTTACTGGATTGTTGAAAAGCAGCCCAAATGCAGTAGAATAATAAAATTCTATGTGATCTAGCACCATTTTGTATTGCTTTTTGAATCCTAGAAGATTTCTAACTAATTAAATAACATCAATATTAAACACATACCAAAAACTCAAAATTAAATTTTCCTAAAACTAAATGACACTTTTAGGAAAATCTAAACTGTATAAATAACATATAAACTCCTACTAGAGAGATAGGTGCTTGCGTTCTATAACAAATCATTTAACGGGAAAGAAAATCTCAAGGATCGTATAGTTGTTGTTGTTTGTTTCTCCCTTGTACCACAATTGGTGGTGCTGGAGGACCCTGGGGACCATTTGTGACAGAGAAGGAGCTTTCCACATACCAGACTCCACCCCTCTGAAGATTCCCCGAGCGGCAATCCATGTACTATTAATTTTAAGAGAATGCCAAATGTTTTGAGAGTCACTGAATGTTATTCTTGTTATTACTTTATGTGAGAATCCCCAACAATATAAATACTCAAAAGTGAGTCTTTAAAATTTAAAATTGAATATTTCAACTTGTAATCAATTTATATTTTTAAAACAGACATTACAACTGATTTTTTATTAAGGTATAGACAACAGATACTTCTGCATAATTCAAATGGTTGCTTACTTTCCTAATTTATATTCATAAATGTTATACATTACTGCCATGAGAATAAATACTCATTTCAGCAGAAAGTGCATTTCTTAACCATTTGCTATATAACAGTTAAGAGCTAATACAGGAGGGGCTGGAGCGATAGCACAGCAGCCAACCCGGGTTTGATTCCCAGCATCCCATGTGGTCCCCCCAGCACCACCAGGAGTAATTCCTGAGTGCATTAGCCAGGAGTAACCCCTGTGTATCTCCAGATGTGACCCAAAAAGTGAAAAAAAAATAGTCAACACAGGAGCCTAGAGGTGGTACAGCAGGTGGAGCACTTGACTTGCTTGCTGCTGACCCAAGTTTGATCTCTGGCACCACATAGGTACCACCCAAGAGCCTGCCAGGAGTGATCCCTGAGTACAGAGCCAGGAGTAAGCCCTGAGCACCACTGAGTCACCCCAAAACGACAAAAGTAAAAACAAAAACTAAAAAGCTAATATAGGAACTTTAGAGACAGTACAGGGGTTAAGGCACTTGTCTTGCATGCTGCCAATCCAGGTACAATTCCTTGCACCAACATATGGTACCCTGGACTCTCCCAGGTCCACTCTGAGCACAAAACAAGTAATAAACTGTGATCACCACCAACTGTGGCCCCAAAGCCAAAAAATTAAGCTAAAAAAGAGATTTAAAAATGTTAAGCTACAGTTATTAAATACTGAATCAATTTTTCTCTAAAATTCTTGACTGTGGTATGATTTTGAAATAAAAACAATGTATAAAGGTGTTGATAACGTGCTGTTGAGTAAAGAACTCCCAAATTTGGGGCTGGAGAGACGGTATGAAGTGGGTAGGTTATTTGCCTTGCATGCAGCCAACTCAAGTTCAATCCCCAACATCCATATAGTCCCCTAAGCAATACCTGGAGTGATTCCTGAGTGCAGTGCCAAGAGTAACCCCTGAACATTACTGGGTATGACCCCCTGTCCCCCATAAAAGAAAGAATTCTGGAATCTGGTGACTTGGGGCTTTTCAGTCATTCAGGTACCCAATCTTTCATTTCTGTACCTGTGTTCTTTCCAAGCTGGAAGGTTTTCTTCTCACTAATCCTATCATTACAGATTTGGTGGTTTCTTTATTTTCTGTTTTATTACTCAATATTTATTTGCTAATTATTTGTGTTTTAATTTTTCTTTCTAGATATGGTGGTTTTGGGTTTTATTTTGGTTTTGGGATCATGTTGGCTGTGCTCACAGCTTACTCCTGGTGTTATTTTCAAGGATTACTCCTGGCAGGGCTCAGGGAACCATATGGAGTGCTGGGGATCAAACTCAAGTCAGCAATGTTCAAGGGAAATGCATGACCCACTCTACTCCAGCCCCTAGATAGTCGTTTTATTATTTTTTATTTTTTATTTTTTTGCTTTTTGGGTCACACCCGTCAATGCACAGGGGTTACTCCTGGCTCTGCACTCAGGAGTTACTCCTGGCGGTGCTCAGGGGACCATATGGGATGCTGGGAATCGAACCCGGGTCAGCCGCGTGCAAGGCAAACACCCTACCCGCTGTGCTATCTCTCCAGCCCCTAGATAGTCATTTTAAAAGAGAATTAAACTGGGATTATGGCTCTGTAAGTAGAGCGCTTGGGTTGCCTGTGGGAGATCTTGGGTTTGATCCTCAGCATGCGGGGAAGGGAGAGAGTGAGAGAGAGAGACAGAGAGACAGAGACAGACAGAGAAAATTAAAAGAATTATATGAGAGCATGAAATATTGCTTGGTTATTTAGTGGCTGCTCAAAGAAAGCCTTATCACATAACTTTTAAAAAAAGAACACCAACTGAATGTTTGAAAAGCAACACATTCAGCATCTGTTTATCTTTACAAACACGTGTTATTTTCTTAAGACATTCTTTCAGGACTGGAGAGATAGCACTGCTGAATGTGGCCTAAAAACAACCCAAAAAATTTCAGATAAAAAAATTACAATGTTCAGTAGCTAGATATATAATTGCTGAGAAAGCACACTAGATACAGTCACCAAAAAAAAAAAAAAAACCTAAGTTTTGGGAAATCTTAAGAAGTAGGTAGTTTGGGGACTGGAGAGTCACTTGCCTTGCATGTGGCTCACCTGGGTTTGATCCCCAGCTTCCCATATGGTCCCTTGAGCCAACTAGGATTAAATTCTGAGCACAGAACCAGGGGTAGCCCCTAAGAATCTCCAAATTTGGCCCCTAAGCATCAACAACAAAAATGAAGTAGCTAGTTGTAGGGGCTGGAGTGATAGTATAGTTGACAAGGCTCTTGCCTTGCATGTGGCTGGCTGAGGTTCAGTCCCCAGCATTATATGTGATCCTTTGAACCCCTACAGGAGTGATCCCTAAGCACACCAGGTAGACCCCAAAAAAAGGCAAACACAAGGAAACAGTTTTAGAAAATATTTACCTAAGTGAATATTAAGCTGGAAATTTTATATATGTATATGTATATGCATTTAATAGCTTGAGAATAACTTTGGATTTGTTGAAAACTGATCTTTACATAGAATTTTGTCATAAAATGAAGAGACTCTAATAATGTACCTCCCAGGAATTCTTTTGTTTCATTTGCTCCAAGTGTACAGTTTCAGTCTACCTTGTAGTTTTGCCAAACACATTGCATGTGGGCAAGACATACTGGGGATTATATCCAATAGATTTTTGTTTGCTGAATTTCTTCTTGTAGATTGGATTTAAAAGGTCAGGTCGGTACAGCCACTTTTTCCTAAGTTTCTGATCTACCCTCTCATGAAGACATTAGCTATTAATGGTTTGAAAATTTTCCTTTTGCCCTTAAAATTTTTTCTAAGTAAAATTTCATAGCAGAGTGATGACTCTTTTTGTCTTATAAACTCTTTTTGAGGAAAACATATCTAAACCAGGTGTGTCATACTCCCTATGTTAACAGATCAGCAATGAAGTCTTGAAAAGCTCACCATCATTTGCAATGAGCAGAAAAATTAGTGAAGTTAACAATGGACTTCATAATGTTGAAAAGATGTTGCAGCAGAAAAGCAAAAATATTGAGAAAGCTCAAGAAATCCAAAAGGTAACATACATCCTAACATCCTTCTTTAACTTGGTCTTTGGTATTTGCCCAGTGTCAGACATCATAGAGTATGTTGAGATCCTGGACCACATCCAGCCCCCCACTCCTCCCCTAGCCCCCCTTGTTCTGTACTGAGAGCATCATTGCAGAGAAGGTGGAGAAGGGAGCATTTGCTAGCTTGCATGATGGAGCACATACTTAACACATGTGAGACTCAGAGTCCCAGCCTCGAGCACTGTCAGTGGCCCTATAAAAATGATAATGATGATTGTTTTAGGTGGGAGGGAATATGCCCATACTTATAGAGCCTATGATTATGAATTAGATTTTTCTCAAGTAAAGACATGTTTGCTTGTGTATCTCAGTGTCTTACAATCACCTGTATAGTCAGTGTCGGTTGGGGAAGGAGGGGTGTGACACCCGGCAGTGCATGGAGGCCATATGAGGTGCCAGGCCTCAAATTCAGGCCAGTTGAGTGCAAAGAAATTCATTAGCCCCTGTACTATAACTCTGACCTAAAAATAAGGATCTTGGGAGACGGATACAAAAATGTTTCAATAGCATACATATATTCACATTGATAACTTTTCTTTAAGTGTTTCAATGGAACATAAAAGAAAATAGAATTTCTGAGTTGATCTGCCTTGTAAAATGTCTCAGGAAACAAAGTTTTAGCTAAAATTGTACATAAACATGATGGTTTTTTCTCTTAATACCCAAGGAAAGCCTTCTAATCTAAATTCCAATTTCCATTTTGAGCAGATATTCCAGTATTACTGGTTACTTTAAAAATTGGGTCAGATTTAAAAAAAAATGGGTCAGATTATAGTTCAACATTGGATAAATCTTGGACTATTCACCTCTGCCCTGGTTTTTCCTTCCCTTTATTGACATCGTGATGGGGGGAGGCAGAAAGGGGGGATAGTCACACGCATCCCTGGCTGTGGTGTTTGCACATTTTGCTGTGGTTCTAACCAAGGATTAAAGGTCTTTAGTTGTGTTGTTTACACACATTCTGATTGTAGTGCTCAGCGGGGGCTGAATTTCTTTGTTGTGGTACTTGCATATCTTTTACTTGTGCTTACCAAAGGTTGCAGCCCTTCACTTGTGGTGCTCACATTCATTTGACTATGGTGCAGCTGGAACTTGTTCATGGCACTGGGGAACACAGACAGAATTACCAGATTCAAACCACAGAGCTGTCAGAACACACCTGGTGCATATGGTAGCACCAGGAATTGAACTCAAAACCTTACACTTTATGGGCAGGGTTACTTTGGTTTGGGAGCAATGCCTGGTGGTGGCCTGGGGTTACTCTCAGCACAGTGTTCAGGGGTCATTCCAGGTGATGTTCAGGGGACCACAGACCACACAGTGATGGGAATTGATCCTGGACTCCTGCATTCAAAGCACACACTCCAGCTCACTGAGCCATTTTTCTGGCCCAAATCTTGAAATCTCAATAAACAATTTAACTAGTCAAAAATTTCTCAAATATGTAAAAATTATGCCCTGATGCAAAGTATTAAGTAATATTTTAATATCTAACCTTTGAAACTTCCTTCACCCAGATATGTCTTACAGTTGAATCTCACCTAGTTTCTTAAGCCTAGGAAACAAATTCAGCTAATATTGCTGCTAGAATGTTCTGCTACTCCATCAATCCTGAACCAAAATAGTTATTTTCATTTTAATGGTTTTATTTTTACATTTAATGAAGATGGCCATTGGACTGGAGTAACAATACACAGCTTGTCTTGCTTGCAGCTGGCCCACATTTAGTCCCCAAACCCCAGATTGTCCCCCAATTCCATAGGAGTGATCCCTGAGTGCAGAACCAGGTGTGGTCCCATAACCAAAAATAAGGTCTTCTGTATTCAGTACATGTATATACTGATCTAAACAGGTTCTGTATTAACCAAAGCCCTTTGCTTAATAGTAAGGAGGGCTTTCCCAAGTGATGCTCAAGAGACGTTTGGCTTTTCTTAGCCAAAAGGGCTAGTGGTTCACTGTGGAGGCCTGAGGATATTGAAATGCTCAGGCCTCCTAGAGACGAGAGTTACCCTTGTCACCCCAGCTGTGCTCTGGAGCCTTTAGGGTTACACCTGGTTCGACTCAGGGGACCTCAAGGGCTGCAACCAGCAAAGAAAAAAACCTGTGGCAGCAGGCATTGAACCATGGGCTTTAATCCCTGTATTATCTATCCAGTCCCTCCCCCCAATCCCTGTTTACTTCATTGTGGGGGGCCTGGAGAGACAGTATAGGAGTTAATGCACTTGCCTTACAGTCAGCTAATCTGAGCACAGGCCTCAGCACTGTATATGGTCCTCTGCACACCACCAGAAGTGGTCCCAGAGCAAGAGCCATGATTAAGCCCTGAGCATCGCTGGGTGTAGCCTCAAAACGAAAATAAAATAAATCAATAATAATAATAATAATAATAGCCCTTTCACCTCAATCCCCTTTGGGACAAGGAGCAGGGAATGCCCAGCCAATTTCAGGGGCTGTTCCCAGCATGGTGCTTAGAGGTCACTCCTGGTGATCTTTAGGGGACCCTGAATGCAAAGCATGAGCTGCCTTTAAGCTATTTCGCTAGCCCCTAAAAATAGCATCCCTTTAAAAAGTAGTTTTACCTCATCATTCTTTAAAGATCAGGGTGACATTGACCTTTTTTGGAGTGATTTATCTCTGGAAATGTCCAGGTCTTTGTGTTCTCTTATAGCTAATTCATACTGAAGTGGAAACATTTAGAGTTAAGAGATCTTGGGAATTGGTTTTTTCAGGTTAGGGCACAGAGGCTGCTAGACCGAAGTTAATGAACAGCTGTGCCTGTGATGTTGTCTTTGTGATGCTGCTTTGGTCGCCTTTACAAGCGCAAATACCATGTGCAAACCAGGAATGAACACACTGAACCATGATGCCGGTTGCATTTGAGCTGACTTCTGATTTTCTTCTGCAGAAAATGTGGGATGAGCTGGATCTCTGGCATTCCAAGCTCAATGAGCTGGATGCTGAAGTCCATGACATTGTGGAAGAGGACCCGGGTCAGGCTCAGGAATGGATGGATAACCTGATGATTCCCTTCCAGCGGTATCAGCAGGTATCCCAGAGAGCAGAATCGAGAACCTCACAGTTGAATAAGGTATGGGTGATGGAACACACTTGCCCCAGTCACATGTGGGGTGTGGGTGATGGAACACAATAGCCCCACTCACACTACATGTGGTAGTAAGAGGGTTTGAAACAAAAGTACAATCAGACAGTTTCCCCTGAATCACCAGTCTGAGGTCCTGCAGCTGGAGCTGATGGGTAATGCAGGGACAAATTTTACTGTCAGGCTGTCCAAAGCAAGCATCCGAGTTATAGCAGGCATCCAGGCAAATGTCTGGCTTCCTAGTAGGTAAGGGTGTTTAGGGCAGTTGTCTGAAGAATCCGAGAGAGGGAGCAAACAGTTGATCTCCCACTCCCTTCCAAATAGGGGTGAGAGTGAATGAGTTGAATATGTGATCAGGCCAGAGCAGGATCTTTATGTCAGAGGAACGGGGATGGTACAGGACAAGACTGTATAGCAGGAGGAAGTACAAATTCAGTTTTCAGCTGGAAACTTAACAAGGCTAACTCAAAAAAGCTTGCTGAGGTCCTTAGCGTTGGCGCAGAATATCTTCAAGCCCTTCCACCTGTAATCAGATATGTGTTCATGGAAGGATCAGAACTTGGAACGAATTGGGCAAGTGACTATAGCAGTGGATCTCTGTATGTCTGACATGCCTCCAACTGAGAGAAATCAGGCTTCACTCAGGAATCATTCAGCAGAGGCACAGGAGTAAGCTGAAGTACTAGAGCACATACACAGCCCATGTGAGGCCCTGGGTTGGATCCCTCGTCCCACAAATCGCCCCCCCTCCCAGCCCCCGCCAAGCTTCCTTTGGTGTATCCCTCATGGCCAGGTAGCTCCCAAGGACTGTGCCCCTGTGCCAAATGACCCCCGGGCCCTCTGAATCCTTTGGGAAGTGGGGGACGGCTCTTATTAAAAATTATCCATCTCATGGAACCATGGCAATAGTACGCTTACCTTGCACACAGCTGACCCAGGTTTGATCCTGGCATCTCCTGTGGTCCCGCATGCACCGCCAGGAGTAATTCCTGAGTGCAGAGCTAGGAGTCACCCCTGAGCTAGTGTGACTAGCTGCTAGTGTGACTCAAAACTAAATAAATAAAAAGTCATTCATCTCAATGGGAGGCAACAGCCTGGGTTTTGGCATCCCCTCTCTTTCACAGGCCACAATTAAGATGGAGGAATACCATGATCTTTTGAAGAGCACTGAGGCTTGGATCGAAAATACCAGTCGTTTGCTGGCCAATCCTGCCGACTCTGACTCTTCAAAGATGCTGAGTCAGCATGCTAGCACCCTGCAGGTGAGTGATCTCCCAGTGCTTTCTGGGATCTGCATGACGAGCAGTTCTTAACTAATCCTTGTGGTGGCGATGTTCCCATTCTTTTCTGAAAAACAGAGTTTGAGAGAGGGGTGGATTTTTTAATAGGCATTTAGAGACCACGATTTAGTTCTTTCTATCCTCATAACTTCTTCATGACTTTGTATATATAATGCAGCCTGGGCTCTATGGACCCTCATACCCCCCAGTTACATAGTAAGAATTTTGCACTGATCTTTGTTGATAGTTTTGTTACAGAATCCAAACTCTGATAAGCTCACCACCCAAAGGCCAGTGCTCCCGAGACAAGAGCCAGTTCAAGAAAAATAGGTTTCTTCGGGTGCCAGCGCCTTACGAAAGTGGGCTTCTGTCCTGAATGCCATCGTACTCTCAGGCTGGGGCTTGGTGGGTGGAGAGGGGAAAGGAGTCAGTGGACAGTGGGTAGTGATATGTAACTTACCAGGGAGCATCAGAGTTATGATGATGATGGACTGTTTCTGGTAAAAGCTTTGAAATCACAATCTCTACTTCTGTTAGTCTCCAGAGAACTTGGGGGTTGTTCTCTCCCATACATCCATGTCTGACTCCTGGTTAACATTAAATACAATTTAGGAAAATACTCCTTGGTATGGGCTGAAGCAATAGCACAGCGGGTAGGGCATTTGCCTTGGCTGACCCGAGTTTGATTCCTCTGCCCCTCTCGGAGAGCCTGGCAAGCTACGGAGAGTATCTCGCCCACGCGGCAAAGCCTGGAAAGCTCCTTCTGACATATTTGATATGCCAAACACAGTAACAAGTCTCACAATGTTACTGGGCCTGCTTGAGCAAATCGATGAACAACGGGAGGACCGTGACTCCTTGGTATTAATAAGGGGGGTGGGGGAAGGAGTGTCTTTTATAGTGGCAGGCTGGGGGAATGTGGCAGGAGGGCACATTTGTGTGGGGAATGTATACTAGTGAAGGGACAGGTGTTGGAACATTGTATGACTGAAACCCAATCATGAACAACTTTGTAACTGTTTATCTCGTGGTGATTGAATTTTAAAAAAATTTTAGAAAAAAAATAAAGTAAGTCATATTAAAAAAAGAAGAAGAAGAAGAGCTAAGGGGAAGGCCAAGTGGAGTGAGATGTTCTAAGCATCTATGTGGAGAACAGGATGGTTTCTGTAATGCCTGCTCACTTAGTTTTGATGGGCAGAATCCTAAGATGACTCCTTATGTATTTGTCTCCTGATGTACACAAACCAATATAATCTCCCTTCTTTGAGTGTGGGAGGGCATATGAATGAGATGAGAGTCTTTCGATTGATTAGGTTTCAGTATATGATTCAGATAATGAGATAATCAGTCCCATGAAGGCATTAATTAATCATGATGAAATAATTATGTGACTCCCTGGTAGCAGACTGGAGAGAGTGTCTCTTACTAATTTTACAAGTTCCCCTACCATGAGAGGCCATGGCACTAGGGCCCCAGGGCATCCTTTAGAAGTTAAGAGTGACACCCAGCAGATAGCCAGCAGGGAAGCTGGGATCTCAAGCCTAGCACTGAATGTAACCGATATCCTGAATGAACTAGGAAAAGCTCCCTAAGCCCCAGATTGCAGTTTTGTGACTTTCTGAGCAGAAGATACATTATGCTATGTCTGAACTCCAAGCCATGAAAACTATGAAATAATCAATTTGTTGCCTTTTTAAGCAACTAATTTTGTGGCAGTTAGTCACAGTGTTGGGAAATTAATCCAGGGCTCTTCCAGCTCTAGCACACCCTGCTGCTGCACTCTCTGTCCTCCCCGGGACTCCACATGTATGCCTGGTCCATGTTGCCCAGACACAAAATGAGTACAGGTGTTTCCCTGCTGAGGCACAATGGCTGCAGTTGCTTTGTCTGTTCAGTTTTATTGTGAATCCCTATTTCCCTTCTCGTGTGATTCAGCCACGAGAAAGAATCTCATAATGAAGCTTTATTATGTAACAGTTTTTACAACAATCAACCTTCAGAATGCTCCCGAATCAGTCAGTGATCTCTTGCTTCTCAGATGTTTGAGACTTGCTGTCAAATTGTTTCCTTAGGGTGACACAAATTCTTTTACTTGCTGTCTCATCTTTACTGTCCCTATATTTCCTATTCCATTTGAGTTGACATTCCAAATGCATGCCATCTTTGTACTTGTAAATGCCTATTTTTAAAGACCATTTTCAAGGAATTTGAAAAGTTGGGAGAGGAATTATGCTTTCATTTGTTTATTTAATTGGATTTTGGCCATACCTGGAGGTGCTCAGGATTTACTCCTGATTCTGTTCCCAGGCAATGCTGGGGGACCTTATGTAGTACTAGAGATTAAACTGTGTTTGGCCACATGTAAGACAAGGGCTTAAACTCCCGTACTTTTGCTCTAGCCATTGTGCCTTTATTTTTTTCAAATAATTAAAAGTTTTAAAAAAGAAAAGAAACTAAGAATGTGCTGAACCTTTGCTACCTGCAACTGAAATAAATGTGATTGTGTGACAGTATTTCTCAGCATTTTCAGTACACTCTTAGCTGCTAGACTTAGTGGATGAGCTAGAGGTAAGCAGAGGCAGTAGGGACAGGGAGGTGCAGGGACAGCTTCTGGGAAATCTTTCAGTGACAAAGCCATCAAATCATTGGTTATTTGTGAGCACTTCATTTGGTTCCTGTATTGGAAACTGTTGTCCTACTATCAGGATACTTTTCCATTCGCTTTCCTTGCATTGTCAGACACTTAATTTTTGTACTCAGGGATCACGCCTAGAAGGGCTCGGGAGACCATGGGAAGGTGCAAGGATTGAATCTAGGTCGGTTACAGAGAAAGCAAATACCCTAACCAATTACTATTTGGTCCTGGCTCTTTTTTTTTTATGACTCTTGTTAAAGAAGTGACAAACTCTTGGGCCAGGGATATGGTTAAGCAGTAAAGCACTTGCATTATATGTGGGTGTTCAGTCCCCAGAACTGCACACAAAAATGAGAAAAAAAAATTAGTAAATCTCTCATCTGAGTTTTAAAAATATTTTAATTATACTCTAGCCAACATTGATTGTATTTATTAAAAGAGATATATATACATCTATGTTAAGTGCACTGCTAAATGAGTTTAAAATATATCTAGTTGTATAAAAAAAAAACATATATATAGTTGTGTTACCACCACCCAGTTAGTAAAGAACATTTCTATCACCTAAAAAGTCCAGTCATACTTTTCTGCAATTAATTTCGTTTCTCTTAGGTCCCCCTATGCTACATAATTACTCGTTATTACTCTGTTATTGATCTTTATTGCTATGGTTTTGCTTTTCTACAATAGTAGACAATAAATATAGTTACACATATGTAGTCTTAGTACCTTATTCTTTTAATTTGCATAATTTTTATGAATATTATGTTGATATGTAATTTACTTATTTTTTGATTGCCAAGTAATATTCCATTTAAGGAAATCTGCAATTCATTTATCTTATTGCCAGCCGATCCATCAGTTGCCAAATAAAAACTACTGTAGGGCCAGAGTGATAGTATTGAAGGTAGAGAGCTTGCCTTGCACATGGCAGTCCTGGATTCTATCCCTGGCATCCTATGTGGTCCTCAAGGCCCACTAGGAGAGATCCCTGAATGCAAAGCCCGGAGTAAGCCCTGAGTATTGCCAGGTCTGGCCTGAAACCAAAACAAAGATAAAAAAAAAACTGCAAATAGCTGGAGAAATAAATAGTATAGCAGGCAGGGTGCTTGCATTGCATGTGGCCAACCTGAGTTCGATACCTGGCACCCCGATAGACCCTGAGCCCTGCAGGAGTCATGCCTGAGCTCAGAGCCAGAAGTTAGCCCTGAACACCACCAGTTGTGGCCCCAAAATTTAAAAAATTACCTCAAAAGCTGTTTAAAATAATGAAATTTTATTATCTCATGTTTTCTGTGGGACAGGCATGGCTTAGCTGAGCTCAGCTGAGCTCAAGACTTTGTGTTGTATCTAAGAAAAATTAAGGTCACCAAATTTTCTTCTTCTTTTTTCCCCTAACAATTTTGGCATTTACTTTTTGTCTGTGATTCTTTTCAAGTTATTGTATATGGTGTGAAATGGATTTCTCTTTCCTTCCTCACTTCCTTTCATAGGAGTGTCCAATTGTTTTAGCAGCATTTTGTTTGTTAAACTTGCCATTAAATTATTTTGGTGCATTCGTAGAAATCTCTTCATCTTATATACTCGGTCTTATTTCTGGATTCTTTCTTTGGTTCTGTTGATCTAGGTGTGTATTCATTCATACAATGTCTGGGATTGAACTCCAGTCCTTTGTGTCATCTCCTTGGTCCCATCCTTCCAGTTGTTTCTTTGATAAAATCACCTGAAGACCAGATTAGCAAATTGAATATTTCCAGTATATGGCGAGATATTTTGAATTGCAAAAATTAATAAGTTATTAAGAGAGAAAAATACAATATAAGAAGAGTGAGAAAACTTTAAAATCAATGTTTCTACTATTATTTGGTTTTATCATATAGTACCCTTTTGGAATTAAGTTATTTAAGTCACTGCAAGCTAATAGGAATTTGTGTTAAGACTGTTGAACTATCTCATGGTCACCAGTGGCACAATGTGGTAAGAATTGAGGAGGATATTCACCCCAGGACTGGCAGGCTGTATGACCTCCTCTTCCTTTCTCACCCTCTACTTTTTTAGCATCTCTTTCTACCCCATAGTTCCTAAATCTCAAATCCAGTCAACAAAGAAAGCCTGAGTGGTTGACTTTGCCCCAGTTCATAGGGAATGGACTGCATACAGGTCAGGTGTTCTCACTTGTGTTAATACTGGCCGGAGGAGAAGAGTTCCCTGCTATAAAAAGAGCCCCTGACACTCACTAAGATGGGTAGACAATCTAAAGTCACCCACTCCTATTGCTAATGAAGCAAGCTAAGTGTTTTTCTAGGAAACTAGAAGGATGGAAGTTGGAAATGCTGAAATAATTTTGGATTTTTCTCTAATTTCAATTTTATTCAGCTTTTTTCAATATCCTAATGTTTGTTTTCTATATTTCTTATTATCTAGATGGCCTTGGAAGATTCAGAACAGAAGCACAATCTTTTACATGCAGTTTACACAGACCTGGAAGACTTGTCAGTCATTTTTGAAACAGATGACTTAGCACAATCTGTACAGAATTTAAGTCATGAGGTAGCAGATTTACAACAAAAAATAATGGAAAGCCTTCCACGGATTCAGAGAATGGCAGATGTAAGTTTGTACAGCATAAGGGTAGGATTTCTGGGGCTGGAGGGATGGCACAGCGGGTAGGGTATTTGCCTTGAACATGGCCAACCCCCAGGTTCAATTCCCAGCATCCCATATGGTCCCCTGAGCACCTCCAGGAGTGATTTCTGAGTGCAGAGCCAGGAGTAACCCCTGAGCATTGCCAGGTGTGACCCAAAAAGAAAAAAAAAAAAGGTAGGATTCCTTAATATCATTTGGTAAATTAGCTTGTCAACTCCAAATTATAGAAGATACAATGACATAGTAAATATTCCATTTATGTTCTTATTTTAAATTATATTTTACTATATTTTGCAATTATAATTTAAAAAATCTTTTTTCTGTTCTCAATCCAGAAGTTGTCCATTTTAAGAACAAAGAATGTTGTTCATATGATTCCTTGTGAGGTTAAGGCGCTAGCCTTGTATTCAGTCTATCTCAGTTTGATCCCCAGCACCATATATGATCCTCTGAGCACCACAAACGGTCCCTCCTGCCCTGCTGAGCAGAGTCAGGAGTGGTCCCAGAGCACCACTGGGTGTGGCCTGATGCTCTCAGCCGCCATAAAAAAAATAGGTTTTTTTGTGGGGGGTGGGGCACATCTGGTGATGCTCAGGATTTATTCCTGGCAGGGCTTGGGGAACCAATGTTGTACCAAAGATTGAACCCAGATTGGCCACAGGAAAGGCAGGTGTCCTGCCCACTGTACTATTGCTGCAGCACCCAAATATCTTTCATTAGAGAGGAGAGATTGTTGATTTCCAACATGGATTAGCAAAAAGGACTTAAAACAAACCATCTTCTTACATTGTTCACCAATAGCAAAGACTTACTGAGAGGATGCCATATGCCAACCATTGGATTTTTAAACTGTTGTGTTTTACTTAAAAATGTGATTAATTAAATAGCTTAGTTAGCTTGTGGGCTGGAGCGATAGATAGCACAGTGGGTAGGGAGTTTGCCTTGCATGCAGCCGATCTGGGTTCGATTCCTCGCCCCTCATGGAGAGCCCTGCAACTACCGAGAGTATCTCACCCACACGGCAAAGCCTGGCAAGCTACCCGTGATGTATTCAATATGCCAAACACAGTAACTAGTGTCATAATGGAGACGTTACTGGGCCATCTCGAGCAAAATCGATGAACAACGGGAGGACAGTGACAGTGACAGCTTGCATGTGAAAAATATATCCTTTATTTTGGAGGGGTAGGTATCACTCCTGGACTAGAGAGATTGTACATCAGGTAAGGCACTTGCCTTGAATACAGCTGACCTAGGTTTGATCCCCGGCATCCTGTATGGTTCCCAAGCACCGCCAGGAGTAATTCCTAAGTGCAGAGCCAGGATTAAGTCCTGAACATTAGTGTGTATGGCCCCAAAACAAACAAAAAAATTAATTCTTAATAAGAGCAAATCCTTATTAAGGGTGGCATCAGCTAGCAAAGAGCAAATAGTCTGAATTATTGACCTTTTGTTTCATCAGTTATATTCCTGACACCACCACACTTAATGTAGCATAAGGGGATACTAATTGTTATTCTTTATTATTGAAGCTTATCCCAAAAATGTTTAAGTCTTCTACTTTTTTTGATGAAAATTATTCTAAAACACAAGGTATAATTCTATATACTTTGAAAAATATAAAGGGACAGACAATACTTTCAAAGTAATTTAGTGTTTCCTCATTCATAAATTGTTGATATTACTACAAACAGCTGCTGTACTATACTTCCTTTGCTTCAGAATTATAATTCAGATTTATGTTTATTCTCTATTGGATAGTTCCCATTCTCTGTAATTTGGAATCTGTAGCTTATTTTTCTATTTATTTTTTCTATTCCCCTTACTGTTAGTTGTACCTTTGTTCTTCCACTATTTTGATGATGCTCAGGATTGAACCCAGGGCTTCACATGTGTGAACCATGTGCTCTACCCACAAGCCACATCTCTAGCCTGAACTGTACCTTTTTATGGCTACAGTGGGTCACAATGAGCTCTAAAGTAGAGGTCTAATGGCCCCTTTAGAGTTTGAGAGGACTCCCATATTAGATCTTATAGCATATTTCTCAATATGTAGGTTTTGTAGCATATATGATAAGCATTTTTTGTTTTAAGGTTCTCAGCTAATTTCTAGAGGTTGATGCAGATGAGAAAGTAAAAACCAGACAAATGATCTCCTGTTAAATGAACCTGACTGGGTTACAAAGTAATTTATTGACTTTCTGTAAGGCACCAGATCATTAAAGTGTAGCAAGAAAATCCTAAGAGTTTTCCAGCTCCTTCCTGTGTGTTCATTTTACAAGGACGATTTATTATTTTATTTTTAAGTGGTGAGAATGTTAGCCTTACTCGTTTTCAAATGACTAAGCACATTTCATAGAGAAATCTAAGGAATTGTTTATAACTGAGAATTTAGGTAAGAATTTATTTGTGTGCAGGATGGGGTTAGGGGGTGTTTGGGACATACCCAGTGATGCTTGAAGCTACTCCAAGTTCTCTGCTTGAAGGTCATTGCCAGCAGTGCTCAAGGACCATGTGGTGTCAGGAATTGAACCTGGTCGTGCTGTCTTGCTATAGAGATTGTAGAGATTGCTCAAACCTTTTTTTGGGGGGAGTGTGTGGGGGGAGTCACACCCTGGGATGCACAGGGTTACTTCTGGCTTATGTGCTCAGGAATTACTCCTGGCAGTGCTTGGGGGGCCATATGGGATGCTGGGAATTGAACCCAGGTCGGCCGCATGCAAGGCAAATGACCTACCAGCTGTGCTTTTGCTCCAGTTCCCTGCTCAGACCTTTGAGCAATCTCTACAGTTAAGAATTGGTTTGGGGGCTAGAGAGCTAGTATAGTATAGGGCACTTGCCTTACACATGGCTGGCCTGGTTTCGATGTGGCTGTGGCATGCTGCAGCAGCTATAACCTGACTTGAATCCCTGGCAGCATATATGGTTCCTTAGCATTGCCAGGGATCACTGCTGAGTACAGAGCCAGGAATAGCCCCTGAGCACTACCAGGTGTGGCCCAAATACCCTGCCCTCAAAAAAAAAAATTGACTTGGAAGCAATTGTTCTTGTAATTAAAATTTGGTTCTATGAAATATTTAATCCAACAAAGTATAACCAATGCCTTACAGCATAGCATACTATATCTAGGTTAACATTTTTATTAAAAACAATGTAGCTATATATCACTAGATTCATTTGCCAGAGGTACAGAGCCAAACATTTTGATTAAATAGAAGAATAGAATGAATGGGAAATAAGTTTATAGATTAATAATGTATATTATATTTAGCACAAGTGAGGGTTTTTGTTTGCTTCTTAAATTCTAGGATGTAGTTGCTATTGAAACTGAAGTAAAATCAATGGAAAAAAGAGTTTCAAAAATCAAAGCTATTCTGTTATCAAAAGAAATATTTGATTTTCCACCTGAAGAACATCTTAAGCATGGTGAGGTAAGTATGCATCATTATTAAAAACATTCCCTTATGATACTTATTATGCTTATTTTAAATGCAGTAATGTCATAAATGGTAAAATATATTTAGGCTGACTAGAATAATAGCAAAATATTAATTTCTTTAATTTCTTAAAATTAAGAAAAAGATAGTGAGGCCAGAGAGATAGTATAGGGATTAAAGCACTTACTTTGCATATTATTGACCCTTTTTTGAATGCCTGGAGTCACCTACAGTTCACTGGGCACCTCCGGGGGTCACTCTTGGCCTAAAGCCTGGAATAGACTCTGCAAAGTCCTGGTGGTGGCCCAAACACCTGCCCGCAGTGCAAAAAAAAAAAAAAAGTGAATATCAGTATTATCACTTATATCATTTGTCATCCAGTTGCTCATCAATTTGCTTGAGCGGGCGCCAGTATCAGTATTATACTTTAAATAATTTTTAAACGATTTTTATAAAGATAATTTTAAAAAACTATATAAAGATAATTTTTAATTTTATTTTTATTTTTATAAAATTGTTCATATTGTTTACATTCAATCTTTCAACACCAATCCCACCACCATTACATGTTCTCACCACCATTATTTCGAATCTTCCCACCACCAACACTCAAGCCTGCCCCACAGGCAGATGCTAGATAATTTATTTTGTATTGCTTGCTATGAATAGCATGGCGCAGCCTCACTCCTGGAATTCTAAAATTTTAGATAATTAAGGTCTGGAGACATCTCTGCAGTGAGCTGCTTGGTTCTGAGATTCATTTGTGAGTCACTGGATCGTGGCCATTTATACACATAAATGGCACCCAGAGGCAGTTCGTGGGCATGACAGCGAGGACCCCAAAGGGGCAGGGAGACAGGAAGGAGCCCTTCTCTATTCCTTGAGGCCTGGAGTTTGCAGTCACTAAAGAACCCGCTTACCTGGGGTTTTCCTTGGGTTCTTGAGGGTTGTGGCCTCCAGTATTCATATGGAGCATGTGGAAGGATGACACCTGCTCCCATTAAAGATATTTTTTGTATAGGTTACTTTTATATTTAATTTCTTCCTAAAATTTCAAAGTAGAGAAATTTCTCCTTCAAGACAAATCCAGATGTTTCATAATCCAAGAGCTTGAACCTCTCTCTTAGTTAGGAAAACCAGGATCTTGTCAGACTCTGCTGCTATTCTGTGTGACTTTGAGTAATATTTTGGGGAGGATTTTCTTTTTTGTTTCACTTTTTGGTCCACACCCAGTGGTACTCTGGCCTTATTCCTGGCTCTCCACTCAGGAATCACTCCTGGTAGGCTCTGAGGACCATATAGGGTTCTGGCGATCAAACATGGGTCAGCTGCATGCAGAGCAAGTGCCTTAACTGCTATACTAGCACTCCAGTCTCATTGAATTCACTCATAGCTTTATTTTGTTCACTTGTTTGGGGGCCACACCTAGTGTTGCTCTGGGCTGACTTCTGACTCTGCATTTAGGAATCACTCTTATTGGGGCTCAGGGGGTCAGACCGGGGTCAGCTGCATGCAAGGCAAGCATCTTACCAGGTAAGATGGCCCTGGTTGTGTTTCACGTGTGCATAGTAGCGTGGTGATTATTATGTTGGAGAATTATTCTGTATAGAGAGACCGTAGCATGGAAGAAAGGATGTACTGAACTACTGATCGCTGGCTACTGAGTCCACCTTGGCCTTGTGCTTAAGAGCATATGCTTGGGATCAAGCAGACTTAAGTTCAAACTAGCCCTTCCTCATACATTACAGTGATCTTATTTTTTCTTTTACCCAATATCCTCCTGAAAGATAGATAGATAGATAGATAGATAGATAGATAGATAGATAGATAGACACATTAATATGAAATGGTAAAGTAAGTAAAGTAAATATGAAATGTAAACAAAATAATCATTACTATTGATTCTGTGAGTTCACAATTTGTTCTGTTTTATGTTAGTTTGGGGGCTGTTCTCCGTGGTGCTTTGTACTCAGGATTAATGTCTTCAGTGCTTTGTGTGGCAGGGATTGAACCCAGGCTTCCTCAAGCGTGTGCTCCAACCGTTTGAGCTCTGTCACTTGCCCATATTTCTTTTTTGGTTATTTTTGTTTAGTGGTGCCAGAGGTTAAATGCAGGGCCTCTTGACGTGCAAAGCCTGCACTAGCAGGGTGGTTCTATTCAATTCAAAAACATTTTTGCATCCGAAGCTCTCTGCTAGATGTAGGCACTATAAGGGTGAGTCAGATGCCATGCCTGCCCTTACCTGTTCACTATCCTGGTAATGCACAAGGCAGTATAACCATTGGCAGATAGAGGGGGAGGAAGAAAAGAAGTTAGCTATCCAAATGCACAATTTGTGCTGGTAGGTTACTTCTACTCCAGGTATTCTTTCCTGAGACTTTAAAGTAACAGATCACAGGGTGGGGCTGGAGCAATAGCACAGCGGGTAGGGTGTTTGCCTTGCACGCGGCCGACCCAGGTTCGATTCCCAGCATCCCATATGGTCCCCTGAGCCCTGCCAAGAGTGATTCCTGAGTGCATGTACCAGGAGTAATCCCTGTGCATCTCTGGGTGTGACCCAAAAGTAACAAATCACAGGGATATAATTTTTTTCAATATAATCTAAGGAATTGTTTTACAAATCAACACTATGTAGATTTAATTATGCTGTATTTTAATTTTGAAGAAACTTAGCATCAGTCATTTAAAACACAATTTATGTACCATGCTTATCTTCTATGATTAAGGTCATACTTAACACACTTCGTCCTATGAAGAAAACTATTGCTGAAATAATGTCTTACCAAGTGGAACTAAGGTTACCCCAGATGGGAATGAAACCCCCACCTGTGTTTCAAAGGACAAACCAGCTTTTACAAGATATAAAACAATTGGAAAATGTGACTCAGGAACAAAATGAGTTGTTAAAGGTGAGCAGTTAGTGATCCCAGCTAATTTCTTCAGGGAAAATGTTCAGCGAAGTCTGTTTTTGTTCTCAGTGTTAATGGTTGGGGAGATCAAATCCCCGTGATCAGATGCTGCCAAAATAATGCGTAAAAGACCAAAAGAATCAAGAATTTGGTGTCCTCTGGCATTGTGATTTAGGGGTCCTCTGATAGAAGAGCTCCTCTGGGGTGAAGGTGGTGGGTTTTGCTTCTTACCTTGGTTCTGGATAAAGGCATAAAGGCATAGCTGGGATCAGTTTCATTCTAAATTGTTGAGAAGCTCCACGATTGGAAAAGCTGTGGAAAGACTCACACCTGAGCAGAACATTTTCTGTCTCATGAGCCTGGCAGACCTATAAAGCGATAAAGCGATGTCACAATCTCCTATATCCTCATTACATCGCCTTTCCTCCTCCCTCCCCATGAGTCATCCAATTGTAGTCTCCATCACATGACACATGACACAGTCCAGACACTTGGTCTCAGGTTTGGTGCTTTTGTTAAGGACCATGGAGTTAACCTGTCAAGGTTAATCTGCATATGAATATGACAAAATATGAGTGCTCAGCTTCTGTTTTCTTCCCTCTAACTGAACACTTCTTTCTACCCCTCCTCCAAGGGTATTTTCCCTTGTGTTTTGTTTGATTGCCATCTCAAATTAGGAATGATCGTGCAATAGAAATGGCATTTTGCAGTGTAGTTTCTGGTTTGGTATTAGCTTATCTCACCCCTCCCCCCCTGACTGTGGATCAGCTAACATCATTCTCTAACACCTCCAAACAAAAAATGATCTGAACAGTCTGACAATCAGTGTGCTCTTTTTTTTTAATATAAAGAGAAGGAAAAAGAAAGCCATAAAATCTAACCTGTTAGTTTTCATCTTTTAGTCTTACCTATGCTTGAAAGTGACTTCTTGTAAGATGAAAGATAATAGAGGAAGAAATTATATCTTGTGCCACGTTAGGAATCAAAGGATGCTGCTTTCTGTTTTCTGTGTTAGTGGAATTCAATTGACATCTCATATTTCAGAACTAAGCAAGCCAGGGGCTATGACAATGATTAGAGTAAGGTATATTTCTTTTAATTCCTGCTTTAGATTTTGTACATGCCTTGTTCTGAAAGACAAGGCACGTTTCTTTGGAGGAGGGGAGTAATGGATTATAGTTCCTTATTAGGAGCTGGGGAACAGGTGTGTGCTGCAAGTCAAGTTACTCATTTCTAGGCTGCAGCTAAAATTATGGTTAAATATTAAAGGAACTACAAGGAAGAAGTCTGTACAGCCAAAATCTTAGTAGAATTTTAAAGACATTTTGCTTCACTCTGAAGCATACCAACAAAATTGCCACACTTTCTTTTGAAGTCCATCTCTGTGGGTCTTCTTCATACTCTTCCGATATTGTTTAGTCCAAAAATAGGTTAGTTTTGCCTTAGTGAGCAAACTCAGATGGCACTTGAACCCTCACCCTCTTGCTTGTGAAATATATATCACTAATCCTAGTGGGTGCCAGAAGCAAGACAGTCCATCAACTTCCAAATCATATGACCTTTCTGCTAGGAATCAATACTGTCACCTTTCTACATGGAAAACCCCACATGGAATATGTATTAACATGTGTGCAACATATAATTTCTTTCATAAAAATTTAGCAACTTTCTGTTAACATGTCATAAAATGCATCATGGAGTAAGTCCACTAGACTGGAAATACTAAGAGCCTGTTGTGTCTTAACCCACAGGCACTGCCCATAGTGCCCGGCCGTTGGTAGAGCAACAAAGTCAGATGCCAGCTTTGCAAATATTCTTCAGTCTCTGATTTCCTAATGAAATTAATGTAGCTTCATATTTGCTGTAATTAATTGGAACTTGGGTTGGGCTAGATATTGTAAATAGTGTGCTAATCTCTTTTTTCAGTTATAACAAAAATTCTTGGGGGGGCTATTTTGTAGATATTCACAAAACAGATGAGTGAATATGATGAAGAAATAGAAAATTTGAACGAGATCTTGAATAATTACTCGGCTCAGGTCTCCTGTGAACATATGTTACCAGACCAAGTTGCCAAACTGCCAGAACTACAGGTATGTTTTTTTTTCATCATTCATTCAGCAATTCATTTAATAATCACTAAGACATCAGTGTCTAGAAGCCTTTGTAATGGTACAGTGTATTTCTGCTTCTTCAGTGAAAGTTCTGTTATTTGAACTATCTCTATGGCCATGTACTTGCTTTTTATTTCTAGCTCATAAAGTAGGTACGTATACAGTTATCATAATGGAACAGCCCTTCAGTTATCCTAAGCCTATCCTTGGAGCCTTGTCTGCATTTGATCTGGCAGCAAAGAGGTTGATATTACATAGGGCATCTGGACCATCTCACTTTCTGAGAAAAGGGGTCAAGCAGTGTTCAGAGGATGGACCTTAAAAGTTGAACCCCTTCTGTCATGATGAAGTGGCCTAACTTGTGTAGCCTAGTCAATGGCTGCAAAGCTCATCTGCTTCTGTGTTTGATCTATGCAGTTTTGTTCTAGTATGCAAAGACAGTCTAACTTCTCAAAGACATGTACTTGAGAAAGGGTGGAATGTTTTAACAGTACCTTTGAATAGCTGAGGGCATTCTTGGAACTCCAGCAAGGGAAAGTGACTCACAGGTTTGTAATTGACTAGAATCTGAAGTTTTCAATGAACTTCTTAGCTGAACTTACATTCAGCTCTACTGCTGTATCTTGTTCCTTGAACAGATCCTTTAACTATATGTAATGTTAGGGCACTATGTTTGAGGGTTTAAAAAATAGTTGCTTTTATTAGTTACACAAACCTCCCAAGCATTGACACAACTAGATATTGATATTATTAAAACCAAATTTATTCATATTAGCATCTGTCTCTTTGGGAAAATCTCTTGGTATTTATGAATATAAATATAGTTTAACAGCTGAAGCTTTTTACCCTCAGAAGCAATGCCTACTTCAGCTCAAAATTCAAGTGATCACACAAGTGTCTTCCTCCTTATACTTTGGTATGCAGCGGAAATGCTTTTGCATGCTTTCCATTTGTCAGTCTTGAAAGTAAGTGCTCTTAATCACAGATATTCGTAGGTGAAATTCTCTGGCTTTGTTTTAGTTGTTTTTGTTTGTTTGTTTAGTTCTGTTTTTTGGGGGGCCAGTCTGGCAGTGCCTGGGGGCTCCTCCTGGCTCTGTGCTGAGGACTGCTCATGGCAGTAGTTGGGGACCATGTAGTGCCAGGGATCTAAGTGAGGTCTGCTGCTTGCAAAGCATGTACCTTGCCCCTGTTCTATCTCTCCAGCCTCATATCTTTATAGTCAGCATGTTACAGTGAGCAGTCTAGTCTCTGCTACTATAATTGCTGTCCTGCTTTGATTCCTATAAGATGCCAGTAGATTGATTTATTTATCATCGCTTTTGTGTTGTTGCACAGAAAATGCACGTAACATTAGTATGAACATGATCTGGACCTGGAGGAGTGTGGCCCTAGGGGCAAGGATGGCACTTTGAGAATTGGCACTCTTGTGTGCTACAGTGCCCCATTGCAGTGGCAGCACCACAGACAACTGTGCCACTTTGAGAGATTCTTATAGCTGTGGCATTACCTCTGGTGGGCGCATTAGGACTCTGAGCTTTAGTGTTTATTGAAAATCAACACAGACCACAGCGGACTCAGATTCAGCTCCCTTATCATTTCCCAAAACCATTCTGAGAATTTAAGCTTCCGAAGAATAGGAATCTGATAATAGGAATGAGCAGTGGGGGAAGGGAACCAAGGGCCAGGTTTGTGCATCGACATTAGCGAGCACCAGCCTGGAAAATTCATCTTCTTTTTCTGGACTTGTAAACTGTGACTTACAGGTGGAAACATGTTCAATTTCTGGGTTTTGTTTTTTTGTTTTTTTTTTTTTTTGCTTTTTGGGTCACAACTGGCAATGCTCAGGCAGGACAGGACCCAGCGATGCTCAGGGCTTACTCCTGGCTCTCCACTCAGGAATTACTCCTGATGGTGCTCCGGGAACCATATGGGGTGCTGGGAATCGAACCCGGGTCAGGCGTGTGCAAGGCAAACACCCTACCCTCTGTGCTATTGCTCCAGCCCCTCAGTTTCTGTTTTTTAAAAAAAATGTGTGGTTCAGGGTCAAGAAGATAACTCAAGGGATGGAACACAGGCCTGGCATGTGTGAGGCCCCAAGTTCAATCTCCAGTGTCATCCAGCCTCCCAAATACTGCTGGCTGTAGCTGTGGAGGCTCCTGAGCACTGCCAGGTGTCAATACTGAACGATCAAGTACACACTGAACAAGAGCATCACTGGGAGAGGCTTTGAGCACACCCTGCTCTTTGCCCCAGTAATACTGGGGTGTCTTCTTTTTTAGAAAATGTTCTGAGTCCCTGTAGGATGCATGGAAGGAAGCACTGAAGGAAGGCAGGCAGGGAGGAAGGGAAGAAAAGGGAGGGGTTTACAAAATCTAACAGGAACACATTTGAACCATGAAAGACTCCGCCAAAGGCGCAGGTTTCCTTTTGGTGCAGGACTCAGAAGAGGGTGACTATTGCATTGAAGGGTGCTGGAGAGGAAGATGACTCCTGGCATTTCTTCCAAATCCAGGATTCTGCAATCCTTTTACCCAGACAGGGGCATCCACCTATCTCTGATACGCAAGAAATATTGTTCCTTTACAAAATGTTATAGCAGCATCGTAAAGCTTGAGACGATCTGCCCATCCCCCCTCCTAGGAAGTCACACCTCACAAACCATTATCTATCTATGTATTCTCATTTGTGGGGAGGGTAGGACGCTTTGTGCGAGCAAGTAGATGGATTCTGAAAGACGGCTTCAAAGGCAATCATAAAAGGGTGAGACTGGGCTTCCCTGGTGTTAGTCTGCTCATGAATCTCCTAGGGAGCTTGTTAAAGAACAGGTTCTGGGGCCCTGAGCTCTGCCCAGTCAGAGTGTGTGGCTCACTGCTGGAGAACTGCCTCTCAGCCTGACTACATCCCACCACCCCTCACAGGTGGCCTGTTCCCAACTCCACCTGGAGGCTGAGCAATGAGGTCTCAGGTGAGACTTGGGCTTCCTCATTTATAAGGGCTCCCCAGTCTGTTTCAAGTGGGTGCTCTACCGGGCAGAGAGGAGTCCTCCCGTGACAGAGACCAGCTCGGGCTCAGCAGAGCTAATGACACACGATGCTTTTCCTGCATTGCCCTGAAGGCTGCAGGAAGATGCCCCAGCTGTCCCCAAACCCTGCAAATGCTCTTCCTACACAGGGAGAAATCGAAGGTCTGGAAAAGCAGATTCTGACTTTGAATCAAAAGAAAGAAGATCTCTTGCCGGACCTGAAGGCTGCCCTTCTGAAACTTCACCAACATTTGCAGCAAGAACGCCCAGAGCCGGAGAAAGAAATAACATCAGTGGGCGCCTCAGAAGAGGTTGGTGTGACCGAGTGGGACGTTCCTGAGTGGCAGGTGGGTGTGACTTTAGATTCATGGCAGACCCGGGGTCCACACGAGCCTTGAAGGGGGGGAGTGTTTCTCACCCTGCAAAGCCTGTCGATGACCTCTAGAGTAAAGAACTTTCTCTGTAAACGTAGAAATATTCCACCTCAGATTGTTCACTTGTGACCTCAGTCCCCAGGGTGTGTGTCTGGACGTAGCCCAGAATGCTTATGCCCGAGTTACTTAAGGAGGTGCTTAGGAAATTCCACGGGCAGGTGGGTGGGAACCTCCCTTTGAAGTATCTTCCTACCGTGGAGTCCGCCCATCACAGACTCAGAAATGGGGTCAGAACCTCGCCGACCTGAGCCCACTCTGAAGCTTCCTGTCAGTGAAACTCGTTCTGGAATTGTTGACTGAGGGGCCCTGGAGCTCAGTGAAGGTGAAAAGGCGCCAAGATTGTTCCTCGTCCAGACTCTTGGCTGCTTCCACTCAAAGGTGCTGGACCCAGAGACTGCTCGTGTGGGTGGGTAGCTTGGAGAAAGAGAGTGAACAATTAGACAGATGCCATTGCTGCCTGGTGGGAGCCTGCTGGGTTTCTTGGTGGTCTGAGTGCCCGCATGCCTTTGCTGTACCTTTCAGCTGAAGAGGAAAGGCTCTATGTCCGTCCTGCCTGCCGTCAAGGAGGAGCTGGAAGAGGGTTCCCTGAAGAGTGAAGTAAGGAACATGCGTAGCTCGTGAACGTTGGTTTGAATCAAAAGTTGGTTTGCAATTGAAAGAAGGGCAATGAGAAAGCCTTTAAGTGGAATAAAAATATTAGGATGTTTTACTTGAATGCCACTGTCCTGTTAGGGGATTTGCTTCTCCTGCGTTATGAACTTTGTTCAAATGCACACAAATGTAGTTGAGCCCACTTGTGGAAGGAAGAAAAGAGTTGGTGCTGTTTGTGGTACCTTGAGTTCTAGGTACATTCTTGGAGGTTTTGAGGGGATGGTGTTTTATGGGTGCTCTTGGTGTGCCTTTTAGAACTTTATTTCCCCATCGTTGAATTGCTTTTTTCATGAAGAGCTGGCGTTATTCTGATACTCCAGATCCTTACTATGTCATTAGAACTGATAGCATGAAGCACAGTTGTCTTTGCGGTATCATTTTACATTTTATATACTAAATTGACCCTGGCTCTTTTTGCCAGAGAAAGAAAATTACAGCAATTGATAGTTTATGTTTCTGGTGAATCCTACTGATACTTGTAAAATGATACTTTCTGCTCCTTTTACAGATAGTTAGCTAGCTCCCATTGTTACAGAGAATGACCTATTGTCCTATAGTGTACCTATAGTGCACACAGTGGAACTCAGAGGTAGGACAAGGAAGGGGACAGGTTTGATCTGCGTTGAGCATCAGATAACTTTATAATCTCCCCTTTACAATGCACAGAATGATGAGGAGGCACCAGGAGCCAAAATAAGAGTCTACTTGAGTAGGATTTCAGTTGAGACCTTTATTTGACTCAGCTGATAAGTTCATTGTTTATCTTTGACAAATGTACATGTTTATCAGTTAGGTTATTGTAAAGAGACTTATTAAGGTTGCATTTACCTAAGCAGATTAAATTTCTACAGCATGGTTTGAAAAGAATTCTTTTGTGAGTTTTAAGTGAATCCTAACTTTTAAGAATATTTTATAAGAAGTGTGACCACATTTGGAGATTTAGGATGTAGTTGGTCAAATAAATCACGATCATGACTACCATCCTGTTGTTCGTCGATTGCCTCGAGCAGGCCCCAGTAACATCTCCTTGGTCCTAGCCCTGAGATTTTTAAAAAGTGCCATATCCAAGGTTCTTTCAGGCTTAGGAGAACCTTACTGGTATTTGGCATATTGGGTACGCCACGGGGAGTTTGCCAGACTCTGCCATGTGGGCAGGTTACATTTGGTAGCCTGCCGGTTTGAATAAATAGTTAAAAAAAAAAAAGTGGGCTGGAGCGATAGCACAGTGGGTAGGGTGTTTGCCTTGCACATGGCAAACCGGGCTTCGATTCCCAGTATCCCATATGGTTCCCCAGCAGCACCAGGAATAATTCCTGAGTGCAGAGCCAGGAGTAACCCCTGTGCATCGCTGGGTATGACCGAAAAAACAAAAACAAACAAAAAAAAAGTGTGGGGTATGAGGTGAAATTAAAAGCCAGGGTCAGATGAGTTGTGGGTAAAAGCCGTGAGTGAGTGTTGATTAGGAGACTAGGACATCCCTTCCAGTTTCTAACCAATGGATTGCTCTTAGAATGGCGATCAGAGGACAGAGCCATCTTCTGCTTCTTGGTCTATGCTCTGGAAGCATGACAAGGATATGGAGGAAGAAGGAGCATCGTCATCCTCTGAAACCATCATTCAGGTGATACAGTGGTTGTGGGTAGGGGTTATAAGAAAGCTGATGCCAAAGAAGCTAATTTCTTGCTTGGGAGATTGCTTTGGTGGCCAGGAGTGTGGCTCAGTGGTAAAGCACTTGCCTTGTATGGGTGAGACTCTGGGTTTGATTTCTGACACTGCCTGTTCCCTTGAGAACTACTAGGTGTGGTCACAAAACAAGATGAAATGATAGCTATAGGAAGTAACATGGATCAACTAAGTTATTATTATTATTATTCAGCTAAGAATATTTTAAACTGTTCACCATTACCTCTGCTGGAATGCAAAGATTGCTAAAACTTATTTGAATATCTGTTTTGTACTCATTGATAATTGAGAAAACCCACATATGAAAATCCAAACTAATGAAACAGAAAATGTAAAAGAGCTTTTATTATAGTGTTTCAAAGTGCTGAACACTTTGTCGTGTGGGGGAAGGTAGCATCCCCCCACAATCCCTTTATTGAACAGAGTAATGCATAAGATAAATCAACAAAGTGTTTTTGTTCCTTTTAACCTTCTAAGGGCTGGAGCGATAGCACAGCGGTAGGGCGTTCGCCTTACAAGCGGCCAACATGGCCGACCCGAGTTCGATTCCTCCGCCCCTCTCGGAGAGCCCGGCAAGCTACCGAGAGTATTCGATATGCCAGACACAGTAACAACAAAGTCTCCAATGGAGACGTTACTGGGCCCGCTCCAGCAAATCGACGATCAACGGGAGGGTCTTTACCTTTACCTTTACCTTCTAAATCTCTAGTCTATCACATGCTCTTCAGAAAATCATGGTAAGGGAACAGAGAGATAGTAAAACAGTAGGTAAGGCACTTGCCTTGGATGCTCAGTCCTCAGCACCACATATGGTCTCTTGAGCACCACCAGGAGTGACCCCTGAGTGCCCAACCAAGAATAAACCCAGATCACCACTACATGTGTCCCTCACTGCCCAAACAAACAAACAAAAAAGAAAATCATGGTAAGCTGAGGTGAAACCAAGGTTTCCTGCTTCTCTGCAGTATGACATCTTTTTCCCTCCCACTCATATCTTCTATCAAGGCTGACCTCTCTCCCAGCTCCCTGGCCCATCCCTTGATTCCTGCTAGGTGCCAGTTTGGCTTCTCCCTGAAGCTCTGTTCTCTGCTTCAAGGCAATTCCTTCCCTCTCCCACCTCTGAGGTGTCAGGTTCCCCTTCCTAACAAGTGCCTTCTGCTGCCTTTCCAGATCAGCCTGGTGTCTGCACTCCTCAGAAGCTCTTTTATTTTTATTTTTTCTCACTTTATTTACTTATTTATTTGAATGTTAATGAAATAGTTACAGACTCACAAGCTTTCATGATTACATTTCAATCAAACAATGCCTGAGTACCCATCCCTCCACTAGTGTCCATTCTCCCCCACCAATGTTCCCAATGTCCCTCCCATCACCTCTCCCCTTCCCACCCCTGCCTCTGTGGCAGACACATTCCCTCTTATTCTTTCTCCTTTTGGGTGTTATGGTAGAAGCTTTATTAGAAACTTCAGTGCCTTCCCGGTGTCTGCTAGCAAATGCCCTTGCTATCCACAAAAACCTCAGCTTCTGCATCCTCCAGAAACCCCCTGTTTCTCTGCCTTTGTTTTCTAAAGCATTCTGGACCTCAGTTATTATACTTTTATGTTTGCACCTGATAAGATTTTCATGAATGGCAAGAACTTGATCTCCTGCAAGTTTAAATTTCTATTCCCCCTTTCATTTGAATGCCTTTACTTGATGTCCCTTGCTCTGGACCTCTTTGGTAATCAGGACTTTGATCCTGGCTAGTTTTTTAATGCATTGACCTCAGCGACATCAAGTGAGGACCAGCACTAGACTGTTGATCATCTCTTTCTTCTTGATCATTTCTTTGAAATGCAGGGTTTCTTTGGCTTTCATGTTTGTTTTGTTTTTATGGCTTTTCAGGTCAAACTTGGTTGTGCTCAAGAGTAACTCCCAGTGGTACCCAGAGGACTATGGTTCAGGGAATTAAACCCAGGCCTCCTGCATGCAAAGTCCTCATGCACTCCAGTCCTTTGAGCTATCTCTATACAACCTTCCTTTGGCTTTCTTAATTCTGCCCTTTTCTGCCTCTTCTCCCCAAATTCCCCAGCCCCCCTCCCCCCGCCAACTTCTCTTATCCCATCTCTGTCATTACAGAGGAGGCATCTCTCAACATTCCATTCTTTTCCTTCTTTTCTGTTTCCTCTCAGCAATTATAACACTTCCGATAGGGCTGCTGATAATCTCTTCATCAGTGATTTCCAAACCAAATTTCTCATCTTAATCTTTTTCTTAAATCTGGTTTACATGTCCACCTTCCTGATTGACTTCTCTTTGGGGGTATATTATTTTCAGGTCAAACATTTTACCAAACTTTCCCTCACAGTTTCTTCTTCCTCCTAATTTTCCAAAGTCTGTTAATGGTACCTGCGGTGTCATCTTTAAAATCTGTTTTTCTTTGGGGTGGAATTTCCAAGGTGGAGTTTCCAAGCAATGCTCCAGCAACCCTTACCCAGCTATGCAGTGTGGGTTAGACTATTCAGCATTTGAGCCCAGAGAGGTAGTGCTGCTTCAGCTCAGAGGTGTTCATGGGCTACCAGGACCATCCCAGCAGTGCTTGGGTGACCATGAATATCAAACTCAGGGCCCTCAGATTCCAACCCTTCAAGCTACCACCCTAGCCCTGATATCTCATTTTCATGCCCAGGCACTGGTCCAGTGATGTCCATTCAATCTTAATATTCTTCTCTCATTATTTTTGACATCAGCTAATTTCTGGCCAACTGTTATTTCTGAACCGTTAGCACTCCCCTCTATTAGGTTTACACACCATTTGTGGGGTTCCCCCCCCAAATATATCTTACATTAACACCATGTGATGACCTTTTCAGAAACAATCCATGCTAAGCTCCAAGTCTTTTGTGGATTCTGATTATCTATTAAAATGCAAACTTCAAAAGCTGGCATTCCAGACTTTTTATTCTTTCACTCTCCCTTCCAAATTTTACCTAAGCTTTACTTTTAGTTATCAGTTTCTACCTTTCTCCCATTTTCCAGTTTTATTGAGAAACACTTGACAAATATCACTCTATGAATTAAGGCATACAGCGGAATGGCTTGATTTACATATACTATGAGATGATGTGCACAATAAGTTCACCTAACATCCATTTTCTCATAGATGTAATGAAAAAAGAAGGAAAAAAATTTTCTCCTTACAGAAGCAACTCTTAGGATTTGCTTTTGCAACAATTTTCATATATCCTGTGGCAGTGTTAGCTATGCAACTTGTCATACGTGCATACCTAGAACTTACTTAAAACTGAAAGATTTTACCATTGACAACTTTTCTTTACCTTTCTCTAATTCCCTCTTTCCACTCTTGACCTCAGATAGCCACAAGTCTGATCTATTTTTCTATGAGTTAGGGTTTTGTTTGCTTGCTTGCTTGTTAACATTTCAGATTCCACATATAACTAGAATCACAGCCTATTTTTCTTTCTCTGATGTATTTCACTTGGCAAGCTACCTTCCTTCAAGACCCATCCATGTCACAGATGGTAGGATTTCCTCTCTTTTTTTTTAATTGCAGGAGCATACTGTAATTCTATTTTTAACTGTTTGAGGACCCTCCATTCAATTTTCCATAGTATCTTTACTGGTTCATACCTTTCTGAGGAGGAGGAGGCATTTCATATTCTGGAAACCATGAACTGAGTCCAGCTGCACGAAAAAACTTTAATTCTGTAATATTTCTCCAGCCCCCGGTTCATACCTTTTAATAGCAGTATCATTGTTTTCAGTAGAATAAACTAAAAGAAGATAGCATTTTGTTAGGAACTGCTAGTTGCTTTATATATGTTATCGTATTTAATAAAAACAACGAGTGAAATAGATTATACTCCACTGTAAAGATGTAGTCACTGTGGGCTGGAGTGATAGCACAGCAGGTAGGGCATTTGCCTTGCACGTGGCCAACCTGGATTTGATTCCCAGCATCCCATATGGTCCCCCAAGCACCGGGAGGAGTAATTCCTTAGTGCGTGAGCCAGGAGTAATCCCTGTGCATCGCCAGTTGTGGCCCAAAAAGCAAAAAAAAAAAAAAAAAAAAAAAGATGTAGTCACTGAAGCTCAGAGTCCAGACTGGCTGGTTAAAATATCTGTATTTTTCCCACCACTCTGTGTTAATTATCTGTGTGTGTACCATTTTCTTATCACTTAACCTTGGCTAAGCTTATAAGTGGGAGTACTGGACCAAAGTATATATTTATTTTAAATGGATGCACATTGACAAACTGCCACCCAGGAATACTGTATTTTATTCCTGCCTGAGTACATAAAAATGCCTCTTTCCTGATCCCAAGCTGGCACTAGTATATGTCTTAAACAAATGTGGCCACTGACGTAAGTTGCATTTGTATTCTAATAATATTAGGTCTCTTTAGAAGTTGATTGACTTTTATATTCTCCCTCTTTATTTATTTTGCTTTTTTGGACCACATTATTTGCTGATCACTCCTGGCTCTGTACTCAAGAGATTATGTAGTACAAGGAATCAAACCTAGGGACTCCCACATGCAAAGCATTCACTTATTCCTTTGAGCCCTCTGCAGCCCTGTATTTTTCTTTTATAAATTGCTTTGCTTTTTTTTTTTTTAAGGTGAGGAGGTGACACCTGCTGGTACTTAGGGCTTACTCCTGCTCTGGGCTCAGGGATCACTCCTGGCAGTGCTCAGGGGAGAATATAGGGCAAGGCAAGGAACTTAACTGCTTTACTATCTCTCTGGTTCCTGTAAATTGCTTTCTTATGCCAGTTGTTGGTAGTTTTTTTACTCAGGAGTTTATGTCTTCTTTATTGATTTTGGGAGGTGGAGAGTTTGGGCTGTTCTTAGCAATGCTCAGGGATCACTCCCAGCTCTGTGGTCCAGGGTCACTTCTGGCAGTGCTGGAAACCAAACCAGGGTCAGTGCTTGTTTTAACCCCTCCCTGTCCTATCTCTTTTGCTCAAACGGTTCTTTTTTCTTCTGATTTATTTTTTTTAATGCTAAAGATGGAATGTAGGTCTTATGCATGCAAGATATGTACTTTATCACTGAGCCACATCTCCAGCCTTCTTCACTAATTGAAAAGAACAGTTACTGTACTTACCTGGCAGGGGAGACACCATGATCATGAAGGTGGTTTTACCAGGGTGAGGCTTATCCATTGCACTCCAGATGTGCTGTCACCTGTGATCTCCCCAAATATGGAAAACCCAGCTGCTTATTTGTGGTCTTGGGAGACTACATTCACACTCTACCCTGAAAAAGAATATGTTTTATAAGTATTCTATCATTTTTTTAATTTAGATTTCAATATCAGTATGTTTGGTGATATGCAGCATTTTTGTATCTTTATTGTTGTGGTAGGAAAAAATGTTTCCCACACTTAGATTAGAAAAAGAAATATTTAATAATTTTATGGTATATATTTTACGTTTAAATATTAAATATAATTAGAATTTATTATTAACCTTTTTTTTTTTTTTGGTGTTTTTGCAAAGAGTAAGCTCTTGGTGCTTACTCCTGGCTATGTGTTCAGGGATCGCATTTGGCAATGCTCAAGACTATGTGGTGGCAGAAAAAGAACCAGGGTCGGCCATGTGCAAGGCAAGCACCTTAGCCCCTGGAATTCATTATTGAGACTGAGACAAGAATTTGCCTATAGTTTTCATGAAATGCCTGGGTTCCTACACTTAATAAATTTATCTTCTCAATCTTGTATATAATAAAATATAATTTTTAGCACATAACTGGATTTTAATTCTTTGAACAATCCACTTAAATATTTAATTCTCTCTATTCCTTATGCATTTCTCATTAACTCTCGAGCTTTAGGGAATTTAAGTCTTTCAGATATAGGGAAATGACTTTTTTTACTAATGAACTGATCTTTTCCTCAGTGCACACACCTGGATGTTTCTGCAAGCAGGGGATCAGGCACAGGACTGGGCGGGAGGCAGTGGTGGTGGGGGGGAGATCGGGGGGAAGGAGTGGCCGGCTTGCAAGGCAGCTGGGCAGGAACTTTTCTGGACCTTTTATTCTTTCCTTTCCAGGAGGACGACACGAAAATAAGCATGTGTGATCATTCCATGGAACAAACCCTCGCACCAGGCTCAAATCCTGAGCAGATCCCAGAAATCTCCCTGAGTCCCACCCACTCAGCAGAGGTAAGTCCTGCTCTGGTATATGGGGGAGCCCTCAGTGATAATAAACTTTCCATGCTTTACAGTGCTTGCTATTTCAAATCAGCAAGTCTTTGTGAGCGTAACCTCTTCCTGTGTGCCAGAGGATTGAAAGATGTACCATCAACTTTTACATAGAAAATAACAAGGCACAGAGAAAGTCTAGATTTTCACTCATTCTCCATTACCCAGGGTGCACTAGTCTTTCATTAACTGCAGATATGGGGGTGATAAAGGTGAAGGGCAATTAATAATCATTAGCCACCAAACTATAGTAGGCATATATGTGCTGTTTGATCCTCAGATTGAACGAGGTAGGTTAAGATCTACCATAAGTTTACAAAGAGAGACTGCAGATCAGGAAGTGCAAATAACAGCAAAAGAGGAGGAAGTAGTCAGACCTAGAATATTCCAATCTGCTTTGTAATTTGGAGATTTGTTGCTAAAATATATGAAGTCAAGGTAGGTTTCGCCTCAGTAAATACACCACCCTGAACCTGAGCAATAGTACAGTAGGTAGGACACTTGCCTTACATGCGGCAGACCCAGATTTGATCCATGACATTTCATACGGACCCCTGGCCCCACCAAGAGTGATCTCTGAGTGCAGAACATGAGAACTGTTGGGTGTAACCCCCAAACAAACAAACAAAAACCCCAAAACAAATAAATATACCATGCTATACCTTTCCATTTCCCTAACTAGTATTGCCAAGACAGGTAGTAGGTATTGTCTCTTGCCATACATTTTGCATTAAAGTTAGGGAAAGGTACAAATATTTATGGAACTGACTAGAAGATTAAAGAGTAATGCACAGGTCTGATAGTTCAATGTGAAATGTAGCTGAGTCCCCAGATTAGCTTACATTTTAGCTGCACGCTGTCACTAAAGTCAATGTTGTTACAGAAGTCAGGTGCTATGGCATTTGCTGACTGAGTGTCCAAGGACTGGAGGATGTATGTCAAGAATTCGACGTGTAGATTCCCAGACACAGTGAAATCAGAGTGAATCTAGTTCTGGCAGTTTGAAAATCTCCGTTAGCCTGAGTTATCATCTATATCTATACGCTGATGATCTCAATAAGCTAGTAAATTAGTGAGGTCACTCATCCCAGGGACCTGGCTCATTCAAAGAGCTTCTCACAAGTTGTGTGTGTGTGTGGGGGGGGGGGGGATGGGGGAGGAATAGGGGGCGTGCATTTAGGACAGGCTGGAGAGACGTGCAGAAGGACTATGACAAGGATAATTGGAAATGATCACTCTGAAAGGAGATAAAGTGATATACATGATAAACTTTCAATGACGGTATTGCAAACCACAGGGCCTAAAAGGTAAAAAAGCTATAGGGGGTGGGGGAGAAGAAGAAAAGTGTCTGCCATAGAGGCAGGCTGGTGGGGTGGGGCTGGCAAGGAGGGGAGAGGAGGGGAGGGAAAATGGGACATTGGTAATAGAAATGTGCATGGTGAAGAGATGAGTATTGGAACCTTGTGTAACTAAAACTCAGTTACGAACAAGTTTGTGACTGTGTTTCAATAAAATAAGTAAAAAAAAAAAAAGAGCTCCGTAATGGGTTAGGTGACACTATTTTGCAGCTATGCTAGAATAATCCCACAGTTTTCTGTAACAAGAAATAGTTGGGGCTGGAGCAATAACACAGTGGGTAGGGCGTTTGCCTTGCACACAGCCGGCCCGGGTTCGATTCCCAGCATCCCATATGGTCCCCTGAGCACCTCCAGGAGTAATTCCTGAGTTCAGAGCCAGGAGTAACCCCTGTGCATCGCCACGTGGACCCAAAAAGCAAAATAAATAAATAAATAATAAAAAATAAAAGAAATACTTGTGCCTTACCTTTCACTACCCCACCTCCCGGCCAGGTATACAACCATAATACGTTCATTTAAAGAGTTTCTGCTTTGAGAGTTTGGGGCTGTCACTCTGAGAAGATATAGAGCAGGGCTACCTTTATAGGAGAACCGTGGCATCAGAATCAGAAGCTTGCGAACAAGGAACTTATGTCCAGGTCTAAGCTGCCACAAAGCCAGTGGTGAGCAGATTAGTGGGTCCAGGTGCTGGGGATTTTTTGACCACAAGGAGAGGGAGGCGAACTGATTCCTGGCAGGTTCCTAGGCCACCTCCAGCTAGTAAAGCTTGGTGGTTTCCAGTACTGTTTTCCCTTTCTATTCAGCCTTGGATTCTTTACAGGTTCAAATGACGAGCAAATAAAGCGCAGATTAGCTGTCTAGCTTCCTTGCTTGTTAACTATGAGGAAGTTAGTGAGAAAGTAAAGAAACTCAATATTGCTATTTTTTAAAGTGTGCGTGGCACATGATAGGCAGTCTGTTTTTGAATAAAAGGTAGATGGTAAATCTGTTATTCAGAATAATTAATTAGCTAATATTAACAGATTGTAATCTGAGGTAATTGGGGAAAAAATGGATTCTGGGGTGAGTGGTGTGAAGAGATAGCACCAAGGCTGAGTGAGTGTTGTGCGTGTTGGCCACCTGGGGTTAGTCCCAACACTGCATGGTCCTCTAGGCACAGCCAGAAGTGAACCCCGAAGGACCCTTGGATGTGGTTAAAAAAAATAGGAGGATCCCCCTATCTATGCCACTATTACATGACAATAGCTGAAAACTAGAAAACAATGTTTTGGATGACTTAAAGTTTTTGGCAGTAAAATCATACAACTGTTGCTTTATTAATGAGGATGAAAAAAAGATCAAAATGTTGAATTCAAGTTTAAATCTAACTGTATGGATTGCTGAGAGCACAATACAAGGGGAGACTTCCTTAAGAGATGAATCTTGGGGCCAGAGACAACATTCAGAGGCTAAAGCACTTGTCTTGCATGAGGCCAAACTTGGTTTGGTCCCCAGCACCATGTATCCCTGAGCACCGCTGGGAGTGATCCCTGAGCACAAAGCCAGGAGTAAGCCCTAAGCCCAGCTGTGAGTGGCCCAAGGCCCCTTTTCTCCCAAGGCCCCAACAAAACCAGGTAAATCTTGATGGAAATTATAAAAAAGATTAATAAATGAGGGAGAAATGGTATTTGGGAAAAACATAGCAAACAATAAAATTAATAGATGGCCATGGAAACAGGTATAACTCAGAGGTATAACACCTCTGCCAAACCAGATTTTAGAAAACTCATTTGTGTGACAATGAATACCTCTTCACAGTATTGTTTTGTGCCATTGGCCAATTTTGTTCACTTCTGAAACTTCTATTTAAACAAAATTTCTGTAAGCATTGAGAAATGTGCATTTAAGTTGTGCTAGAATACATTGGTGAGTTGTTTTTTTGTTTGTTTGTTTGGTTGTTTTTATGGGGTTTGTTTTGGTTTTGGTTTTGGTTTTGGTTTTTTGGTGAGGTGGGCCACACCTAGCAGTGTGGCAGTGCACAGAGCTTACAGGGCTTACTCCTAGCTCTGCACTCACGGATCACTCCTGTTGGGTCTCAAGGGAACATATATGGTGTCAGAGCCAGGAACTGAACCTGGGGAGGTCATGTGCAAGGCAAGTGCCCTACTGGCTGTAATATTGTTCCAGTCCTGATAAGCAACTTTGGTTGGAAGTTTGTCACTTGGGGCTAGAGAGATAGCTCAGTGTGTTGAGCACATGCTTTGCATGTGAGAGGCCTGGATCTGATCTCTGGCACTTCATGGTCCCCTTAGCATGGACTGGAAACACTTTTGAGCACACTGGGAGTAACTTCTGCTGTAAATCATTGGATTTTGCTCCAAAACAAACAGAAAGTTGTTACTTGGCCAAAATTGTGTGTTTACTAGATGCTGATGTGTAGTTAACAAAGCTCTATATCCAAACATTGTATTTTATCACAATCTGTGAAGTATTTATTGAGATCCATGCTTTGGTTGAACAAAACACAAATTTTTATTCTTTAAGAAATTTCTCTACAAGTGTCAAAATGTCCCTATAATTGTTCTGGAAGAGTGTTGTTACACAGTGGGAGGAAATAGATCTTGATCCATCTTCTTTTACCTCCAAATTGAAAATACATAATTTCTAGGATACTTCTGAGAAAATTTTCTGTTGAATTGGAAGCAATCTAGTTACTTCAATTTAGAAGCACCATACATGCACTTTATACTATACTGTAAGCATTTTAGTTTTAACTAAATAATATTTGAGGGTCAGAGAGATAGTACTGCAGGAAGGGTGCTTCCCTTGAATATAGCCAAACTGAGTTGAACCCTATTAGGAGTGATCTATGAGTACAGAATTAGGAGTAAGCCCTGAGCACTACCTTAGTAAACCAAAAATGCTAATAATAGTGTGTCTAGAAGGTGAAAAGTAGCTTTAGGGATTCTCTCTAAAGAACAAAAGAAAAGTTTCCATATTACCCCATACAACTCATCACTTAGGCTTTTAATAGGGAGACATTTCAATGAGTTTTAATAGGGAGAAGTATACATGTGATTAAAAAAAAAAAGCTAACCTGTTTCATGATCTTATTACTTGAGAAGATGTGAAGCTGAAAGTGTCTGACATATTCCTTGTATCCCACCCAGCCGCTACGTAAAACGTCGTCCTTTCTGTTTGAACAGAGTGCACCACAATGTAAGCATTGCTTAATCACGTGTCACGCAATTTTTAAGCACTGGCCAATTCGCTGAAATGTTTCAGACATGCACACCTACATGCACACCCTCTCACTCACACTCACCTGTCTCCAGGGGCTCCTGATTAATGAACTGCAAGCCCAGGTGCTTCCGCTGTGCCCAGGAACATAGTACCTGTGTACATGCACCTCGGCTGCTTGGAAACCTGGAGCGCCAGGTCACATGACTGTTGCTATGAGTGTGGAGGAGCATTTTTCTTTCCTTGCTTCTCCTGCTTTTTCCCCCCCTTTCTTTTAACTGGGGAAATGCAAGTTCACAGGTCTTTGCAAGCCTAATTCTGGAAACTTTGGACTCCTGGCTTTTCACTGCTGGATTATCTTTGGATTTATCTTAGGGTGCCACACCCCCTACCACGGCTTCAGCGCTGGGCTTTTCCGATGAGCAAGGAGCTTTTGAGGCCACGGTGGAGCGACCAAGGCCAGAGCCTGAGGAAATCCTCCATGTCTGCAAGATTCAGGTGGCCGAGCTGGAGCTGTGGCTACATCAAGCCAACGTGGCATTTGAGCCGGAAACATTAAATGCAGACATGCAGCAGGAGGTGGAACAGCAGCTGGTAGGGTGCCAGGTAAGGTTGATGGGTCAGAGTTCATTGACTTGCCTTTTCACCAATCATCTTCCAAGATTGGATGAATTTCTCTTAAAGCAACAGCATGTTTCTTCCTGTTTACACTTTTATCTTGATCCAACTTTTTGCTCTACAGGTATTTCTTTGAGATGATTTATGTAAATGTAGTATTGCAGGAGGGAGTCAGTCATGCGTAAGAGCTCAAATTCTCAACTCTAAATCCAGCTCTGCCGTGTGAACTGTGAACTTGGGGAAGTTTGGTTCTTCCCTCATTTCCTGTATTTGGATTACAATAGTTATCTCACAGGGCTTTGTCCGGATACAAGGAAATAGGACTATAATTTTGTGTATAAAGTATATTTTTTATAAAGTACTCAATAGATGTTGAATTTATACGTAAGTTCTTATAATATTTATTAATCAGAAATAAAACCGAATGTTCTGATTTACAGAGGTGCCGATGGAAACAGAACAGGGTTGTGCTGTCATTTCACCGCCCAGGTCCTGCCTTAGTCACTGGGTAGAAGACGTATTCCGTGGCCCAGGCTGAGCTGGGGCCGGATGGGCTGGGCTGAGAACATGCTGCAGCATAACTGAGTGTCATAGCAGCGAGGCACCACCCCCGATGGCCCCGAGGAACAGCTTGGGCTGACGTCTCTGCTTTAGAAACTCCCCAGGGATGAGGACATCTTCACAGATTACCTCACCTCCCTGCAAGCCACAGGGAGCTTCTCTGCGAAGGGCTGTTGCCAGTGGCCCCTCACGGCCCAGACAGGCACTCCTCCCTCTGTCCACCAGGCAGTCTCAGGCAAAGTTTACCCTTCCTCCTTCCTTTAATCTCCAGTCCAGGAGATGGTTCATCAGCTCAGCTCACTTCTGACCCCAAAGTGAACACTGATGAAATGGGCTCACTCCAGTACTGGCACAGCCACAGACAGGGCCAAGCTGATAGGACCCAGAGGAATCTGGAAGAGACGAAGTGTACTACCAACAGCTAAGAGCAAGGCCAGCTGAACCTGTGTGTTCTGAGCAGGGAGGCCCAGCCAGAGAGGCCACCCAGTATTGATTTGCCGATTGATTGTTGTGCCAGTTGGGTGGACTCTATTTCAGTTCCTAGATCACCCCCAGAATCCAGTTCATCTGCAGTTTTGTAGTGATTTCAGGGTTGGGGATTGCACAAGAGAAAGACACAATCTCAGGCTGGTAGTAGGACACCAGGAGCATCAACTGGGCAGCGTTTCCTCAGGATCTTAAGGGACTGGGGCATTCCCCTCCCTCCCACCCCCCAACAGGCACTCCCCCCCAACAGGAATCCCACTCCCCCAACAGTGTGGCTGTGGTCTAAGTGTTGTCCTAAAGGCAGCAGAGTTGGGGACTATTTTGAACCACAGGGTTTGTCTGATCCTAGTTGTGAGATCTAGTTTTGACTTGGGCAGTGGGATTTGAGCTAATAGTCCCAATGTGCTATGAAGAAATAAAATAAGAACAGCATACAAGGGTCACCTTTGACATACATAATTTAGTGTACTAGTATTAGTATAATACTAATATGTAATACTAAAGTAATATTATTATCACTTGTACTGTTAGCAAAGTACAATACAATTAACATTGCAAATTTATTAATTTAATATTGAAACATATAGTAAACACACACTGTCAGTTCAACTTTGTCTATAAAACTGCTAAGAGTTTATAGTCTGTAAAATAAGAGTTTATAGTCTGAAAAGTGCTACCCAGTGAGAAAATGTCCAAAGGGAAAAAGCACACATATCCCTCTAGAAAAAAAATGATTTGGTAATTTAATGTTTTTTAAAAACCATGTAAGCTATGATTATTAAAGAGGTCAAAACAGTCATTGTTTTGTTCATGCATTGCATTGACAAAAAAATTACATCATTCTGGAAATAGATACCCTAGCATCTAATAGACTTGCTCAATGTTTGGAAGATCTGAAGGCAGTGAGATAGTAAGTACAGCAGGTAGGGGACTTGCCTGGTATGCAGCTGACCTGGGCTTGATCCCCAGTACTCTAGATGGTCCCCTGAGAGCCATGCAAGGGGTGATATCTGCCCACAGAGCCAGGAGTTACTCCTGAGTACTTCCAGGTATTGCTCCCAATGCCTCTTTAAAAAAAACAAAAACTGGAGGTCAGCTATCAACACAGAATATGTCCATCTTCTTAGACTAAATAACATCCTTTGAAAATAAGTTTACTTTTGAAAATAATCCCAAAGGGAGAAAAGTATTTATGGCATCATTGATTACAAAAGTGAAGAACTGGAAACAACTTTCAGCTTACAATGGAGAAGTTAAGTAACTTAGGGGCCATCAAACTGCAGTTATTAAGCCTACAATCTCCCCACTATTATGGAATCATGAGGCATACATATATAGACACATGAAAAAATAACTACAACCAGCCAGGTGGGGGATAGAACACAGTTATACTATATTTTTTTGAAAGCCACTCTCAAATCTGTAACTTAGTAAACAATGCAAGTAGTTTGCTTTGACAGAAGAATTCTAAGATGTATTCCAAACCTTGTGTTTGCTATAGGATTTTTTTCTTACATTTCAAAGAATTGAACTTGTTCTTAGTCATGGACTGGAACTGAGGGACTGGTCAGGGGGCTGAAATATGTGTCCAGCCAAGGGGCATGAGTAGTAGGGCTCCTGTACCTCAGAAGAAGGCAGATGGTCAGTTGAAGAATACAATGATGGGGCTAGAGCGATAGTACATCGGGTAGGGCGTTTGCCGTACATGTGGCCAACCCGGGTTCGATTCCCAGCATCCCATATGGTCTCCTGAGCACCAGCAGGAGTAATTCCTGAGTGCAAAGCCAGGAGTAACCCTTGTGCATTGCCGGGTGTAATCCAAAAAGAAAAAAAAAAATACAATGATGATGCCTTACTGTGAAACTTAGTTCAGGTAAAGGTAAAGGTAAAGGTCCTCCCGTTGATCGTCGATTTGCTCGAGCGGGCCCAGTAACGTCTCCATTGGAGACTTTGTTGTCACTGTGTCTGGCATATCGAATACTCTCGGTAGCTTGCCGGGCTCTCCGAGAGGGGCGGAGGAATCGAACTCGGGTCGGCCATGTTGGCCGCTTGTAAGGCGAACGCCCTACCACTGTGCTATCGCTCCAGCCCCAACTGATTTATTTTTAGAATTGTATGTTAGTTGGCCAGTTGAATCAATGTGAACTACATGTTTTAGGTCCCAAATGATTTACTCTGAGGTATTCTTCTGATCTTTTGGAAACATATTTAACTTGTTAGGAAAAAAAGAGCAGGGTAAAGAATTTATAAATCGTTTTTGGATTTCTTTTTCTATTCCTTGTCAACACTTGGATTTCAACAAAAAACGGAGGTGGAAAATAAAATTAACATAGCATAAACGGGGTAGCAAGCTACAGCCAAAATGAGTTTAATTTGTTAACTCTTCTCAGTGGACCCAGGAAGTCAGTTCTGTTAACTCTCCCCATTTTGCAGATGACGTGGCACTCCTACAAAATCAGGACCCAGCTACTAATTGGCAGGGCTGAGATATACCCAGGTCGTAGAGTTTCAACATCTGTGTTCTCAGTGTTGTACTATGCTAAGATATAATTTGCCATATTTTCTAAAGAGGGGGCAAATCATTTATCTTAGAGGGTAAGATAAGGAAGGGTTTGCAAGGGTTGATTTCACTGAACCCCTGCAATCAGTAACACTGGAATTCTGTGGAAGTTGTTTCCAGCCTGTTTCTGAGACTTGTTAAATACACCTAAGCAGGAGAAAATTAATCTGACCTATTTTGGAGCATAACACATGGTTAGGACTAAAGCTCTGAATAATTAAATGATTTTCTTTTCTAGGCGATGCTGACGGAGATTGAGCACAAGGTGGCTTCCCTGTTAGAGAACTGCAAAGACCAGGGTTTGGGAGATAGTGGGGCCACACAACAAGAGGCTGAAACACTTTCCTTGAAACTAAAAACTGTGAAGTGCAATTTGGAAAAAGTCCAGCTGATGCTCCAGGAGAAGTACAGTGATGACCAGGTAAAACGTGAAAACATGTTAGAGATATACATCTCCAAGAGGCCCAGTAGAAAGCAGTCTTGGAAGAGGTGATGATAAAACAACTACAGCAGAGTTTTTCTATGAAAGACAGATACTTCGTTCTAGAACAGTAGAGCTTAACATCCATAAGACTACCAAGGTTGCCAGTGAATGAGGAGCATGGGTTGAAAGGGTTGGGGTCCCATGAAATGAAGTGAAAGAATTTTGGCACTTTGGTAGTAGGCATGGTGTGATAACATTGTATCCCTAAAACATTAACATTTTTGTAAAGCAGTGTTAACTGGGTTCAAAAAAATTAAATCCATGAAGTTATAGATGGATTTAATCAGTAAAAGTCAAACTTATACTTCCCAGTTGGCTTGTGTTCTTTCTCAAATGAAGGTTGTTTTTATAAAGGTGTTTCAGACCAGTTTTTCTCTGTTTGTCGGCAAGTTTTAGGGTGATTCCAGTTAGCTTAATTCAGAAAGGACTTAGGCATGAACATGAACCAGAGTATGGAATTATAGTCAGTAATGAAATAGTCACTTTATACAAACTTTTTTTGTACTCTCATTATCAGAATTGAAATAAAATAAGTCATTAAAAAAATAGTCTACCATCATGAATTTTTTTTTACAGCAGCAACACTCTGCCATTCTAAAGAAACCTGCAGAGCATCCAAAAGATCTCCAATCAGATAACCTCTCTGAGTTTGAATCATTCATCACTGAAAGGCCACAGTTCAGCAAACAGAAAGATTTCCAGCAGCAACAGGTAATTTCACTCCCTTAGACTTAGAAGGGAAAGAGTAAGCCTTCCCAGGCAGATTTCTGGCCTCTGCCCCAGGATTTGTGACTAAATGGGAAGTGTGAGGTGTAGGCATTTTTGTGGGAGCAGCATCTTGGTGCTGAATGCAAGTGGTCCACTCTGCTTTAGTTTTATTTGCTGCAATTAGGACACAACTTGATTCCTTTATTAACTTCCATCCTAAAGATACTTTTACTGTGAAAGTCTCTTTGTAACTACCCTCCACCTCCCTGATTTCTAAAACACTTGAAGTCTTCCCCCCCTCCATACTTGCAATATATATTTTAAACAACATTTTGTTGGTGTGTGAACACTTAAAATAGTTTTTAAGAAATAAAAGTTAGTGAAGGGGCTGGAGAGCTAGTTCAGTGGGTAGGGTGCTTACCTTGTACGCAGCTAACCTAGGTTCAATCCCCACATCCCATTTGGTCCTCCTGAGCCCTGCCAGGAGTGATCCCTGAGCACAGAACCAGGAATTAACCTTGAGTATCACTGGATGTGGCTAAAAACCAAAACACCTGCAAAATTAATTTTTAAAAAATTGAAATGTTATATAATGATATAAGAAGTGGTTCGGAAGTGGTTAATCATATTGTCTCAACGGGTGGGGAAAAAAACCTTAGATATTGATATGAAACCTTTCTTGAGTGAACTGTTTGAACCTCATTCGATTTTAGGTTCTGGAGTTAAAACCGCTAGAACAGAGAGACTTACTCAAATTCATAGAATTGAATGTACAGAAAGTCTGGCCCCAGGATAAAGATACAATGCAGCCATCATCTGTCAGGTAAGACATTTTTAAACAGTTGGACATTTAGTAGTTCTTTGGTTGGGAGAACCAAAGTTTCTTTTAAAATCACTTCTAAAACTTTATCTGAGTGTAATAAACATTTTTGTATGTTGATTATTCTTTTTTCTTTTGTTTCCTCTTAAAAGCAGTGAGACATCTGACTCTGCTAATGATGCCCCAGACTCTGTCCTGTCAACTCAGGGCCAAAGTGGAGACAAATGGCAATATTTGCATCATGAACTTGAATCAAAAATAAGCCAACCTCTGCCTGAGCTTGTGGAACCTCAGGTCAGTGTGTGTCTGCGTGGTTATCTTTGCAAAGGCAACAATTGTTCATTAAAGTCATTGTATATTCTGCATTATGTAACAGTTGATTTCCAGGAAGCCACCTCACTGTGAGAGCTTTTAATTAGCTGACAACCTTGTATCCTCCTGGAAATCTGCATCAGGTACCCCACTTAGTGGTTCTATTGCAGGCTAAGCTTCTCTATTCATAGCTTCAAGTACACTGTGTACCAATTCGTTCGTCTCTGTTCCTCATCAGATAGTATGGGAAGAAAGACCATGTCTCTGGTTTATTTCCACTCAGTACAATACCAGATCAAAAAATCTCACTAGATGCTGAATGATTGGTGAAAAAATAATATATGTAAAAACACATTTTGCAAACTGGACAGTGCTACTTATTCATGCATCAAAAGATTATTTGGAATCTGCAATATGCTGGTCCCTCTGCCTGTGGTATTCCTACCACATCACTGCTGTAAAAGATTTTACTTGACTTGTGCCAGCTATTGCTCATTTTCTATCTAGACAGGGAGCCTTTGAACAGACAAGCACTGGGCTTAACAGAAATCAAACTTTTGCCTTCAGCTTTGCACTCAAAATGCCCAGGTAAAGGTTTCTGATGATTTCCCAATTGCCAGTAAGGTGGGGCAGTTTTTGTTTGCGTCCCCTTTTGTTCTTTGAGAACCTTAATGGACCAATTACTCATAATGGTATATACCTAATAACATGTATATTGTCTTCTTTGCAAGAGTAAAGCACCCTTCCTCAAGAAGGTGCATCTGTCATCTTCTCTTTTATAAGGTAGCTTTTCAATTTGAGAATGTAGTAAATTTTGAATTATACTCTTCTGAAATTACAGCTCATTTTTCAGCACTTGCTTACCTTTTCCATAGTAGACCAGGGTACAAAGTTGCCCCAGGAGGTGATGTATTTCCTTCTAAGTATTGCCATGCAAGGAGTCTGCTAGTAAACTGGAAGAAAAATAGGTAACCTTAGTACATGGCTAGATCCCAGTGACTGGAAAATTTAGTCTTTTTGTTCTATTTCTCAAGTTATGGTCTATTTTCTCTCATTTTGACACCTAAATGAATCCTCAAGTAAAGGTTCTCATGACTTTTCAAGTCTATCCAAAATATATTTTTAAATTTTTTCTTATAGAGTAGACAACAATTCTTACTCAGCTAACTGGGAACTCAGAAGACATCATCTAAAGCATTTTATTGTTTTGCATTAGAGATCAGCAGTATCTTAAACTGTAAAATTTCCCTTTTTCAAACAGGGTGCCACCAGCATGAGTATTCTACCCAGTGTGAGTGTCTATAATTTTAGATATCCAACAACTGAAGAGCTGAAAACATATACCACCCAACTTGAAGACCTGCGTCAAGAAGCAACTAATCTTCAGACACAGGTAGCAGCTGCTTGTTATGCGCTTTCCTTATACAAACCGTAAAAACGCAAATAGGATTTATCTCTCCCCGACTCAGAAATTTGGCAGAGGCAAGGAGGAGCATTGTGCAAAGACTTCTGAACCTGTGTCCTGGATTAGCAGGAAGGAGGGTTGGGATGAATTAGCACTGCTTGTGTTTGTGTAGCTCCCTGGGACTAGAAAGTCGAGAAAGGGAGGGAAAGGGGATGGGAAAGGTATTCAAACGTGAGTAAGCTCAGTGCTGAGCTGGTGTGAAAAGTCAGGTGTCAGAGTAGACACAGCTCAAATTGTAATAACTAGCTCTTCAGTCACTTGTCACAGTCTAAGAATTCAAGGTGATTATGGCAAAGAAACAAAGTTCTTAGAGCTTATGCTGAAACAGACTTATGGTTCCCAAACTCACCAAGACATAGTGGTCTAGTTCCTGAGGCCCATGGAAGTTGTACATCTAATTGGCTCTAGTTCTCATGTTCAGCCCATGCTTGACACTCCTCAGTTCCCTCCACTCCACTACCCACCTCTATCTTTTAGATACAGGATGTCCTTCTATTTGTTGGAACTGAAGAAATAATACAGTGGATGACCTGGGTTCAATCCCTGGTATCCCATATGGTCCCTGAATTCTTCCAGGAGTGATCCCAGAATTCATAGCCAGAAGTAAGCCCTGAGTACTGTTGCGTGTGGCCCAAGAACCAAAAATAGATAAGATTAAAATATAAAAAACTACCTCTGTTTTTTGTTTGCCAGGACCATACATGATTCCATTAGCCCTCTTACTCCTAGGATAGTAATTTTCTGGGACTACACTTCTTTTTCTTTTCTTTTTTTTTTAAAATATTTTATTGAATCGCCATGAGATACACAGATACAAAACTGTTCATGGTCAGCTTTCAGTCATACAGTGTTCCAACACCCATCCCTCCACCAATCTACATTTCCCACCACCATTATCCCCAGTTTTTCTCCCACCACCCCTCCCCATCGCCTCCTGCAGCCTGTCTCTATGGCAGGCACTTTCTTTCTCTCTCTCTCCCTTTGGTCATTATGGTTTGCAATACAGATCCTGAGAGGTTATAATATCGGTTTCTTTACCTACCTTCATCACACAGTTCTTATCCAGAGTGATCATTTCCAACCATCTTTGTCATAGTGGTCCCGCTCTATCCCAACTGTGTTCTCCCTCAGCACTTGAGGCAGGCTTCCAATTATGAAACAGTTCTCCCGGCCTTTGTTTCTACTGTCCTTGGATATTAGTCTCATATTATGTTTTTTTACATCTCACAAATGAGTGCAATCTATGTCTATCCCTCTTCTGACTCATTTCACTCAACATGATACTCTTCGTGTCCATCCATTATAATACTCTTCGTGTCCATCCATTTTTCCTAACAGCTGCATAATATTTCATTGTGTAGATGAACCATAGTTCTTTTTTGTTTTGTTTTTGTTTTTGTTTTTATCCAGTTGTCTGTTCTCTGGCACTCAGGTCGTTTCCAGATTCTAGCTATTGTGAATAATGCTGCAACAAACATAGAAGTGTACATGTGTTTGTGCTATGTGTTTTTGGGCCCCTGGGGTATGTTCCCAGAAGTGGTATTGCTGGGTCATGGGGAAGCTAAATTTCTAGCTTTTTGAAGAATGCTCATATTGGTTTCCAAAAAGGCTGGACCAGTCAACATTTACACCAATAATTAATAAGAGTCCCTTTCTTCCTGCATCCATGCCAGCACTGGTTGTTCTTGCTCTTTTTGATGTGTGCCAATCTATGTGGTGTGAGATGATATCTCATTGTTGTTTGATTTGCTTCTCCCTGATTAGCAATGTGCAACATTTTTCTTGTGTCTTTTGGCCATTTGAATTTCTTCTTTGTGGAAGTTTCTGTTCAGTTCTTCTCTCCATTTTTTTGATGGGGTTGGAAGTTTTTTTTTTTTCTTGTAAAGTTCTACCAGTGCCTTATAGATCTTGAATATTAATCATTTATCAGATGGGTATTGCCATTTAAATTTTTTCTTTGAGTAAGTTTCTGTTCATTCCTTCTTCCTAATTTTTGATGGGGTTGAATGTTCTTTTCTTGTAAAATTCTACGAGTGCCTTCTGTATCTTGGATATTAATCCCTTGTCAGATGGTATTAGATAAATATTTTTTCCCAGTCTGTATGCTGTCTTTGTATCTTGGACATCATTTCTTATGAGGTTCAAAAGCTTCTTAGTTTAATATAATCCCATTTGTAGTCCCATCTTTACTTGATCAGTGGTGTTTCATCCTTCAAGATGCCTTAGCTTTAATGTCATGGAGGGTTCTGCACACATTTTCCTCCATGTACATTTTGGATTCAGTTCTGATATTGGGGGCTTTATTACACTTTGATTTTTATGCCTGGCTTTAGAATGAAATCTAGATTCATTATATTTATTTATTTATTTATTTATTTTTGCATGTTAGCTACCCAACTTTTCCAGCACCACTAGTTGAAGAGACTTTTGTTGCTCCACTCTATATTTTTTGCTCCTTTATCAGAGATTAGGTGATCCTGTATTTGAGGGTTTGTGTCAGGATATTCAACTCTGTTCTATTGAGCTGCATGTCTGTCTTTACTCCAATACCCTGCTGTTTTAATTACTATCGTGTTGTAGTGTAGTTTAAAGTTGGAGAGGGTGATGCCTCCCATTTTCTTTTTCCCAAGGATTTCTTTAGCTATTTGTGGAGGTTTATTGTTCCATATGAATTTCAGGAGTGTTTGATTTATTTCTTTGAAAAATGTAATGAGTTTCTTATAGGAACCTCATTGAATCTGTATAATGTTTTGGGGAGTATTACCATTTAGACAATGTTAATCCTCCCAAATCATGAGGGGATGTGTTTCCATTTCCTCATGTCCTTTTTTATTTCTCAAAGTAATGTTTTGCAGTTTTCTTTGTATAGGTTTTTCACCTCTTTAGTTAAGTTGATTTTCTGAGACACAATTGTGAACAGGATTGTGTCTTTCTTCTCTTTCATTTTTTGTATATAGGAAAGCCATGGACTTTTGGGTATTGATTTTACAACCTGCCACTTTACTGAATTGTTTCTAGAAGCATTTAGTATAGTATCATCTAGGACTACACTTTCACCTGGATGACCCAACTTAAAGAAGTTCTTTATCTCATGGTTTTACCTTCTAATTCTGTTTAATAGTCAGCTTAGTAACACTGACCTTCTTGTTCATCTCAGATCTAACATTTTAATTTTCTTTTTTCTGGTCCCTGTTGATAATGTTGATTAAAACAACTTAGTTTTAGAAAATCTAACGTAAGTTATAAACAAAATCAGAAACCAGAGTAAATAAATGTAGGTTTACAAAAGCAAGGAGTTCTAATGGTCTCTCTCTCTCTCTCTCTCTCTCTCTCTCTCTCTCTCTCTCTCTCTCTCTCTCTCTCATCTCCTTCTGATTTAGGAAAATGTGCCTGAAGAGACCTACATGAACTTGGATAACAAATTATTTGAACTCTTCCTGGCCCTTAGGCAGTGTCTGGGCAGTGTAGAGGAGCTGCTGCAGACCCCTAGGCTTGTCCAAGAAGACATGTGTGCCCAGCAGGCACGCTGGGAGGTAGGCCACTCCAGCCAGCCCAGTTGTTGGCCACTGCACTGCCCTCTGGGGAAACCAAGGCCAAGGCTCCTAGGTCAGAGCTCCTTCACATATGGATCTCTCTTCCTCTTCACTCCACAGACGCTGGCCCTTGAGTTGAAAAAACTCTTCTTAGCTTTGACTGACAGAAAGGAGGATCTTCTGAAAGCCATGACATGGCCAGGCTGGAACAGTAGCCAGTTCCGTGAGTGTTTTAATATGCTCCATGACTACCTGAATTGCACACAGCTGGTGGCTGTCCACCAAAGCAAGACTCTGAAGGCAGGTCTCGACTACCAGCGCAGCTTTCAGGTATGGTGCAGTCCCAGGTGCTTGACCGCATTCAACTCCCTCTCAGTGACGCTTCCTGGCAGTCTTCACTCTAGGGATTGCTAAGGGAAGTGGGGAGACATTGTGTCAAGGTCTTTCAGCTTTTTCTGCTGCTGGAAACCCTTTGAAAGGGTGGCACCCCAACGCCCACCCCAAAATGTGTCGATTATGACTTTGTCAGGATGGCTAGAACGTGTTTCTTTCCTGGAGTGTCTTCATTTGTTTGATGAGGGTACCCCAGGAGACTTTTTAGGTAAAAGGGAGCCATTAGGGTTTCAGTTCAAGTCATCTGGCACTTACCTAATGTGAATTGAGGACAGAGTTGAGGTGAGACTAGTCAGAGAGTGACTGGAATTGTCTGAGGTAAAACACATGAAACTGCATACCCCTCAGGGAGCACTCTGGCACATAAAATCATACCTGAGGGCTAGAGAGGTTCCTCAGGGGACTGGGCACATGCTTTACAAGCAAGAGGCCCGAGTTTGTTCCCTAAAACTGCATGGCTTCCTAAGCATCACTGGTTATGCCTCCCTCCAGCCCACAAAAGAAAAGAAATCCAAACCACTGATGTACAATCTTGCCTCCAGAATCCAGGTGAACAGTCACAAAGGAAAGCAGATGCTCATGTCCCACAGGGTAGCAGTTGGTTCAGACTGTCATAGGGAGTGACTTGGAGGAATAATGATGCATTTACTTCATCCCCAGCCCCCAAATCCAAGCACTGAAAAAGAGCAATAATGAGAGTGGCTGGTTATAGGAGACGTAAAACCCTTCTTGGTCCATCGACACCTCCTGACCCACATTTAGATCCTGATTCAGAGGATCCAGAAATAAGAACTAGTCAGTAATTGGAGAAATGTGAACATTGTATGGATACTTAATGAAGGATTATTATTGATTTGTAGTACTTTAAGAGATACATACTAAAAAGATGAATGTCCACTGTCCTGTCCTGTTCTCCCATAATTCATCAATTTGCTTAAGCAGGCACCAGAAATGTCTCCATTGTGAGACTTGTTGTTACTATTTTTGGCATATCAAATACGCTATGAGGAGATTGCCAGGCTCTGCCGTGCGGGTAGGGTACTCTCGATAGCTTGCCGGGCTCTCCAAGAGGGACGGAGGAATCGAACCTGGGTTGGCCATGTGCAAGGCTAATGCCCTACCCTCTGTGCTATCACTCCAGCCCTTAAAAAAAAAAAAAAGATCCTTTTCACCTTTCCCTTGTGGCAGATTTGTGACCAGATGCATTGACATTGACTTGGATGGCCTGACTTGTACTCAAAAACATGAATACCAATGAAAAACTGTGATAACAGAGTTGCTTTAAAGTAATCCACAGGAAGAAAAGATAGACAGGCCCCCTCAAAGAGGCCACCAAGGATAGACAGCCTGCCTCAACTGGGTCCTGCTTACAACAGGATGGTGCCAGTGTGGAGATTTTTCAGTTTTTGTGTTTAACATTTCTGAAGTTAAAGAACCACTACATTTTAAAAGTCAGTGAGGGGGCTGTGGGTAGGGCGATCCCTAGCATCCCTGGTGGTCCCTCAGGCCCCACCAGGATTAATTCCTGAGTGCAAAGCCAGGAGTAATTGCATCTGAGCATCGCCAGGTGTGGCCCAAAATAAAAAACAAAAAAATAACAAGGCAATGTGAGCTGAAAGGAGATTCTAATTTCCTGCTAATTTCTTGTTTTTCCTGTTTGTTTCCAGCATGAAGTAAAGAGATTATATGAACAAATTTCCAAGAATAAAATATCTTTACAACAGTCTTTGAATGAAATTAGTGGCCAGAGTATTGATGAACAGCTTCAGGTAATAAAATCAAAATAATCCCCACTAATGCCAGACCACATCTTGGGGATGTTTTCTTCAACCTTCCCTCTGTGAGCAGGGCAAGACTGACATCAATAAAAATGTGAAATCTGTGTTTACCTTTAAAAACCCTTACAGCAGAATTTTACAGAGTGTGAGATAAAACAACATAGATCTTTGTCACAAGTCATCAGGACACAGTTTATGCGGGTGCTAGGAAATAAGCATCTGACCGCTTGGTTAATGTTGGGTAGTTCAACAGATTCTGGGGATCATCAACTCAGTAACACAATTTAGGGTTAAATGTTCTTCATTGATGCAGCAGATATTAAGTGTAGACTTACAATCTACACTTAGTCTGCTATACTATCTCTCTAGTCCTGGGGTACATGCTTTGAGAGCATTTAATTGGTGAAATTAAATTAAGGAAATTAGGAAATCCCATGAAACGTCTCCATTGTGAGACTTGTTACTGTTTTTGGCATATTCAATATGCCACAGTAGCTTGCCAGGCTCTGCCATGTGGGCAGGATACTCTGTGTAGCTTGCTGGGCTCTCCGAGAGGGATGGAGGAATCAAACCCACTTGCAAGGCAAATGCCCAACCCACTGTGCTATTGCTCCAGCCTGTAAAGATAAATATGTATAAAAATGTTATGGGATGCCCCTGAAACAAAAATTTTCTAATAGCCTAAAAGTCTGTAAGAGCAGACTGCTCCTAAAAGAATGTGCAGCCTTCCAGCAGTATATGTCTGTTTAAGGGGCCCACATAGACCAGAGAAAAAGCTTAATGACAGGTGCATATACTTTGCAGATAAGAGACCTGCCAGGAGTGAACACTGTTTGCCAAGCCAGAAATAGTTCATGAGCAACATCAAATGTATCCCTGCCCCCAAAAAATGAATGAATGAATGAATGAATGAAACAAATGACCCAGTTAGTCTTCACTAATTGAAAAGACTGTTAAGAGAAAAATGCAGTCTGCAGAATAGAGTGATGTATTCAATTCAAGAAGTTTAGGGCCAGAGCAATAGTACAGCAGGTAAGAGCATTTGCCTTGCATGCGGCCGACCTGGGTTCAATCCCTGGCATCCCATATAGTCCCCCAAGCACTGCCAGGAGTAATTCCTGAGCACGTAGCCAGGAGTAATGCCTAAGCACCGCTGGATGTGACCCCTGCCCCAGAAAAAAAGCAAATAAGAAGTCTAAGGGTCTATGTGAATACCTAGACTTCTTTATGCTTAGATCTGGTCAATGGACCAACAAGAAAACTAGGGGAAACTCGGAGATAAGGCATTTTAAAATGAATATGCGTACTTCTTTGGTGTTCGAAATTATTTCACTTTTTTGTGTTTTGTCTCATCTTAGAAAGCAGATGCACACACCATGGAACTACAACACTTGGAGGGTCGAGTGTCAAAGCTAAGGGACGAAGGGGAGATGCTTCATTTCCCTTATGTTTTACTGCAGGATGTTTACAAATTAGAGGTATGTCTGAGTAGAAAATATCTAGTCAGTGAGTTATTACAATTATTAGGAGTTAGACTTATTTTTCCACCAAGGGAGCTTGGATTTGTTCTTCATTTGGCTTATTTCCATGGCAAATAAAAGTATTTGTGTGTATCTACTCATTCTTTTCAGGATATGCTTGACAGTATGTGGGGAATCCTGAGAACCAGGTACACAGAGCTCAGCAGCCCTTTCATCTCTGAGAGTCAGCAAGAAGCACTGTTTCAAGGCTTGGTGGAACTAGTGAATATTGGAAAGGAAAAACTTGCTTATGACCATTTGAAACAAGTCAAAAGTAAAGTCGCCTTACAGGCTCAACTACAAAATCACAAGGTAAAAAATAAGGATCAAATAGTCTTTATATAGACGTGAAGTTTTTCTGAATATGAAAAGAGAACATCCTTTTTTTTTTTACTTTAGTGAAATATAAAAGCATGCATTCATTCTTTTAGCACACATCTATTAAAGTATCCACTGTGTAACAGAAACCATGCTGACTCAAAAGTATGGTTGTGTGATTGAACATTAATACAGTTCTTTCTTTTTGGGGGGAATAGGGGGTTGGTTGATTGAGAAGATTTATTTATCAAGGAGTACTTCCAACATTTAAAATTGAAACACATGCTTTTTTTGTTTGTGTTTTTTTATTTGGGGGCCATACCTGGCAGTGCTCAGGGCTTACTCCTAAGTCTGGAATCAGGAGTTGCTCCTGGAGGTGCTTGATACTATATGAAATGCCTGGTATCTAATGCAGGTCAGTCAGATGCAAGGCACACACCCTACCTGCTATACTATCTCTCTAGTCCTGGGGTACATTCTTTGAGAGCATTTAATTGGTGAAATTAAATTAAGGAAATTAGGAAATCCCTGAGAATTGAGAATAAAAGATATATCTATAAAATGTCTACCTCACATAATTATGCAAGAAATTCTTTCATTTTTCTATTTATTTCATTAAGTGAAATTTCCTCCTGATCACCAACTACAATTATGCAGCAGTCTAAGTGCTGATGTTAACACTACATAAGTCAAAACTCCTACCTGCCTTTGTTAACTTTAGCCTAAAATAAACAGAAGGGGAAATATTGTATAAGAATACAGGGAAAGGAACAGAAGTGGGTACAATGTTTGACTTGCATGTGGCCGACCCAGGTTTGATTCCCAGCATCCCATGTGATCCCCCAAGCACCGCCAGGAGTAATTCCTGAGTGCAGAGCCACTCCTGAGTATTGCCAGATGTGACCCAAAAAGAAAAAAAAAAAAGAATATAGGGGAAAAGGGGAAATAAATATTAATTTAAATCTTCAGTGACTCAGGTCCCCAATTCCTTGGTAATTGGGAGATGAAACCTCCATGAGATTCCCTCCAGATGTCTAGCAGGTTAGCCTACTATCAGTGGAAAAAAAGTCAGCTGAAGGAAAATATTTCTCTCTAAAGGTTCTTAAAGTATTCTTACGGTAAGGGCCAAGCAGTAATACAGTGGGTAGGGCATTTGCTTTGCATGAGGCTGATCTATATGGTTCCCCACACACCGCCAGGAACAAGTCCTAAGCACTGCCAGGAGTGGCCCAAATGTTAAATAAATAAATAAATAAATAAATAAATAAAAGGCACTATTATGGGAAATTTTTTTTCTACCAGGAACTTCATAAACCACTGCACTGCACTGTCTGCACTGTCCTCTCATTGTTCATCGATTTGCTCCAGTAGGCCCAGTAACATCACCGTTTTGAGACTTGTTATTGTTACATCTTATTATCTCATTCTTACTTTGGACAAAATGGCAGGCTACCAAATGTAACCTGCCCACATGGCAGAGTCTGGCAAACTCCCCATGGTGAACCCAGTATGCCAAATACCAGTAACAATGATGGGTCTCATTCTCCTAACCCTGAAAGAGCCTTTAATATGGCACTTTTTAAAAAAATCTCAGGGCTAGGATGAAGGAGACGTTACTGGGTCCTGCTCGAGACAATCAACAAACAACAGTATGGTCGTGATCGTGATCATGATCGTAATGGTGTTTGGCATATCGAATACGTCACGGGTAGCTTTTCAGGCTTTGTCATGTGGGCAAGATACTCTCAGTAACTTGCCGGGCTCTCCGAGAGGGGCAGAGGAATTGAACCCAGTCGGCTGGGCTGGCCGTGTGCAAGGCAAATGCCCTACTGCTGTACTATCACTCCAGCCCACATCCACTAATTTTTTTTTTTATATAGCATCTTGTAGGCTGGAGCAATAGCACAACGGTAGGGAGTTTGCCTTGCGTGTGGCCAAGCCAGCTGAGCCGGGTTCGATTCCTCCGCCTCTCCCGCAGAGCCTGGCAAGCTACTGAGAGTATCTTGCCCGCATGACAAAGCCTGACAAGCTACCTGTAACATATTCCATATGCCAAACACAGTAACAACAAGTCTCACAATGGAGATGTTACTGGGCCCACTCCAGCAAATCTACGAACAACCTGAGAACAGTGCAACAGTGAAGCATCTTCTTGAGTAAAAGTAAAGTCAGCATTTAGAAGCCCCAGCTATTGACTAATGTGGTTTGGGGGCTCATGCATCCATCCATTCAACTTAATTATCATATAACTAATCAGCTCCATCTGTGTCTTTGTGTGCCTGTGATGGGAATCAAACCCAGGGCCTCACGCACAGAGGCATGTGCTCTACCACTGACCCACATGCTTGGGCCTCATTATTTACCTGTTTGTAAAAAAGTTTTTATAAAACCCAGCACAAGGACTGGAGTACAGGAATAGTGCAGGAATTAAGACACTTGCTTTGCGCCCTGCTGACCCCAGTTTCATCCTCAGCACTGAGCACATTAGGAATGACCCCCTAAGCTGGGTAGCTCTAAGTACCTCCAGGTATGACACATAGTATGAAGTAAAACAACAATAACCTCTCAGAACAACTGATTTAGTGATTAGAATGAAAAATGTTTGCTCCTTAGGGTGGACTATTTTATGAAACGTATTACTTATGATGGCTTGTGACTTGTTAAAATGGTATTAGTGTTTAAAGACTAAGAGATTTGCCATATTTTTTCTCAGTCTTTTTCTGAGGGGTAGTGGGTATTGGGCCTTACCTGGTGGTGCTCAGAGGTTGCTCCCAGAGATACTCAGGGGACTGTGCAGTGCTAGGGATAAGCCTGGGCCTTCTACATGCCAAGCTTGTACTCAGTCCATTTACTTCTCTCTCTGGCCCTCTCATATTTTTGATTACATGGCTAACCTAATAAAATTTTTATTAAAATTAAATATAGGGCCAGAGCAATAGTACTACACATAGAACACTTCCCTTGAATGCCTGCGACCTGGGTTCAATCCCTGGCACCAACTATGGTCTCCCAAGCACCCCAGTACTGACCCCTTGAGCACAGAGCCAGGAATAACCTCTGAGCACTGTTGGGTGTGGCCCCAAAACAAAAAATTAAATATAATGATTTAAAAAGTTGAAGTAACTGGGTTTTTAACTTTTGTGATTAAACATATACATTAAAACCTTCTCCACCAAAAGGAGAGAGAGAGAACAAAAGGGAATTCCCTGCCACAGAGACAGGGTGGGATGGGGGGTGGGATGGATTCTGGGACCCGTGGTGGTGGAAAATGGACACTGGTGGAGGGATGGGTACTTGATCATTGTATAACTGAAACTCAAGCACAAAAATTTGTAAGTCTATAACTGTACCTCATGGTGTTTCACTAATTAAAAAAAAAAAAAACTCTTCTCCAATTTACAGCTTTTTTTCCAGAAGCTTGTTGCTGACATGTGGTTGATCCAAACATTCTCCAACAAAATGCTTCCTTCTTTATTGCAAAAGAAAGAGGCATCTTGGGCAGAACAAACAAAAGAAGTTCAGTCACTAGTAGAAAAGGCGCGCCAGTGTGGGATCAAGCTTCAGAGTTTGTTGCAGGTACTTACATTACATAAACTGTACTTCAGCCAGAAATACCAGATTTTCAGCTCTTTACACACCGCCCCCTCCCCGCATGTGTTGAAAGACAGTGCCTGGTTATCTTTAAGTAGAAGATGTATGGGACTAACAATGCAGAATGTGGAACCCTGTTTCAGTTCTGACTACTTATTTCCTGAATGAAATACTAGCTAACATTTCTCATACATAAATTAAGAATGATGCATTGTCCTCTTAATTTTAAAATTTGTCTTTGAATAAAGTTAAAAGTGCTTTGAGATCTTGAACAAGATCCTTTGGTTAAATAGTCAGTGGCTTTAAAAGCCAATTTCCCAGCAGAAAGGACTGGCCCGGATGGTGTGCTACTGGAGGCCATTCATGATAAAATTTTGCCATGAACATTTCAAACAGTAGATTTTGGCTTGTAAAGAAAATAAATAAAAGTCAAGGATATAGTCAACTTTATAATATGGTGCTAGTATTAATTTAACAAAAGTAGTATTGCATTAGCAAAATTAATTTTCTATTTAGCTTAGCAAAATGATTGTATAGTAATATTTTTTAATATTCGAAAGAAAGAGAACCTCTGGTAGTCAGATGACCCACTATTTCAGTGGCAAGAGAATGAGTAGGTTGTTTGTCAAACAGATTATATTCAGCATCAGTAAGTGAACTCTGTTGTGCTGTGGGGTTTTCTGGAAACAGAAAACTACACTAAGGCAGTAGTAATGAAGTATAAGCCTATACTGAGACAGTAGAGTTATGCTATAAGTAGTGTCGGGTGGCAGTGGGAGATAATGTTTAGTGGATTAGGCATTGGAGCATGAAGGTAGAGGTAGCCTAACAGGAGCTTCTGTTAAGGAAGCTTTAAAAGTTAGCTCAGCTCTGGGGCTGGAGCAATAGCACAGCGGGTAGGGCGTTTGCCTTGCACGCAGCCAACCTAGGTTCAATTCCCAGCATCCCATATGGTCTCCCGAGCACTGCCAAGAGTAATTCCTGAGTGCATGAACCAGGTGTAACTCCTCTGCATCGCCGGGTGTGACCCAGAAAGCAAAAAAAAACAAAAACAAAAACAAAAAAACACAAGTTTGCTCAGCTCTATAGCCTGAACTTGAGACCCCAGGTTCTAGTCCCAGCCTCTTCATTTCTTTCAAGTTTTCAGATATCCTCAGTGATGTTTGCTGAGTGTCACCTTAGCTATACTGTATTATGCCCTACTGATTAGGTGGACTAAGCAACTAATCCATTAAGGCTGACTAGGTTTTTATTCAAAGCTTCTCAAAGACAGCAGAATTATTTTTCATTAGATACTAAATACCTGAGGGGGAGTGGGAGGGGGAGGGGGAGGTTATATTCTTCAGAAATATGTGCTTTCATTTTGGATGATCTCGATTTGTTTTTATGATTGTGTCATTATCTAGAATTAATATAGAAAGGGACTCTCATTGGTTATTTATCTTGATTCTCTAGAAATGGGAAGAATTTGATGAAAACTATGTAACCCTTGAAAAAGATCTGGAAATTCTTGTGTCAACGCTGCCCTCAGTGAGTTTGGTGGAAGAGACAGAGGACAGATTAATGGAAAGGATTGCATTTTACCAGGTATGTGGCTTCTATTTAAACCAACAAAGGCACAGTCCATGATGCTTATATTTTTAAAGTTTTGTTCTGATAAAATTACATGACTTTAAAAGTAGAAGTTAAGGTCAAGGTATTTCAATTGGAATGAAATATATTTCATCGTGCAACATAGTTAGACATACTTGAAGAGACTGCATATTTGATGCTGAGCTCCTCATGATAACTGTCCGGCTTGGTGACAGGAACCTTGGATTGAGTCCAAGCTCTATCATTTATCACTTAATTACCCTTCTGTTTCTAAGCCTCACTCTGTCTGAAGAATGTAAATAATCACACTAGTTCTACCTACCAGTAGGCATGGAAATGAGTCCAAAGAACGGGAAGATCTTTGTAAACCACAAGTCTCTAAATAAATATTTTTTTTTATTGTTCTTACAAAACCCTGATGGAGCATTACCTAAAAAGGTGACAATAATCTGTTACCTGTCATTATAAAAGACATAGAGCATCATGAAAATGACAGTTAACATTTTAAAAGGACTTCAAATTCTAAAATCTGTCGTGTGTGTGTGTGTGTGTGTGTGTGTGTGTGTGTTTCTGTTTATTTTGTTTGGAGGCCACACCCAGCAGTGCTCAGGGCTTACTCCAGACTCTGCACTCATCGATCACTCCCGGTGGGGCTCAGGAGGATCATATGGGGTACTGGGAATCAAACTGGGTTGGCTATGTGAAAAGCAAGCACTTTACCCACTGTATTATCGCTCTAGCCCCATCTTTTATCAAAACCTGCATCTCAAATTTTAGTGCCAAAGAAAGGATAAAACCTTAAAGTGTTTTTCAAGTGGCACTGAGAACATGACCAACTAGATAAAACAGGTTTTTGATCTTCTCAACAGAAGCTTTACATAGTTAATATTAACTTCAGATAATCAGAATCTGATTTATCAGGCTGAAGTTAGTTATCAAATATCAACTGAAAACTTCAAACTTCAAAAGCATATTTGTTCTCTGCACAGACTGGATGGAAAATGAAAACATGAAGTGCTTGGCAGGACCCTGCCATTCCTCGGAGGCATTCAAGTTTCTAGAAGGAATGTTTTTCAGAGGCTACAAGGCTTTAATGATGTTCTTTAGGAATGCCTTGGGAGCTAAAATTGCACTCTTGCTATATTGAATCAATGCTAAGGTAACTGAATTCTCAGGGAAAGAAGCTGCTGTCCAGTCTTTGTTAGTCTAAGGAGACTGGAGATATCATCTGAACAACCCAAAAAATCAGTTGAAGCAGATAGTATTTAAGCTACATTATGTTAAAAATAAATTTATAACAGCCAAATAAAAACTTTATTACTTTCCCCATATTTCTTAAAATATAACTATGACTTACTAAAATTTGAATTTTTTTTTGCACTGGGATGGAGGTGCTGGGCACACGTGGTGATGCTCAGGAGTTATTCCTGCCTCTGTACTCATGAAATCATTATTGGGCCAGAGAGATAATACAGAGGTTAAGTCATTTGCTTTACATGCAGACAAACCCAGATCCCAGCACTGCAAATGATCCCTACCCAGTATCTCCAGGAGTAAGCCCTCAGCATCATCGGATATGGTCCACAACCAGACCAGACCAACAGACAAAGCAATGTCTTACAAAAGAGACAATAATAGAAATGAAATCCTCGTTCTAAGACTTTTAAACAGATTTGGCAGAGGAGCAGACAGATGACTGAAAAGCTAAGTCAGACGGCTCTCTGGCTTGTTTTCAGTATTCTGGGCCATAGATAGTTGTGCGTGTTTTGCTCAGGGGATGCCTGTGGGCTGGGAAATATAAGGGTCCCTTTCCTGGCTTCTGGATTTGAACAACTCATATTCACATGGTGGCTTGTCTCTTCAGGCTGTGTGACCAGTGGCATCTGATTCCTTGCACAAAATGGGGAAACTAAAACTTCTTAGAGGGCTCTAAAGATATGAGTGTCTTATACTGCAGGCTTAGAAAAGGACACCTTTTATTTTTTTTTAACTGATGTTCAAGATTCTATTCTGCCCCCTAGACTTTAGTTAGGAAAGGAGGGTTACAAATGAAAGTAAAAAAGCAAAAAGGGAGGGGGGGGGTCATTGAGAGCAATGTTGTTTACTTTTTATAGTTTTTTTTATACACTACATTTTAAAAGTACAATGTAGTCTATTTTTTATGTAGTTTGTGGGTCACACCTGGCTATGCTTGGGGATCGTTCCTGGCCACCATAGGTGCTGCTAGGGATGGAACCTGAGGTCTGCTGTGTACACGGCAAGAGCTTTAACCTCAGCACAATCTCTCTGGATGTAGGTAACTCTTTTAAAGGCTCAAGTTCATTAGACAATAGCAGAAGTTCTGGTTTCATCATAAGAGTCTGGTTTCATTCTTGTTGTTCATTATTGTTGTTGTTTTGGAACCACACTCAGCTGTGCTCAGGGCTTACGCCTGGCTCTGGACTCAGGGTTGACTCCTGGCGGTGCTTCTCCTGGCGGTGCTTGAGGGACCATATGGGGTGCTGGGGATTGGAACTCAGGTTGGCCATGTGCAAAGGAAGTACTCTGTTCACTGTACTATTGCTCTGGTCCTCATAACTTATCTTTCAAAGATTATATAGTTAGAATTGCAGCAATAGTACAGGAGGTAGTGCACTCACTTGAACACGATCAGGATTTCTTCCTCTGCATCCCATAAGATTCCCTGAGCACTGTCTAGAGTAATTCCTGAATGCAGAGCCAGGAATAAGCCCTAAGCACAGCTGGGTGTTCCTGCCCCCCTCAAAAAAAAAAAAAAGAAGAAGAAGATTAGATGTTCAGGATTGGCTGGAGCGATATAGCACAGCAGGTAGTGTGTTTGCCTTGCACGCAGCTGACCTGGGTTCAATTCCTCGAAGAGCCCGGCAAGCTACCGAGAGTATCCTGCCTGCACGGCATAGCCTGACAAGCTCCCCATGGTGTATTCGATATTCCAAAAACAGTAACAACAAGTCTCACAATGGAGACATTACTGGTACCCGCTCAACCAAATCGATGACCAACGGGAGGACAGTGCTACAGTGCTACAGATGTTCAGGGGAGTGTCATAAGTTGAATCCTCTGTGGAAGATAATTTCCTTTAAGAGAGTTCAAGAAGAAGGTGATCAGATCATTATACTCACAATTTTAAAAGAATTTCATTTTTCTTTTATACAAATTGAATTCATGTGTCAACTTCTATTCCCCTCTAAGTCCTCCTGAATCCTTGTAGTCAGAAAACTCTTGAAATGAGTTTTTTTTCTCCTACTGCTTAAGTCTAAGGGATAATAAAGAAATGTTTTCTGACACCTAGGTCTGTGGAGATAAGAAGTGACTGGTGAGAGGGGGCTGATGAGGCAGAGGAGACCCAGTGAGCCAGGCGCTGCTGAGTTGCGGTGCCACCCCAAATCCAGCCTGGCTTTTCCCTGTGAGAAGGTGGAGCCTGTAACACATCCTCAGTTTTCCAGCATGGGAGGAAATCCTGATTTCTCAATTAAGATATATTGATGTATATTAAATATTACTTGAGCAGGTTTTCCTTTATACTCAGTTTAATGTGCTTGTGTAAAACATGCACTGTTTGCTTGTTTAATATACTCTGTACAATAGAGGTTTCTAATGCATATGGATTATCCAGTGGTGTGAATATAAATTCCGTCTTGAATTTTTTTGGTATAGACAATGTATTTGAGCCTATCTGAACATGCTATCAGCAACTTAAAACTTTGTCAGAGGGCTGGAGAGGTAGCTCAAAATCCTGGAGCATATTTTCTGCAAGTCAGACGTTCAGGTTTAATCCCTGGTACCTCATGGCGCTCTGATAACTTTTGGGAGTGACCTCCAAGCAGAGAGCCAAGAGTAACCCTTAGTACTGCCCGGCCTGTCCCCCCCATCTCTCCCAAAAAGTTTAGGTAGATCTGCTATTGAAATCTTACCAATTTCACACTTGGATGTATTTCACTAGATGGCATATAGTAGCTGTGTGTAAATTTATGCACAATGTGTGATTGTATATAAATTTTGTGTACAAGTTTCATATATTTTGCCCTTTTTCACAGTACTATAATACATTTGCAGCATTGCTGTTCATAGAGAGATAAGTAGCATATTTATTATGTAAATGTTTCCCTATTTGGATGTCATAAATTTCTGTGAAACTTAGCCAGATGCATTATTTTTTGCTTTATAATGATAATGACATTTATTTAAAGTTTTTTAGCCTAAATATTTCCTAAAGTATACATTTCATATTTAATCAGTCATAAAAAATACTTTGAGAATACTACGTCCACTGATTTCATCCCCATGATTATTTCTTTGTTCATTGAACTTTTTATTTCCCTTTTTTTAATAACCCCTTTCAGACATAGTCCCAGCTGGAATTTATTCTTCTCATAGTGTGTCCATTACTCTTTATGCAAGATCTGCATAAGGACTTCATTTAAAGCTCCATCCTCATATGTCATCTTGCATTAGCAGCAAATTTTTGAACATTTATAACCTGTAACATTATAATAACTCCTGGTTCTTCTTTTCTTTTTTGGAGTGGGGAGGTACTTGGATTTGGAGGCCATACCCAGCAGTGCTTGGGGCTATCCCCAGAAATGCTTAAGAGATCATGTAGTGCCAGGGACTGAGCTAGAGTCAGCAGTAGGCATAGCAAGTGTCACACCCCCATATCCTCTCTCCTGCCCTTAACATCCTGATATTCAGAATAGCACACATCACAATAACCTGTGTACAAGCTGAACTAGCCCAGTAGACTGCTATCCTGTTCTTTTTTTGTGTCTAGGTGAAGGAATTAGCTAGCAGATATAAATCTGTGAATGAATGTCTTTTGCTTGTCTTGTCAGGCTCTAGAGCTGAATCTGCCATGGAAATGTATTAGTCCAACACACGTATATGAAAGGGACCAGTAACCCATTGATCCTGTTTGTCCAGCCAGACTATAGGGTGCTGTAAAGTTTAGGAAAGTTTTCATGTTTCTTTAGAATCCTTCACTATAGTTTTCTAATAAAGTGTGGGGGGCAGGGGTGGGGGGAATTTGGGGGCGTGGCGCTAGGGCCAGAGAGGGTTGCCTGATTTATTTTTCTTCTTTTATTTGATGCCAAGGATCAAACCCATAGCCTTCTATATGCAAAGCAGACACTCTCCCACTGACTTACATTCCTGGCCTGGTTTCATTCTAAATAATTAATTCTCTGATTTTACTTCTATTAGCAAATAAAAAGAAACGTCGACGAAAAGCATGCCCGGCTCTGCCAGACTCTGCATGAAGGTAAACAGCTGGTAGCATCTGTGAGCTGTCCAGAGCTGGAGGCCCAGACTGCAAAGCTGGAAGAGCAGTGGTTGTCCCTAAACAAAAAAATCGACCATGAGCTACACAGACTCCAAGCACTTCTCAAGCACCTGCTCAGGTATGTTTTTCTAGGAATTGGCTGGTGCCAGACGCTGCTGCCTAAGAAATATCTCAGAGAGAGCTAGAAAGGCAATACAGTGGGTCTTATATGTGGCCAACCGGGGTTCATGCTCCAGCACACCCATATGGTTCCCTGAGTACTGCCAGGAGTAATCCCTGAACACAGATACAAAAATAAACCCTGAGCACCACCAGGTGTTGCCCCGCCCCCACCCCATCTCCTACAAGAAAGAAGAAAAAAAAGGAGAGAGCCAGAGAGATTACAGCAGGTCAACAGGTGAGGTGCTTACTTTGCAAGTTGGTGACGTAAGTTCAATTTCCCAAGTTCCACCAGGAGTAAGTCCTGAGAACTGCCAGAGTGCCCCCTCACAAAAACAAAAGCAAAATGACCTCAGAGTAGGGCTGGAGATACCGCATATGAGGCTGAGTGCATACTTTGCATGCAGAAGGCTTAGGTTTGGTCCCTGGCACCACCTGGTTCCCTGAGCACTGCCAGGAGTGATCCCTGAGTACTGAGCTGGGAGTAGCCCCTGAGCACTGCCAGCTAAGCAATAAAACAGAACTAGAGGGATCTCCGAGGGATTCTACAGTTAGCCAGAATTTCCATGTAGCACCTCTGTTTCACTTGGACAGTCTAAAGCAGTTGCATCTGTCTTTTGGGGCTAGCTAGGACCTAGAGTGTCAAATAGTGATTTGCTAGACTCAGAATAATATTAATCAGTTTCATGGAGTCTAGGAGTTGTGTTATAAAATGTTTTGCATATTAATAAATAGCATACATATTATGTTTATATTGTGACTCTTTCCTACCTACTTACAAAACCTTTAAACTTTAAAAATATCTTAAATAATGTTATGTAGTATTTAATACGAATTTTATATTATTTAATATAAAATATATTAAATAAAGGTAGAAGAAGAGTTCTAAAATCTTTTCACTTCATAGATTTTTCAGTGATATAATTTTGAATCCCTTGAGGAAGGCAAAGAACAGAGAATGTTTAAATCTCATTTTCAACCCTGCCTTAACCTAAAGAAGCTAGAGGATATAACATAGACAGGATTTTGCTTGGATATTTTCATCACATGTAAATGTTACATCTAACCAACAGCAATGTACTGTCACACACACACTGTCCTTCCGTTGTTCATCAATTTGCTCGAGCGGGCCCAGTAACGTCTCCATCGTGAGACTTGTTACTGTGTTTGGCATATTGAATACGTCACGGGTAGCTTGCCAAACTCTGCCGCAGGGGCGAGATACTCTCAGTAGCTTTCCAGGCTCTCCAAGGGGCAGAGGAATCAAACCCGGCTCGGCCAGGCTGGCTGTGCACAAGGCAAACACCCTACCACTATGCTATCGCTCCAGCCCAGCAATTTACTACCACATAATTTATTCAATGCTGGAAATACACTTATTGTGAACAAATCAATTAGGATACATTTGATAAATGAAAATTCCTATACTTACCCAGGGTTATATTCTTTTATAGCTACAACAATTTTTTTTAAAAACAACACTTTAGATTGCAAAATACCTCTTTGCTCTTGGTCAATAATAATGATGGGGATCATCAGGAAATGTGATTTGGGAATAAAACAAAATATCGTATTGAAAATCATATTTTTCTGAATAACAGGAATGATTACAGGAAAATGTGTAGTAAAATAAGAAACAATGCACATGGTGTCTGTTATTAGTAGAGTATGTTTCTAATTTTCTTTCTGACTTGCTTTGCTCCAGTTATAACAGAGATTCAGATCAGCTAACCAAGTGGTTGGACTCTTCTCAGCAAACTCTGAATTACTGGAAAGAACAGTCCCTCAATGTGACTCAGGACTTGGACACAGTCCGAAGCAACATAAACAAATTTTTTGTAAGTTATAATGGAATATGCTCAGATAATTGTCTGTCCGAAATTAGTAACAGGGAAAAGTTGTTGATGTGATGTCATAGGCTCCATAATCACTATGGACCTGAATAAAACTTGAGCGCATCATAGCTGCAGTCTTCAAACTTAGAGTTGTTTGTGCTGTTCAGGAATGGATCTGCACACGGATATACATGTTTCTGATGGGAATTGAACCCATTTTAGACTCTAGCTGGTCTTAGACTCTAGTTTTAGACTCTAGCTGATGATTCTAAGTCTTAGTTTCTCTATGCTATTTTTACATTTTAAAGTTTCATTTTAAAACTGTTGCCTGTAGGAGTTTTCGAAGGAACTTGATGAAAAGACCTCCTTAAAGACATCAGTGATAAGTACCGGAAACCAACTTCTTCACCTCAAAGAAGCCGATACGGCTACATTGCGGGCTTCATTAGCACAGTTTGAACAAAAATGGACAATGCTCATTACTCAGCTCCCAGATATTCAAGAAAAACTTCACCAGGTAAGTATTTAAAGATCCCGCATTTGAATTAGCATTTACTTGTTAGCTCACAACTCTTTTAAAATTATTTCTCTGACTCAATAATTTTCATTGACACTACCTATTTTTCTTTGGCACCACTGAATATGGGTCTTAATTACTAGATTCTCCTCCAGTGGGATCTTTCTTAAGAGAGAAATCATGCTTAATTACTTTATTTCCCAGTTTATCTGTGCCACTGTGTTAGTTTATGTGAAGGTCATTGTCATTGTTTTGGGGTCACTTATTCTAAGTTTGAATTCTGGGATTGTTTTTGTGAGTAACTTGCATAATTATGTAGCGAGACCTTTTATCAAGCCAGATATCATCTTTAGTGATGCCCTGATTCATTTTGTTAACCGCAGGTAATTAAATGGAAATCATTTTGTCCTTGCAGCTCCAGATGGAGAAATTGCCATCTCGCAATGCAATCACAGAAATGATTACTTGGATGAACAATGTGGAACATCAGACCACAAATGAAGACTCTGAACATTTGCTAAGTTCTGCATCTCAAGTTAAAAATCTTCTTCAGAAATACAGGGTAATTGTACAAAAGGAGCCAGGAGCCTTTTCGTTGAGCAGTCTTGCAAGTCAGTTGGAGGATAAATGTTGAGCAAAGTGACATGTAGGGTATAGTTTAGAATAATTCTGGGGATAAGATGGGTCATGGATGACTTTAGAGAGAGAAGCTAGTAACTTGCTCTTCTCCCACCTAGATTCCTTTGGGCGTGGAGGACAGCTTTCTTCGTAATTTATCTTTCGAGATAAATTAATTTCAAGATTAAAAAAATTTTCTTTAATAGCAAGGAGGGGAGTTGATTCCATTTTCTAATTTAATTTCAGATAATTGGAACATCTTATGCGGAATGTTAGAAATAAGATTCCTTTAGTAGTTCCCATCACATGAGACAGAGCCACACTTTGTCTCTGGCTCCACTTTTCCTCTCTTCACTCTTCTCAGCATTTTTGTCTTTCCATGTGAACCCTGAACTCCCTTAACCAAATGATGTATGGCCTCTTCATTGTATCTTGTGGTCTCCCTCCTCATGGGTTTTTTTGGGGGGGTGGGTGGGGGGAATGATGGTGTGGGAATTTTGGCTCTGTTCTCAAAAGCAATCCCTGGCAGTGCTCGAGAACCATACTTGAAGCTGGGGCTTAAAATTGAGGTCAGTGGGATTCAAGACAATTCCTTAACTCCTGAACTCTTTGACTGGCCTCTCTTCCTCATCTTCTTTATTTTTTATGATCCTCGCACTTTTTATAACTGCAACTTCCCACTGGAATTCCAGGGCCCTGCCTTTAGCTGTAGCAATTCCGAGTCATCCTTCCTGAGCCAGATCAAGCCTTTCCTCTTTGGGAAATCTATACCTGTTTCTCCCAGCCCTGTGGGTTTATTTTCTGGGATTCAGTGTCCCCGTGGCATAACAATGGTTCCCATCACATGGTCTTAGAATTCTTTATCTATTTGCCTACCTCCACACCCTGGCTTAGTTTCTTGAGAGCAGAGACTATCCTTCACCTGCCCAAAAGGGCACACCTTGCCCAATACCTTTCAGCCAACAGGAGTTAAGTAATCATATCTTTAATAAGAGAATGCATAAGATGACTGGCTTCTATAAACAGACTTAAGTGTACTCTTCTCCATACTATTTGATACCAAGTAGATAGAAGTAACAATCACACAGATCATCGTTGGTGCTGGCATTGTGTTGGCCACAAGGAACACAGAGGTGAGCACTGATTTAATTAAACGATGAAAGACTGCATCACAAAACCTGCTGTTAACAAGGCTCCAAACTCAGTAGTAGGTGTTGTAGAAGGACTATGGTCTATTCTCTGGAAGGCCTGAGTTACCTAGAATATATGGCAGTTTAGCCCTCTGATGTCTCCAGAACAGATGCTAATCCTCGATGCTAGATGCTAGAGTAAAATCCAGCAGGCAGCTCTGACACCTGATCTGCCCATTGCCGTAGGACTTGGTCATCTAAATTTGGAGATCTGTGCTCTCTGTCCTTAGAAAAGCACAGAAGCAGCTATCTACCTTGGCAGTGTTCCTCAAAGGAGCTCTGGGTTTCTGGGAGAATCTAGCTTGTGTCCCATCCTGTCATTCAGGCAGCTTGAGGTTCCTGGGTGCAGATACAGCACCATGAGGTTTGAGATAATACACAAACATTGTAGGGTGCTGCCTTTGACTCTTCCTTGTTTTTGAAAATATTGAATCGCCCTTCCCAGCCTTGTGGACTTTCCCAAACTCAAATAAATCCACAGTTGAATGGGTTAGAAGACAGATGCCCTGTGAATAATGGGTGGGAACTTGGCGCCCCCTAGAGTGTACCCAAAGGGAAATCAGTTCTTCTTAACCTACTTCATTTCAGGCATTGTCTCCCTTGGTTTGTTTTAGGAATTTAGAATGGAAATGAACTATAAACAATGGATTGTCGACTTTGTCAACCAGTCACTACTTCAGCTAAGCACTTGTGATGTAGAGAGTAAGCGCTATGAGAGAACTGAGTTTGCTGAGCGCCTGGGAGAGATGAACCGCCAGTGGCACCGGGTACAGGGAATGCTAAACAGAAAGGTATAAGCACATGTTACCTTTTAATGTATGACTTCCCTTCGCCGAATACCACTTTGTGAAATTTCCATCTAGTTAAATTGCAAGCCAATAATCACTTCGATCAGAGCCCTCTTATAAATTCTGTCTCAGTATTCTCCATTGATGCATATAGTAGAGTAGAAAATAGTTTTTACATTCCTTCTGAGATTTCTTATTAGAAATTGAATTAAACAAGTGAAGAGGAAAAATTTCCTTTAGAAATATGTCGGGCATTATTATGCGAGCCTACTAAATGGTCAGATTTGACATTTTCTGTGGAAGTAAATGTTCAAAAAGGGCAAAGCTATTTAAACTTTGAAGAGATTTTCGAAAGGAAGGAAAATGTATGTGATTTTTTGGTAAATTTTCATTCCATGACTCTGAAAAGATTAAGAAAACTTATTTGGGGAAGAAACATTTCATATCTATATAATTGATTGCTCTCCTTGTTGTATAGAGAATACTTACAAATGGATTTGTACAAGTAAGATTCAGATACATAAAGAAACAAAGAACATAATCAGACAATTCATAAAAGAGAAAATTACAGTTAGCAAATAAACATGGAGAAATTACAGCTTTAATTATCTGCCACAAAAAACCTGAACATTATGTCATTTATTAAACTAGAAAAAATTTATAAGATAAAGATTAAAGCCCAAAGATATCACACTCATGCATTGTAGATAATGGCTAAAATGCCCTTTTGGAAAGCTTTCAGAAAATTTCAAGAACTATAATAATCATCTCCCTCTTAACCCAGCAGTGCTCCTCTCACACATTTATCTTCATCAAGTAGCCCTTCAAAAGGAAAAAGATGTGCTTACAGTGTTCAACACTGGTCATAAATGTACAATGCCTTCATTTCCAACTACAGAGGCATTCATCAATGCCAATACTGTGTCTTTTAGCTGAAATATTGGGCAGACTAAATATAAGGAATATTAGCATGCAATAGCAACTGCCTATGACATATTGGAAAACTAATGTAAAACTAAGTTATGATTATGACCTAATAGAAATTGTGAGCCCTAAGAAGTGAAAAGAACCAATAGGCCTTAGTAAATGAATTGCTTATGATGGTTTTCATATTTACTTAATTTTTAAGGGACATTAGAGAGATGGGGAGAAATTTTCTTAAGCTTTATGTATATCAATATTGAGGTGGCTAAAAATGTCAAATGTTTGTAACACGCTCATACAGATATTGTAGAACTTTGGGCGTGGGGGACAGCTTTCTTAGTAATATATCTTTTCAGATAAATTAATTTCAAGATTAAAAAAATTTTTCTTTAATGGCAAGGAGGGGAGTTGATTCTGTTTTCTAATTTATTTTAATTTCAAATAATTGGAACATCTTATGTGAAATGTTAGAAATAAGAGAAGGAAAAAATTATCCCATTCAAAGTAACACATCATAACATTCATTTTTTTTAAACATGTGGTTTTAAATAAGGATTTTTTACAATTTTCTTTTAGGCACCGTGATTCACAGTCGGTCATTGGTAGGTTTCATGCATAAAAACTTTCCAGCACCACAGCCCCTCCAGAGTCTGCTTCCCGCCACCATCCTTCCAGGGTTGTTCCTCCGTCCCCCTCCACCACCATCCACCATCACTACTCAGTTTATTTTCCCCACTCCTATCTCCCATGATTAGCATCCTACTGAAGATCAGTTCTCAGTTTCTGTTGCCTTTGCGCATTTGTTACATCCCTGCTAGGTTCCTTTATACCCCCAATCTGAAAGAAATTATTCTGTGCCTGTCCCTCTCCTTGAGTGACTTCACCCAGCAAGGTGCTCTCAGATCCACTCATGTAGCTGTAAATTGCATGATTTCATCTTTCCTTTATTTCCTTATTGGTCATTTGTAGATACAACATTTAGAACAACTTTTGGAAAGTATCACTGAGAATGAAAACAAAATAGAGATTTTGAACAACTGGCTGGAGGCACAAGAAGAGAGACTGAAAATGTTACAGATGCCTGGGAGTGTGATCTCGGTGCAGAAGATGCTCCTGGACTGCCAGGTGGGATGGGCCAGGTCACCCTGGGCAGCTCTGGGGAGATCCCCACTGTGGTTCCCTGTGACAGGGTGAGGGTCTGTAGTTCCTGACAGGCTCTCCCACAAACCCTCACACCCTACTTCCTTATTCCCAGGAGATGACTCTCCCTGGGCTTTAAAAGGTAAAGGTAAAGGTAAAGGCCCTCCCGTTGATCGTCGATTTGCTCGAGCGGGCCCAGTAACGTCTCCATTGGAGACTTTGTTGTTACTGTGTCTGGCATATCGAATACTCTCGGTAGCTTGCCGGGCTCTCCGAGAGGGGCGGAGGAATCGAACTCGGGTCTTTAAAAAATTGCAAAAATTTAATTTTTTTAATTGATAAAAATCAATTAATTCAAGAAGATGCTTTAGCAGTATTTCAAGTGGGTTGTGGGTCAGAGAGATAGTTCAGGGATGAAGACACTTACCTTGCACGGGACCAGCCTGGTTCTATCCTCATTATCACATTTGGTTCCTTGATCACCACCAGGGGCTCCTACCAAGTATGGCCTCTTTCCTCCCTCCTCCCCCCCAAAAGAAAAAGAACAAGAGGAACTTCAAAGGGGATTGTGATTGTGATTTCTGTTTTCCAACTTTGTGTTTTTATTAATGTGCCCAGTATTCACCAAGTGAACACTGGATTTTATATTCTTTTCTGTGCTCCATTGTCTTTGTTCAGAGGAAGATGATTTTCTTTTCTGTGGATGCTATATTCCAAAAGGACCAGCTGTCCTTGCTATACCATCTAACCCACCTGTGGGCTTGTGCCCTTTGATATTTGACACCATTTTCTCTGAGTCTCTGAGCTGCCTCTCTAGCATGCAGATTAGCTAGCCCTCCTTGACCACTCTCCCAGCTGGAAACACAGGCTTCCCCTGCTGCTTTACTACTTTATAAGCTGCCTATGTGGCCTGTGTCATGAAGGGCCAGCACTGCTCTCTGGCCCATGGGGAAGGTCAGGTGAGGCGATCAGAGTAATAAAGAAAATAATATGAACATAGTAGGTGAACAACTATACACACCGTGGGAGACCTCTACTGGTTATATCCTCTTTCTAACTATCCACTAGCTGTTTCCACTTCAGATTTCTTTTTCATTTGTTTTTTGATCACTCTTGCTGATGCTCTGGGGACCATGTGCTTCTAGGAACTGATTTGGGCTCCTGCAGGCAAAGCATACACCCCAGCACTTTGAACCAACTCCCAGGCCCCACTTGAGAGTTCTTGCAGCTTCTCACATTTTACCGATGTCCTGGTTGAAAGACCACATTATATAACTCAGTGTTACACCATTCCCCAGCACACTGCCCGGTGTCACTTGAGTTCTAAGCTCTGCATGGCAGTGGATCTCATCATTGGTTTCCAAATGAGAAATGCTGACAGGAAATGGGTGCTACAGGTGTTGCTGATATAATTCTGGGCACACAAATTGATGTGGCATGGGAAAGAGATGCCCTGCACCACTGGATCATGACAAGAAGGTCTTCTGAAATCTAGAACCATAGATAAAAAAAAAAAAATTTAAGGAACTGTTCAGATGGACAATTCTTTTAGTTCTTTTATTGTATACTCTGAGGGCATTTTTTTTTTATTGAAAAAGAGTAGACTCTTTCATCTTGCACATTATTGCTTTTTGATATCATGCTTGCAAAAACTATTTCTTCCTGCCTTTCCAGGATATAGAGAATCAACTTGCCGTTAAATCCAAAGCACTGGATGAATTGAGACAGAGTGACCTGACTTTGGAGAGCAGGACATTGCCATTGTTAGAAGACACAGCATCCAGGATTGAAGAGTTACTTCGCAAAAGGAACAGTGTCATCAGCCAGGTACTGAATTTGTTCGAGGAATACTATTCTGTTTCCCTCGCCTTTCTCTGTCTTATTGGGAGCTGTTTAATCACAGAGACTCCCTCCATACCTTACCGAGCATCTGGCCAGATAAACGGGAGCAGCAGTAAAAGAGGAGCTAGTCCCCACTCATGGGGCGTGATCTGTTTCTTGGAGCTTCTATTCAGCTAGGAACATGGTCAGCAGCGGGAGGGCTCCAGAGGTGGGGAAAAAAACATAGAGGAAGAGGCTGGAAAAATATCTGATTGCTTTATGAAAATCCCATCCAAATCTGCAGGGCCTTCTGCCCTCTCCACGAGGGGCACATCTAAAGACAAAGGAATACACGTCTTTAGATATTGCTACCTTGATGTTTCCCCACACTGCAGGGAGAAAACTCTACTTATTGTAAATGTGTTAATGACGAAACGTGTCATCCACCTATGGACATTTGACTTGTCTTCACTTTTACACTGTTATGAATCATGCTGATGTGATCATTTATACATCGGTTGTTTTAGTTTGGAACCACAGCCATAGTGCTCAAAGGCCATACCTGGTTTTGCACTCAGGAGTGACCCACTGTTGTCTTAAGGGGATCATATGTATTGTGGAGAATTTAAACCAGAGACAATCATATGCAGAGCAAGTACCTTAACCCCATACTGTCTCCAGCTTCTGTATATAGGTTTCTGTATATAGGTTTTTGTGTGAGCCTATGATTTCATTCCTCTTGGGTATTATAGCTCAGAATTGAATCACAAAGCAACTGCTTTCAAATTTTGGTGGATCTGCCAAACTTTCCGACTCTCTAGGTTCCCAGCAGCAATGTATGAGGGTCCCATTCTTCTCAAACTCTTATCAACACTTATCATTACCCAGCTTTGATTGCAGTTAACCAGTGAAGGTAAATATTAATTCATTATGGTTTTAATTTAGCATTCAGTCACAGCTGTAGAGGTTGAGCACTTTTTTGTGCACTTATGGATTTTTTGTATATATTCTCTAGCTATGTCTATTCAAAGCCTTTGTTTATTTTTTCACTTTTCTGAGTTTTATTGTTGAGTTATAAAGGTTCTTTATTATATGTGTATTATCTATAAAACGTTTTCATTTTACAATAAATAAATATGAAGTGTATAACTAGAGGACACCTGGGCAGAGGTGGAGTGCTGGAAGAGTTCAGGTATGAAGTCATACTAATAGCAATTTGTAAACCAAAATGCCCCAAATTAAAAAATATATAAGTAGACATAAAACATTTATATATTCTGAGTAGGATCTAAAAATATTTAACTGTTTTGATTCCTTTCTTTTATGATTATCAGGAACACTAAAAGTTGAAATATACCCACCATTACTTTGGACTTGCCAGTCATATTGTTGTTTTTCTTTTTTCTGGTTTGTTTTGGATTTTGAGGTTTGTTTTTGGTGCCAGAGGAGGGTTGTTTGGGTTTTGTTGTTGTTTTAGGGCCACACCTTGTGGTGCTCAGCTCTTATTACTGGTTTTATATGCAGGGATCACTCCTTGCAGGGCTCAGGGAAACCTATGGAGTGCTGGGGAGTGAACCCAGGCTGGCCATAGGCAAGCCAAGAGCCCTACCGGCAGCCCCATCTCTCTGGCCCTACCTATCATTTTGGCCAAGTGGATTCTCTTATATTTATCCATGCTTTATCGTGGAAATCAGGCTTAATGCCAGGCAACATTTTATATTTATGCTTCACAGTTTTCAGAGCATTTTCTTAGACACTTATAGTGATTTTTTAACTTATTATCTGTTTCACAGGTGAGGAAATGGACAGAAGATGAAGTAATTTATCCTAAAGTTGATAAGGTGTCACTATACTGTGTCCTCACAGACTCAGTTTCTTTTTCTGGATTCTTTCCTGCCTATCCTCCTGGGGCCATATCCTCCCCTGATGATCCTCTGGCCCCAGGGCTCTTTCTACTTACCGCTAATAAAATTGGCCTTTTCTGATATTTTTGTTCTTTGATCCACCTTGAGTTGATCACTGACAGTCTTCCGGAACTCTTGCATGGAAATGTCTACATTGGCAATGATTTTGGAATCCTTACTGGGAAACAAACCAAAAAGAGTCATAATCATCTTCGCAATCTGTTTCCAATTTTTTCAAAGGTCAGTGAGCTGAAGCCCTCCATGCAGTCTCTGTTACAGGAGTGGAAGACTTATGACAAACTACTCGATGAAATGAATGTGATGACAGTCCGATTTTGTTACTGTGTGGAGCAGAGCAAGCCTGTGGTCTTGTCCCTGGAGGCCCTGCAGAGCCAGGTGCAGAGCCTGCAGGTACGGCAGTGCCTTTCTTGTACTGTGTGTGTGTGGTTCGAAGTTTAACAGATGCAATTGATTTGACAATCTCCACAGAGAAACACAAAGCTATCCCTAATTCTGAAATGAATCACGTGACTCAAATGAGAAAATCTTTTTTATTAAATTCTCAAGATTAAAAAATAATTATGTTCATAGTTGAAAAGTAGAGTTGTGTGAGAGAGATGTCTTTTTTTTTTTCTGATTTTGGGGCTAACCCTAGCAGTGCTCAGGGTTTACTCCTGGCTCTGCACTCAGGGTTCGTTCCTGGAAGGACTGGGACCATATGTGGTACCAGGGATCAAGCCCCAATTAGCCATGTACAAGGCAAGTGCTTTGCCCACTGTACCATCTTTCTAGCCTCCCTTCATATTTCTTATAGATTACCCACTCCTAGTAAGATGAGTATTAATGTTGTAATGGTATAACAGCAGCTTGGAAGTTGCCTGGTCATTATAAAAGTAATCGTTCGACTGTATTTTCTTAGTCTCTTCAAGATGAAGCTGAGACCAGTGAAAGGAGTTGGGAAAAACTTCAGGAGGTTTCTGGAAAACTCAAAGATTACTGCCCCTCGGTTGCTGAAATAATCAAAGAGAAATGCCAGGATACTTACACAAGGTATGTTTTCAAATACAATTTAAATAATAGATCAGATATCTTTATCAGAATGACATGTGAAAGGAAATCACATCGTCTTTGTAATGTCTTTCTTAATCATTTGAGATGACAGATATCTTGCTCTTCTGAGGATCACTTCTGCATTAAAGGATCAAGGCTGTGTAAGATTTGACATTGTGATAGCTCTCATTATCTCTATACAAGTGTGATCTGTCTAGACATGCCCTCACAGCCTACTATAGCTGCTCCAAAGAGTACAGACCAAGTGCCCAGTGGGGTCATCAAGGACACTGCAGTCCCAAGCAAAAACAGAGCAGGGACCTCAGTGGACATGGTGTCCCTGGAAATATTACAACATGGAAGAAAGGGGATGTTCAAATATCTTGAGGGGACCTGATTTGTAGGGTTGGGATTATCTTTGATGACCTGCTTGGGATAGAAAACTGCTTCTTAGGAGTGTGGCCCAGTTAATGTCAAGGCTTTTATTTTGCCAGATGAGATATGAAAGTAGGCTTAACAATTGTTAGCTTCAGATGGCAAGATGCAGAGCATTAGTGGCTACCAGTGTCTGTCAGCACCCTCCCCCTCCAACGTCAGCCTCTCCTGCAAGTACTTGAGCAGATATTGAAAAAGGGCCCCCCAAATTTACGGGCCCCATAGATCTAGCTCCAGCTCTTAATGCAGTCCTTATTGGAAGAAGGGTGTGAAGGACAGGTAGGGAGGAATAGAAAATGTATCTGACCCCACATGCTGTCTGGGGGCATCCCCCAAACGTGTCAGGGTGGTTTGCTGCGGATATTCAGGTGCCACTGCAGTATATACACATTTAATTGTGGCACAGGAACCTAGCAGGGATCCAGAAATGCAGAAGTAATCACGACTGGGATATGCGAGGCCCCTGTTTGAACCCTGATATCACTGAAAATAATAAATTTTAAAAAGAAGTATGGAGGGAGTCGTGTTGAAAAGGCTGAAGAAAATAGCACCAAAATGCTAGTGGTGGTTATTTCTAGAATGAGATATGTCCAGTGTCTCTTTTTTTTTCTTCTTCTCTTTTATAAAAGAGACTTTCTCTTTTTTGTGTCTATCTTCTAGATAGGTAGATCATCTAGATATAAGATTGGAGAGAAGAAAGACTAGGGGTAGAGGAAATTATGCCTGTTTGGTAGTTCCTTTTTCTTAAGTATAATAAACAGATGTTTGTTTATGACTGGAAAATTTTTACTGAAAGAGTAATTCTGCTATGATTTTTTGAAATACATAAAGAAATACAAGTTGTGCTTTTTTTTTTCTTTTTGGGTAATACCCGGCAATGCACAGGGGTTACTCCTGGCTCTGCGCTCAGGAATTACCCCTGGTGGTGCTCAGGGGACCATATGAGATGCTGAGAATCGAACCCCATTGGCCGCGTGCAAGGCAAATACCCTACCCGCTGTGCTATTGCTCCAGCCCCAAGTTGTGCTATTTTTTCATCTTTTTACCGTTTGCCAAGGATGAGGATATTGTAAACCAAGCATTTCCAGGTGCTTCAGACAGAATGTAAACCAGCATTTTCAGAAAGCCATTTAAGAAGCAAGCCTTGAGGGCCCAGTGATAACATGCACATATGCATGTATACAACACTTGGTTCAAAAAAAAAAAATAGTAACCATATCCTTAAAGGTATTAACAGGGCTGAAGTGATGGAACAGGGATTAAGGTACATGCACATACGTGTATAGTCCCCTGAGCCCCACCAGGAGCAATTCCTGAGCTCCACTGGATATTGCAAAAATAGCATTATCATATTTCTAGTCTTTGACTTGGTAATTATCTTAAGATTAATATCTTGAAACAAAAACTGTTTGCCAAGTTGTATCTGAGCATTATATCTGACACAGGAAATTAAATGTCATTTCAATATTCATACTAAACAACAATTTGGTAATTAAATGGAAGGCAAAAACACGGATATGCCATCATGCACAGCCATTTTCAAGACGCTTACTTTTAAAATTAGCAACATGAAAAAAAAAGTTTAAGTTAAATGGGAAAGGAAAGCAAGATCCAAGATCCAAAGCAAAATGCTTCCTTTATTTTCATTGTGCTATTACTGCTATTGTAGATGGAAAATAATTGAGGGGCACACAGTTTAAATACTTCTATTTAAGGACCACCCCCTTTATAAAATAGAAGCCCCTCTCATACAGCGTTTCACTAGTCATATAGTTGACTGCATTTTCTGCCTTTACCTAAGAGATGGTTTTAATGTAGGAGCGATAGCACAGCGGTAGGGCGTTTGCCTTGCACACAGCCAACATGGCCGACCTGAGTTCGATTCCTCCGCCCCTCTCGGAGAGCCCGGCAAGCTACCGAGAGTATCTCGCCTGCACGGCAGAGCCTGGCAAGCTCCCGGTGACGTATTCGATATGCCAAACACAGAACAACAAAGTCTCCAATGGAGACGTTACTGGGCCCGTTCGAGCAAATCGATGATCAACGGGAGGACAGTGACAGTGACAGATATTTCTTAGGAACCACACACTTTGTTGAGAATTGTAAAATCTCCTGACTGATTCCAAACTGCTCATTATATCATGGGGATACCTTAGCAAAGAAAGTCATTCTGCAATGTCATCTCAATGATCCACCTGCTGTATTCACTTACTGGTAGAGATTGTGTGTCCTTGTGCTTTTCCTGCAAGGGAAAGGGTGGAATGAGATTTTCGCTCTTCTTGTTGCCCTCACAGGTGGACCCAGGTAAACCAAGACATTGCAGACCAGTTACAAAAAGCGCAGAGTCTTCTGCAGCTCTGGAAGGCCTATGACAGTGCTCATGCTGAAGCTGTGGCCAGGCTGGAGCAGCAGGAAGCAAAGTACCAGCAGCTCAAAAACATCAACATGTCCGGAAACAACCTGGTAGAGATCCTGACTGCCACCATGCAGGACTTAAAGGTAGGTCTAGCACCTACTGAGAAAACCCAGGCCAGGGAGACCCTCCAAACAGACCAGAGTACTAGACAGACTGAAGGGACCGAGAGGATCAGGACACATGCTTGAGCCACTGTATGGGACATAGCAAGAATAGGTAGGATGTATGGGGCTAGGAGACACAGAGACTTGGCAACTGGGACAGAGACATCTGCCACCGCCTGGTCCCAGGCCTCCCCTTGTTTGCTAGTAGGTGGATCTCTAAAGTGGATGCCTTGTATGAAGTCTCAAATGGAAGCAAAAGTTTCTCAGTGGAGCGTGTTCATCTAAGAACAATAGATGTTGAATCTCTTGCTTTAGATATAGTCATGAATTCACCAGCATATTCATAAGGCTTTACTGTGAGTATACCGATTTTTAGACTGTGTTGAGAACTGTGTAATTTCTTCTGTGTTTTTATGCTGTTATGTTCATGAATTTCCAGCAAGTAAACTGAGTAACCCTAATACATTTTGTATCTTTTTGACACGCTATGTCAAGTTAGAAAAAGTATTAAGTTATCTAGAAAGATAAGAATTCAAGTGATAGTATAGCAGATAGAATGCTTGCCTTGCATGTGTTCAACCTGAGTTTGATCCCCAGCACCCCATATAATCCACAGAGCATGGTCATGAGTGATCCACTGAGTATAGAACCAGAAGTAAGCCCTGATCACTGCCAGGTGTGTCCCAAAAGCCAAAAATTTAAAAAATAATTAGATATGATTATATATTTCTGCTCAACTTCTACATCATGTGTTGCTTAAAAAACAAAAGAATTCACACAGTATTTACAGAGTCAACTAGGTTGATGAGATTCTATAGTATTGGCAAAATTATTTATGTCATAACATCTCAGGCCAAGAGAACAAGGTAACACTGGACTTTTTTAAATGTTTTATTATCATTTAGGTAACATAATTATAATAGTTAAAGTCTTTGATTTTAATGTACAAAGTTACTGTATCCCTCTTCCACCAAAGTCCCCATGATCCTCCACTGCTGTCCCTATGTCACCTCCATTTTCATTTTCTACTGCTTAAGAATGAGTTTTGTCATTTAAGGCCAAGGATCTGTCATTGTTTGATACTATAAATTCCCTTGCTTTGTGAACTAGAAGAGAAATAAATTAAAAAGATAACCTAGGGGCTGGAGCAATAGCACAGCGGGTAAGGCATTTGCCTTGCACACGTGGCCGACCGGGGTTCCATTCCTAGCATCCCAGATGGTCCCCTGAGCACCGCCAGGAGTAATTCCTGAGTGCAGAGCCAGGAGTAATCCCTGTGCATCGCTGGGTGTGACCCAAAAAGCAAAAATAAATAAATAAATAAATAATAACCTATCTTTTTTTATAAATTTATTTTTTTTAATCCTTTATAAAATTTTTAAAAATACCCTATCTTTCTTTGGACACTATTTTAAAATAGTATTCAGAACACCCAGGAATCAACCTACCAAAGGATATTAAAAACTTTTACATTGTAAACTATAAATCACTATCGAAAGAAATAGAAGCAGTCACCAGGAAATGGAAAAATACTCCATGTGCATGGATTATAAGAATTAATGTCCAATCAACTACCCTACCAAAGAATTATGCAGATTAAATGCAGATTCAATCCATCAAAATCCCAATGACATTCTTCACAGGCATAGAACAAAAACTCTACTAAGATGTGTATGGAATCATAAAACTCCTCCAAATAGCCAAAATAGTTTTGAGAAAAAAAGGAGATGGGAATACCATAATACCGTGTAATACTGGAATAAAAATAAACTCAACTCTTGGACCAATGTTTCAGAATTGAAAGTCCAGAGATAAATACTCAGATTTATGGACAGCTACCCTATGACAGAGGAGCTGTGTGTATGAAGCGGACCAAGGAAGGGCTCGTTACATTGATTCTTATATCCAAAGCATTCTGTGGAACACTAGGGGGAAATCCTCTTTAAGGCTGGTAAATCAAATAACTTGGGTAGGGGGCACACCCAGCGGTTCTCAGGGCTGACTCCTAGTCCTGAGGGATCACTCCTAGTGGGGTTCAGGAGACCACATATCAATATGTAATGCCAGGGTCAGCCTAGTGCAAGGCAAGTGCCCTACCCTCTTTACTATCTCTCCAGTCCCAACAAACAAATTTAATATCAGACAGATTCATAGAAGCAAAAGCTCAAATTTAATCACATGCATTGTCACTGTCCTCTGGTTGTTCATCGATTTTCTCGAGCGGGCCCTGTAACGTCTCCATTGTGAGACTTGTTGTTACTGTGTTTGGCATATCAAATACGCCATGGGTAGCTTGCCAGGCTTTGCTGTGCCGGCGAGATACTCTTGGTAACTTGCCGGGCTCTCCAAGAGGGGTGGAGGAATTAAACCTGGGTCAGCCTGGTTGGCCGCGTGCAAGGCAAACGCCCTACCTGCTATGCTATCACTTTTTGGCCCGCTCGAGCACATGTATATAGAAATTTTACATGGTTCTAAATTTTAGAGTAAATGAGACAGAGTAAAAGTTTCTATCCTGAACAAAAGAAGTGATTCAGAGCCCTGGGTGTCTAGAAGAGAGAATAGGGGTGTTCATAGTAAGAAGGGGATGCCTTTATTTGACAAACTAGGTGTTAGAGATATTTTATCCTTCCTTGAATACCGTATTTCACTGTATAATTGACCCTCTACACCATCATTGCACCGTGTTTTTAAGTAATGCCAACATAATTTTTTAAAAAAGGAAAAAGCAAATCTCATAATTGTCACACCCTGCTTTTATTTTTAAATAAAAATATTTGACATCGAATCTGTGATGATTCTACAGTGAAGTGTATGTGTTTCTCTAACAGAAAAGTTATTTCTAGAAATTATCCTAAATGAATCTTCATGCCTTAAAGTAATGGCAAATCAGTTTCTTTTGAGGCACACAGAACCTGAGTTGAACTCAACTCAACATGTCAAGGTGACCTTTATAGGAAAAGGCCTATATTGAACATTTTTTTAATGTAGAAGTACTTCTATTTATTCAGCCACTGATTAGATGATTGAATTGGGCATGAACTCCACCTTACTTTTTTATTCATAATTTTTTTCTTTTTATATTTACTTATTGAATCACTGTGGGAAAAGTTATTGAACTTTTTGGAGGAGGTTTATCCTTCAGTTGAGTCATAAGAACTATTAAACACAGAACTCTGTCCAAGTGATCTCCAGTTTCTATAATCTAAAAGACCCAACTGTGTGGTTTTTAGTTCTTGTTTTGAACCAACAAATTTTCTTCTTAACCGACAAATTTCAGAACAGCACCTATGAAGTGCATTCTACAAAGAAGTTTAGCTTTCTCGGCTCCTTAAAATAATCAATAACAACCCATGCCCCAAAACTTCAGGGCAGAAATTCTTCTCAGTGTGGTTGGTGCAGGAAGGGATAAGGACTGGTGCGATTAAATGAAGAGGAAATAAGTTTGTGCTCGCTTTTTCTTTCTTTTCCAGAAGCTGCAGCATGATGTGCAGAAGACCAAAGCAGCTTTCCTGCAAAACTCAGAGCTCCTGGATCGACTCCCCACACCTGCAGAGGGCAGCACCCACATGCCCATCTGTGGTCAGCAGCATTTCCTCCAGAGGGCGTCTTACCTGGAAAAGATGCTGCTTATGAAAGCGAATGAATTCGAGGTTCTTCTCCTTTTTCTATTCTATTTATATTCTCAAACGTTTGCATCCTGCCCCCAATCCCTTATCCCTGTGTCATGGGTGGCCTCTTAGGGGAGCTGAATAAAGATACCCTGAACAGATTTACTATTTGGCAGGACTCTTGTCACATGGCAATGGCCAGGTCTTAAGCAAACATTTCTTTTCGTTATATTTTTGTATGTTAGCTTTGAGGTAACACCCAGCCATACTTAGAGGCTCCTCCTGGAGCAGGGTTAATACCTGCAATGTCGGGGGGCCATGTAATATTGGGGATCAACATGACGCTCCAACATATAATGTCTATGCTCTAGCCCTTCTAATTATCTCCCCTACCCCAACATTTCTTCATTTGAAAATTTTAGTTGAGTTGAGATTTGACATTAAATACATTGTTCAGGGGCTGGAGCGATAGCACAGTGGGTAGGAAATTTGCCTTGCACATGGCCGACCTGGGTTCGTTTCCCAGTGTTCCTTATGGTCCCCCGAGCACTGCAAGGAGTAATTCCTGCAGAGCCAGGAGTAACCCATGTGCATCACCAGGTGTGACCCAAAAAGCAATGAATAAATAAATAAATATTGTTCAGCTTTCACAGTAATTTGCATCTCCAAGTAGGGTAACTGAGTGACAGAAGTAACTAATGAAAACATGATTTATTTATTGTCTTTATTTGCCTTTTGAAAAGTCTTTTGTGCAAGAACTGTCTCAAAAAGGGCCACGGGACCCCAGTGGTTCCATGAAGCTGGTATTTCCCAGTGCCAGCAAGGAAAAAAAAATTCTCTATCAGCTCTAAGAAGCAGGATACTTGCTACCCTCATCTGGATACCTAGGAGCCCCTTCAAGCAGTTGTTTCATTCATCCTTGATGGCTCAATGCTTTGCCAAAGGAACAGAGTAAAATTCAAAAGATTCTGAAGATTAATCTCTAAATAATCAAGATGACAACGAGTTGCTGAAAACTGAAAATGAATTGTGCTTTTATCAGCTCCCAGGTTGTTTGTACTTAATTCTCTGGGCCAGAGAGATAGCATAGGCAAGACATAATTCTTACATTCAGACATTCCTGGTTCAAATCCCCCAGTACCACACAAATGTTCCCTTAAGCCCCACTAGGAGTCACTCATAAGCAGAGAGCCAGGAATAGTCACTAAGTCCAATGAAGCGTGGCCCTCCTTGCCCCATAATTCTGTATAGATGCCCATGAAATAGTCTCTCTCTTTCTCTCTATCTCTGTCTCTCCCTTTCTCTCTCCCTCCTTCTCTTTCTCCCTCTCTCCTCTCTCTTTCTCCCTTTCGCTCTCACTCCCTTCCTCTCTTTCTTCCTCTCTCCTCTCTCTGTCTCTCTCTGTTTTTGGGGGGGGACCATATCTGACAGTGCTCAGAGCTTATTCCTGGCTCTGGCTCTGTGCTTGGGATCACTTCTGCTAGGGCTCAGGGGCCATATGGAATGCTGGGAATTGAATCTGGGTTGTCTGTGTTCAAGGCGAGCACCCTACCTGCTGTACAACCCCAATTTTTAATGAAATCCTTTCTTTTTAGTTTGTTCTATCAGAATTCAAGGATTTTGGGAACCAGTTGGAATCTTTAAAAGATGTTATTATTCATGAAGAAGAGAATTTGAATAAACTCTATCAGCAAGATAAAGAAGAAAATCCCGATCTACTCCTGGTATTGCCAATTTTTTTAAGGATTTAAACTTATAGAATAGAAAATAAATACTGTTGTATTGTAGACTCTGTTTGAATTGTAACTCTTAAGCATAATAATTTACCAGATTTGCCCTTTCTCCTAATGTCTAGAAAAGTATGACAACATAGGAATTTATTTTATAATATGCACAATAATTTTAGTTGACTTTAACATATTGGCTTTTTTCCAGTTACCTTCAAAACTCAAACAATATTGGCTGTTATAATTAGTTACATTTTTTCTGGCTAAAGATCAAAGTGAAACACCTTGTTACATTAATTATGCATTGTTCCTTTTTATCCCCTCAGAAGTCTAGTCTAGTTAACATAAATTAGTAAAAGAAAAAAATAATCCATCATTTTGCAAATTGCTAAAGACTAATATTCAGTCTTTTTTTTTAATTGAATCACCAAAGCTTTCACGTTTGAGTTTCAGTCATACAATGGTTGAGCACCCATCCCTCCACCAGTGCACATTTTCTTTTTTTTTAAATTTTTTTATTAGTGAATCACTGTGAGATACAGTTACAGACTTACAAACTTTCATGTTTACGTTTCAAGTCATACATAGATCAAGTACCCATCCCTCCACCAGTGCCCATTTTCCACCACCAATGGTCCCAGCAGCCTTCCCACCAACCCCACTCCGTCTCCTCCACTCCACCCCACCTCTGTGGCAGGGCATTCCCTTTCCATCAGTGCACATTTTCCACCATCAATGTCTCAAGTATCCCCCCATCCCACCCCTCCCCCTGCTTCAATGGCAGAGACACTTTCCCCAACTTACTATCTCCCTGCTTTTGGTCATTATGGTTTGCAGGACAGATACTGAGGGGCTATCACGTTTCGTCCTTTATCTACTTTCAGCACACATCTCCCATCTGCAGCTATCCCTCCAACCATCACTGACTTAGTGATCCCTTCTCCATTCTAGCTGCCTTCTCCTCCAGCTCATGAGGCAGGCTTCCTACCATGGAGCAATATTCCTGGTCCTGTTTCTACCGTCCTTGAGGGGTGTCAGTCTCACTAATATTCAGTCTTAAGTCAAAAGTCAGAAACTTGGATTTAGCACAGTCTAGCCCATCACCTGTTTTAGTAAATAAGGTGTTTTGAAGTAAGTAAATAAGGGTGTTTTGAACTTTGGGGGGCATTGGGGGCTACTTTAGCTTTTTTTTTTGTTTCTTTGTTTTTTTGTTTTGCAGTCTTCCCTTTCATTTACATATATCTATGGTAGTGAATTTAAAGAAAAAGAAAAAAACACACACTAGAATCTAGAGCAATGGTTTCTAGGCTTACTTGGCATATGGCGCCTCTAAAAATTTACCGTCTTAAAGCAAACAGGAAGTGCCCTCTCCAGTTGCACTCTACACCCAAGGCTACTATCCCTGGATGATTCCAGGGCCCCTTGGGGGTGGTGTTGGCCCACTACTGGGAAGGTGAAGGGGAGACATTGATTTTATTGTCCCCACTAATTATGTCAAAGATATCTCATTGTCATCCAATAACTGGGAATTTGATTTTTTTGTTGTTTGTTGTTGTTGTTTTTAATAGACTCATGTTCTGGCACTGACTGCCCAGGCCCCTGATATTGAACATTTGAATGAAGTCAGCCTCAAGCTCCCACTCAGTGATATAGCCCTAAAGACATTACAAAACATGAACCGACAGTGGATTAGGGCCACGGCCACAGCCCTGGAGCACTGCAGGTGAGAACCTCCAGCCTTATTGTTCTGTCCCCATTTAGAACAAGTTGATGTTTGTGTCTAAACACAGTTTGACTGTCTTATTTGTTTTTGAATCTTTGTAGTGAACTTCAGGGAATTAGATTGAATGAAAACTTTGTTTATTGCCTGGAAAAGTGGGTCCAGCTTTTAGAGAAGATAGAAAAGGCGCTCCAAGTGAATCTTGCTGACAGCTTTCCAGCTCTCTTGGAACAACAGAAAACTTTCGGGGTAAGCCTTAAGTCTTGCTAGAGTAAAAGACAGAGAATGGGAGAACCAGTCGCTTCCTATGAAATGTGGGTCTACAATAAGATTGAGTTGTCAGTTGTTCATTTGTAAAACTTTCACACTTAGCATAAATTTGCATTTCTTTTACTGCTCTATATTATCAGTAGTACAACACCTATATGTACACAGAAGGCAGAAGTTTTAAGTTAAATTTTGCTCCCACAGAAGGCAAACACTGTACCAAGGGATGCGAGCTTGTTTTAAATGCAAACATCTTTGTATTTTCACTGAATAAATTATCTAAAATATTGAATCACCTGGTATAATAATTGCAGTTTTACAAAGTTTACATGGGGTGCTTCGAAAAGCAGTCCCTGTGCTGAGTGCTTCAAAAGCAGATCCTGCATTTTATAACTTTGCAAGATTAGGTCACTATAACTCTATGGAACTACCTCACAGTGTTACGGTAAGGTTATCCAGTGAAAGTGAAATTTGCCCAGTCAAAAACCCTGACTGGCTGGACCTTTTTATACTTTACTTTCTTCCTGTTCAAGCGAATGTATAATAGTACTCTATTCCCTAGTCCTAATATTGAGGAATAAGTAAATTGAGGAATTAGTGATGCACAGGGCCAAGCAAATAGGAACTATTGTTATCAAACCTATTTGCTTCCAAGATTACATTCAGTGGTGTTGGGGCTGAATATTTTTTTTTCTGAAGTTAAGTGCAAATGATTTGAAATGTAATCATCTTCTCTATTCTCTGTGAACCTCAGTTTTAAGAAATTTGTCTGGATTTTATAAATGCAAATTCTCCAAGCTGATGTTGTATGTCTTAATTTTTAATACAGATGTTAGAAGCTGAAGTATCTATAAGCCAGTCGATTGCTGATTTCTATGTTACCCATTCCTTACAACTCCTGGACACAACCGAAATAGAAAATAGGTAGGTTGCCTGGGACCCATGACAGCGGGAGTGTGGGGTGTTGACAGTTGGGCCGCACCCTAAGAACTCCCCATGAGATGAAGGGGGGCGTTTCGGTCCACCCTTCATGCCCTACCGAGGCCACCAGTTGCCCCCCACGAGCGGCTCTCCAGCACGGCCACAACTCCAGAACACAGAAACCAATTTCTTAACTATCTGACTTTCAGTAGAAATACTTCCAGGGTCAATAGGTAAAATAGCAGAAATCCAAAACCAACATTTAATTCTTGAACCCAGCTGTAGAAAGCAAATCACTTCACAATGCTTTTTCAGCATGTCTGATTGGGGGGTGGGGGGGTAAACTCTAAATAATAGTGGTGAATCTTTTATTGAAACAGTGAATCTAATCAAAGCAGATAGAGTGTTAACTAGAATTCATCTGCCTCACAGGGACTGGGAGGGGTGGGGGGTGGGGTTCTATTGGGGTTCTTCGTGGTAAAAAATAAGTATTGGTAAAGGGAAATGTGTTTGATATTTGCATGACTGAGACCTAAACCTGAAAGCTTTGTAACCTGTCCAACAGTGATTCAATAAATAAATTAAAAAAAAAAAAGAAGAACTCCCCATGAGACCATCTTCTGACACTCCATCAAGATGGGGACTTGCTCTGTGGCCATCAAGTCTTCAAGGTGCATTTCTCCTGGGGCAGGTGCTGGCATTAGCAGGCCAGGCACTTTGCACACACACCGAGTATAGCTCAGTGCTCCACCGCAAAGGAGTAAGCTACAGTGTTTCCCCAAATTGGCCATCTCAGGGTGTTTTGTCACTGTTAAGTGCTGTTTCTAGTGGCGGGCAGTGCTATCAGAATTGTGAAAGAAGGGATTTCTCTCTGGGCAATGTGCCTGACCTTAGAATCTCTGGGTAGTGATAATCAGGATGAGCATGCTAGTCTGGTGTAACAGTAGCTGCTCATAAAGCTGGGACCTGAGGTGTCCTGGCATCTCACAGGCACCTCTAGGTGACCCACTCCAGGCTGTGTTCTCCTCCCAACATCACACTCATCCCTAACTGAATCTTCTTTCAGAGAAACTAAGAAGCATAAAGCCTCTCTCTTCCCTGTTCCAAAACATTAAATTTTTTTGAAGTAAACAGATTTTATTTGGAAGTTTTTGGAGGGAAGGAGGAAGGAATAAACGGGAGAGTGGAGAGTAAGAGAGTTAGAGTTAAGCGCTCTAGAGAGGATGCAGACTTCTCCGAGGGTGGAGAGAGAGCCCCTAGACACATTCCAGCATTAAACACGAAAGCATGAAAGTATACATCTCAAGCGGGGAGATGCAGGCAACACATGTGCTCAGGCACCACATGTGCTCGGCCACGTGGGCGCAAGCAGCACATGGGCTCAGGCAGCATAAGCACCCCAAAACATTAATTTTAAAAGTTAAATGAAATCGTAATTTCAAGCTTGTTCCAAGATGGCAAATTAGTTTTGATGTGATCAGTACAGCAAAGTGTGACTTTCTCCATAATAAATGAAAGGTTTTATGATACAAAGGGAGTTACTATCTGGGAAAACACTCATTAACAGGAAATGTGGTCTTTATTGCTGAAATTACATTAAAAGTTCTGAAATAATCAATAGCCTTAACAGTGCTTGTTTGTCCACTTCCCCTGACTCCATGTTTCATTTTCTATACAGTATTTGGTATAATGCATGTTCAAACTTTGGTTGGTTTGAGAGAACCATGGTCACACCAGGCTGGTGAAATGACTAAGTCACATGCTAAAAGCCTTTTCCCAGCCCGTTTGCTGCCTGGCCCCACCCCCAAGCACTCCATCATATTTAAGTTAAACTACGCACAGATTTGAAGGGCTAGTGGGGTTTTTTTTTTTGCCATGTGCATTATGGCAAAATTAAGCTGAGTTTCTGTTGTGCATCTATAGTTATTTCTTGATGTTCCTGTCTGTATTCACTCACATTTGTTTTTCCCAAGACCCAAATTGGTTTCCAACATCTTGAGGCTGAAGGACCAGTGGCAGGCAGCAGCCCAGGGCATTGGACAGAGGAAGAGCAATATCGATGCCTTGGTGAAGCAGTGGCAGTCCTTCACCTCCCCCGAGGCAGACTTGCTTCGCTTCCTCACCAATACCTGCCATCTGCTGTCCACAGTGAGGGGCCAGGATTGCTACAGCCTCAGCCAGGCCAGGAACCTGCTCCAAGAGCTGAAGGTAGAGTGTGCAAACCACGTGGTCATTCTTGTGAGGTGTCCTTTTATCTCACCTTGATGATTTCTAGAATATTGTCGTTTGTGTATGCTCTCTACAACAGGGGCTGGGGACATACAGTCCTGAGAAAGGGTACCATGACCCTATCCATGGGAATCCAGTAGCCCGCTTCATGTATTCATGCAGAACTAGTGGCAGTCTTCTGGGCTGCAAGAGTAGAGAGGGAGTAGAGTTAGCAGGTGCTCCAAGGGAGATAGCATAGTTGATAGGGCATTACTTTGCCAGCAGCCGACCCAGGTTCAATCCCCAGTACTCCAGTTGGTCCTCTGAGCCCCTGCCAGATGTGAATACTGAGCACAGAGCCAGGATCAAGTCCTGGGCACCACCAGGTGTTGCCCCAAAATCAAAATAAATGAATAAATAAATGAAAATATGTGATTCTGGACTTTGAGTATTCTCCTAGGCCTTACTTGAATGTTTTATTGGGGCTGGACTGATAGCACAGTGGCTAGGGCATTTGCCTTGCACTGACCAACCCGGGTTCAATTCCCAGCATCCCATCTGGTCCCTTGAGCACTGTCAGGAGTAATTCCTGAGTGCGGAGCCAGGAGTAACCACTGTGCATTGCTGGGTGTGACCCAAGAAGAAAGAAAAAAAAAAAGAATATGTTATTGATTCTGCTTCCCTTCTCGTTTGTTGTTAGGATTGCCAGAGATCGCACAGAGTTAGCTGCAATGCTCACATACTTTAGTTTGCAGCATGCACTAGAAATCATACCTTTAGTTGTGGTGCTTACACACAGTAGTATGGCACCAGAGATCCCAAACAGCAGAAGGCATTTCAGGGCAGTGCAGGCCCTTTTCCCACTGAGCCATTCCCAGACCCCCCTCAGCAGGTTGTATGAAGAGAACAGAATTGCCATGATTAGTTATCCATCCCAAGGGTGTGTTCCATTTAGTTATTGAACCACTCTTTATTGGGGTGGAGGGAGAGGGGCATGATTTATGCCCGACTGTGCTCAGGACAGTAATCCCTGCCTCTGCACTCAGGGATTACTCCTGGCAGGACTTAGGGGAACATCTGGAATTAAAGTGGAGTTGGCCACATGCAGAGCAAGTGGCTTTGTACTGTTTCTCTTTATTTATTTATTTATTGGCTTTTTGGGTGATATCTGGCAATGCTTAGGGGTTATTTCTGGCTCTACACTCAGTAATTACTCCTAGTGGTGATCATATATGGAATGCTTGGTATCAAACTGGGGACGGCCTCATGCAAGGCCAATGCCCTCCACTCTGGCTCCAGGCCTTGTACTCTTAACCAAAGAAAAATAGTTATCAACTCAATTCTCTGACATCCTCTGCTTTCTTCTTTCATTAGTCCAATCTTCAATCTTCAAAGACTGAATACCTGTTCTGCTGGAGGTTTTGGGAGTATAGTATATGTGGACTCAGGGAAGACCCATGCTCTCGTGGGGCAGTTAGATCAAGTAATAAGTAAGCAAGAAAATGTCAGATTGTAATAAGGCCTCTGGCAGTCATTAAAACAAGACTGGATGGTGACTTTGGATGGGTAGTTTCTGGGAGTGGGACATTGGAACTGGAACCTGAGGGGTTGAGCAAGAGTACAGGGTTTAGGCACAGGTGTTGGATGCCACCATCAGGGTTCAGTTTCCAGTATCCCATCACCCTGACACGACCAGGAGTAGCCCTGGAAGCTCCCATCTATCCCACTGCACTACTAGCAGTGGCCTGAGAGCATTATTCTTTAGACTGGCACTGTCCCGCATTCCAGTCCACAGACTGGCAGTTATCACCAAGGTGGTAAATCAGTAGTTTCCTACACCTGCAAACCAACATGGGTCTGAGAGCCAGTGATTTAAGAACATTGCCTTAGGGACTAATCCTTATTGGATTAACCCCCAAACAAAAGAAGATGAGTCTCCATTTCTGGCTTGGACTTGGTAAATTTTGTTCTGAGATCCACGTGAGAGGAGGGTGGGAATTGAACAGGCCGTTTGCTGGGTGAGAGCTGGCTCAGAGACACCTGTCTGGGCACCTGTGCTGAAGCAGCTTGCAACCCTGTCCAAACTTCCAGCCTCAGTTTCCCTATCTGTGTCTGCTCAGCTTTCCTTGCATCTGAAATCTCAAATCTTCCCAGAACCAACTTTGCAAATAATGCGCTGAGGTGGTTTTTTTTTTTTGTTTATTTTATTTTTTGTAAATATTAGCTTCCTTTTGGGAAAATACCTACACTATTTTTCCCTTGAGAAATTCGAAGATGATGAAAATATTATATAGAATGGAAAGGAGAAAAAAAAACACTGCACCAGAGCAATAGTTTGGTGCTTGCCTTCGCGCAGCCAATCTGGATTTGATCCCTAGCATCCCATATAGGCCCGCAGCCCCACCAGAAGTGATCCTTTAGTGCAGAGAGAGCCAGGAGTGAGCCCTGAGCACAGTTAGGCATGGCTCCAAAACAAAACAAAACAAAAATTATTTTTTCTCCTGAAACCAAGTGCTTTTGGAATTGCAATCAGTCCACAAGTTTTACTTTGTTTTTGTATGGTAAAATCATTAGTTTCAATCTCTTATACAGAAAATCTGCTTGATACTCCAATTGAGTTTTTAATGTTGTTTCTTTAGTACATATGATAATGCACATATAACGAGTGCATAAGTGCTTAGTAATCTTAACTACATGCTTTTATTAAAACTTTTTGTTCCCTCCTATTAAATTTGTTTAGCATAGTATCACATTCTTTTCTTGTAGGTTAAGAGTAAACTTACTCTTATATCATGATTGTAATGAATATTTGCTCTTAATTTCAAATCTCCACTATAATTATTTTCTTAATAGTCTTAGATCCATTTATCATGTTGACTTTTAGGCTTTTTGGTTTTTCATTTCTCTCTGTGTCCAATCACCACACCAAAAATCTGTTCTTTTTGCCAATTCTTAAAAGATCATGTCATCTTTTAGTACCTTGTCTACTCAGGGTAAAACATTAGCTTTTGATATTAATGAATATGTGTGTATATATTCTAACCAGATTCTAATTGATGTCTTGTATTTAAGAAAATCTCTGAGGTAAAACTAAACAAACATACACCATCACATTTGAACACATCATAGGTTAGAGCAAATTTTCTTTTTACCCTTTTAGGATAAAGAAATTCATTTCCAGAGATGGCAGACCACCTTTGCACTAACTTTAAAAGCTGGGAACGAGCTACAAGACACAACAAACCTGGAAACAAAAGAGTCAATTGGCCTGAGAATCCATCAACTTCAGGACAACTGGAAGGACACAAAGCTCCAAGTAGAAGAGCTGAAGCAGCACCTTCAGAACATTCTAGAGGTAAAGTCATTATTTTCTTCTCCAGTCATGATATGCAAGTACCATATTGGTTATAGTGTAATCGGTGTTTTATCTGAATGTAACTAATGATATTTAACTACATAGAAATTTTTTTATTGTATGAAGATAGGGATAATTTTGGGAAATCACTTTATTGGAATTTTCCAAAAGGCTTTGATTCCTACTAGCTTGTGAGTCATGCCAGTTACTCAGTGTAAAATACAGTGTTTAAGAAGCGCAATGGTAAGTATATAAATATATGAGATTTTATTATATGTTTGGGCTGGAGCGATAGCACAGCGGTAGGGCGTTTGCCTTGCACGCAGCCAACACGGCCGACCCGAGTTCGATTCCTTCGCCCCTCTCGGAGAGCCCGGCAAGCTACCGAGAGTATCTCGCCCGCACGGCAGAGCCTGGCAAGCCACCCGTGATGTATTGATATGCCAAACACAGTAACAACAAAATCTCCAATGGAGACGTTACTGGGCCTGCTCGAGCAAATCAATGAACAACGGGAGGACCTTTATTATATGTTTAGCTCTGTAGCACTATCCTCCCGTTGTTCATCGATTTGCTCGAGCAGGCCCAGTAATGTCTCCATTGTGAGACTTGTTGTTACTGTGTTTGGCATATTGAATACACTACGGGTAGATTCCCAGGCTTTGCTGTGCAGGCAAGATACTCTCAGTAGCTTGCTGAGCTCTCCGAGAGGGGCAGAGGAATTCAACCCGGGTCGGCCAGGCCGGCTGCATGCAAGGTAAACACCCTACCTGCTATGCTATTAAGAAATAGAAAACTTACATATTTTCAATGGAGGTTCAGTTCACAAAGCTAATATTTTTGCAATGGTTTGTCTTTGGGTAAAGTATATGAAAATAAATATAGTAATCTCTTCATCTTTCTGCTAGCGTCAGAAAAAGAATGTAGGTGAATTTCCCAACCTTAACTTATTATAATACCTTTAAGAAACAAAATGCTTAATTTTGAGTCATTAGTAGAAAAAGTATCATCATTTTCTATGTTAAAGTATATGAAATTGTTCTCAAGGACTCTGAGCTATTTTGAGCTATGGTCCACTTCTCAATGCTCTTTGAGTTCTTTGTGATCATTTATGGTCATTATGGGCTTTTCTTTTTTGTTTTCTATGCTATTTTTGCTTCATTACTCAAAGCATACTTACTCCTTCCATACCACTCCACTCTATTCTGTTGTGTATATATCAGATAACTAAGCTTGTAAGAGAGACTGTTCTGAATAAAGAGCAAATATATACTCTTAGGTCCTGAGTATCTCTTCTATGAATAAAATAGTGGAATGTTAAGGTGTGTACAATCTAAGTGAGGTTCGTTAACTAGCAAGTATTTGTTTATCATCTACCTTGCTGAGAGAGCATGATGATAAATACAATTCTGTGGGAGAGACAAGGACTCCTAATTGTTTCTACACTTTCTTCTTGGTTATTTTCCAGAGAATTGATGTTACTAGAGAGTTGACCTCTCCTTACATAAGATGTTACCAAGGAATTAGACCCACCCTCGTTTGTTTAGGTATCAGTTGTACTGAGGAATAGTAGGCTTTAGTTTTAGTAACCTGAGAAATAGAAATTTATCTGAATGAGTCAATTATGAGCACTCTGCAATTGAAAATACAAATAACCGTTTGCTGAGTCATGTGAAACTCAAGGGAAAGGAATGGTATAAAACAATGGCATTAGCAGGAGAGCTCAGCTCTAAGGTTAATTCTTTTTTGTTGTTTTGTTTGGGGGCCACACCCATCAGTGCTCAGAACTTATTCTTGGCTCTGTGATTACTCCTGATGGAGACTGGGGCACCATGTGTGGTGCCAAGATTTGAATCAAGGTGTGCAAGGCTTATACTATCTCTCTGGTCTGTTTCCCATTTCTAGTGTGATAAAATAATATTCTTATCTGCCTCCCAAAATTAGTATAATTATGAGATAATGACGTTGAAATGCTTTGGAGGGTCAGAGATAAAATACAGAGAGTAAGACCCTTGCCTTGCATGCAGTTGACCCGAGTTCAATCCCCAGTACCATAAATAGTCCCCAGAGCACTACCTGGCATGACCCCTGAGCACAGATATAGGAGTATCCTTGAACACAACCAATTATGGCCCTAGAATTACACCTCACAAAAGGGAAATGTTGTATAAACTGTAGAGTGATTTATGCAGAATGTGACAGCAATGGTAAGAAATGGAGAATGCAGCAGTGAAAGGGCCTATAAAGCCAAGCTAGTTCTAGAAGAAAAGGAAAGGAAGACAAGAAAAGTAGTGAGTGCTCTGTGATATTATCAGCACAAAAAGCCCAGACTAAAATGCTGAACATCAATTCTTGTGGCATCCTTTTAAATTTGAACTTTTTCCAAATTGAAATATTCCTGAGCCATATCTTGGGTTTAGGGAGAGAGGAAGAGATACTTCAAAGCACAGGCCTTTCCAGTTGTTGAAATGAGCAGTTTTTCAATCCACAAAGAGGCTGTGAACTACACTGTTGTCCTGTCTGTCTCTTAGCCCACAGTATCCTCAAGACAAGGAACTGGCTCTGTGTGATTTACAAAAGTTTGTAGACGAGAGCAATCATCTGCATTAAATGAGCTATTCTATTGCTCCAGTTTATTCTTAAATAGCAAAGTACTCAACAATGTTGATGCTATTTCCAAACAGACCTGGGAACAGTGTGAAAAGAAAATCAAGGAGTTGAAAAGCAGGCTGCGACTTTTAACGGCACAAAGTAAAGAGCCTCTTCCAGAACTTCATGAGGACCTCCATAAAGAAAAAGAACTGATTAAGGTATTCACGACTGAAGTAGTGTGTGGGGTAATCTCTTGGCTATGTCTGAGAAGTTGAAGTGTTTGTCTCTTTGCTTGCTAAAGCTGAGGTTTCATGTTCAGCTGGAAAGACATTTCCCCCCCATCTCTTATCTAGCATGACATCCTAGTTGCTGAAGAATAAAGTCAGTGTTTTTTGAGATCCGTACACAAAACTGAGAAAACCTTTTGTAGAAATCCACTTTTTAGGCTCTTGAATGTTTTCCATGCCCACATTCTCTTTCTATTCCTCCTCTGTCATGTGAGATGTAAGCTCAAGATTACATGGAAAAATATGTTCCCTTATCAAGTGACCTCATCTTCGAAATGAGAGCAAATGATGACTAAAAAAGTTCATTCTTTACTAACTAATAGGAAAGTGGTTTTGTTGCTTGTATTTACACTATTGTTGATTTTGAGTCACATTTGACAGTGCTCAGGGGATCCTCCTCACACAGTGCTCTTGAGGTTCCTCCTAGCAGTGCTCATGGGACTATGATATGTTGGGGATCAAACTGAGGTCTCCAGCATGCAAAGTGCACTCTCCAGCTTTTTTTCTTGGCCCTCAAATTAAAACTTTTATAAACTCTGTCAAACTATGCTGCTGGTTTATATCACTAACAAAAACTCCTATATGTATTAGGCCTTTGAGGAAGACAGGCAAACTTACAGATAGGAATTTGGGCCAGTATAATTCCCAGAGCTCCCTGCATCTCTTTCTTACCTGTAGTTTTGCTATTTAAGACTTAGACAGCCTACTAGAATGTTGTTGTTTTTTATTTTGTTTCTTTATTCAATTCAATATTCAATAGAAAAAAATTAAATAAAAATGAGTAATTTCTAACGATGCCAGAAATTAGCACTATTCTCCCTTTATTTTTTTTGCATTATTAAAAGAAATTCTAACATGTAAAAAAATACCTAATTTAAGAAATAATATGACATAGTTCCATGAGACCATTACCCAGCTGGGAAAAAAAAATTATAGAAACAGCTCCAGTACCCTGTATATCACTGCCAGTGTGCTTTCTTCCCCAGAGAGATGCATATCCCTGAATTTGGTACCCTGTTACTCTATTTAGGGGCCACTCCTGTTGTTCAGGGAAGCATGAGGTGCCTGGGATCACACCTATGACTCCCACATGCAAAGCCTGTCCTCCAGCCATCTGCACTATTGTCCTGACCATGTTTTGTAATTTTATTATTTATTAATGTGCACCTTGGGCTTATTTTCCAGTGTGGAGTTTTTTGTTTGTTGGGGGGGGGGGGTCAGGTGTTTTTTTGTTGTTGTTGGAGCCACACCTGGCATGCTCAGGAGTTATTCCTGGCAGGCTCGGGAAACCATATGGAATGCCAGGGATTGAATCCAGGTCAGACATATGAAAGGAAAATGGCCCCTCCAGGGTAGATTTTTTGGTTTCTGTTTTTGTTTTTGTTCTTGGGCCACACATGGTTACATGGTTGTACTCAGTACTTACTTCATAGTCTGTACTCAGGGGTCGCTTCTGGTGGTGCTTAGTGCTTGGGCCCGAACCAAGGTTTGCTCATGCATGACAAGCACTTTACCTCCTGTACTTTGACTCCAGATAATCCAGTGTGTTATTTTTTGAAACTACTGAAAATACTGTCTTTTGCTAACTGTGATTTCTGATGATCACTTAAGGTGCTTAGAAATGCAATGCCTTTTTGCATATTAATATTCAAATACCTTGCTAATTCCATTAATTTGACTGTACCTTTTTTTAGGATGTCTATTAACTCCTCATCTATGGATAATGTTAATATTTTTCTTCCTCTTAGCTTTTTTACTTGGGAGGGGGGCGCACCCAATGGTGCTCAGTGGTTAGTCCTAGTTTTGCACTCAGAAATAACTCCTGGCAGGTTTGGGGAATCACAGAGACGCAGGGAGTCAAACTCAGGTTGGTCATGTGCAAAGAAAGCACCTTACCCACTATACTATCTTTCTGGTCCTCTTTTTAGTTCTTATCCTTTTCTCTGTCCTTCTTGATTAGTACCTTTAGAATAACATTGAGCAATTGTGTCTTTCCTAATTTTAAAGATAACAAGTCTATTATAAATACTGCACAATTAAGTACTGCTGGTGAGGTGTTAATAATGTTAGTGGATGACTTCATTAGTTTAATAAGTCCTTCATTATGACTAATTTTCAGAATTGTTTGTTTGTGTGTATGTGTCCCAAGTTGTGTTCAGGGGCTGCTGGGTCAGCTGGACCAGCAATTCACTGCTAGGACCTGAAGATGCATTGTCAGGAACTGCCACAGCCATACCTAGTGATGCTTGGAAGGCCATGTGGCAGCAGAGATTGAACCTGGTTTGGGTACATGTTCCCTACCCACTATACCATCTCCCAGGCCTCAAAGCTTCTGTCCTTCATACAAGTTTAGGCTTAGATCTTGACTTCAGTAACAAGTGAGAAAATTTAGAGTTACTTTCTCAGTTGATACCTTGATTTTCCATCCATAAAGACTAGAAGCTAATGCAGAATGCAAACTGCAAACCGATGAGGGGGCATAATTCTTCCCAAGTATCATACCCCTTAGTTTCTAAAGGATTTCTTTCCGCTTCCACAGCCCTAGCATTCTGTTTCTCGGTAGAAGGAATCAGGGAGCTTAGAACTCTGGGTTCATTCAACCCAGAACCATATTCCAGGAAGATCCCAAGTTAAAAGAAACCTGTTCAGGACAGAGTTTATCATCTTTGAATCACTTTGGAGAGACACACCCTCTCTCAGCAAGCTTGCGTGTCCAAGCTTGACTTTGTTCTTTGAAAAATTACATTCCCATTATGGTCAAGTCAGTACATGGAAAAATTACATTCTTACATGTGTATGAGAGATTTTTTAATATGTATTTCATTTACTAACCACTTTATTACAAAAACTGCTGTAGCTAACTACTCTGCACTCCTTATCTATGAATAATGTTAGTATTTTTCTTCCTCTTAGCTCTTTTTCTTGGGCAGGGGCTAAGGGGTGGGGGGTATTGCACACCCAGTGGTACTCAATGGTTACTGCTAGTTCTGTACTCAGGACTCATTCCTGACAGACTTGGAGGATCATATAGATGCCAGGAATTGAACCCAGGTCAGATGTGTGCAGAGCAAGCACCTTACCCACTGTACTATCTCTCCCACCCTCCTTTTAGTTCTTTGTACATTTTTCTGTCCTTTTTTTTGCAAGGCCTGAGAGAGCAGTACAGCAGATAGGGCATTTGCCTTGAAAACAGCCCACCTAGGTTTGATTCCTGGCATCACTTATGGTCCCTCAAACTCCTTTCAGGAGAGACCCCTGAGCACAGAGCTGGGAGTAAGTCCTGAGCACAGCCAAGTGTGGCCCCACAACAAAAAAAAAGATATTTTGAATATGTAGAATTATGTGTGTGTGCGTATTTTCTTTTTATATTTTATGTACTTCTTTATGCACATGTAGACCAATATGTATATATAATGAATATGTACATATATACATATGTGTACATATGTATCACACTTTTGGGGGGAGGGAGCAAATCTTGTGGGTGCTCAGGAATTACTTCTTTGCTCAGGGATCATGCCTGATGGTCCTCAGGATACTACATGGAGCACTGACACTGAGCCTAGGTTGACCACCTGCAAGGCAGGTGCCTACCTGCTATTCTATCTCTCCAGCCTCACATGCTTTTCTGTCCCTTTGTTAGAAAACCCAAAGAATTATGTAGAGAAGTGTGGGATTTTGTAATCCTACCAACAACTGATTTCCCAGAGGCCTAAATGATATTGTGCTTTATCAAAGAGTCCAGCTCAGGCCTGTTTGACACATAACCTTATATACATAGTCAAATGACTTTAAGTTTTACATGAGATGCTACATGAACAAGGAGAACATGACAGATTTGCAATAGACACCGTTTACCTAGTTGAGTTAAGAAAAAGAAACCTGACACGGTCTCTTTTGCTGTTAGTTTGCTAGAAAATACAAGTGTTGTAATTCACAAACAGAAGCAAATTTTCGTTCCCTTCTTTTTTGTTTTCGTTTCTGCAATACACCCAGGGATACTCAGGGCTTACTTCTATATGCACTCAGGAATTATTCCTCACAGTGCTCAGGGGACCTTATGGGATGCTGGGGATCAAACCCAGGTGACCAGCATGTAAGGCAAACATGCTACCCACTATACTATCTCTCTGGATCCTTCTTTTTCTTTTTAAATCAATTGAAAATTGGCTTACATGGGGCCAGGAGTGATTCCTGAGTACAAAGACAGGAGTAATCCCTGAGCACTGGTGGGTGTGAGCCCTTAACAAAAACAAACAAAATTGTCTTACAATTCTGTAGACTTTCAGAGGTGTACACAGCTTCACACCTGGTTCTAGTGTGATCTTACTCTCAAAATAACCCTCTGTCCATTTCTCCTACTTGCCCACCACTCCTTCTTTGGTCATCACTGTAATCGTCATGAAATCTGAGAATGAGTTTTGTCGGTCCACATCTGAGTGAAATGATTCAACAATTGCCTTTCACTTCTTTATTTCACTTAGCGTGGTCATCTCAAGTTCCATCCATTTCTTTTTGTCCCAAAAGGCATAATTAATTTCCTTCTTTCTCTCTTTCTTCCTTCCTTTCTTTCTTTTTTCTTTCTTTCTTTCTTTCTTTCTTTTACTTTCCTTTTTTTAAGTATTCTATTGAGTAAATCACAGCTGCTTTATTCAGTCACCCATCAATGGACAGTTCAGTTGATTTCAGGTTTAGCTATTTTAGCTATTGTGAATAAAGAGAAATAAGATTTTAAGGTTGTATGAGGGAGCCAGAGCAGTAAATAGTACAGCATACAGGACACTTAACTTTCAGGTGGCCAAGCCAGGTTTGATCCCTGGCATCCCGCCTATTTCTTGGAGCCTCCTAAGAGCATTGCCTGAGTACAGAGCCAGGAATAACCCCTCACATGGCCAGGTGCAGTCCCAAAATAATAATTTTTTAAAAATTTGTACCAATAGTGATCATCAGTTGTAATAAACTTCCATCATGAATCTAACCCTATTATTTGAACCCCTACAATTAAATAAAAATCCTCCCCCCACCAGAGATCTCCAGTGGGGCTGTCAATCCCACTTTGGTGCTTGATGTGGCCCTGGGGATTGAGTTCATAACCTCATTTTTGTCCCTGCACCAACTTCCAGGACCTAAGTCCTTGCTTTTTTTCCCCACAGACTTTTATGAGCATTTTCAGGCTTTGAGAAACTGCCCAACTGCCTTCCTTTCAATCAAATAATTTGACCTGGGGGCCTTTTGGCAGGTACTGGCAGTGCGCTAGTGAACTAGGGGGTCCTAGTTCAGTCCAGCATGAGGCAATCTATTGGAGAGAGTAACCAAAGTCCCACTACAGGCCTACCTAGGTGAGTGTGCAAAGAATTGGAAAGCATGAAAACAAGAAGAGGACAGAAAGGTTTATGAGAGTATAAAACAGTGACAAGGTCACATGGAGTGGTTGAAGTGCTTGCCTGACATGCAGCTAATCCTAGTTTGATACCTGGCAGCACTTGGACCCTGAACACCTCTGGGTCTGGCCCTGGAGGCCCCCAAGCACTGCCAGGAAGGCCTGGGTAATTCTCAGCACTGCAGGTTCCATTCAGCACCACATCTTTGGATCTAAGACTTCAACTGCAGGCTAGTTAGAAAGCAGAAGCAAGGGACAAACCTATCCAATGACTCTGAAAAGCCTCCTCCGAGTAATTATCTTTATATCTGAAACCTAAAAGTGTCCATCAGAATTAAATGTAGTTTGGTTCTTTTTAGTTGAAGTAATCTTGCATTACAACATGATACATGTTTCGGGTGCACGTCACTGAAAATCACCATATATATGGTGTTTCTGTTCTCTACGAGTTCCTTCTTCCACCATACCATCTATCCTTATTTGCCCCCAAACATTTTTCCTGTCCCTTTTGACAACTATAAACTAATATTATAGTACAAAGACTTACTATACCTTAGAAGCAAGCATCATGGCAAAGGAATGGGTAGCCTTTCAAATTGGAAATGGGGGGAGGGAATGTCTAACATGAATGAGGAACCATTGCACATACTAAAATTGCCTCCAAAATATATAAAACACCACATTGGAAAAAATGTGAAGAAAAATAGTCATTGCTATGAGGATAGTATTTGGCAATATTTATTAAGAAGTGTAAAATATTCATATTCAAAAATTCCGAGGTAGCTATCCTAATCAAGTGGAAAACCAAGTGTCCTAGCCAAACTGACTTCAGGTTGGCTCTGGTTCACTTTAACCCACCACCCTGGTGTGTGGGCATCTGCGCGAGTAGGGCCCTGGGCTGGCGGCCTTCTGGACCCAGCCAGAGACAGTGCATGGAACACACCAGGTCTCCTCTGGCTTTAAATGAGCAGTGAAAGTTCTGTTGCAAAATCTGCTTTTACTAAAATCTTCATTTTACTAAAGCTCTGAGGATTTAGTAAGTAAAACAGAGGTTCCCCAACTTATCAGGCTTACCATCCCGGTTTTAAAAAACAAACAAACAAACATTATTCAGTGACCCTCCCCCTCCCCCACCAGTCACACTCAAGGCTTCTTACTAACCTCCTTTTCATTTCCCTGGGGGCTGGAGAGAGGGCACCATCCCCACTGTAGCAAACATTGGCCTAAAACTAAGTTACCAAAATTTAATGATTTCTGTTCTGATTAAGGCATTCCTTAATCTACAAACAATGATCTGGAGAAATAATTCAGGGTTTAAGGCATTTTTCTTGCATGCTGCAGACCCCAGTTTGATCTCCAGCATTTCTTATGTTCCCCCAGGCACCACCAGGAGTGACCCCTGAGCACCACTGGGTGTGACTCACCCCCCCCCAAAAAAAAACAAAGACTTTGATACACATACAGAAGTGTAAAATCCCATAATATTGTAAACTATGTTTAGCTACATAAAAAATGCAGAGGAGGTGTGTGTGTGTGTGTGTGTGTGTGTGTGTGTGTGTGTGTGTGTGTGTAGAATTCTCTGGGCTTTATTAAATGTATGTTCTTGTTGACCAGTCATGAGATCATGTTAAACTTGCCTATAGAACTCTGAAAATCAAAATGAGTAATTTTGTTGCCACCCTCCCCATGCTGTCAGTTGATGTAAATGAAACAGTCTCTTCCTTCAGGTGTCAGATTTGAAGACGATCTTTGAAATTTAGCCAGCCCAAAGGATTGTCTGCATAGTAAAGATGTGAGGATTTCAGTGTTTAGGCTGTTTCCTCCCCTCTCCTGTGGTGAAACTAATATTCTTGATTAACTCCTGGAATTCAAAAAATATTTCCCAAGAACTGGTGTGGAGTGTGTTGTTGTTGTTGTTTTGTTAATGTTTACATGGCCCAAGGAAACTTTGCGGTTTCTTGCTACTGTTTACCAATTATTGGGGAATGATTTATATTGCCCCGCTTTGTACTCATTCCTTTCAAAAATTAACCAAAATAATTTCCTTTGGATGGAGGCTCTTACATGATTTCCACAGTGCACCCCTGCATTTCTTCGCTGTTTCAGAAGGGACATCGCACTTTGTCACTTGGGTACATAGTTTCGGGATTCAAGGGGGGTGGTGACAGGCCCGCTAGATTCCAAAAATACTTTTCCTCTACATAAGGAGACCTGCATGACTTCAGAGTAGAGTAACTGCACAAGAATCTGAACAACCTGAGCAGAGGAAACTAGCGGTAGAGAAGAGTTTTCCAGGGAGGAAAGGTGGAAAAGAACCGGCCAATCGGCACCGCAGCCGCCGCCTGGGGCGTGTCTGTGCCGCAGGCCCCGCCCCGAGGCCGGCCTCCCCTCCCCCAGAGCCCAGTCAAAGGATTAGCCTACAGGTTTGGAAACAACCGCAGCTGGAGTTGAAGGGGTTTTGTTTTCTGTTGTTTTTCTTTCCTTCTAATGTTTAAATGCAGGAACTCGAGAACTCTTTGAGTAACTGGCATCAGAACTTGCAAGAGCTTCCCACTGTAAAGGCCGACTTTACCCAGCACCTTCTTGTGGAGGACGTGATGATTTTGAAGGAGCAAATAGAGCTTTTGCGCAGACAATGGGAGGACCTTTGCTTGAGGGTGAGTCTGCGAGCGACCGGGCAGCGCTGCTCTGGAATTGATTGAAATGTCTCTGAAGGCCTGACCAAGTAGAAAGGAGCTTAATTGCAATGAGCCCGGGGGCCCTGTTCTTGTTAGAGCCCAGGCTGTCGCTTTTTTTTTTTTTTTTCCTTTTAGAAGGCAGCAACATGATTTTAAACAAAACCTGACCCTTTGTTTCTTTAGCGCTAAATGCTGGGACTTGGCACACTTTTAATGAGCTTTTCTAAAAGTCGCCCCCAAGTGCGACGGGAAATTTGCCTCTCTGAGCGGCGGTGTGCACGCCGCACTCTCTGCGGTAGATAAATGACAAGAACTAATCGGTATGTTAGAATCGGGACCAGCGGAGTGGTCTTAGGTCCGCCAATGAAGCAGTTTATCTCCTGGGCCCAGGGAACTGCAGGAGGCAGGCTGAGGGCGACCAGGGGGCGATGTTTTAGAGAACTCTGCATTCACATGCAGTCTCCGTTGTTTTAAACATCTGACTTTTTGGAGCGCCCTGAAAGAAACTGCTACCTGAAATTGATTTTCAGGTTAAATGGGTAGGAAATCGACCTTAAGCCGGAATAAAGATGTGTTTTTTGTTTGTGTGTTTGTTTATTTTTAAGGAAAAAGATTCACATAAAACTCTATCACTTGTAGAAAGGAGCAGTTACTCCTTACTACAAGATAACTTAAGTTATCTCCTCGCTTCTCTTCTGCTTAATAGGGGCTGGATGGTGATGGGAATATTTTACAGTATCTGTTGGAGACAGGATCAGAATGGAATTAAGAGTTCAGTTCTTTGTTTCGAGAACATACAGATCTATGGAAAGTAAATCCCATCATCTCATATTTTGTCACAGAAAGAACTGTGTTTAAAAGTTTGGACACGTGAATGCATTTTTAAAAGTTTTTAAAAACTTTAAAGCCATTACTTTTAATTAATAGTAGTAATATTCACAGTGTAACAGATTTTAAATGTCTTACTATGTTTCATCTAAAAGAAAAGATTTGGACTGTGAAAGGTATCTGAAAAGTTATGGTCTAAGCAAAGAATAGGGCCCAGATGTTCCTAATTTTTACCATTATGAAACCAATCAGGGTAAGCTGTACAAAAAAGGCCAGGATTTTAAAAAGCCAAGATCAATTCCCTGAGGGATGGAAACTCAAAACTTCTTTTTTAGATCTTTTTTATGTTGTTGTTTTCTTTTTTGAGCCTTCTTAAACATATCTGACTGAGTGGATGTTTAAGTATTAGGCATGTTTGCCTAATGAAAGAGAAAGGGTTTTTTGTTTTGAGTATGGGCCAGGGGTAGAGAGTAGTTTGTTTGTACATAGGAAAATAATCCGCCAGTCAACTGTGATTTCCCCATCTGTAAAGCAGGTGTTAAAACATCCACAGGCATCCTTCTCATTCCCACCTTTAAAAACTCTAAAATTTGGGGTTGGAGAGATAGTATAACAGTTGGGCATTTGCCTTGTCTGCAGCTGACCCAGGTTCAATCCCCAACATTCCACATGGTCCCCAATCACTTCCAGGAGTAATTTCTGAGCACAGAGCCAGGAGTAACTCCAGATCATTGCTAAGTGTAGCAAAAAAAAAAAGGGGGGGGGGGGGTTTTAATAAATAAAAACTAGAGTTCTAAGGATATTTAAAACCTGAGAATACTTTCATATACTTAGAAGAACATACAAAGACATATTTGCTTTCTTTAAATTTTAACTTTTTTAAGAAATAAATTTTAACCCTGTAGGAAGTCCCCTGGCTGCTCTCTACCCCTGGGTGGCTTATATACTGTAGGACAGTAGGTTTTGGGGGCTCAGCCTACTCCCTGCAGGCAGATATTTGATCCTATTTCCATAGTTTCTACCCTAAACCTTAGTATCTAATGATAAGATGAAGTCAATGAGCAGTGTGCATCATTTTTAATTTTGCCCTGATTTTAGGAAAGGGCTGGAGCGATAGCACAGCGGGTAGGGCATTCGCCTTACAAGCGGCCAACATGGCCGACCCGAGTTCGATTCCTCCGCCCCTCTCGGAGAGCCCGGCAAGCTACCGAGAGTATTCGATATGCCAGACACAGTAACAACAAAGTCTCCAATGGAGACGTTACTGGGCCCACTCGAGCAAATCGACGATCAACAGGAGGGCCTTGGAATTAGAAAACAGCATTAAAGCATTTAGTGTCCTTGATGTTTGTGATTTTCTTGCATTATAAAATGTTGGATTTGTATTTGATACAGACTGTAGTTTGAGCCAGTTCGACTCCTCTGCCCCTCTCGGAGAGCCCGGCATGCTACCGAGAGTGTCTTGCCTGCACGGCAAAGCTTGGCAAGCTACCCGTGACATATTCAATATGCCAAACACAGTAACAATAAGTCTCAAAATGGAGACATTACTGGGCCCGCTCGAGCAAATCAGTGAACAACGGGAGGACAGTGTAGTTTTCAGGTTAAATAGGTAGGATATTGACCTTAAGTAGAAATAAAGATATGATCAATTTTTTAAAGGTAAAGGATTCACATAAGTTCTAAATTAGCTTGTAATAAGGAGCCATGAAAGTATATTGGAAAACAATGATCAGAAGACATTGGTGTGATGCTTAGTGTCTTTATTCACCTACTCTTTTTTAAAAATAACCTGATAATAATAGGAATGTATTAGATAAGATATATTATTTGGATCATTTATAGATAAAGTGAAGTCAGGTAAAATTGTCAGCTACAATCTTTATTTTGTAACTTTTTTGGGGGGTGGGCCACACTCAGAGGTGTTCAAGAATCACTTCTGGTGGACTTAAGGGACCATATATGGTGCCAGGGATCTAACCCTGGGTCAGCTACATGTAAGGCAAGCATCTTACCTGCTGCATTAACTCTCTGCCCCCTATTTTGTAACTTTTAATGACACTTATTAGGATATAACTTGTGTTGATGTGAAACTCCATGTCCTTAAGCCAAGAAAACATAGAGAGTTAAGTCCTTAGGGCTTCTGATTAAAATCAATGAAATTCTAGTCCTTTAGATGGAAGGAAAGAAAGAAAAGGGAACCAAATTTTTTTCTTCTTGCCTATACTCAGCTGCCAATTGTATTTTCATTTTCAGGTGGCTGTTCGCAAACAAGAAGTTGAAGACAAACTCAATTCATGGATTGTTTTTAATGAAAAAAATAAAGAGCTATGTGCATGGCTGGTGCAGATGGAAAACAAAGTTCTACAGACAGCAGATATTAGCATTGAAGAAATGATTGAAAAGTTACAGAAGGTATGCAGGGATACCTGAGGTGGAGTGACAACTACCACAGAATTCTTAGCCCTTCACACTCCCACACTCAAAGTAGTATATAGTACCTTAAGATATGTCTCCAATATTTAGAAGCTTGAAGGGAATTTCTCACTATTTTTATTCCTTTCCATAAAGAAGTTGTTGAGAATCCCAGAGACTATTCTGGGTGGGTATGATGCCATGCTGAGGCAAATTGCTTTCCCCCCCTAAAAAACTAGCCAGAAAAGGCACTGACCTCCCCTAAGTGTTAGTGGACACCATGTAAATTAGGGTTTGTCTAATGGTCAGAGCTAGGGAATTCCATTTGCCAAAAGGAAGAGATCAACAATATCCAGGGTTATATCTTTGAAATAGCCAGTCAGCTCCAGAAGGAAAAGTGGATAGGATATCCTTACTGAAGCTGCCCAGACGGTCAGGCTTTCAGATCTCAGGGAAGTTCTTAGTGGTACTGAGTTGCCCTCAGCTCCTATTTAGGTGAACTTAGAATTCTGAAGGGAAACCAAAGCTATTGGGTTAAGAAAATAGCTTCTGAACGAAAAAATATATATAAACAAAAAAAGTATTTAAGAAAACAGCACCTGGAATTTTTTTTTTCCTTTTGGGCCACACCCGACGATGCACAGGGGTTACTCCTGGCTCATGCACTCAGAAGTTACCCCTAGCGGTGCTCAGGGGACCATATGGGATGCTGGGAATCGAACCTGGGTCAGCTGCACACAAGGCAAATGCCCTACCTGCTGTGCTATCGCTCCAGCCCCAGCACCTGGAATTACTATCTAATAGTGATAATATTCAGAGTGTCTGTGCCAGGAGTGATCCCTTAGCACAGAGCCAGGAGTAAGCCCTGAGCACAGCTGAGTATGTCCCCCCCCCACAAAAAAAAAAAGAGAAAAAAAGAACAGAACCACAACCTGGTGTCAAGCTATCATTGTTTGATTTTCTAACTCTTCATCAAAGAGTTAGTTTCCTGCACGGACGTGACAGTTTCCAGGAGTTTTGTTTGATTGGTTCTAGGTCATATCCAGTAGTTCTCAGGGGACTCCTGGCACTGCTCAGGGGACCATGAGATGTCATAGCTTGAACATAGGCCTCTTGCATACAAAATGTGCTCCAGCCCATCAAGCTGTCTCCCTAAATTTTGTATTTTAAAATTTCAAAAAGCAAATGTGTTTATATTGGTGAAGAAATGAATTTTCCTTAGTGATTCAGAATCTGGTTTTGGGTGCCTTTCCCAGGACTGCATGGAAGAAATAAACTTGTTTAGTGAAAACAAGTTACAGTTAAAGCAAATGGCTGAAGAGTTGATGAAGGCCAGCAGCAAAACAAGAGCCACTGAGATCGATGACAAGCTCAATAAAGTTAATGATCGTTGGCAGCATCTTTTTGATGTCATTGGATCAAGGTAAGAAATGGCCTAACACTGACCCCAGCTTCTTGGGTATAGTGTATACTTCACACACCTAGACACTGCGCCCAGTTGCCACTAAGTTGACCTCTAAGATAATCTAGCAATTTTATAAGCTTAGACAAAAAAAGGTAAAAATAGGCTAAAGCCAAAAATTTATGGGAGCCAGAGAGAGTACAGGGGTAAGGCATTTTTCTATGCACACAGCCGACCCCAGTTTTAGTCGTGGCACCACTTCACACCATTCTGATGTGGTGCCTGGAACCCCAAGTCCTCCCAGGATTTATCTCTGATCACAGAGTACTTAGTACTAGGGCTTTGGGCCTCTAAGTACCTCTAAGTATACCCAGCAGCACTTAGAGGGCCCAAGCCCCCCTTCCTAAAACAAAGGACATAATTTTTTATTTCAACATTGAAAGAGTATATTTTAGCATACCCCACTTTAATATTTTTTTCAATAGTATAAAATTGGATGTGAATTGGAGTTCTTAAGAACTGGACACTTTATAAGAAAAGAAATCCTCGGGGCTTGACACACTCAAGGCAGGAATCGTGTGTGTGTGTGTGTGTGTGTGTGTGTGTGTGTGTGTACATGTGTATGTGTGCTTGCATTTGTGTGCATATGCATACACATAGAATACCAGGAGGTCTCAGTAGGATCTGGACCCAAATGTGGACTTTTGAATACGAATCAAAGCTATAATTCTCCATTTTGATAAATCAGGTTGATGATTTTCTCTCTTTTCACAAAATAGTGGTTCTTATTTTTTCTTTTTCTTCTTATGGGGCTGGAGTGATAGCACAGCGGAAGGGCATTTGCCTTGCACGCAGCCAACATGGCCAACCCGAGTTCGATTCCTCCGCCCCTCTCGGAGAGCCCGGCAAGCTACCGAGAGTATCTCGCCCGCACGGCAGAGCCTGGCAAGCTACCCGTGATGTATTCAATATGCCAAACACAGTAACAACAAAGTCTCCAATGGAGACGTTACTGGGCCCGCTCGAGCAAATCGATGAACAATGGGAGGACAGTGACAGTGGTTCTTATATTATCCAAAGCTGTTAAAATGTCTTCTTTCTTCAACATCCCTCTCCAAACACAGACCCCAAACCAAAATATTTTTCAGTTGTCCCTGGCAGGCAGAGAACAGACACTGAGCTCTGGGGCCAAGCGTGCAATTGAGCAGAGCTGTCACGTGATTGTGTGCGTGGACATTACAAACCACGTAGAATATGGAGGACGAGAGACCATGACAAGATAATGGAAAAATTGGGGAGTACTGAAAATAAGATACTCTTAACAATTTGGTATACTCTTGACCTCGTGTTCACTGCAAACTAAAGGAGAAGTAATCCAATCAGCAAAGGCACTAGGCTAAGTGCTATGAGAAATACAGACAGAGAATATGGCAGGTTGTTTATGTTAAAGGGAGCAGATATCTGAGTAGCTGTAAAGCCAATTGGTTTAAGAGCTTCCATTTCATCTTCCTGGAGTGAGGCGGGTAGAGGTGGGGAGATTAGGAGGAGCTTTACAGTAAAGTGGTTTTCCCAGATGGTCCTGAATGAGAGGTTGTGATTTTCAGGTGTTACTGGTAGCAGAAACAAAAAGGTGTGTGTTGTGAGAAAGAAGGTGCAGGGGTCAGCATCCTTCACTGGCTCAAGCATAAGAGTTGAAGCTAGGGTCAGAGAGATGGCACAGGGATTGGAGTGACAGTACAACAGATAGGTTTTCGCTTTGCATGCAGCCTATCCCGGTTCAATCTCCTGAATCCTATATAGTTCCCCAAGTCCACTGGGAGTGGTCCCTGAACACAGAGCCAGGGTGGGGTGGTCCAACTCCTTCCCTCCAAAAAAGAGAAAAAAGAGAGATCAGACAGGGGATAAGGCGCTTACCTTGCATGTGACCAACCTTAGTTCAATCATCAACACCACATATGGTCCCCTGGGAACTGCCAAAAGTAAGACCTGAACACCACCCAGTGTGGCCCAAACACCGAAACAACAACAACAAAGAGATGAAGCTAGAAAAGAAGACTATGAGCAAGTCTTAGAAGCCCATAAACCTCAATTAAAGACTCAGCCTCCTAAATCAGGTCCTTGTGTAACAAAGGCATGAAGACAGATATTTGGGTGGTTTGGCTGGCAGCTCAGACTGGTTTGAATTCAGTTTCTCTCTACTACCAGTTGGGAAAGGAAAAATAAATCTAGGAAGGGGCTGAAGAGATAGTGTTTGCTTGGTAAGTGGCTGACTCAGGTTCAGTCACCAGAACATCATGGGCAATCCCTAGCACAGAGCAGGGAATAGCCCCCAAGCACTGCAGCCTGTGGCCCACATCCTTAGTAAGGACTAAGTGCACAACTTCAAGCCAGTACTGACTTTGCTACTTATTATGGGGACTTTATTTAACCTAAGGCTCAGTCTGCAAAATGTGACTGACAGCTCGGGGCCAGCACACAGTGACCAGGATTCATTGAGTGACTGTTACTATGACTCTGAGACTAAGTAGTACAGAGGTTGAGTAGTAAAAGGTATCTCTCAGTCATGCCTTAGAGATGAAAGGCTGTGAGGTCCATGTCTGACTCTCTGAGGTACTCATAGAGCACTGCTTCAGATGAAGTTCCAGTGCATAAGAATAAGACAGTGTCTGTGGGGTAAATTGTGTCTGATGCTTCTTTATTATTAAGGAACATCCCAAATCTTCTGTACAGATTGAGGCTAGTTAAGTAACAATATTCCTGTTCATAAAGCTCTCATGAGCAAAAACTAGATTATGGTTCCTGAAGAGGAGAGTTGCAGCTCATTCTTTTTCCTTTTTTATTTTTTGGTTTGGGGGCCACATCTGGTAGTGTTCAGGGTCACCCCTGGTATCATGCCCAGAGGTCGCTTCCACTGGTACCAAAGGGGCCATATAACACTGATGACTGAACATGGGTATCCTCAGGCATTGCTTGTGATCCTACCCATTGAACTGTCTCTCTGGCCCCATGGCATCCCACCCTTCGTTTTTTTTTTTCTTGGTTTTGGGTCACACCTGGAGATGCATAGGGGTTACTCCTGGCTCTACACTCAGGAATCACCCCTGGCGGTGCTCAGGGGACCATATGGGATGCTGGGAATCGAAACCGGGTCGGCCACATGCAAGGCAAACGCCCTACCCGCTGTGCTATTGCTCCAGCCCCCAGCCATCCTTCATTTTTAAGTGGGGTTATTTCTTATCGGAGTTTGATGGATTTGTGATTTTCTTTATCTTCTATGGCTTCTGGACTTCACTCAATTTCTTGGTAGAGAAAGGTGGAAGAGCTTAAGTTCCACTGACCTTTTGGAAAGGAACACTAAGCAAAATAAAGAGCAAAATTATAGGCTGCTACCTATAACCTTTACAGTGTGCTTTTTACATTTACCTTATTCTTCTAAAAGGTACATGTCATCTCATTTTATAAAAGAGCAAAATGAGATACTGAAATGGTCACTACAGTTATATAGCTAGCATTTAATATAACCAGGATTTTGTTTTTTCATTTTGTTTTTTTTGGAAGGGGCTTGGGGGCCACTCTGGGCAGAGCTCAAAGGCTATTTCTGGCTCTGTGAACTGAGGAGTTCCCTACTTCTGTTGTACTCAGGAAGCCATATGTAGTGCTGGAGATTTAAACCAGAGTTGCCTTGCCACCACTGCATGTACTGTCTCTGGCCTCTGGAATGTCTCTCTGGGCCCTGTGACCAGGATTTCAGCTGAGCGAGCTGCTACCTTCCCACTCCTCGGTCCATTCTGGAATGGTGCTCTTGAAATACATAGCACAGGGGGCCTGGAGAGACAGTACAGCGGGTAGGGCATTTGACTTATACACAGCCAGCCTGGGTTCAATCTCCAGCATTCTATATGGTCCTCTGGCAGCAGGAGTAATTCCTAAGTGCAGAGCCAGGAGTAACACCTAAGCATTGGTTGTGGTCCCAAAACCAAAAAGGGAGGGAGAGAAGAGGGAGGCGGGAGATAGTGAGGGAGATGGGGAAGGAAAGAAGGAAGGGAGGAAGGAGGGAGGGAGGGAGGGAGGGAAGGAGGGAGGATGGCACAGTTTGAGAATTTCCGATGCCTTGTGAACTGACAGAAGACTAGGGTGGGGTAGCTCTTCAGGGCAAGGCTAGGAGTCTAGACACTCGTGACTGAGTTCATCCTTCAGGGTCCTGTGTGGGCTGGGACAGCAAGCTGGGACCTGCCTCTGTCAGCCTCCTATAGCATTAACACTGCCTGACCTCTGACACCAATGGCATTACCACTGGAGAAGAGGGGACTAGGGAAACAAAACACTGGCTGTAAAATTCCAGTTTGAGTAATGCCAACCTGCATGCTGAGGGACCCCGGTTGCCTCACTGGCCCACAGTCATCTAGACCCATTTTGACCTTTCCCATCGTGCTCACAGCTTTCTGCTTCTTTACTCCCATGGCATGGGACAACTTCACTGCTAAACTTGTTGAACCTGCTAAGTGGGATTTGGTGGGAGACCTTATAGAAGAATCTAGCCTGGTGACTTTAAGATTTAGTTTTGGAGAGGCATGGGGAAACACCAGGAGGTGCTCAGGACTTACTCCTGGCTCTGTGCTCAGGAATTACTCCTGACAAGGCTTTGGGGACCATATGGGGTGCCAGGGATGGAACCCAGGTTGGCCGCATGTATGACAAGAATCTACCTGTTGCCTTGCTATTACATCTTACAATGATGAGCCCTTAACTACAAAGTTTAAAATGGTATTGAACAACCTAAGACCTCCAGTTTTGAATCAGTTTTAATTCTTTGATAAAGAAATAAGTCCTGTTCTCCTGGGTTTTTGCTTAGCAAAATGTAGGCAAATTTCAAAAGAATTGATGACATGTAGAGGATAGGGTTACTAAAAATCATGAGCTTTTTGGTGGTTTCAGATAGGCCCCATCATAGGGCAGGTTGGCCAGGTGACCAAACCTTTTTCTCGTAAAAGCCAGGCTCTGTTTCATTCTTGCTCCCCTGC